AAGGGAGAATAGAGGGAAACCCTTGGCTTTGAGCAATGCAATCGAGTCGGTGAACGGTGCTTCTGAATGCGGCACAATCCTCGTACAATTGCTTGCCCATCCCAGTGTACTGAGCTCCCTGGCCGGTGAAGACGAACCCAGTCTTGGGGGCTGTGGCAGGCACGGGAGTGGTGACATCTTGATCGGCACGTTGACGCAGGGCTTCACGGATATCCTTCACGCTCGATCCGACAGCGGTGACCCTGAATGGGTGATGCATGCGACGCGCAGTGGTGGTATAAGCCAGACTGGCAAGGAACCGTCGCTCATTCGCCGGCGACGAGGGCGCATGCGTGTTGATGTACTTGATCAAGGCGTTGATGTTGCGCTTCAGCGCACTCTGGGACCGTGCCGTCACAGACACAACATGCACATTCCGGGGATCCTGTCCAGTGATCTCGCGTAGGGGAGCATCTTCCATCAGGAGAGCAGTGTTACCGCCCGCAGCAGAGAAGTTATTGATGAACATCTTCCGCTTGCCCGAGACCGGTCTGTTCCAGGGGGTTGGCTTGAAGGCAATATGGACATTGCGCTGGGCCAGATCCGTGGGGAAGTTGTGGTTGATCTTCGTTTTGATGCCGCAGTGCGGAGGAATCATGTTCTGCTTCAACATCAACAGCACCTTGACCAAGGATGTCACTCCGGAAGCCGATTCGCCGTGCCCGATGTTCGACTTGGCGGAACCAAGGTAAAGGGAATTGGCCGGGCCGCGGCGGTAGTCGGGTGCGAAGACGTCCAGGACGGACTGCATCTCGACGGCGTCACCCGCCTGAGTGCCGGTTCCGTGCATTTCCACGTAGCCGACCTCGTGTGGGTTGGTGTTGGTGTCGTTGAGGAGCTTGTTGAAGATGAACGCCTGCGCGCCGACATGAGGACGGGTAATGGAGACGGCTTCGGCCGAGTGGTTGGTGTAGGCGCCATTGATGATTCCCAGAATGGGATCGTTGTCAGCCTCGGCATCCTCCAGACGCTTCAGGACGATCGTGCCCACCCCGTCAGCCCGGCAGTAGCCATCCGCGCCGTCATCAAAGGTGTTGCAGTTCCCTGTCCGAGACAAGAAGTGGCCACGATCCAGACCGGCATGGTTGTCAGGGTTGGTGAGGAGGTTCACTCCACCACTGATGGCGGTGTCGCAATCATTCCTCCAGATGGCGTTGCAGGCCAAGTGGATGGCAGCAAGACTGGACGAGCAGGCGGTATCAACGCTTACACTAGGGCCACTGAACTTGAAGTAGTAGTTGATTCGACCAGGCGTGAATGCTCGGTTGCCGCCAGGAATGAAGTATGTGTCGATATCCTGACCGCTGTTGATCTCACGATAATCGTCACTGGTCATACCCATGAAGATGCCGACGCGGTCTCTCTGAGTGGATGGGCTGCTGTTCGGGACAAAGCCTGCCATTTCCAGAGCCTCGTAAGCCGACAACAGCGCCAGTCGCTGTGCAGGATCTGCCTGAAGGGCCTCTCGGGGAGACATGTTGAAGAAACGGGCATCGAATAGACCGGGCTCGTTGATCCAGCAACCGTATGGAACCTTGCTGGTGTTTCTCTTTGCACCGGTCAAGTCCACGTGCGCGTCAACATCCCATCGCTCAGGTGGGACCTTTTTGTGAACGTCCAGACCTTTGTACAACAAGTCCCAAAAGGCTTCGACGCCATCTGCCTCGGGGAAACGCCCCGACATTCCGATAATGGCGATTTTAGACCGTGACGCGTTGCCCGTAGCATTGGGAGCGGTCGGGTCCATTTGAGGAGCGCCGACACCGGTGTCTACCTCGACCTGGCAGTTTCCCATACGCTGGAGCGCAGTAACCAAGCCTTGTGTGGCATTGCTGGCGATAGGGAGAATCCTCCAGGGCTTGTCGTTGGCAGCCTGGACGATGGACAGGCAGGACTCTGTGACTTTGTCCCAGCAGATCTTGCGCAAGAGGATTTCCTCCAGAGCCACCTTCAACAGATCACGCATGCTCTTTACCTGGACCAGCTTCCCTGTGTTGCTCGAGACCAATGGAACCCGCGGCGTGTGGCGCGAAATTACGTCGTCGGGGCAGAAGCTGAGGATATCGCGAATCTCTCGGTCATTGTACAGATGCGGTGCGTGGTACGGACCGCTGACTCCAGGAGCCTTGAAGTGTTTGTACTCCTTTGGAAGACCTTCTTCGATGAACTTGTCGAGAATGTCGGGTGGTGCGCTGATGGTGAGACCTTTCGATCCAACTGCGCTGATGTATGGTTGCGACGAGGGGTAATTCCCTGGTATGTCAGTATTTTCCTTCCATTTGGCCATTCACTGTACTTACTCGCTTCTTAACGAAATTGCTAATCAGGATGGCGGCGTCTGCCTCATTAATCTCAGAGACGAGGATCGACCAGCTGCCGGAAGATGACTCCGTCGAGTCCACCATCTCTCGGACTCTCATGACACAAAGCCCGAGGTGAATAGTCAATGTGACGACCTCGACTGCCAGCGGCAGTAGTTCTCCGACATTCTTGCACGAGCTGACAGCGGCGCAACTCAACATACCCGTACATGAACCCAGAAGGCCGTCATCCGAGGAAGGATATGGATGCCCACGATCACCGTGGTAACTGCCTAGGATCAGCCATGTTTTGGGATCGTTTTGAAAAGGCACTTACTCGATGAAACATCCCAGTTGATAGATACAGGTCAACGCACTCCCCAACGCAGGGTTTGTCCCTGACTCACGATGCCGAGCAAGCAAGTCGGCGATGCTGGTGAACCGCGGGAAGAGTGTGCGCTGAGAAGGCGGCAGCCTGGTGATTTCTTGACGCAGTGCATGGAAGCATCTTTCGATGAACGAGGCGACGATAGTATGGTTCTTCGCCTGCAATAGGTTGCGGAGGCCTTCGTCACAGCTGATTGTCTGATCTCCAAAGAGATAGATGCGACGGAGATCCTCCATGGCGACTGGTTTGCGCGGCCTGTGACTGCAAGGAGTAGTGGTTATTCTGGACCGCAGCACATGGGGTTTGGTATGAAGCAGAGAAAACAACAACCCACTCCGAAAAGAGGAGTCTTTAAGTGCAACTTAAACACGACCAGGGTCCAACCTCTTCAATGGCAAGATCCACCCGGCCTGGCCGGATAACAGGTTTGGGCATTGTCCGCTCTGGGAGATCAGATTGCATGTCTCGATTTTGGACCCCGACGCCCGTCATCCCACTTGCAAGCAGCACTGCGATTTGAGCAATGGGGGACACACAATCGGCTCTACTGCAAATCGGGAAAGGACGAAAGCATAATTCGGTTTGTTGTGAGCCTCCCAAAGCATCGCAGGAGCTTACTGTTCCCCCTTCCATGGAATTCTAGGCCCGCGAGCTGCTTTTCCCCACGCCCACGTCTCAATGGATGCAGGAGCTGCAAAGTCTGATCGATGTTGCTTTTCTTCCGAAAAGGGAAGCACTGACGGGAATTCAATGTGAGACAGCCACCATTGGGTACCGGTGGAAGCGGAAGTCTGGGACAACAGGGAACGCCGGCGGAGCGCTAGGAGACCCAAGCATTCCAGCCCCCAAGAATGTCCGCATTTGGCAATAACTCGCCCATCTTTCTTGTCTGCTCAGGCCCAGTTGACTACTCTGAGATCACTCCGGTCATGCATTACGTCAATCGCAGACTTTGAACACCGCCGTCCTGCACAGTTTGCCCATTACAATGGGGGCCGGCCGAAGTCAGGCCATCATCAAGATCGATTCTATTCCTGAAACCACTGCCAAGAATTCAGGTTACTCTCGTCGTTTGTAACTGCGATCCCAGATGTAGGGTTGCATTTGTATTGAGGGCACTACATACAGACTCTCGGGGTCAAGACCTTATCCCAGGTCAAACTACGTTGGTCGTGCTTATCCCAAATGCCACAAGATTGACATGCTTTGCGATCTCCCCGCACATTCTGGAAGTAAGATTTGGCCATTATGAGGGAGTTTCAAATGACAAATCTTTGCTGTCTCACATAAAATGGTACTTATGCTAATCCTATCTATGCTCAGACTGATCACTTCGCGGCACGGAAAACATCCTCGAACTGATACTCATTCCACCGCACGGTAGGTTTCAGGCCGGCAAACTTCCACACGCCGTCGACCTTGCGGTAGTAGTGCTCATTGGTGGCATGCCCGTGCCCCTTGAGCTTGACAGTTTGCAAGGTGCTGTCCGTGTAGACCTGATGGGCGGCGCGCAGCTGATGGTGGCCAATGACCTCTGTATCGGAGATTCTCTCCCACCAGGACTCGCCCAGCAGATGCTGGGTCTTGATGGTGGGGTCACCCAAGAAGTCGATGTCGCTAACCATGGCCATGTAGTCTTCAGCAGACATGTCACTCCACTTGCGCAGACCAATCTGCCTGTAGTCGACGGTCAGGGTCGGGGCGATGATGCTTCGAAGTCGATCCCAATCCTACCCTGGGTGAATTTCATTCTCCAGGTTCGCTGGACGTTTGAACTTACCTTGGCGTCATAGCTGTCTGCCCAGTCGAAGAGGACTTTTTTTAGGGCAAGATAGTCTGGCCGGTTAGTCAAGGTCAAACCTGTATCATCGGTGCATCATACCTTGGAATTCGATCGTCAGATTGGGCTTCTTTTCGACCATTGTGATGTTGAGGGTATGTATGAACTGTCTGATCGACTGGTATTTTCGAATCTGAGTAATGAGGACTCGAATTTTAGGTCTCAGTAGCTGATGCGCAGTCATAAATATTAGATCATTACACGGTCAGCATCATGCAAGGAGTAGACCGTCGCAAACAGAGCACAGAGCCATGTGTCTCATGTTGTCCTTGTGTCTATCCTAAAGCATCTCAGCTGGAAGCGGGAATTCGAAAACAGCAACATTCCTGTCTTAGACAATCTCATTGCGCACATTCTTCGGGTGAAACAATGAAGTGCGAATTCGGTAAGGCTTCTTGGCTTATCAATCGTAATTGGGCGCTTAATGCCAATAGATGCAGTCTGTATATAAAGATGATCACAAACCTATAGTGACCATGTACACCTAAACAAACACACTAAACAAACACTTCTACACTATTCCATTCAACCTTCAAAATGGTGAACACAGGAACACATCTCCCTCTCAGCGGCAAGGTCGCCCTAGTGACCGGCGGCGGCCGAGGCATCGGGGCCGGCATTGCCCTCGAACTGGCCCGTCGCGGTGCCTCCGTGGCCATCAACTACGGCCACAGCGCCAAGTCGGCTCAAGAGGTCGTCGAAGCCATCCAGGCCATCGGCAGCCAGGCGGTAGCCATCAAGGCGGACCTGACCTGCGTGCCCAACATCGAGTCGCTCATCAAGCAGGTGGTCAGCCACTTTGGCCGGCTGGACATTGTGGTCTCCAACTCCGGGATGGAGAAGTTCAAGCCCCTGGAGGAGACCACCCTGGAAGACTTCAACGAGGTCTTCGATCTCAACACCCGGGCGCAGATGTTCGTCGCCCGCTACGCCTACGACCACATCCAGCCGGGCGGGCGGGTGATCCTCATGTCCTCGATTGCAGCGGGCCTGGGGGTGCCGGGCCACGCGCTGTACGCGGGCAGCAAGGCGGCCATCGAGGGGTTCACTCGGTGCTTGGCGGCCGATTTTGGGCGCAAGGGGTGCACGGTCAATGCGATAGCGCCGGCGGGGGTCAAGAGCGACATGTGGCGGGAGAACGCATGGCGGTATGCTCCCGGGTGCGACAAGAGTTCGTCGCTGGAGGAGATCGAGACGGCGCTGGCGAGCGGCAGTCCGTTGAAGCGGTGCGGTGTGCCCGAGGACATTGGCAAGGTGGTTTCATTCCTGGCGAGTCCGGATGCGGAATGGGTGAACGGTGAGTTTCTTTCTGGTTCTTTTCCTTCCTTTCTGCCCCGATGCAAGGGTCATGGTGGGGATTGGAATGCTGATCATTTTGCAATCTGAACGAATAGGCCAGATCATCCCTGTCAATGGAGGGGCAAATGTCTGATTTAGACTGCTTGTACGGGGTATGGTTGCATTGAGTAAGATTTGGAATTGTATCGCAGAGCTTTGTCGCATAATGAGTTTACTTTCTTTTTTATACTACTGTACCTAAAGTATAATCTTGCTAAGGCAGGGCAGCTAAGCTAATACGCCTGCCAGCATCTAATTCTTCTCATCGTCCAGTGGTCTGTTCAGGTTCCTGTGCGAGTGGCAAACGTCGATTGACTTTGTATATGGCCTGATACATGGCGCTGTTGGGTTACGTTCGGAGAGACCGAATCTTCCACAACCAGACATGAGTTCCATAATGAATACATCAATGCTCTGAACTATATCGAGACTGCCATGTCATGCTGCATGCTGCGAATTGACTTTTCAGATCCACATGTATGAGCCAAACATTGCACGTCCTTATGTCATGGACTCGACGAATGTAACCCCATACCGGATCCATTTCTGGATAAGACACTCAATTCCACTGTGCAATGCATTCGGCGCATAATTCCAGACCGAGACATTATGCAGCATTGGCATTGGAATTTGATCTATATTTAGATGCCCCCGAAATCAGTCGGTGAGTCTTCCCACTTACTGCATGCGTGCCTCATCACTCGGCCGGATCGAGGATTACCCAAATGGGAAATCTGTATGGCTGGATGCATCTGCGGTTGTCAACCCTTCCACAAAGGGTATAAAGTAGAGGATAGCTGCTTAGAAATCAGTCTGTAAATCATAACCAATCTGTGTCAGAAGCTAAACCACTGCAAGTAGTCAAAATGCCACGCTGGATCCTCGGAGACAAGTTCGATACCGTCTACCCCCACAAGGGCTCGTTGAAGGTCCTGTGGGAGTCGAGATGGAAGTTTGCCGTATGTCTTCCCCTAGAAATCTTAGAATACAGCTAATAGTCGTTAGTGTTCGAGATCCGTCTATCCCTTCCACGACGGCTCCATCGAGGACTTTGAGCCCATCTTCAACCATCTCATCTCGGTAATTTCTACTCCCTCTGATACAAAGAATCCTGCTAACCCGCCAGAAAAACATCAACGACGCCGCCTCAGATGAATACACCCAGGCGTTCCTCCCAACGGCATCCGCCCTCGAGGAAAAAGCCGCGCAGGCCCTCCAAGCCGGCAAAAAAGAGGAGGCCTCAAACCTCCTCTGCCGCGCCGCGGTCGTCTACCGCATCTCCCGCTTCCCCTACGTGGACATCACCAAGCCCAGCTCCATCAAGCGCGTTGCCTTTGAGCGCCAGAAAGAGGCATACCTAAAAGCCACCTCTCTCTGGACCCAGCCCATCCACGAGGTCACAGTGCCTCACACCTACCGCGCCGGCAAGGACGGCGCCCACATCCCCATCTACATCCGAACCCCGGCGGGCGCAGACCAGTCTAACCCCGTCCCCGTCGTGTTGATCATGACCGGGCTGGACGGCTACCGGCCGGACAACAGCCAGCGCACGCACGAGATCCTCGCGCGTGGCTGGGCGGCTGTTATCGCTGAGATCCCCGGCACGGCGGACTGTCCCGCTGACCCGGCGGATCCGGCCTCGCCTGATAGACTGTGGGATAGCGTGCTGAGCTATCTCGATCAACGTCCGGAGCTGAACACGGCCAAGATGGTGGTCTGGGGGTTGAGTGCGGGCGGGTACTATGCTATCCGGGCGGCGCACACGCATCGCGACCGGTTGCTGGGGGCTATTGCGCATGGTCCGGGATGCCACCATTATCTTGATCCAGAGTGGTTGGCTAAGGTCAATGACCATGAGTATCCATTTGAGTACGTCAGTTTCCTCAAGAAGGAGGGTGAAAAGGCTAACAAGATTAGGTTAACCACCGCATGGGCGACCAAGCACGGGTACAAGACCGTCGAGGAGTTCGTAGCCGGCGCACAGAAGAAGTTCTCGCTTGTGGAGACGGGCATCGTCGATCAGCCCAGCTGCCGGCTGCTGCTGTTGAATGGTGTCGATGATGGCGTTGTGCCGATTGAGGATTGCCTGGTGTTGTTCGAGCATGGCTCGCCCAAGGAGGGACGGTATGTTATCTCATCTTCATTTCGTTCTCCTTGTGAATACGGGCATACTGACTTTTGCAGATTCCACAAGGGTCTCCCGCATATGGGATATCCCCACAGTCTTCCTGTTTCCTACGAGTGGTTGGAGCAGGTTCTGGCTGCGCCTTCGAAGACGAAGAACTGATCGAGATGTCAGTAGACTATAAAATTTCGGGCTGTGTCTTTTCGCACTCTACTTAATATAATACGCCCATAGCATTGGCAATACAATGTTGTATTTCAATGGTGACTTCTGTAGTTGTAACCTGGGTCTGCAGGCCTTGGAAGTTCAACGACAGACCTATCTGGTGTTCACACTACGGAGGGTTGACCAGATCCATGCAACCTTTTCACGCGACTTCATAGACAGCTAGCTCCAAAAGTAATAAATACTATGCCCTCTCGCTCATCGAGAGTACTTCAACACTGACAAATCCTACACTCTCTTGTATACACGGTAGTTGACCATTGATGGTTCATACATGTAGATGGTACTCAAGAAGAGCTATTGGCATATCTACCAGAGAATGATATTAAAAAAAGTATTAAGTCAATCTATACACAAGAAAAGAACTAAGACGCACTCGCGTCGCCGCCACTCTCTGCAGTCATGCCATCTCTGTGGCCAGCATTGGTACCGGAAGATTCAACGCGACTACTCTTGCCACCGTAATGCAACTCCGAGTCGATAATTACAGGGCCAGGCGCAACAGGAACGTAGCTAGCGGGATAGCTCTGTGCGTAGTTGTTGGCAGGTGGCGCGGCATTGTTCGGAGCCACTGGATATCCCTGTGCGTAGTTGTTGGCAGGTGGCGCTTCATTGCTCGGAGTCACTGGATACCCCTGTGCGTAGTTATTGGCAGGTGGCTGGACGTTGCTCGGTTGACTCCAGGGTTGTGGAGGCTGCTGAGGAGGAGGAGACGGGCGTGGGTTACCCCAAGGCTGAGGGGAATACTGAGGAGGAGGTGAACCTGACGCACCGCCAGGTTGGGGAGCATCCTGCGGAGGAGGAGAGGGCGGGTGGTGTTCTCTGCAGGAGGCGTATCATTTGGAGGGTGGTTACCACCAGGTTGAGCATCCTGAGGAGGAGATGAGGGCGGGGTGGTGTTCTCTGTGTTCTCTGCGGGAGGCGTGTCATTTGGAGGGGTGTTACCATCAGGCTGAGTATCCTGAGTATCCTGAGGAGGAGATGAGGGCGGGGTGGTGTTCTCTGTGTTCTCTGCAGGAGGCGCATCATTTGGAGGGCTGTTACCACCCGGTGGTGTGCCATAGCTGGGACAGATTTTCTGATGATCCAGTGGCACCGAGATGTCGTGCATCTGCGCCGGGGCTTCGATGAGAGTGCCTGTCAACCCCTTGGTGACGTGCCATTCGATATGGCAGTGGATGAGCCAAACTCGTAGTTCAGGTCAGTATGCATCATCTTCATTGGAGTAAAAGAAAACTTATCTGGGTTATCAGCGCGGAAGCGAAGCACCGCGTGGCCATGGTTCTGCACCATGATGGTATCCCGCTTCACAGGCGTCGAAGAGATATTGGCAAAGTAGCCGTTAAAGTACCCGCCCTCTGGGATCGTGCGCTGCAGGACCTGAAACTGATGGCCGTGCATGTGCCAGGGGTGTAGGTTGCCGTGGTGGTTATTGATAATGATCTCCACGACCTCGCCGTATTGGACCACGAAGGGATTTACTTGGCCATATATCGACTCATCGGAAGACTTCTCTGGGCTTGCCGCCAGCGCGGTGTACATTGTGGGCTCCTCCGGATCGACGTATGCCTGTCCATTGATGGTGTACAGGCTGCGGCCGTCGAGTTCAGTCACGCTGGTGTTGAAGATGATTTGGCGGTCGACCTTGTCGAGGAGAGGCTCATGGTTTGCTGGCACGTAGACGAGATCGTCGACAAAGTCGTTGTTGGGGTCGAGTTCGTGGATGTCTGGTGCCGGAGGAAGCTCCTTCGCTTCGTCATAGACCAGCCATGCCGTCGTGTTAGGGTTGAACCCCTCAGGGATAGCGTGATTCTCATAGATGAACATCATGTTGACGTCCATCGAGTCCCAGATGGCATAGTTCCTGTCGGTGTTGTCCTTGGTCTTGAGAAGGATGCTCATGCGTTGGCCTGTGGCCAGCCGAATCTTCTTGCCTCCCGCAGGGTACGCATCCACCCAGGTGCCGTCCACCTCAACGACACTGATCTCGTGGTCATCAAAGACAATAACGTGGCCGGGCCAGTTGCCCACGCAAATCAGATGGATGAGGTACGTCTTGTTGGGCTCCACACGGAGAGTGGTGGAGTCAACAGCCTCGTTAATCAGAGCTGCCGCTGGCAAGGGTTCATTGATGCCTGCCTGGGTGCCTACGCTTTGGGCCTCGTACTGCTGCAGAAGAACAGACATTTGCTCGTGGTAATGGTCGGTCAGAGTCAGGGTAAACTCGTCGTCGTAGGCAAATGGCGGCGAGGGATCCCGCACGATGAACGGACCCCGCAGTCCGTCGGGATACTGGCCCATTTCGTGCGAGTGATACCAATAAGTGCCGGTTTGGTTGGCCTTTTCTCATCAGTATAAAACAGTAACAATCGTCATGGCGGGGGCCGAGACTTACATCGAATTCATAGCGCATGCTGCTTCCCGGAGGCAACGCACACTGCGTCACCTGGTTTGAGCCATCCATAGTTCCTGTCATGTATTGACGGAAGCCATGCCAGTGAATTCCCGTCGACTGATTCCCCAGACCATTGTGCACATCGACAATGAGGTGGTCGCCCAGGTCGGCATTGACAATCGGACAGGGCCACTCGTTGTTGATCCCTATCATAGGACGGCCAAAGCCATCGGGCGCTGCCCAGACCCAGGTGATGTTCCAATCGAGATGGATATCCTTGGCCGTGGTGAAGCCGACGAGCCAGGAGAGAAGGAGAGCCCTTGAATGGAACATGGTGTACTGCGGGCTATGTCGATGGCTGGTCGTGTGAGGAGAGACTTCTACTGAACCCATCGAGACGATATGGGGAAGCTAATAAAGTTATTTCGAGGTCAATGAACACGGAAAATTGTAAACAAAAACAACTATGGACTAACACTGAGATCGGAGTAGTACGATGCAAGGGGGCTTAGACGAGGAATGCAAGGGGCCAGGACATCCGAATGCAGTAATCTTTGGGGTCTTTGGATGCGAGAACCCAATGATCATGACTCTCCCATGTACGGAGTAGAAAGAAGGGATAGGACGAGTGCAATTCCCCTGTTGATTATTCCTTGATGCAAGCGGAATGCCCTGATCAGTATGAGATCAACAAAGGATATATGCGCCACATTATAACCTATCGGAGTCAAATTCTATCTTCATCTACATTCCCAGACTCTAGAAATGACGTATGAGGTAAACAAATATTGAATATTATGCAATGAATCTATGTACCGAAGATTCATAAGGGTATCCGCTCCTGGCAATCACTTAGGAGTAATCATGTTTGCATGCACCTCGGGCCACACATCCACTCCGTCCATCAGAATCAGTCCCATTCCCGACTGCAGATGAGTTGTCATATGGCAGTGCAACAGGAACGGACCCGGATTCTCGACATGGTACCGGATAGCAGTCCACGTCTCTCCACGCGGCGAGGTAGTAAACGTATCTCTGTAGATCGGCGTCTTTAAGAAACTCTGCGGGCTCGCCTCCTTGGCTTCTTTGATCGATGTCCAGTTGAACTTGCCCTGGCCCGTTCCCAGGAGGAAGCCTTTATTGGAATGCTTGTGCAGAGGGTGAGGAGGCTGGACTGGGGTAATTTCGCCGACAACCAGCTGGAAGACAATGTCAACCCAAGTATTGTTGCGGGTCGTGATCTTGAGCGCGTCCGCAAACTCGGGCGCTTCAGGACTCAGAATGGCTGGCGGCGATGCAGCAAGGTTGTTAGGCAGGAAGGTTGCTCCGTCCAGCGACCACTCCCAAGAGGAGTTGGTGCGGCCGAGCCTCAGGATGTGGAAGTCATCCGGCTCGGAAGCAGGACTGATGGCCGGGTACGGAGGCAGATTGTTTGTATTCAGCGCAATGACCTCGGCGCTGGTGTTACGGCTTCCGTAGTCAATGTACGGCTGGGATGGGCGCTGACTGGTCTGGCCGCCCTCGTAGGTCACTGTCGCAAATCCGGAGACTATCTGGTTGCCGGCGTCGTTTGCCGCGCGCATCTTGTAGTTGGCCGGTTCCTTGTCCAGCTTGACCATGACCGAGTACCGCTCGCCGTTGTATAGCTTCACACTGTGCGCCAGCTGCGGCTCAATGTACCGGCCGTCCACCTCGTACACATACATGGGATGTTCGTCGATGGAAACGACCAGCACCTTGAGACTGGCTGCACTGATGAAGTGGAAACTTGCCCATTGGTGTCTGGCATCCACTGTGAAGATTGTCTCCTGCGTGGTGCTTGGATGGCAGCCCTCATTCATGCCGGGTGGGACCTTGTCAGGGTGATGTTCCCAGTCGCCTTGGATGGGAAGCACAAATGGCAGGCATCTTTTGCAGTCAGCATTATATCGGATCTGTGATATGCAATGGATTGACCCACCCCTTGTCAGTCAACGTGCTGTTGATGATGGCCATTGCCGGTGGCGGGACCATCTTGGTCATTTCCTCGGGGTCATGGCAGAACACCGAGCCGCGGCCGTTGATGAGAACGCTATCGGAGCAGCTGATATGGTCAGTTATATCCGGAGGAATGAGGCTTGTCAGACACACAAGATATCGTATCCGGTCTCCTCCAATGCCTTCATGTACTCTTTGCCGGTCAGATGATCCCAGTCTGACAGCATGACCAGTTTGCCGTTGCGCTCGGCTTGTTTCATGGCCTGAATATCGGCCGGATCGTTGGAGATCATTGAAAATGGGGAATCTCTGTTAGGTGAAGGTCTAATCTCTCGTTAATATAAGTCTTGTCTTGCCTTGTGTTGAGATCTCACCTGATATGAACCGGTCCGTATAGTCCGTCCATAATTTCAGCCTTATCATGAGCATGGTACCTGAGACGTTAGCTTTGAAGATACGGGTTTAGAGATAAGCTCACCAATAAGTCCCATAAGTCTCTGCTCGCCACTGGTAAGTGTAGGATTGGCCGGGCTGAATCGCCCATTGGGAGAGGCCAGCAACTCCGTCAGCCCACGGGGTGTTCTTCTGTCTATATCACGTCAGAAAAGTCATCCCCTGGCAGCGAAGTACTTACTCAATGCCGTGAAAGTGAATGGATGTGTTGAATGGCAAGTGGTTGGTGACATCAATCTACCAAATCAGTATGCCTGCTCTTTAGATGCTGCAATGCTGCCTATTACTTACAATCGCCTCGTCGCCCTCGTTGAGAATAATCGCGGGACCGGGAAACTGACCATTGACAAAGATCATCTCCCGGCTGACACCATTCGGACTGCCAGTTTCCCATGTCAAGTCAAGGGAATAGTGCACCGTGGCTGCTTGGGCGATCACAGCGACACCCAGCAAGGAAGCTGATTGATACCATATCATTTTGTCGACGATGAATAAACTGAAGACAAACAAGACAACCGAGACATCTGCTCAAGCTGATCCATCTTTTTATGATACAATTCAACAATATGACACATACTTCCCGTTTCCAAGGCAATGTCTGAAAACAGACTGCCAATCACGACGTTATTGCGAGCAGCGCCGGCAGACCCCCTACATTCTCCCCCTTACATAAGGTACAATCAAATGTCCCAGAGTACATACGCTGTGGGAAGGGATCATCGATGCCAGATCTGCTATTGTATTGTTGTTATTATTGAAAGTTCTGATTCTCTCAGCCTCCGTTGATCATCGGGGACGTTCCCGGCAGATTGTCCACCCCTTGGCAGGCTGGGGCTGATTATCTTGGACTCCGTATTATTCTAGAATCTAGGGCAAGTGATCTTCCGTTCTCGATTGTGACTGTGAGACATGAGCGATAGACTGATTATCCGCAAGCTTCGAAGTCCAGCCGAAAGCTTGAGTGGTCAAATTCATGGCGAGGCCAGCTTCTGATGTATACGGTCTGTGACTCAGAATTCAAATCTACAGTAAAGCACTGGCTGTGGTTATGATCACTAAATATATCATAGTGGAACTGTAATTGAATGCAATATATGAGGATGGTATGAATGAGTTCATGCGACCTTATGGCCGCTGAATATATATATATCCTCTCAGCGGTAACTTTAGCATAATGTACATCAGATAGGAACAACCTCTCATATTAAACTCATTTACTAGGCCCACTTGTCCTGTTGCATATTTAGAAACAATTCAGAAACAGACGGCAACTCTAAAAAAATAGACTCTGAGTTAATGTTGTCAATTTCAGATGCGTTCGGTTGTGGTGACATCAGGAGTATATCATTCTAGAGCTATTGCCACTGCCACACATAAAATGCGCCTCAACGACCATGCGTTATTTTTCAAATACTCCCAAACATAACAAAAAGCTGTTAGTTCAAGCGTATTGAAATTCCGATATCAACATGAGCGAACCCATAGACGGCGACAGTACGTATGGCTCCTACGACGCCCAAGCATCTACCAACTATGGTGTCCGGGGAACCAGACAGCTCAAGAACAGAAACAACATAAACAAACCCATAAGAAAAGAATACTATGCATCCGGAATCAACGACATCGGCTGGTGGTACGACTACGACTACAAATCACCTGGTCTTGGCCTGGGAGACTATACAACTTCCGCCACGGACGCACCGGTCGAGAGATCCACGGCTGAAGCTTCTCAGGATAGGAGCGAGAAATAGAAGTCTCAATGCGATATAGCTGGAACAGGTTCAACATAGGGAGAGAAGCAGAAGGATGTATATTTAGGCATGTACATGCTACCTATGCGGCTAGAATTGATTGTATACGAGTATATATTCAGCCCAGACGACTTCAATGCTATTCAACTAACAGAGCGAGAAAAGAAGCGGACTATAAACGAGACGCATGGATAAGTCGTATCATATAAACAACCATTATTAAGCTAAACGAAAACAACACGAGCCCGGCAGCCTGCAGCCAATGACTCATATCATCCCGCCCAAGTCTAATCCGTAGCATCATATTTCCCTTTCCCTCCTGACATCAAAGAATCTACAATGACAAATGACAATGTCCATCCAAATCAGAGAAGCCACTCAGGATGACATCTCCCAAATCCACACTATCTACAGCTTCTACGTGCGCAAGTCAGTCGCCACATTCCTTCGACATCCTCCTCCCCTTGAATCCCTTATCTCCTCTTTCCGAGACATTCAATCCCGCGGATTACCCTATCGCGTTGCGATCGACACAACCGGCAAAGTCCTAGGGTACGGCTACCTCGCCCCGTTTAACAGCACACGGATGTCCTACGCGCCGACAGTCGAGGTATCTCTGTACGTCCACCCGGAATATACATCGAAAGGCGTGGGGAGCCGTCTACTTTTGTCTATTCTGGAGTCTGTCGAGTCGGAAGAAGGAGTTTGGCACCGTGCCTGCGAACATAAGGAGTACGAAACGCACGTAGAGCTCATTCCAGAGGGCGAGGGCCGAGTGCGTAGTATCATCGCCTGTATGTCGGTTGACACTACCGGGAAGGAGAATGGCGAGGGTTTGCGAAGGTGGTATGAACAACGTGGGTTTGTGGAGAGAGGGCGACTGAAGAATGTGGGATTTAAGAAGGGACGATGGTATGATGACTTATGTATTTCTGCTAGCTTGTTTACTGACATGAGAAAAATTGATACGGTCTATCTGCAGTACAGTGTTTGTCGTGATGGTAACCGCTGAGACTTATTGTCAATATGCTGTTGATTAGATCATCTGGAGTCATACCTGATTATTTATACAGGATCTAGCCCATCACTTGAGGGATTCAACTTGAAATTCAACTCATATCAAGGTGACTGAGGAAGACGTTCCTCAGTGTTGGTGGGGAGAAGATGAGAATGATAAGAGGGCGATGAGATGAGAGAGGAAGAAGTGAAAGGCTGGTGGTATCACACATAAAAAGCCGCGAGTAAAGAAGAGTGAATGTAGGATATTCACAGAATTAAGTCACATCACCTTTTTTTGAGGCATATTCCAGAATTCACTATTGTATAGGGTGATCCTGTTCGAATCTAGAGAGCTCTGGCTCTTATCACTTTCAGAGACGGCAAGGCAAAGCAGAATGATCCAGTGTCTCTACAAGTCAGTCAACGTTCATGGGTACTACCTGTTTCTACTCTACTATATATCCCGACGGCCTATAGCAGTCGGTAGCTCTGCAGGATTGAGTAGTTTGGCGCCCTTTATATGATATCCTAGTATGCTATTTCATTATACTGAGCCTGCATAGCCTTGCTTGCAAAAAGAGTGTTGCCTTTCACAGCATACATTGCGTCTGTGTATTTCAACTAAGTGATCTGATTAATGTAGCTCTGGATATCCTTGATCTTTATTATTATAGTAATATTCTTTTTTTAATGCCTGTATTTACCAGCGCATAATTCAGCTTCACACAGTTCATAAATATTATTTTACTTGTTCTCATGGCTGGCGCGCACAAGGTTAACATAGAAGACAGCCTTGAAGGGAGCAGAGTAAAGTAGCTAGTGTTATTAATGTTAAAAGTCAGCCCAGGGCATATGCCAGTAGCTGCTAAACTAGGACAGTCAGGTTCTTTCTGATAGCCAGGGTATGGCATATGTTCTGTTGTAGATAAAAGGCAAATCCAATGCAGTGCCTCCCTGTTTCTGCCTCCCGCTCGGGGAACAGCTAAAGGGACGGTGGCGTTGTTTGATTGTTCAAATGAGCTTATGCCGCCGATCATCGCGGTGGACGTGGGTCTGGGAGATGGATATTCTCACTTTGGATATCTGCCACGTTCATGGTTGCTGGATTGGTTTGTATGGTCATGACTGTGTTTACCTTTATTATTTATCAAGAATACTAGGTTAGCGCTACTGGGACAACTAAAAGTAGTAGAAACACAAGGGAATAGCTAATATCTAAGATTCCAGAAAAAATGCCTTGTCTACTTCCTCGCAGTAGAGGTCGTCTCGTCATTCTCCAGCTGCAACTTGCGTTCCCAGTCTCTAAACGCGCCTTTATTTACGACTCGAAGCAGATCAGCTGTGTCCATCCGTTCCCGGTGCTCCCCCATCATCTTCACTGGGACTTTTTTCTTCAAGTCGGCGCCATACGGAATGAGCAGGTCTACTGCTTCTTGCGATGCGCTGATAATGGCATAATGCAGTGGTGTCCATCCCCAATCATCTACCGCTTGAGCGTCAGCTCCATGTTGAAGAAGTATCTTTATCCGGCTCGGCTTCCCGCTCTTCGACGCAAGATGCAGTGGGGTGACATTCTCCATCGCACGAACATCAACTGAAGCCCCGTACTGTAGGAGAAGCCGTATAGCATCGTCTACTTTCTCTGGGTAGTAGGTGCTTTCTCTCGGGTCTTTCATATCACAGACAGGGCTTAAGACGAATTGAGTGACATTGAACTCCTTTTTAAGATACCAAGGTAACCAGCGCTCAACGCTACGCTGCACCCATTCATCATTGCAGGCGGTATGCAATGGTCTCTTGCCTTCTGTGGTTTGAATGTTCGGGTCCAGTCCCATCTGTATCAGGGCTTCCATTGCTTTGATATGTGCGCATCTAGCCGCTAAATGGAGTGCTGTTTGCCCATTACCTGATTCCCCGTCGAGATGCGCCCCGTTTTGCACAAGCAGCATAATTGTCGCACCAATCTCGTAACTAGGGTGACCACCCCCAAGATCAACGCGTGGAGTGGGCTATCGCCGCGCGCGTCAGTTACTCTGACATTCCCGCCTAGATCCAGTGCGAGCTGGATACTCTCCGCGTTTCCGGAACGGCAGGCTAAATGGAATGGGGTGGTCTCGTTGATAGCAGCGTTGATACCCCCGTACTGCGCAACAAGAGATTGGAATGCATTCCCGTGACCGTGCTTTGCGGCTGCATGAAGAAGCAGATGCGCATGGCTCTCATGGTCTAGGACGCCATCTCCGTCCATTCTATCCAGCATCCTCTCAATGATCCCTTCAGGAGCGAACGTCATTGCAAAAGCAAAAGCTTTAGCCTCCAGGGGTGCTCCGTTGTCGAAAAGGAGGGTCATTATTTGGATATCTTTCCTTTCAACGGCAGAAGAGAGGCAACTGCACAGCTGGTCTTTCCGGCTGGCAAATACGCCAAGAGCCAGTAGGTCACTCAGCACTGCAATGTTTCCTTGGTCAGTAGCCATAGATAGAATCTCAATCTCGTCCCAGCCGCGCCAGGCCGGATCGAGTTTCTTGGTGGACGCCAGGATCTTCTGCATTGATGAGAGATCACCAGTGAGAGCGGCTCTCTCGATAGCGTCGTGAGCGTTGAAAGTTCCATACCGGAGCTTGCTAGCGAGGGAGTGAGTCCAGCTTTTCAAGGCGCGTTTGTTTTTAGGTGCTGAGCTAGTGGTGGTGTCTGTTTTGTCTGTTTCGAGCTGTTGCGAGCTGTCGGAAAGGCGGCGAGTCAAGTCTGAAGGAGGTCTGAGAGATGGACTGCCATTGCGATTCCTGATGGTCATTATACTCTCGTCCCCGCCGTTGGTTGCATGCCCATCTTGTTCAATGTGTCGGGCATAGCTAACCGCTTGACCGGCCTCGTCTGGGATTGAGTCGACATTGACTCGACCAGCCTTGACGGCATTCAGTAGCCATTGTTGGATATATTCCCTCTGCTCGGATACAATACTCGGAGATAACCCGGCCTTGACCAAGTCCGAACATATATCACTCCAACTTTCCACATCGGAAAGCGAAGCTCGAGACAGCTGACTCGAAAGAGAAGACAAGTTCTCATCGCCGCTATTGAGCATCTCTATTACTTCATCCAGCCTTTGAGTTAAGTCGTTCATGGAACGCCTATCGAACCATACCGTCAGCGAACCCGGTACCGAGTAAGATTATGGGTTTGCGTGAAAGTGTTCACCATCAGGGAGCCAATTATACCTTGTCAGATCCTGATTTAGAGTGCTTATTAGTTCAATACTACCTTGGAGGTCCGCTTTGAGAGTCTCCATCCCGTAGAATTCCTCCCGGGAGCTGTTGCTGTTCCAGTGCGCTCGACCCCTCTGCGGAGTATTCCGGTAAATGTCGATCACGGATTGGAAGGATCGGAGCGTTCGGCAGCACTTGCTCAAGACCTCCATAATTTTGTCCGTGTTGTCAGTTGAAAATGTGTCAGTTTCGAGTCGATCCTTAAGGCTGCGGACGCCGATAAACAGACGGGAGACATCCGTTGCGGCGTCAGCGAAGGCGGCCGCTTGTGACTGTTCGCATAATTGGTAGACTTGCCATGCGAGATCTGGGACGTCTGCGAAGCCTAGAGATTTGGGTTAAAGACTGAGTGTTGCATTTGAGGAAAAGAACTTACGGGGTCCTGTGCTTCTCGGCAATAGGTTACCGTGGCTTATCACCCCAGGATCCAGTTGTTGTAGCAGGATGCTAGATAGATCAACGCCACCCTGGGAGGCTAAATTCTTCATAGGTACATCTATATAGAGGCACAACAGAAATCAGAAGAGTCCGCGTTGGATAATAACAGACGATACGCATTTTTTTTTTTTTTTTTTTCTTTTTTGCCAATGATTGCAGACATTGTAATAAGGGACAACGTTGGCAGCCTGATCCCTACCGGCGGGTTGGGGAAAACATATCCCATTGTCGGTTTCGATCTCAGCTACTTACCGGATCTTGCAATCTGCCCGGCCTTCGGGACTAGGGCATCTGCACAGAGCATTTGCAGGTTCCGTTCCACCTTTCGATAGTTATCCTTATCTGCCTGGACGGTCATGTCGAAGCGGCATATGTTGCTGTGATCTGCGTTAATCCGAAGCTGCGTCTCGCGTTTACCAGGGAGTCCCAGAACAGCAGAGTCGAAGGGTACAATCTAGAAGAAATGTCAACATTATGACCGGGGAGCTCACAAATGGGGGCCCACATACATCACCAACTCCCTCATAGCACGAGAGAATCTTGTATTGTTCCAGCTGGTGTCGGAAGGACTCAGTGAGCAGGTCCGAGAATAGTGTTCCGCCTTCTAAGATCTCTATGATCTTGGATGTTTGATTCAAGGGCATCGACCGGGCAATCCTGGCACAAGCCATGCCGAGCCCAATCTGCATGTTCCTCGAAGGTCCCGAGTGCGGCGTACCGAAGAAGACCAATGCGGAGCTAGTCAGGAGTCAGCTTAAAAGCTTGCATAAAACAAAGGGCTGCTGTACGTCGCTTCCTTGATGCCCCTATATTTCTCGTTGGCCCATGCATTGACGAGAGCCTGTGAGACGAATGTCAGCTAAACACCTTGCTCTATTGTGATCCCCAGTGTGAGCGGATTATCACTCTACCTGCTTGATCAGAATTCCACCTAAACTGTGCCCGATCAAAATAAGCGGAGTGCTGCCATCCTGGACACTCCCGTCAGAAGGGACTGTCCATAAATATTCGGTTCAAGTATACGAAGGCTCCCACCATCTGCCATCGCTCGCCATATATTTCGTCCAGCAACTGATTCGCCTCTCTCACGAAGCTATCCTTAGCGGCGCCAAATACGGGACTCGAATTATATTCATATAAGTAGATACGGGCATTAGGCTGGGCCTTTGGAAAAGAGTCTCTAAGCCACAGACACCCTGCGTCATCGAGTGGCTTGCGCCAGGTATTGAATGCATGATCAGTGGAGTTTATGGGATTAAGACCATGAACCGCAACGATACTACAGCGACCGCAATATCAGCTTAAGCTTGGGACGAGTTAAATTTGGGGTTCATTACTCTATTGCAGGTGTTCCGTTGCCGTGTGGGCCGGTGCCCGGAGCAAGCAAGCGGAGGGACTATCGTTGAGCAAACTCAGTGAGTATACTTGTGGGATATAAGCGCAAGAGGATATAATTAACATAGATATACCATGATAAGTAAGTCTCACGATGTTGAAAGTATGGGATAGCAGGGCGCGTCTTACCCCGGAGGAGAGAAGGGATGGATTTCAGGTTGGATTCAGAGCGGGCATCAGATGGTTAAGAAAACTCGCTCACCACTGGGCACAATTTAACTAATGCAAGATGTCAGGGCGCACATGATTGCATTAGGGGTCACCAATTATAGCTATCACCACACTACTGCAACGCTTGACCGGGGTGGAAGTCCTTGGCGCCGTACATGACTCCTGAAAAGGTTCTCTGGAAGATAATGGCGATAGCTAGTGAGTCCATCCAAAACCACTAACCAATACGGGCGGCCGGGGAACATGGGGAGGAGGGGGGTTTCTAGTCGTACATGCTAATCACTCTCCTGTCAGTTCTGGGCAAGGGCTTTGAGCGTTTAATAACTCGAAACATACCACGGCCTTTGAATACACACACATACACACAAAGTATTTGCCTGTTACATTAGATTCAGGTTGGAATAAGCACAAACAACCATAGGGTGCGGGAAACGGGGCTTCCCGGCCGCTCAGCCGTACTTAAGCCACATGGAACCGCACGGTCAAATCTCCAAAAGTCCTAGGCTCCAGTTTTTCTCTGAAGCCAAGACGTAAGGCTAGGTGTGGGTGATATGGGTGCAATCTCTAATATCTCAAGCACATGACATCGCATGATCATGATTGACAAGGACACTGACTGGTGGAGGAACACCATCGCCTGGCGGCTTCCCATGAATACATCATAGATTACCAGAATGAGCAGGAATCCCAGGAAATACTCTATGTCTTAAGGAGCTGGCGCCTGCGACGTACAACAAACATGATGACCAGGCGGCCAAAAGCAGGACACTGTACGTCCAACCCTAACTTATCTTTTATATAACAAGCAACCCAAAGGATGCAAGCAGAGATGGAACTCAACTTGATGCTGAACACAGTTCTGGCCTATCTGATACCTGGAGGCATGTTTATCAGTTAATGCGGTGTCGCGACAAGGAAGAGTGCTAAAAATGCTATGAGTATGGCCTTGACGCATATGCTTCTTTTGTGCTCTATGATCTATGATCATGGATATGTGCATACAATCACAGGAAGGATGACTGGTTGGTCAGGTGAGGTAGCCTTGCAGGATGTGAGGCTGATTGTCCCTCTTCCTCCCCCAACCCGAGACATCCTCAATTTACTCCCTATACGCCTTTTAAATTACTTCGACAGATGAATTGTTCACTTCTAGGCTTAAACTCCTCTAGTTCTCCTGATGGCGATGATGGCTTCCCTCGCGCCTGATGAGTACACCATTGCGTGGTCTGCGCCTTGCCTCTGGAGGCGGCAGCGGCCCGCGCCATGCTCAACAAGACCCACAACCCACCTCGACAATCTACTACTGATCCCAAGGCCTATGAATTTGGTGGACTAAGCGGGCATTACATAGTCATTGCCTACCTACCAGCTGGCATGTATGGAACTGTGTCTGCTGCGGCTGTCGTATCTTACATGTGTTTAACATTCCCTCAGCTTCAGTTTGGACTGATGGAGAATTAGAGGGGGTGTCCCAGGGAAATATAATGACATTTGATTAGGCGATGTAGTTGTCAGCAAACCAGGCTCAAATCACAGTAGGGTAATATAGTATGACTATAGCAAAGCAGTTGAAGGTGGAAAATTAGAGCCAACAGGCACCTCAACCAAACCACCACAGACGCTTTTAACACATATAAGTCAACTTGCGGCAAGACAGATGATTAGAGGGAGGATGCCGTTTCAAAAACAGTGTGGGAAGTACTAGAACAAAACCCCAAATTAAAAGATAGATTTTCACTCCCAAAAAAGCATACAGAGTTTCTTTTCTGTTCTCATATCCCCATGTTGACAAGGAATATACTTGCGAAAAGTGCAATAAAGAGTAATTAGTTAAACAACCACTGCATGGCACAAGTTACTATATATCCACTATAGGTTGGTTGCCTCCGGGGATCAGGTGGTGAAGGACTTATTAAACGCCGTCTAGTATTAATATCAAATGCCATCTAGTATCGATGTCGAATGTCACCTAGTATTGATATTAAATGCCATCTAGTATTGTGGTGAGATGTAATCATTGTAAAAAAAACCAAAAGTTCCTTATGTACAAATAGTCGCCGTAGGAATAGCAGTATAGGGGAGTAAGAGAGAAGACTTACCTACTACTAGAGTTGCATAACCAAACCGCTAAAATCGAATCCGACCCTCACCGAACTCGCCGCGGTGAGGGTTCGGTTCCTAGCCTAGGGAATCACATAGTTTTGGTTTCCCTACCCCAAAACTCGAAACCATTTGGTTAGTCCGTTGGTTACAGTTTTTGGGGTTTTATCAGATTAGGTTAACCAAAGCTCACTGTTTCACTAATTTCTAGGATTTCTCTCAACCCTCCAAAAATGCCCAATGCGATACCTCCTCTAACCTGGTCAGCAAACAATATAGCCAAGAAATGAAAGAAGAAACAAACTCACCCTTCATCCCCTGCAACGCCTCCGCCGCAACCGCGTAATTCGCCAGGATCTTCGCAACAAGCTTGAGATTCTGCTGCAACTCATTCAGAAACCCCCTGAGCGACAGGCCCTTGGCAGACACCGAGTCCTCGGAACTATTGGCATGTTTAGCCCGCGCCTTGAGATACAGCATCAGCATCGCATAGCTCGCCTGCATTACGCAGCAGGCGAAGGTCGGCATCGCTCGAGGAACCTCTACACGGGAGGCAGTTGACAGATACGGAGGCAGGGTCAGGGGAATGGTATGGTCTGGATTCGGGTAGGGGAGGTTATCAACCAGGGTGACGATGTTTAGCGCAGACTGAAGACATATCTTGGATGATTCATGCGAGGAGAAAGGGAACGAAAGATCGGGAAGGTCAGATTTCATGATCGACGGAAGGGGGATATCTTCCGGGGGCGAGGGGATGGCGGATTCCCCAGGCTCGACGCCACAGCATTCGGGCTGGAGATCACAGTGGCGCTTGCGGAAAACGGGGACATCCGAGAAGGCGCAGAATCGATGGACCTTGATGCGAGCACTGAGATGGTCAGCAAAACAGACTATAAGAAAGCTGAGTGGCGTACCTATGTAGCTTGATCTCCGCAATCTGGTTGATGGTCCGTGAGGCGATCTTCTCCGGTGAGTCCAAGGGAGAAATCGTCGTGGACAAGGAGGACTGTCTGCAGAGAAGAAGAAGGACCGTGATTTGATGGTCTAGTTCTGTCATTCGGCTCGAGATCCAGGACGCTTTGAACCGAGATTTGACGGTCTGGTCGAGATCGTGGACAAACGTGGTGGCCTCGAGGATTGTCTGCTGCGCCTCAATGAGGAGTTTCCATCCCTGCAATCAACAGGATGAATTAACCAATCTTTAACGTATGATATGTGATCAAGAAGGAGTTCCCACCTCGGGATACGGCGTCACAAAGCGCGGATCGTACAAGTTGAATGCAGCCGGCTATGACGATCAGAAACTTGATCCTCGGAAGAATCAGGATAACCTACCATCCCGCTGGCTATCGAGCCTTGACAGACAGTCAAATACTACAATCGTTAGCCTGAGTCATATACTTCAAGAACAGTCACAGACAGTAATCCACCAAGCTCTCCGACGCGCCTCGGCGTACTCGTCGTCCTCGACCACCTCATGCAACGACATGCTCATCGCAGCTGTCAAGGCCTGGCCAGCCCGATTGCACATCTTCCTGATATTTCCACGTTGGGCATATTCATAAACACTCAGGAGTACAAGTGCCATAACAGCCTCGAGTGGCACTGGTACTTTCGGATGGAAGGGCTGCCGGGACATCATCGGGGCCCCATCGCTAAGCGCTCTGGACGGGTCAGACGAGGAGTCTAGTAACTCTAGATCCGCCTCTACTGCTTCGAGAGCCGACTGTGCAAGACTATGGGCCACGTTCCGTCGAAGCCGCGTATACTCCGGCGTTGACGGTTGCTTGATCCCGGGGTGCGGGATGAGAACGAGAATGGCAGAGATGGCCAAGCTTAGCGGACTGTACGGTCGGAATGGCGAATTTTCATTCAGTGGACGATTGTAGACCGGGAGCTGTTCCGGAGGAGGTAGGATAGGATAGTAGAGATGGATGAAGACGTAGTAAGCATCGAGTCTGACTGGTCAGTAGCTGTCGCGACGGATTATGGAGGTGGCGTACATGTCCTCATCGCTACCGTATACTTGCAACAGATCCGAGACAGACTCATCACCTTCAGAGAAAAGAGGATTCCCATTCTCGACCCCGAAGATATGGTCAAATATGTGTTCCATCTCGGCCACCGAGCTTTCGATGCTGCGTAGTCCTGCACCCGGTTTCCCTAGACTCATAAAATGATCAAGGAGGTCTGATCTGTTAGTGACTAGAAAGTCAGGCGTAACGTGACAAATGTACCATCCTCATTGTTTGAATTCCATATTCCCTCTGCACTAGGGGTTGACTCCTGCGGAATCTCATCCTTCCCATCTACAGTCCGTACTGTGGAGGATGACGACAGTCTGCTCTTGCTCTTGCGCTTGTTGCGAGGAACTCTCGCTCCCCCTCGCTTACTGGGAACATAGCAGCATGTTCTCTCCCGAGAGATGCAATTCGTGCATTTCTCCTGACCATCGCATCGGATCCGTGATGCGCGACTATATCAGTTATCAGCTGTCGCTCTACACAGGGGGTTAGGTGGATTACCACGCCAGACAAGCAACCTTGACCGGTGGACGGCGGGATGTTCGGCGTACGGGAGTGGTCATGGTGATTTGCGATGATCATTAGAAAGAGAAAGCAGATGCCGTTTGAAATTGCTGCGAGGTGTTTGCTCGAGGCAAAATTTGAAGAGATCCCGTGTGCAAACCCCGAGAGCAGACACCGAGCAAAACCCTTATGGCCGCATCTTATATTAGTATTGATAACTTAGGATCGTATGACGTGGGGAGAAATGGAAATCTGTTTTTTGGAGATTGATAAAACATTTTCTAGTATTGATTCGGAATCTGTAACTATAACATTTGGCTTACCATAGCCAGATAGGCAGTAACATGCAGACTTCCGACGCCAGTCTACATTATATCGACGGATAGAACAAATAAAAAGAGCGGAGAGTCTCAACAAACAACAATGTTCACTTCTCATCCTCAGTTTCCTGGCTCACGGCCGCCAAAGGCGCCGACAGTCCAACCCGGTCCACCGTACGAGTATACGCAACTCCCCCGTTCACGCGGTCTTCATGAACAACCAGATCCTTCCGGTTGGTGTCAACCAGCAAACGGATCAGGTCCGGACGCATGTAGTGACCACCCTGGGATACATTAGCTTCGTTCATTTATTCAGTGCCAGAACTTACAAAGTCAGCGAGTGCCTTGGGGAGATGGCATTCGTCCAGATCAATCTATCAAATTAGTTTCTCGAAGTCCACCAGGAACTGTTATGCTTACGTCGACAAACAGAAGGCCTTGAAAATCCTTGTCAGGATGCGCGACGAGATTCTGTCCGTCTGGACCAAAGATCCGACCATGGCCGTTGTAGATATGAGGGTCTTCCAGCTCCTTGCCTGGGGGCGTGTTGAGCTTGATTCCCTCGGCGGTGATGGTCTGCCATGGGGCCAGAGTGAAGGTGCCCGTTTCGATGGCATACGCGGGCGTGACCAGCTGGGCAGCAGTCAGTTGGGAGAAGGAATACCCAGAGTGAACATTGCTTACGTCTGCATTCGCCTCGGCCACATTCGTAAACGGATCCGGGTACTTCAGCGTCTCCTTGCCCGGATAGAGCGGCCAGGCGGCGACATGCACCTGTTCGCCCAGCGAGACTGCATACGCCTTCATGAACGGGTTCATGTTCTCCCAGCAATTCAGGTGGCCGACGCGGCCGATTTCCGTCTGCGTCACCGACTCGGTCGTGTCGCCGGTGCCATCGCCAAAGACCAAGCGCTCGACGTGGGTGGCCCGGATCTTGCGGCGGTGGTTGAGGATATCGCCGGTGGGAGAGATCAGGACCTGCGTAGTGTACAGACTTGCAAGGTCAACCTCGGAGTAGCCCAGGGAGACGTAGATCTTGTTGGTGCGGGCAGCGTTGCGGATGCGGCGCATCTCCTCCGAGTCCGAGGGGAGGCTGCTCTCCCTGTACTTCTTTAGCAGAGGCAGACTTTCCTGGTAATTGACCTTCCAGGCCCAATACGGGTAGCCAGGGATCCCTGTAGAGTTGGTAATCAGTACAGCCGAGAAATACGAAGAGGGTTACTTACATAGTTCAGGGAAAGCGATGAATTTGCAGCCCGCTTTGCCGGCTTCGTCAATCCAGTGGACGGTACGGCGGACAGACTCCTCGAGGTCGAACCAGCCTGGCTCAGCGTTGACTGCTGCGGCCTTGTACTTCTTCAAGATGGGTGCCATGGTGCGAAGTATATGATCCTGTTCTGGTAATTGTTTTTGGTCTTGTGGATTGATATGAAAGGAAAAGAGTCAAGTCTCGGCGCCTTTATATATGCGTTAATTGGACTCTACCATGTTCCTGAACCTGCATGATCACATCAGTCCATTCGGAGAACAACTCGTCGGTGTTTGCATGTTGCTCTCGAGTAACACAATGGAAGTATGCATCGTCTTCCTCGGGATCTGTATACGGTCCAGGATCATACGATTATCGCAATGAATGTAAGAGAAGCAGTCAGCAATATGGATCTGACCTGCATAGATACAGTAATCATGATTAGTGACGCGCCTTATCTGACACGATGTACACTCGGCGTATGCTTATTATCTTCAGATCCCGAGCAAAGACCAGGAATCCCAGGGAGAACTGGAGAAGCTTGCACCAGTCCTACCATGATGGTTTCATTGTACTACCTACACTCCGCTCAGTAGCATCATCTCACTCGGCTGCCTCTGATCAAAGCACGCCCCTTGAGATAGTATCCTCCCAATGCCACAACAACACTGGCCGCACCCCAGAGAAGCGAAGTGTTGCTGATCAACGTCTCCTCTTTCACCCGTCCAATATGCGTTTCTTTCTTCTTTGTAATCAAAGCCTTGCCGCTTCCTTCGGCAATATAATCATCCCACCGGACGCTGGAGAGTTCGTTCTGGTAATCAACGACCGTGCTGTGCCAGTTATTGGTGATGCGTCCATCCTCGGTCTTGTACCAGCTGCTGCAGTTAGGGTCGGCAAAGGAGCTTTTTCTCAGGGCTGCCTGGATATCCTCGTTGAACGTCTTCGCAACTTCAGGCTTAGGTCGCAGTGCCAGAGTGTGACCGACCCTCTGCGCCTGGAGTATCTGGCTGACCAGCGCGCTGATATACCTCGATTGAGCCTCGATCATCAAGATAATCGAGTTATGACCTGAGCCGTCAGCATATCTCCATGATTGAAAGTGAGTTACTAACCCAGATTAGTGTTTGGCCCATATAACATGGCGAAGTTAGGCAAGTCTTCTACTGTCACGCCGTAGTACGCCATCGCCCCCTCCTTCCAGATATCCGACAGACAGCGACCATTCGCCCCCTTAATCTGGATGGGATACATGAACTCGACCGTTCTGAACCCCGTCGCCGCAATAATGAGATCAAACTCCTCCATCTCGCCACCAGCAGTCTCGATCCCCGTTTCCGTAATCCGCTGAATGGGACGAGTTTCCAGGGCTACATGCTCCTTGCCCAATGTAGGGTAATAATCGTCCGAGATAATCACCCGTTTGCATCCAGGAGAGTAATCCGGCGTCAACACATCCCACAAATCCGGCCTATCGGGCAACTGTTCCCGCATGGTATCAAGACACGTCTGGCGGATCATATCCGAAAGCGCGGAATTCCTGTCAACGACGGCATCGAAGAACCACTCCCGGAAGTCCATCATGAGTGCGCGCTTCCGCCACCGGATGGGCGGGATATATGTCAGCAGAGCTCTTTGCACAGCTCCGACGGGTTTGTCAAGGCGCGGCACGATCCAGTTCGGGGTGCGCTGGTAGACGGAAACATGCGAGGCGGTTTTGGCGATTTCGGGGATGATCTGGGCGGCGGTTGCGCCTACCGCTATTACTAACTATTGCTGGAGAAGAATGTAGTAGACTCACCATTTCCAATAACAGCGATTCTCTTCCCCGTCCAGTCATAGCTCCAGTCCCACCGGGCGGAATGCATCAGTTTACCCTTGTAGTCTTCCAGTCCGGGGATATCAGGCATGCGGGGGACGTTCAGCTGTCCGACAGCCGAGACGAGAAAGTCGGTGGTGATTTCGTATGACTCGAGGTACTGGCTATCCTTTCCTCCGGAGACATTGACTTTAACCCTCCATTTGAGGTCGGCGTCATCCCAGCGTGCTTCCTCCACAGCGGAGTTGAACCGGATATGCCTGTACAGGCTGTACTTTTGCGCGACGCCAATCAGATAGTTCTGTCTCTGTCAGCTTGGACCTGATTCGTTGCACAATAACAATACCAATATCTCCTCTTGGCCTGGATATTCCCTAGTCCAGTCGGATTTCTGCTCAAACGAGTAACTGTACAGAGAACTCCAGATGTCGCAGCATGATCCCGGGTAGCGGTTATCGTTCCACGTTCCTCCCACCCTGCTACTCTTCTCCAAGATGATAAAATTGTGGCATTTGTTCCGTTTGATGAGGTCAATGGCCGTGCATAATCCTAGTCCTGTGTCAACAGCCGCACTTGAGTGCGTACAAGAGCGTAGTATGGTACAGACCCGAGATACCAGCTCCAATGATGACCACCGTCGAGCGGGTAAAGTCCTTATTCCCTACGTGCCTTCCTACATCTGGAGCCATCTTAGCAATTGAAGATGTTAATTTGAGGTCTGGTGGCTCACTACAAATTCATGCCAAAGCATTTATGTCAAGTACAAGGACCCCGCACGAGTCAGTCACCGGCAATGCACAGCTCTAACCTTTGTCAGTACCTCGGATGTGGACAATTACACAGTTATACTCCGTCAAGAGAGCATGCATGGAAATCCCCAGAGACAAAGCATAAATGGCACAAGCCGGGACGGAGAGCTCTGCATGCGGGGATTGCGGGGAATTAAGGTTACTCTTATCAAGCTGCCAGAGTTGATCCGACTACTTACTATCTGCCGAGGTATCATTCCCACGTTGTGAGATGTTGATTGGTACATTCTGCAGATCGTGGAGTGTGAATAGATTTGATGGGCTGACGGCAGAGGTATGGAGGGAGCTACTGTGTAGCGGTCAGTGGTACTGTGTTGGCGTGTCAGTAATCATGCTGCATGCTCAATTTGACGTGACTGACTATTAGGTACTTCCATTCGCTTTTCTAACGCAGATACCCTCGGTACATCATTACTTGCTGCTGCTGGTGTTGAGCTCGTATTTCTCTGGATGTGGATCCATCAACTCAATATATTCCTACCTCAATGGCCCGCAGACTCAACTTTCAGCACAAGCAACAAGGCGAGTACAAATTCCTCTGAAATAGCCACAGAAAATCCAGTCGTCAGTCATAGCACTGGCATCCCTAATGTAGCTCATAGTATAGCTAGTTTTAAGTCGTCCAGCTACTGATCTGACCGACAACAGCCCTATCTCATATAGCAAGGATTGAGCTAGTATGTCATCATAAGGCAAGATGGCCGAGTTGGTCTAAGGCGTGAGGTTAAGGTCCACCTTAATACCAAACTGTCAGAGTTTCCTCATCATCGTTTGATGGCGTGGGTTCGAATCCCACTCTTGTCATTTATTCATTTTTATGATTCTTATTCTATATTTTTGCTAATCTGTGTTTAGCTTAATTTCCAAACGTTCGAGAGTCTCAGCCATTTCAGTCTCTTCGCTATTTTCATGAGATTGGTCAATTTATTGGGCTCTGAACCCTAGCTAACCTTGCTGGAACCCTCAGTCGACTGTCTTCGCCCGCATATCTGGTACGCGCCGATGGTACGAGAATACTTGTATGATATCCTGCTCATCGCAGCAGTGTAGTTTGACAAATGCATATCGTGTATATTCAAAGAAAGTCTATATCCAAACCCAAGTCTAAACGTCCTCCCATCAATGAATCCGCAGACGCCATGATCTAATATAATTCTCGTGTAGTCATCATACGCTTCAAACATTAACCAAAACCAGATACCGTGTCGTGCACATGCCTTAGTTCGCAGTATTGGCGCAAGTAAAGCTACTGTTGGAGGAGTCGTCATGGATAGCCTTGCCGGAGACGTACAATCCCAGGCCACACTAACATTTCATTAGTTTCCACATTCTTAGATTAGAGTCCAGATCACTTACCATGGTGGCACCGATACCAACAATCAAGATGTTGATAATAGTCAAGCAGATCTTCCGAGGAGAGGAAAACCATCTACCCCAGTTGATGTGCAACCAGTACACGCCGGGGAGGCCGTAACTGAACCAACTGGCAAAGAGGGAGCTCTGTCTTGAATTAGTCTTTGATCCCAACAGGTCGAGGTTTATGACATACAATCAAGCTGACAATATTGGTGAAAGAAGGAATACCCTCGGCGATGATCCAGGCAATGATCCAGCAACTCAACCCGATGGCAATCCATGAGCCAACAGAGACAAGATCGCGCTTGTGCATGCGATCAGTCTTGCGGAAGATGCGGACATAGATGTATTTCAGTCCAACGTGGCCATTGACGACACCAGCTCCAACAATCTATCATATTGTAAGCCTTCGCACAGCAGACGATGAGGTGAAATTTGTACATACCGTAGGAATGGCAATACCGTAGGCAACCTTCTTCAGCAAAGGACCGGCTGAGCCCAGTGCGGGTGACACAACGTCGTTTCCAACGTAGTAATAGATGACGATGGCGGCCGTCACGTAGAGCGCAATCTCGAAAAACTGCAGCATGCACAAGGACTTGGTGAACTCCTTGGGGTCCTCCATTTCCGCAATGAGACCAAAGAACGCAACGTGGGCACAGTACGCAAAGACAATGTTGGTCACACCAGTGAAGGCGTGATAGAGGTTGGTCTCGGCGGTAATACTGATGTTAGCTCCTCCCTTGAACTGGACGGCGACGCCAATCATGGTGATCATCACCGCTGAGAAAATACTCAGGAAAGCTAGAGTTTGTCAGTAATCAGTCCGCGGAACAATTAAAGGCGCCCTTACATGCAAAGGAGATATATGTCAAGTTCTTGATCGTCCGGGGCAACGAGAGCACCATACAGATGAGCATACCAACGATGCTAAAGACGATCGAGCAGGTGCCGTGGTCGGTAATTGTGTTCATCATGACAGTAAAGGTGACAATATGACTGCCCATGATGAAGATCGAGAACAGAATCTGGCCCAGACCGAATAGCTCGCGACCGAATCGACCCATCAGGATTTCTCCGGCATCAGCAAGGTTGTGGATATGAGGATAGCATTGTCGGAATTGTCCAATCGTGTAGCCCGTGTATAGGGCAAGGATACCGAGGCCGACTATCAAGATGATCGCGCTGCGACAATTAGTGACGAGCGCGGATGCCGTCAAGCGTACACTTACGGGACGAGACCGAGAGCCGCCAGAGTTGCCGGCAAGGAGAGTACACCGAGAGAAACGGATTCAGCGATCATAACTAAGCAGGAGACGCGTCAGATTCACGTCGACGGGATCATTTTCCCATTCAGTAGCTTACACATTCCACATTGCCTGCACAAGTCCTCCGTCAGCTACCAACACCCTTGTCATAGACAGATCAGGACTGCAATACGTACCACCACTTGAGGGTCTTGTACTTGACTTCTGCATTTTGCTCGTCGCCGAAAGGATCAACGTAAGGGGTATTGTCGATTGGTTTCAAGTCGGCACCGTCATCAAGTGCCTTCTCTTGATCTTTCTGTTTGGCCTCAATGGGTTCCGATGGCGGGGGGACACCCTCCAACATCATTGTCTTCTTTCTTCTTTTGCTCCGGAATGGGCAGTGACGAGAATGAATTCTACCCAGCAACGGATGGAGGACGAGCTGTTTGACGAGTGAACGAGACGAAAGAGAGGAGGATGTGACTATGAGTGGCAGGTGAAAAAATTTCTAGACGTCAGCCAGGTGGGTCGTGGCAATGAATCTCGGTGTTGGTGTTGACTGAAGAACGCGGAGATAGCAGTTGACCGAGGAAATCGATTGGTAATTGCATTAGAAAACAACGAGATAAACAAATTCCAGAAGACATGGCAAAGTCCCCAGATGCCGGAGCACAATCGGCAGTAATGGACCGTGTTCGTGTGTCATGGCTGCTTTTTTCTCTGGCGTGGAAAGTGTCATCGTCTAGGTCAACTTCTTAATCTGTATGTAGCAACTCAAGCTCTGCTAAGGTACAGATCCTGCGGCTGTGGAGCTTATTTGTGACTAACAGTAATCGCCATCCAATCATCACTGAGGAATCTTCAGCAATTGAGTAACAAGAATGGCTCCACTTTCGCCTTCTGCCGCCGCAACCGAATGTAGCCGCTTTTTCCATGCACCCTATTGGCCCGTTATACTTCCCTCGGTTTAGTTCCTTTTTTGGAGGGCCACCTGGGAATTACTGTTATTAATACTGTGCTTTTTCCACCGGGATGCCAGAGATTTTAAGGCTTTGGGATCAATAATAGCTTAACGGAAATTCAGACGGCCGAAGAATGCCTAGAACTCCGGACTGCATTTGCAAAATGCAGACTTGCATCCACCGCCGATATGTTTCGCTTATCGGATGCTCATGGAAATGGTTTACCGATCAGCAAGTGCTCTGTTGGTTTGCTTGCTAGAAGTGTAATCCATATGCTTGCCACCTTCATCATCACTGCAGATCATCTCCAGTATGCCCTGATGAGAACAGTGATAAGCCTTTGCTCACTCAATCTTCCGCCCTCAGCTCTGGCACGAAGTTCCCTTTACATTGGCATGTATGGAACCCGGGCTTTGCAATTCTGCACAGTGCTTTGTAGATGGGGTTGCCTTTTCCTGTCGTCCCGTCATACGCGAGATATTGGCACCAACGTTCTTCCTATCCTGCTACTGCTGGGGTCTCGTCTGATGTCGTCAAGATGGATCCTGCAGTCAGGAATACATCTACCCCGTACTCCGCATCCCACGCTCAAGGAGGATCGTCCCACATAGGATTGTACGTAAGAGGTTGCGAGGATCATCAGTGTGGTTGGTTAGAGCGCATGACGATATTATCTCGGAATCAACGGAGAAGGTAGTTGGAGACGATGTGTCAAGGAATCTCGGAGAGTCAGGCTGTCAACTTTGCTGTACTGGAGAAGATGGATCTCACGACTACATCATATTGGAGTATGGCAAACCGAGCCCCTTTAGTTATACCGCTGCGTACAAATGAGGTTCCTGGCTTGCAGATTGTCCAAGATCTGTTGAGTGCTTCATACTTGAGCTTGAAGTGGTAAGTTCGCTACTTTAACTGGTCATGGTGCGACTATCGCAGAAGCCCGTTTGTAATGTCTGCCAGCGTAAGCTTCGCAGCCTGGGGGCCTTAGGCAGTCGATTAATCACCTGATGCTTATAGTCAGGTGACTCTGGCCTTTCTCACGTGTGAGAGATCATGTGACACCACATACTGAGGCATAAGGTGCAGTTTATGCAACCTCAGTCTTCTTCGATCCCTGCATTCTTGCAGATCAAATAATCGAGCCAATAAGAAGATCTAGAGAACGATAGGCTTTTGCAAGCCACTGCACTGCCCCATAAGGATCTTGAAATGTCAAATATAAGTGGTTGATAATTTGGGATGGTGGAGAACCCCGGTGTATCCGCCCGCAAAAACTTCGGCCTTCAGGGGCAGAACGCTCTGCTTCAATGTCGACCGCAAACTAGAGTCCATCTCATGGACATGGATCATGCATGATCGTTCTCTCTCCTATCTACTCCGTAATGCCGGAAGACTATGTTGTCGCCATAGTAGAATGCTGCCTGGGTCATATTCTCTTCGTCGTCTTCTGATCTTCCTTTTTGTGTTTATATTACCATGTGAAGGTGCTTTTGTACGGCATTCTCCATGTGAGACATCAGTCTTGAATCGCTCGTCGGACGTCAATCTCCACATTGACAGTATACGCGGTCGCATTCATAGCTCCCAAGATGCAAGAACATTGTCATTGACCCTGCTGGGTCTCTACAATGCATCACAGGTTACCTGTACCGACGTTCAATTGACGGAGGAGCATGACTTGCGCTTCCGAGTGCTCGGCTACCCAGTTGGCCGTCTAGATCGGATTCAAAAGCTGTGTTATTCCCCTCCAGTTCTTTGGAGGCTGTAAGTTTAGGGTCCTGAATCTCTCCGATTCTCTGCTGAACTGTCATCAGGCCGGACTCTCTACAAGTCTCCCAATGGGAGTTGACTTACTCCCTTGCATATAGTCATCGACTTCATACTCTTGCCGGGGAATTTGAATTCAGTCTACCTAATGGCACTAATATTGGCTGTACGGCTGCTCGGATCACTCCCGACATTGGGGCTGCTGCCTCGGCAGCCTTTACCTATCTTCCAGCCGCCATCATGCTCCTAGTGGGCATAGCTTCATGGTGCAGACACACCCAGCAGAGAAGACGCCCAGTGCTGGAGCACGGAACCACACCCGCACCTCAGGATTCAGTAAGAAAGATTGTGGTCGATGTGGCCGACTACGTGCGGTACCTCCAGTTCATTTTCCTGACCGGTTCCCTCACAATGCAATACCCAGGTTTCTACCAGCCTGTCGTCAGCCAACTGGCGTGGTCATCGCTGTTATTTTGGAGCGGACCCATCGATCACGGCTTCACGTATCCCGGGATAGAAGACGGAATTTACGCGACCAACGGTACTTGTGGACTGGAGTACATGGCGCAGAATCTCGGATTTCCCTCCATGTTGGATATCATGTTCGACGCTCTGATAAATCTGTGCATTGTCGTATCTGCAATCGTGGTTATATTGCTGGTGGGTTGGCTGATCAAGTGCAGATCGCGGCAGGGCGTATCACTCGATTCTGTCCTTGTGAAAATCCCAGAAGCATGCCGTAGCATTGTGGGCGTCACGCTTCTCTTCTTCAGCCTCCCTCTCTTGGCGTATCTGGCGTATCCATTTGTCCTCGTCGCTTACCTTCCCAGTTACCGCATTTGTCTGATGGTCTTGATGATTGGGGTCCTCGTTGGCTCGAATCTCTTCATCGCTCGCTATCAGACGAAACAGAAGCCCAGATCTGACCACAACTCGTCGAAGGCTTCCCCTCGGTTTGGGACCTCCATGGAATATATCGCCCATTATCTTCTTTACTGCCTTCCACTCATTCAGGGTCTAGCCATCGGCGGTCTGCAGCTCTGGGGCTGGGTGCAGCTGCTCCTGCTCGGCGGATGCGAATTGACCCTTCTCGCCCACCTCATTCTTCAGCGACGGACGAAATTCATGCTTTCGAAAAGTGCCTGGTGTACTGCTGTCCGCTTGTTGACGCTCATCTTGAGTGTTGCCTTTGTGTGCCCGTCTCGCGAAATAACAAGGCAATGGATCGGCTATTTCATCTTGGTTCTGCATGGTGTGGTGGTCGTGTTCGGCTTTTTGTTCATCTCACTCTGGCATATAGCACGGTTCGCCATTAAAGGACCCGATCGTAGGGTTGCCGGCGATCGATGGGTAGGATCAAGTACAGTTTTGGTTAGTCTCGAATCTGCCTTTCTATTTCAGTGAGCTGACTTGTGTCCAGCAGCATTTGAATCTAGCCGAGCTATCAAGCCCAAGCGACAAACGCCGGGGCCTAGACAGGAAAAGCCTAGGGGTCAACTCCTTCGATAGTATCTCCGATCGCTGCCGGCCAGGTTCCTCGCGCAGAATCTACAGAGGTTTTGAAAACCGTCCGGATATGCCGAACTCTCCTACTTTGCCAGAAGCAACAGTGCCATATTCACCAAACACTTCGACGTTTTACAGACCCCCACGATCTCTCAATGGCAGAGTCACTTCTTATGAGTACGAGAATGCCAACTCTGATTCCATCGGTCCAGTCATCCAGTCATCCGAGTCGGCGCAGACTGATTCCAACTCGTCGCAACATTCAAGCAACGCCTTTGACGAGCTGTTACGGTTGCCAAGCAAGTCGGGCGTCGACTATTCATTCCGTGAGTCGGATTTGTATTATGGTTGGCGTCATGGTGATTCAGGGCCGCAAGAGTCGTCGAATGAAAGCACGGACGAGGGCCAGTCGAGTCGACAGGCAGTCTTGAATTGGGAACGCAGTTCTATCGAACGGTTCAAACAGAAGAAGACAAAGGAGAAGGGGTTTCAAGTGATGAGACCACCGCGGCCGATGTGACTTCATTCTCGGACTGCAGCACCTTTTCCTCGAAGGCTCTCTATACCTATATCCATCGAAATGGCTGGTCGCGAATGTATTAACCATGGTGGAGCATTGTTGGCATCGTAGTCGCCATGACAAGTTGGTCGTCATTCCCTACTGCCAAATATCGCCAGGATCACTTTTAGGATGTCTTGCACAGGAACCCTCGTGTAGCACGATGACATTTCCCGATCAAGGTCGCTTTCAAAATGGACTGCATCGGGAATACCGACATCAACATACCACGAGCTGATAGTCCACTTCCATCCGGCTTCTTGCGGGCCAGATCATCCATTTGCGTGACCACGTCGGCGCCGTCGGTCACGCTCGGCCCAGAAAGACCCATTCTGTCAGTCTGGCAATCAGGGTTACGGTTAGGATGATCAGGCGGAAGTCCATATGCCCAGATTGATACAGATCAACCGCCCACCGCTTCGTATCCTCTCAGATGCGCGTGAAGGTAGGGGGTATTTGCTCCGTGCCCCCGAGTGACAGTCTGCCTGGACGGCGGACTCGTTGGTACAGAAGCGGTTATCAGACTACAGCTATCGAAAGCATATTGATCCCAGGCAGCCACGAGCACAGTTTGGATTCTCTTGCGCTTGCCAGCTCACTCGATAGATCGACGTATTGCCGGGTTCAACTTTGTGATTTTCGCAGATACGGACGCTAGGGCAACTCAGTATAATTTCTCTCAGGGCCACTGGCCCATTAAATGCATCGTGGCAGTGTGCAGAGTCTAATATACATAGAAGATAGTCGATTATGAACAATATATTTATCTCGAGTTTGTTGACCACTGTCCCAATGCCGAACATAATCCCCGCTCTATCCGGATAACATCCGGAGCGGATCCGGTCCCGAGTCTATATAAAGTGTAACCTCGGTCTTTTTCCCCGCGATCACCTCTTCAAACATCACATCTCAAACCCTCCCAAAATGTCAAACGGAACACCATACTTTCTACCCGCCGAAAAAGCCCAGGGTCTAGCAAACTACCCGCACGCCCGCTTCGCACCCACAACCGCACACCGCACCCTCTACGTCTCCGGCACCTCCTCCCGCCGCGGCGACGGCACCTGGGACGGCGTGACCGAACACGCAGACGGGACCTGGACACTTGACATTCGCGCCCAAACCGCCGCAGTACTCCGCAATATCGAGTGCATCATCCAAGGCGCGACGGACGGCCGCGGCGGGCTGCAGAATATCGTCGACGCGACGGTTTTCCTGATCGACCTGCCGGAGAATTACAGCGGGATGAATGAGGAGTGGAACAAGGTCTGGCCGGATCGGGCGAATGCGCCAGCTAGAACAACCATTGGGGTTAAGGAGCTGCCGAATCCGAGGTTATTGGTGGAGATTAAATGTACAGCTGTCGTGGAACTATGAGACCATGTATCTAGATCTTGACAGACTAGACGGAAGGGATATGCAACGTCCGCACATTAGTAAATACATCCCGGCTATAGTCGCCTCCCTCCCGTCCTGTACCCGACGCCTTCATCCCGCCGAACGGCGTGCCCAGTTCGCGTACCAGCCAGCAATTCACCCACACCATTCCTGCGTCCAGCCGCTCGCCCACCCGGCGCATGCGAGCTCCGTCTCGCGTGAGAAGGATACTAGATAGTCCGTACTGGCTATCGTTGGCGCGCGCGATTACCTCTTCCTCGGTATCGAACGAGCTGACGGTCACCACTGGGCCGAATATCTCGTCCTTCATGATTGGGCTGTCGTCCGGAACAGTCAGGATGGTTGGTTCGATCCAGTAGCCTCCGTCAGGCGTTTCCGGGGGCACCGAGCCGAGCTTGAAGCTGTCTGGGTACTGTGTGGCTAGGGAGAGATACGACCGGATCTTGCGGTAATGGGCGAGGGAGACGACGGCGCCGACGGTCCTCCCGAGGACGTAGTGCTCCTGGACATGGGCGACGAAGCGGGATAGGAAAGCGTCGTAGATGGATCTTTGGACGTAGATTCTTGAGCCACATAGGCAGATCTATAACATTAGTTTCATCAGAGCTCATTCGTTAGGGCGAGTGCTCCTACCTCTCCCTGATTCTCGAATGCAGCCCTTGCGGCTGTTGCAACAGCAGCATCAAGATCAACATCCTCGAAGACCAACGTAGGGTTCTTCCCGCCTAGTTCAAGCGAGACATGCTTCCCTATATCCTCAATGGTATCCCTCCGGATCTGAATGCCCGTCGCTGTCCCACCGGTGAACGAAACACCCCTGACACGGGGATGCCTGACCAAAGCCGATCCGGTTAGGTTACCGCCCCATAGACGAGATTCAGAACACCGGGCGGGAGTCCAGCATCTATAATAACCTTCCCAAGTACTACCCAGTGAGCGATACCCCAAAATCGCGACAGAGAACTTACAATACGCAGAAAGGCTAGTAACCTCGCTCGGCTTCGCAACAGCCGTACACCCAAAGGCCAGACACGGCGCGATCTTCCAGGTCAACAGGTACAACGGCATATTCCACGGCGAGATGAGTGCGAACACGCCAATCGGCGAGCGGTGCTCGTATGTCAGCACATTATCGTCCGTCCAGCGTGCAGCGGTCTTTTGTTCTTGGATGTATGCCGCGAAGTACCTGGTTTATTAGCTTCATTCTCGGCGTTTTCATACGGATATACCTGAAGTTAGAAATCGCGCGGTCAATCTCCACCCTTGCCCGCGCAAGAGTCTTCCCTTGGTCGATACTCTCCCATACAGCGAAGAGTCCACGGCGTTCTTCGATCAGCGTCGCGATGCGATTCAGGTGGGCGGCGCGCTTCGACGGGGGAGTCTGCGACCAGGATGCAAAGGCAGACTCCGCTGCTTGAACTGCGTTTTCGATGTCCTGGGCTGAGCTATTTGGGACGCGAGCGAATATCTGCCCAGTTTTCGGGTTGGAAGAGTCTAGCCATTCGTTGCTGGTGGAGGGTGTTTGGGCGCCATTGATGAGGTTCTGTAGTTGGAAGGGTTCAAAGGATGATTGTTGGAGGAGAGACTCGGCGGCTTCGATTGAAGCATAATCCCACGGTTGAATCATTGTCTATACTCGCCTATCCACTCTATTCAGGACACGTAGGTTATTGTACACATATAATATGCGGAAGTGTATCCGTCTCTCTACGGTGGGACTATCCTGATAAGATCCGTACCCCGCATTTTCAGTGGATCCGGGAGCGGATACGGAGATCGATCCGTGTAGGGCATCATATTCATTGGCCTTGAAGAAACTATGTGTCAGAAGTTCACTTGGGATCTGCAATACAACCGCATTCCCCGCATCGTCGACTGTCCTCATCCTGCTGCCACCTCTCAATGATTGGCTTCAGTTGTGTCCCGAGGTCTGAGCAGTGGAAGACCTCCTCGCGGATGATTGTAGGCGAGGAATGATTTCCCTTGGTACAGTACCATCGCAGTCGATCGAGAGATTCCGCCGGTCGTTGTCGTTCCATGACTAGACCGATGGTGTCTTTGTATCTGACGGGGTTGTGGGGTGTGTTTCCTACGTATGTCAGGATGATCGACTGGAATTTGGATTACGTACCTGGAAGAAGGAACATCTCGCCCTCTTTGATGGGGATATCGCGAAATGTATTGTTCTCTATAATCCGGAGAAGCATGTCGCCTTTGACTTGGTAGAACCATTCCTGCTTATTAGTCTAGCTCAGCTTATACTGTTGGAACATACTTCGGTTTCATTCACTAGAGCTGTCAGTCAGTCACAGTTCTTTCATAGCTAGAAGATCGTACCATGGTAGTCATTGCGTTCGTTGGGCCCTCCCACTGCCATCAGGATAAAGTCGTTCCCCTGATAGAGACAGTAGTTGTTGACTGGAGGTCGTAATTTGTCTTCATTTTCGGCCAGCCAGGTGGCCCAGGACAAGGGATTGAGGGCCGTCATGTTGATCTGGATGCTGATTGTCGTGCATGTCCGATGATGTCTACTTGGTATTTATTAATGCATCGGATGCTATCCGGATGAGATCCGTTTACGCCCCGCATATAATACGGATCGTACATGCCTGGGGGTAGATAATCTGTTCTCCAATTTAATTTGAGTCGCCATCGACAAGATATTCATCATAATCATAATAATTGACTGCCAATATCAAAATGGGAAGCTGCTGTACAAACCACCGTCTCCTCCGCATCGACATGCACACCCATATTATGCCCCCTCCTTGCCCGACCTCTCCTCATATCCCTCCAACACTCCTCCCCCGTCATCCTCATCCTCAGATTCATCCGCCGCATCAGCCTCAGAATCACCATGGCTCACCCTCCGGCCGAACCCCACCAACCCAGACGAAGTAGACATGTACATAGGCGACCGCTTCTTCCGCACCGTCGAGAAAAACTGCTACGACACAGCAACAAGACTAGCCGAGATGGACGCCGCAGGAACAGACGTGCAAGTCCTCAGCACGATCCCCATCCTCTTCTTCTACGACCAGCCCTCCGCCCCCGTGACCGTCCTCGCTAGACATCTAAACAACCACATCGCCTCCATCTGCCACCAACATCCCACCCGGTTCCTCGGCCTCGCAACCGTGCCCTTGCAAGACGTCCCCGCCGCCGTCGCGGAGCTGCACCGCGCAAAGCACGAGCTAGGGCTCCACGGCGTCGAAATCGGAACCACAATCGACGGAGTGACACTCGACGATCCACTCCTGCATCCGTTCTGGGCTGCGTGCGAGGAGCTCAACATGCCCGTCTTCGTGCACCCGCTCGGCTACACTTGGCCGAAGGAGAACCCGCGCCGCTGGGCAAAGTACTGGAGTAGTTGGCTCATCGGGATGCCGTGCGAGACGGCGCTCGCATTGCACCTGCTGACCTGCTCGGGGACGCTGCTGAAGTTCCCGAAACTGAGGCTGTGTTTCGCGCATGCGGGGGGTTCGTTCCCGGCGTTGCTGGGAAGGATCCAGCATGGGTATGACTGTCGGCCGGATCTGGTGGCGGGGGATGCGGGGGGAGTCACGCCTACTGAGCATGCGACTGTGCGTGAGAATATCTGGATTGATAGTCTGACGCATGATGTTGAGCTGCTGGAGTATCTGGTTAAGAAGGTTGGGGCTCATAAGATGATCATGGGGAGTGATTATCCGTTTCCGCTTGGGGAGGTGCCGGAGGCGGGAAGGATGATTGCAAAGGATGGACGGTTAGAGGAATTCTTGTCTTGGAGGCAGCGGGCTGAGATTCTTGCGGGAAATGCGTTGAGGTTTTTGAATCTGGATAAGGATGAGAAGTGGAAGAGCTTGATGGAGGAGAGGTGGAGGATGTTTGAGAAGATATATATCAAGTAACTGCAATGATGTTTAGTGTAACTGGGTAATGGTAATGGACTTTCTTAATGTCAACGAACATACAGATATTCTTTTCTGTCCTTCTCTTCTTTGACGATAATTCTTCCTCTATCTCGATATCTGCATCTTCTCCAGTCGGCGACAGCTGCAACAATTCATCCGCGTTGTATCTGGCATGGACGAAACGCACTACCTTCTAGAACAGTTTCCTCTAACTCAGGCCAGGGTCAAATTGCGCTGAGGCAGCGTCATCCTTTACTCCAGCTATCATCTTACGGTTCTCTACGTTACCTGTGATTCCGAAATAATGACCAATCATATCTGCTGATTCAGCTCTCCACCAGACTGTCTGACTGTCACCCTCGGCATTGAGGCAGCTTCTTTTCTTACTCATTGTGACTCACGTAAAGCCAACATCATAAGTCAATCCACTCAGGAAAACTGTCCCCTACCGCAAATATCAGCGCACAAGATGTCCAACCTCATCAGGACCATCTCCCGTTCATACCCATGGATGAAATCTCCATTTATCGTCAGTGCGCCGATGCGGGTAATGTCCGGCCCCACCCTAGCTGTTGCTGTCTCGCGCGCAGGCGGACTGGGATTCATCGGGCCGGGCGTGAAGACCCAAGATATCAGCGCTGATCTCGAAGAAGCTTCGACCTTGATAAAAAAGCTCTCTACACCCCAAACCCAGCCTACTTTACTCCAAAACCAACCCGTCCTCCCAGTAGGCATCGGCTTCCAACTCTGGAGCGACGACATCGAAGTCGCCGTCTCCACTATAGCCAAACACAAGCCCTGCGCCGCCTGGCTCTTCGCTCCGCGCAACGGACAGAAAGACCTGGATACCTGGTCCCGGCGGATCCGGCATGCATCCCCATCCACCCGCATCTGGATCCAGATCGGCACGCTAGCTGAAGCAAGAGAGCTGCTCCAGGGCAGTGAAGAACCGGACGTGGTTGTCGTGCAGGGGGCAGAAGCAGGCGGACACGGGCGGGCTAACGACGGTCTCGGAATTATGGCACTACTCCCGGAGGTGTTGGACTGTCTTCCGCCGCATATCCCTGTGTTTGCGGCTGGGGGGATAGCTGACGGGCGTGGCGCGGCAGCGGCGCTCTGCCTTGGGGCTACGGGAGTAGTAATGGGGACGCGGTTCCTTGCTGCTACTGAAGCGAGGATTAGTCCGGGATATCAGCGGGAGATTGTGCGGGCTAGCGATGGGGCGGTCTCGACGACAAGGACGTTGCTGTATAACCAGCTGAGGGGTACGGTGGGCTGGCCGGAGGAGTACAGTCCTCGGACGATTATCAACAAGTCGTTCATTGAGCATCAGACAGGTCGGCCGTTTGATGAGCTGAAGGAGCTTCATGATGAGGCTCTCAAGGCGGGAGATGCTGGGTGGGGACCGGAGGGAAGGCTAGCGACGTATGCTGGTGCTGCGATTGGGTTGATTCATGATGTGAAAGATGCTGAGGGGATTGTTCAGGATGTGCAAGAAGAAGTTTTACAGAGGCTTTCAAATGTGCAGAAGGCCAATTCGGCGCAGTAGAAGGATGGAATTGCTTTGTATATGGTCTTAAGACTGTCTCCCTATACACTACAAGACATACTTTAGAAGACATGCGGATATACTACGAGATATCCCATCACACGGCTATCATCGAATAAGACCTATCCACGGTCATTGCGGTTTATTGCGAGTGTCAGCCTCACCAAGGTCTCTAGATTCCGTCACCTGTAAATCCTTCAAAACTTCCTCGTTTATCTCCGGTCGAGGACATAGGCCCAGTCACAAAGTCATGCCGTAATTCTTTGCTTCTCGAATCCCCTTTGCTTGCACTCGCTGTCAGAGACGACGTGACACTCTCACAGGCTTGCTTCCAGGCTTCCTCGAGGAAGCTTTCGTCTACACCCATTAGAATGCCTGCAGCCGCGTTGATATCTTCCAGCTTTGCCCCACTTGTGGGCAATCCTGCTCCCCGAGAAAGAGTTATATACTGTAGAGCTAGGACCCACAAACTCTTGGACGTCTCATAGTCCCCATTGAGCTGACTTACTCGTGCGTATACTGACGCAACAGAGCCACAGAGCCTGAAATAGTCGCCGTCAGGAGGCTGAATCATCTCTGGCGGCATCAATGACATCAAATCGTCAAGAACAGTGCCCAAGCGACCCAGATGGTCCTGAGGTATCTCCAGCTGAGATTGTGCGTGTACACCGGCACATGACTGTCCATTGAGGACAAAAGCAACGGCTGCATTATCCCGTAGATCATGGCAGGACAGTTTCAGTCGAACAAAGGACCGTACCATATCATCGATTTCAAAGGTTTCAATCACGGAATCTGATCGCTTGCGATTGAAGTTTACAAGACCGGAATCCTCAAGAGCTCGAAGGGCATTTGCGAAATCAGCCACCCGTGAGCGTAGGCTGTCTAGCCAATTTATGATCTTCAACCACGATGTATCAGGTGATTCCCATGCAGACAGTGAGTTGAATAGCACTGAGTACTTGTTATGATCACCTGGTGGGTACATTATCAGAGATGCCGGTATTAGTCCCGGCCCAAGGAACACAGCCAGACGGAGAAGCTTGATTGCATCGGGACTTCGCTGGCCCGCAGCGTCGTACAACTTTTCGAATGCCGTCCACAAAGTATGTCTCTTTTCGTATGCTCCGATACAATTATACAGCGGGGTCTTGAAAGTCGACTTTGCAAATTGTTCTTGAAACCGCCGATTGAACTCCTGCAAGGAATATAATCCACATCGTAGGAAGGATCCTGCTTGTCCCAGGGCAAGGGGCACTCCGCCAAATTTGCGGGAAATCGCCTTTGCTGTTTCCACAGCTAATGGAGCCAGTCAATACAATGCAAGGCATATCACTTGTCGTAGGCTTACCTGGAGAGTCTGGTTCTTCAACACCTGCGCAGCGCAGTAGTATGTGAGCACCTGCATCCTCATCCACACCTCGTACCTGTATACCTGGGTAGCCCAGCCGAGTGTGTAAGTACGGCGATAGGGTTGTCAACAGGACATGCCCATGATCGCACGAAGGAAAGTACTTTCTAATGTCGATATCCATAGCTGCCGAAGTATCCGCGATCTCAACCCCATCAAATACCATGATCCAAGCCGGATTTGTTTCTTGCACCAACCACTCCAACACCCTCTCAATTGGTGATTGTTCACCGTCTATGCATCCTTGTATCTTCCGCCATATTTCAGAGAAGGAACCATGGATAGCGTCCCAAGACGAACAATCGATCCACAATATGGAGTCATACAGCGTTCTTCTCACGGAAATGTAATGGACGGCCAACTGTGTTTTCCCGTATCCACAAAGTCCCCGGAGCACTACCCCTTTTCTTCCCTGCCTAGGGTCTCCCAATTCTTCCTTCATCTCATTCACTTCAATCTCTCGGCCTATAAAGACTGTCTGAAGCACTGGCACTCTCGAATGGACACTCTGGGCCTGTCGAGATTCTTTAAGTGGGTCAGCACATGCAGAATTACTTGTATTCTCCTCGCTTACTAGCTTTCGCACTGGGTGCCCAGTATTGCAGAAACGCCTTTGCAGCAGAGGCAGCTACTGCCGCTGCATAGTTTTGCCATACTTCATTCTTATGGCCATCGGCATAGTCGGATACGCCATTGATTATCACACAGGGAAGCGTGTCCCACACTCCTGCCCCGATGCTCTCAAAAGCAATTACCTCCTCCGTCTCTGCAATCCTGTCACGATGTTCTCCGGACTCCATTACCGTGTCCCCTGATGCCATCGTCCCGATATGGAGTGCAGGCTTGACTGCCTTTTCGCTGGATCGGCGGCGTTGGACTTGTTGCTCATCGCATCCAGGGACGCAGCATTCTTCCTCCGGTGCGTCCTTACAGAGCGTATCCTCACATCCCCCGTTAATGCGAACATACTCAAGATCCGACCGCTGGCGATGCTGGTGTCGATATGCAGACGCAAAAAGGATATCCTTTGCTGCTCCGGGATACTGCCACTTTGAACCTTCCCGAGACTGTAGCTCTTCCAGAAAACGCGTATTCTCCGTCTCCATTAATGCGCGGTTTCCATCGATTGATAGGGCGTTCAAGAGAGTTCGTATTGCTCTGTTCGGCCTTCCAAGGACAACCTTGACGCTCGTTTCCCGCTGAAATCCCCACGGGCACTGCAGTCCAACGTCGAATTCAATCACACTATCCGCAATGACAATGTCTCCTAGGAAGATATCTCTCTCACTACAGGACGGGGACGGAACACCGCCGCATATCCCCACCACTAGGGCGAGCTGCACACCTGTGTAACTGAATATCAAACTCGAAGCTACGCTCGCTGAGCTGCATTTCCCCGCCTCTGGCGCCTGGCATAAGACCACATTGTGCTTGCCAATGCGTCCGTTTATATAAACATTGTGATCCTCGGGTTCCTTATCGTAGATCTCGCCGAATCGGTCGTAGACCTCGTCCAGCGATGCCTCGATCGCCTCGACTTCACATGGTAAGCTGCAAATAATGGCGATTTCGAACTCGTCGCGGTGTCTCGAACTCGTCGCGGTGTCGAGGACGCATCTCAAAAGGACTTGTCAACAGCAGCGGCAGAGAATCTCCAAGCTGTATATGGGCTCCGGCTTGAATGGGCTGTTTTGACAGAATCTAGTAAAATATGGATTTTCTGTCGTAGGTTGACTGATACCAGTACATAAATTCCACTTCCTTAAAGTCGATCTGACTGTGAAGCCAGCATCGAGCATTCAAATATCTCCAGTTGTGCCTTGCCAGTGCTTCATGTTAGCCTGGGGCCAATCAGGAGGTCGTAGTAGCCGCTTGAGCAATGCCCTCTCTTCTCATGATGGGCATGAACTGAGAATAAGCGCGGAGACAATCCAATTGTATCTTTCCACAAAGCTATTGATTAATCGAAGTGGCCGTGCATCGACTTGGCTATGCGCTGTCTTTTGTGATCAATCAACCACCTGCATCCTTGTCAGCGGCAAACTTGTACCGACGTCCAAAACAATAGGTTGTGAGGAGATCTGCAGATCATCTCAAGTCACAGAATAGCTCTTGTTTAAGACTGGGCGCCAGCAGCATTTGGAGCCGAGACATAGCATTTGTCGATTGAAGAGAAAAGCAACTTTGTTGCCGCTTCAGGGCTCCCTACGAGCTGGCTGTAGAGAGTTATCTGGTGAGCTTTCCAGTGATTTCACTCTGTCAGATCCCAACATCGTCTTCTTCTGGGTATGTAATTGATTTCTCGATCAATGTTGCCCCGCTTGCTCCTCTCCTTCTGAAACAAAAGTAAAACAACCGTCAGAGTCAGTGTACAATTTGTTACGAGATAAGCGGTCCCGAATGTCACGATCATCGAAAATAAAAGCAGCCGCACACGAACAGGCCCAATTGTAAACATTTGAATGTAACGTCATTGTTTCGCCAGAGATAATGTTGCTTGAAAGTGGAACATGACGAGCGTCCCTGACATGCGGATCTCCATGGCCACCGCGCCTCACGAGACAGGCTACTATTTCGCACAGCAACTCGTCTTCAACGGTCTCTCTGATGTAGGGTATACTGGTCTCCAACCCCGTCCCGATGTCCCCGGTTCAAGCATTGTCCATGCTGTTTTCTCCAGTTTCGTGCCCGGAACTACGAGCACCGACCCAGACTGCCACGATGGCGCAGACGGCGGTGCATGTGTCAGCTGCGCTGTGGAAATCCCAGCACCATACGCTCCACTCTATAACCTCATGGTCAAGAACACAGGCGGCACCACCTCGACGGCAACCCTGGTCGACAGCGCGAGCGGCAAGTCGACACATGTGGGCTCGTACACATTGCCGAGTGGTGCTGGAGGAATCAAAAGCAGCCAGGTTGGGTTCATAGAGTATTATCCGTGGAACGCCATGCCGAGCCATCTCCGTAGCTCGCTCCTTTATGCAAATGTGACTTTTGGAGCGCCTACGACGAGCACTCCGGGGCCGGGATCGGGTCAGGTGCACAACCCTTATGAGTATGGAGATTGCGTTGGAAAGGTGAACTTTGATGTCCGGACGACAGATCAGGGATATCACGTGTCAGTTGGCTTCTAGAAAAGATATTCCTTTGTTAGAGATCGAGAGATCAGCGTTCACTTTTGTTCGAATCCATCATTAACCAGATTGGAGTGGCCTCTTTGCCAGAATTTTAACTTCTCTGCCACCATCGATAGTGCGTACAGCAGAACCGTCCACTCAGAGGGCTGATCAACATGTCTATCGTGCATGAATCCATTGAAAGTGTTGACCAAATTGGCCCATTGTTCATGCGGGTCCATTTTCATTGCTTCCAATATAGGGGTACGCAGCTTTCGGTAGGTCTTCCTAATCAGAAACACAATAATTTTCAGGTTCAGCACAAGCATACGTGCCCAATGCCAGAAGGGCAGCAACAACGGCGAATGCTACTTGGTTGAAATCTCGGTTGATACTCCATAAAGCAGCGCAGTAACTTAGTGGGAGATAGAATATGCTCACGTATGTGAGCAGTTTGACGTTCTCACCAAGCTGGGTAGCAGCCCGCGATTCGATGACAGTGCTCGCATTGAATAGCTACTATAAGTCAGCAAGAATCTCGATACGATCAAGCTGTACTTACTCCGTCTCGTAAGGTCATGGTTCGATCACGCAGAGTTTCGAGCCGGCTCCCAATTTCTCTCAGCCGTGCAACATGCGTTTCTACCCTCTTGACTGAATCTTCCAATCGCGGGGGATCTTGAGGAGGTTTGGGAGATCCCAATTCGACCTTGGTATTCCGCCACTTGTCCAGATAGAATGCTTCGTAGTCTTCAAATATGCCCTTTCTGGCCCACCAGTATACCTCCCACTCGTGAATGGTATCCGACACGGCGGATGTGAAGCCCTCCAAACTGTCCATCAGCCAGAAATAGTACCGTGATCGCGAAAACGAAGCATCATCGAACAGAAAGCGATCATGAAGATCAGGATTGAAAACACTATCGTTCTGGTTGAGAACAACGTCAAAGTGGTTGGCAATCCGGTCCCAATCGTTGGCCGCGTGCTGCAGTGCCTCTTCGACCAGCGTAATTGCTGTGGCATATGGGGCAGTCTGTGGGTCATCCTGCCTGCGACGGTGAATCGACTCATCTAAGCGGCGAAAATGCGATGGTGCCAGATGTATAAGACACCAGTGACTGCGATCCATATTCTCTGACTTTCCATTCCGAGTATTGGATGAGAGGGTCCGTTGAGATGGTATGAAGCCCAATGTGAAGGCGACCTCGGACAGATACAGCGTACCTGTTGAGCCCTTTGACCCATATAGCTCTCCACACCGCCAGGTCGACTTACTTGAGGGCTTTGTGCCATCGATCCGGCACCAAGTAATGTGGAAAGGTTCGAGCGCATCAGCCGCATCGTTGCGCGATCTCCTCCGTTTAACACAGGAAATATGTGTCCTCAGAATTCGTGGTACTAGGTCCGCGGATTCAAACTTTTCACCAGTAGAACTCCGAAAGAGTCTATGACAGAGCGCGTCAAATCCATACCCAAACAAGGGTGCTGCAGTGTCCAAGCCAACGCAGCCGATAATGCGATTCCAGTGGCCTGTTTCCCTCCACTTGACTTCTGTCGGCTTACCGTTTCCGCTCTTGTAGTAAAACCGCGTTGGTCGGATATTGACTTTGCGGAGGTCTGCGTCCAAAGCAGGGACGGCCAAAATCCTTGGATCCTTACTCCTCAGGATTACTTTCAATTCTTCAGGGTATGCGGTGATGCGCTCATATATGGCCGCGTGCATCCAGTCGTCCAGATCAACAATCTGAACGCGACCGTTGCTTGCCTCTAATGTCTTGAAGAACAACTGGAGCTGCTCCAAGTGCGAACTCAAACCAGGGGGACTGAGACTCCTTAGGTGGCATCGATCAAATGCAAATTGCACCCTGCGTCGCATGGAACAGCGTAAAGATTTCCCAGGGATGTCAATAGCAGTTGTATGGTGTCGGCCATGTTCTTCCCAAAGCCACCATGAAAAGTCGCACCCTGCTCACACGCCCATTTGGATGGAAGGGAGGTGCTACAATTGAGAGAACAAGTCATCTGCAGCGTAAAGAAGAGTCTGTACTTGACCTTGAGACTCAATGTCACTGTCGTCACGCTCCAGGCAGGATTTCAAGGAGGTTTGTGCCTTGTTTCTTCCATCGAACCGGGGCTCATCTTGGATGGACTGGTTCCATTTATCATCATCTGGGAGTTTATTATCATTCATACCTGTCCCAGTGCCTTTATCTCCATCAAGAAGAAGTTGCTTGAGTAGGTTATTTTGGATACGCAGTCGTTCATTTTGCTCATTGAGCAAAGACCGTATCTCGCTCCATAGGTCGTTGGACAAACCATCCGAGGCCCGTATGTTCTCCATGACCCAGTAAGATTATACATGGATGGTCAGATTTGCGCATGTTATAGGCTGGATGTCGAATAGTCAAACGAGTTTTAGAAAAGCTTGAGGGGACGCGGATTGAGACTGCGACATTCAACAAGGCTGAGACTCAACGCGTGACTTTAGTCGTATTCCCAAAAGGGAAAGGCTGCTCAAGGCACTGTTTATCCTTTCTCTCTCTATTTCTTCAGCCTTCTGGACTGAACAAAAATCGTGGATACATGAAGCAGTTGTTGGACTGATGATGCAAAAGAACTAAATTAATGATTATTGCTACAGCACAGTATCGCAAGTTCGCAACCAATGCAATTTTCCATTTATCAGGACTCAGGACAAGCGAAACCCACTGGTCCGCGTTTGGAAGAATCCCGCGGGATCATACTTGAGTCTCGTCTGCAGGGCCCGATCCCGCGTCCTCAGTCGACTCCAGTAATCTTGGCCAGCGTCGATGTCATTCATATACAACGGACGATAGACATCTGGCAGAGTTCCATTAGCAATGTACTCCTCGATCAAGCGACCAAATCCTTTGAAGAGCTTCTGCGTGGCATCGTGCATCCGAGCGTCGGACAGCCCCAGTATCCACTGCAGGGTGATCTGAATGAGAATATAGTCCTGGTCTGGGGGAAAGTCAAGCAGATCCTAAATCCCGGTTAGCAGCCGTTAGTTGAAAGCTGTACCTAGGAAGCGACTGACTCCTCCGAGCTCCAAGGCTTTCTGTGCGATGCTCCGTGGGAAAGGCTGGAAGGCGATGGTTCCAACCATACCGGTCTCCAGCAGTACCTCGTTGTTTACGTCAAGCCAAAAATCAAAGATGGACTGTAAGACCTCGGGCGACATGCCTTTCGGGACGGGCAGTGTTTCGCCTGCAACGCTGTATCGGCTTCCGCTGTATGGTGTCAGTGCTGAACGAGTATTTCCAGACTCTCAACTTACTGAATGATATATTTGTCGCCGTTTTTCAGCTGTTCGCGTCAGTCAACATGCGCAGCACATTTTTCAAATTGAATTATCACCCACCAGGTCGGTATAACGGTCATATGTCCGGGTTTGGTCAACTGGATTCAAGGCAGTAAAGTTGTCAAAGATACCTGCCGGGGGCTTCTCTCCATTATAAAACAGGAACATGACCCAGATATCGAGCGCTGGTGCGTGCTCTCTGGTCAAAATAATTGAAGCCTTCTCATCCGGGTAGTACTCGACAAAGTCCTGCAGAGCAGCAAGCATCTTCGCCGTATCAACTCCAGAGAAGATGTAATTTCCTCCCCAAACGGGGTGGTCCATCGGGCGTGTCTGAACGGTATACGAAGTGACAACGCCAAAAGAGCTGCCTCCACCTTTCAAGGCAGCGAAGAGATCCGAGTTCTCGTTTGCATTTGCATTGACGATGGTGCCATTCGCCAGCACGACCTCGTAGTTGAGGATATTGTTCGCTGCCCAGCCATACTCCGGGCTGAGGTAGCTGAGACCACCTTTTCCTCTGCTCAGAAACCACATTCATATGATAGCAGAATCGACTCTCACCTCCTAGAAGTAACCCTCCAACACCTACACCTCCCAGCCTCCCGCCGAGAACCGCCCGCCCTGTTCCCTCCAGCTTCCCCTGCACATCCTCCCATTTCTGCCCCGGCCCAATAACAGCCGTCTGGGTGGACGGATCATACACAACCTGATCGAGATCCTTCGTGACGATTAGCAGGCCGCCCTGCGTACTTGAGAAACCAAGGTTAGGCGAGTGACCGCCCGATTTCACCGCGAACTGGTCCTGCGTGTACCCCAGCGCGGTGATTACATCCGACATCTCCTGGGCATTGTTTGGCACAACCATGCATTCTGGATGGAGATCCCAGCATGCCGCCGACCAGTAGTTGGTCAAGTCGTGGGTATACGACAGCGAGAGCGGATACTGAACCTGGAAGCCATGATCGGCCAGGACGGAGCAGAGACTGTCCGAGTTGCCTGTCAGGGCGTTGACGAGGGAGGTGACCAGCGAGGCCATATTGCATTTATACTATTATCTACAGATTCATAACCCAGTGGCCAACAATATCAAAAGGCCAGCTTTAAGTACGAGGAATGCCGGGAAATGAAGAACCACTCCACAAGCCGGCCCACTTGATAGATCACAATCTACCCCTGCGCCGCGCCCACTCATGCAGCTCCTGCATTAGCTCTGGCTCAATTGCTAGAACCTGATCTGAGTTTCTACGGGGCAAGCAATCTATTCCCCCCGTTCGTGCGAGTCTCTGACCGAACCTTTTTGTTGCACCCAATCATGCATTGTCGGCTTCATCGCTTGCGATTGATTATGACGAGTCAATGCACAATTTCTCTCGGTTAGAACTAGCCATTATGATGCTCAGAGGTAAAATCTGAGGGACGGCTAGTGTCCTGCCTGTCTTACTCGTAGTACCGTAGTTTATGAATGATGGTATTCTTTGTGCGATCCCTTTGGCATTTATGAGCATTAATTACTCTCTGCCGGCGGACATCCTCCGTACCCCTTCATTGCCCCTACCTCCCTGCGTCCCTGCCTCCTTGCATTCTTGTTTTCACCTTGTGTTTACTCCGTACCTCCCGCTGGATTGAATGTACGATAGGTCATATTAGATAGTATAGCGGTGGGTATAGTCCGTCCCTAGCTTGAGGGGAAGACAGGTCGCAGCGTACAACTGCTCTCCGTCTCTTCAACCTCACGAGGGCCCTCACCGCTACCCCCAATGAATCATATAACAATTGCCTGGACATTTAGCCGCTGTACGAGTGATAGCCCTAGGTATTTCATGCCTATATCTGAGTCTGACATGTCCATCATGGTGATGATGTTTTTATGCCTCCAAATACGAGATGCCCTCGCCAGACTAGACCAGAATGCAGCGATTGTCAGCGATCGTCAGCGCCTGGTGGCTTGCGTCGGCTGATTCTACCCACCAGTAAATCTCACCAAACACCACCAGATTTTCACGCTAGTCAAGCGCCGAGAAGATTGGGATCATGTCGTCCGAACTCGTCCTCGGCAATGAATTAAGCGAGGGTCTCCATGCAAGTGTAATGAGTTCAGGCAGCCACTCACTACAGAATCTCTCCTAATGCGCCCAAACCTCCGAAACCTAATACTCTTGATCCCTCAGGTCTCTCTTCATGCACCCATGAGATACAATGTCCGGTGCTACGAGTCAGGAGGAGCTAACAGTTGCATCTCACAGTTTCTGCCGGTTTCACGCACGACGACGTTCCAGTCAACAGTATGGAGTGTGATATGCCGCTTTACACATAGTGAGCATTCCCACCTGAATAGGCTGCACTTGGACTTCTTTCTCTCCGAGAACAGAGGGCCCACGTCCACGACGGCGCGTGCAGCGGTTTATAATTGAGCCAAGGGCATAATAGTTGAAATACGTCATTTTGCCAGCGTTGATCGCTCCATTCTGTAACGAACTTCTTAGAGGAACTCGCCTCAATCATCTCAATATGAGAGCGATCATTGATGGCTTTTGGGATCATGCAATATCTGCTGTTGCGAAGATATCTGCGATCTAACAGCGCAACCGGATCTGTAATGCCGAGTCTCCATTGCTCGCGTGATCGAGATTGGTGGCGTTGTTGTACTGCATGGCACACTAGCTATGACAAAAGTCCCATGGCGTTTTCGTGTGTAATAGTCTTCCTCGAGTCTCTCAGGGCAGAGATGTCGAGTTGAGAGACATATGAGACTTCTTTGCGCATCGATATTACGGAGGACTGGCGGACCTTTGTTGAGTGTTTGAAGCGGTTTGCGGGCCATATGTCCGTCTTTCTGGGAGAGATGATGAGTTCTTGGTCAATGCGAGCCATTCAGTGATCTAGCATGGAGGGTAATTCTCTCCCCTCCAGAGACGTACCCGATCAAAATAGAGTCCTCGTCCTGCGCAATGCTGACCAGATTGTAAGTCCTCGCCTTGTCTGGAAATGATTATTCTCGTATCGTGGAAAGAGGTTGCATGGCACAGCGTGCGTGCGAATAGCAGAGTTGACATCCGTCTACTTTTCCTCTAGTCCGCAGTGACTTATTTCGAATACTGCCGAAAGAAGTTCCTCTGAGACTGCATGTTTACCAGGCATGGTACTGCCCTGCTCCCCTCGAATAACTGTCAACCATGTCTGTCTGGCTCGGGGGATGAATAGAGCGGCTGCGAATCTCGCTGGCAAAAGAGCGGATAAGCTATTTCCAGCGCAGGTCTCGCCAACTGAAAACACAGCGTGCTGTTTGGGCAACGTCTTCGAGGTCAATCGATGCCAGTCGCGCTGTTGCTGAATTTCGGAGATTTGACCGATTTCATATATGCCAGAAATCGTGTCTATCTTCGAATTGCTGAAGCTTAGCAATTTTCTTGATGCATCACGGATCTGACATGTATCTGGTGGAAAGGCGGCTTTTGCCTTTACTCAGGCAGACACAACAACGACGCAGGATTCGGATCACAGTCCATGAGGGAGTGATGGATCAGGTTGATTCAGCAATAAAGCATCGACTCTAATAACCCATGAAGCCATGCAGGCAGAATCATCCTTTCTTGCATCACATAGAACAAGCCGTGAAAAGGTGTACGATACTGAACACCATCATACGCAACGCCGAGCCTTTCTGAAGCTATCCCGGCGTATTACGTTGTCTTCCACGGTGAATGATGATGAAAATTCTGCATGATCTAGATGTTCTCTTAGAGATTTCAGCTTCTACATACCTCTTCAGACCTCCGTTGCATTCACATATACCACCGATCCTACCACTATAAAGTCTCGACACTTCCTGGTCCACCTTTCTCTCTATCAGTTGAGCAGCCGAAGACTTCATGTCAGTTGCTACCTAAAGGCAGCGCTTCCGTTCAGCAAAGATGGTCTTCTACGCCTACGCCACCTCCGGGGTAAGTCTGCAGGCCAGAAAAGCAGTCCCTCTCACTAACCAAGCAGGGCTTCGCTGTCTGGCTCATCACGGCCAAGGACAAGGACACCTTAGACGCCTGGTTCCGCGCCATGGAGACCTCACAGTTCGGAAACATTGCCCGAGTCAACGCCGAATGGTACCGGTACCAAAACTTCCGCATCGAGCATTCGACCACCGACTATTACCTCACTCAGAGATTCGACGGACTGATCCTCTTCAAGCCTCTGTATGGCTACAATGATTCGTGGCACATGATCAATAACGGGCCTTTTGTGGATTGCTTTCAATACAACTGGTAGGGAGCCTCCACCCTTTTCTTCCCCTTTGCAAGGTAGCTGACTTGCCTTCGTACAGGTACTACGTCCGCTCCAAGAAGTACAAATCTCTCTTTTGGGACGTCCAACGCAAATCAGAGACGGAATCACTTCAGGTCTACGCCAGCACCAAATCTCGCGCCCGGTTTCAAGCCATCAAAAGACTCTGCCCGAATTACGCGCCCTCTCCGGCAGATCAACGCATTCTCGGTGACGATCGTATGTATCTTCAGCATGCCTCCGGTCCGGTGTCGTTCATAAGGAACGCCAAGGGATTCTTCATATTGACCATATCCTGTCTTCAACATCAGTTCAGCATCAGCGAGCTGAGTACCAGTTTTGCCCCACAGCCGGACGACCGCATTGCCTATATTCCGGGTTGTGGTGCGGAATGGGAGTTGGTGTATTAGCTGTGCTTGTTGTCTGGGATTTGGACTTTGTTGAAGGATCGCAGATGGGACATTTAGAGTGCTACTAGGTCAATGGTAACTTTCAGTCTTGCTACAACGAAGTGAGTTCGAGCAGTGCATCGAGCAAACATACATTGATTGTCGTTGCGACTGTCATCTACATCTTCAAGTTTGCCTAGTCTTATTCTTCCTCATAACTCATAGATTGATTTCTGTGCAGTCCACTCCTTCATAAAAAAGTGTACATCCGCCTCCGAATTTTCAACCTAAGCAGCCTGTCCAGGTCCCCTCTCTCCACGCACTTGCGCACAGCAGCCCAAATCAGGTAATCAAGCTTCTTTCCTCTTTAACTATCGGTTCTGTTCATTAAGCTTATCAAATTACTTCTCCCCAGTCTGTCTGGGAGCCTCCACGGGCTTTGCTTGTCCTTGTTCCTCTCTTGGTCATGAAGGAATATTTGTGCACTGGGGAAGCTCCAGTGAGTCGAGTAAATGATGTTGAGTAGAACAAGGGTTGTAGTGGGATTACGGATACTATCGCCTCCAGATCCTATGTGTTGATGCCTGAGGTCTATACCTTTGTGAATATTCAATTACACCTTTTTTCTTAGTGACGTCCCCTGCAAAACCACTCTCGCGGCAACAAAGAACACCACACTGGCCACCATCATTGCCCCAGCAAAGGCTTGCAACCCCCAGTAAGTCCCATTCTGTCGACTCAGAATCGCCCCCGCAATCGGACTTCCGGTCAACGTCGCGATGCTCATGCAGGTATACAATACTCCCTGTCGTACGCCTGTCTTGGTCATATCCGCCGTGATCTGACTGAGCAGCGCCGGAACCATGCCGACAAACGCTCCGGACGCGAACCCATACAGCAGACTGAATATCACATAGACGGCCGCAGATCCAGGGGCCAACAGCGTCCCAGGAATCCAGAGGACGAGGATCGTCAGCGCAGAAAGAGTACACATCGCGATCATCACGTTGAATCGGCCGAGTTTATCTCCAAAGTAACCAGGCAGAATCCGACCGGGAAGACTATTCCATCAGCATTCTCAATCTCACGCAGCTGGGGACTGGAGAGACTAACCTCGCGGCATTCAGAATCGTCAATAGATACTCCGCTAGACTCCGGCGAACTCCATCCTCCTGCGCCTCAAGGATCACATAATTGATCGGCACAAACATCGCCCAGAAGCCACAGCAAGACGCCAGCATCAGCAACACAAACGGCAGCTCCGAGAACGGCCCGACATAATCGCTGAACTGCACCCGCCTCGGCACAGGCGCAATCCGCGAGCGGACGGTCATATTCGCCACAATCAGCAACGCCAGCGCCAGAAACGCCGAGATGCGCAGCGACCATCCGAATCCCACCCGCGGCAGCAGTCGCGACAGCATCGCGGGGAAGACAACGCCGCCAATCGACGACCCGCTGGACATGATCCCGAATGCGAGAGCGCGGCGCTTATCAAACCAGGTCGCCGTGCAGGCGGAAGCGGCATAGAACACGAAGCTAGCGCCTAGGGGACTGCAGATCCCCTGCGCAAGGAGGAACTGGTAGTACTCGCTGGAGACGGAGATCATCATGAGGCCAAACACGTGCAGGAATGTGCCGATGAGGAGCATCCATTTGGGGCCGTAGTTGTCGAAGACGCGGCCTAGGACGATGCCTGCGGCAAAGAGGACGAATGGCTCGAGAGACAGGATCCAGGAGATACTCGATGACGAGTAATTGCGCAATTGATTATGCTGGTAGTACTCTTGGAAGACACCGATCGCTATTTCGGTCAGGTCAGAATTGTTCTCTGTCGGTGATGCTGGCAAGCTCACCGTTTACCCACCCAAAGCCGCAAAAGAGACAGCACCAGGCTCCTGCGACCACCGTCCAAGCAGGAAGTCCATGGTCCATTGGCGCAGCGGACTCATCCTTGGTTTCGTACGCCTTTGCAGCCACATCGTGCATCACTTCTGTGGCAGGACTAAGGCCCTTCTCTAGGCTGGATACTCCCATCTCAGCTTGAGGAGACATACTGGGCTGCAGGATGGATATTCCATCCAGCTATTACAGAGACGCAAGTCGTCCCAGAGCATTTTGCAACACGAACTTGAAGAATCTTATCTACCTTAACCTTTTTGGGTGTCCGCTATCTGGCTTCTTTTTTAGCTCGTATTCTTCTCCAATCAGCAGCGCACCAAAACTGATCTGCCACTACTTAGAAAAATTCATGCAGAGCGCAAGGAATATGGCAGTGGCAATCCTAGATTTACAGTAAAGGAAGGAAATAAAAATTAAAGGAAAAAAGAAAGATGTGAACCCGACTCGAATCGACTGGTGATAAACTGAGCGTTTTCTCGGTGCGCAAATATATATCTGTGGCCATGTTATGATAACGGAGTTATATCCCGAGAGGTGACACCCCAGCCTTGATCAATGTAGAGCACCTTCTCCAGCCCAATATGGCATGCAGAGAAGGACCCTAGTTCCCAGGGACCGTATATGATGGCTCAATGGTACTCAGCTAAATGATGTCATTGTATCATGAGCATGCGTCCCCGAACGGAGCTCGGGTCCAAGACAGTAAAGGTCGAACGGAATACCCTTACGATTCTATATACGCAACATGGGCGTAGATTTCTACCGAAAAAGAGCGTCATAGCACTCCTCCGGATTGTTGTCCGCCTACATTTCCGAGTAGACCCGCACCCTGATGAAGTCCTACCTGTCGACCGCACCATCAGGCTCCACATCTACAGAGGCTCGACATCCACAAGACCCTCGCCTGTCCTGATAAATGCCTGCGACAGCGCTTCACACTCCGCGCATTTGGCACCGACGATGAGTTCTGCCGGTCAATCGCGCAAACAGGCTACACCGTGGTGGACGTGAAGTACCGCCTGGCACCCAAACATCCGTTCCCCGCTGCGTTCGACGCTATCGAGGACGTGGTGAAGTGGATACAGTCCCGGCCTGCAAGATTCGATCAGGCGCATATCTCCCTTGTCCGGAATCAGCGCAGGCAGCAATCTGGTCCTGGCGGTCGCCTCATCGTCGCTGCTCTTCAGCACTGCCAAAGAAATATGAAGAATCACCGTTCCATGCCGTTATCGCATTTTACCCCTCCACGGATCTGCCACAGCCGACCACAGCAAAGAAGCAAGTGGTTAAATCGAAGTTTATGATTCGAAGGATCCTTCCTTTCTTCTCGGAATTCTGTCATTCGTGTTATCGCAATCCCCGCGAGATCGACATGAGACACCCGCGACTTTCACGGTCATATGCGGATCCGGCGCGGTTTCCCAAGAATGTGCTGATTATCACCACCGAAGAGGATCCGGTCACGATCGAAGGCGAGCAGCTTGCCGAGAAGGTCAGCATGGTGGAGGGTCATAACGTGGTATGTCATCGGATGGAGGGGTGTATGCATGGGCGGGATAAGGAGGCGAAACGGGGACCAAGGAGTGAAAGCTAAAGAGGAAGCATATGGATACGCTGCTGAGATGCTTAAGATACGAGGAGTTGTCTCAGTGGTAAATGTGATTCTAGTACGGAGTAAACCAAAGGGAAGATGTCGCAATGGATAACTTGAAGCTAGTCCATACTAGGAATAGTCATGTGACATTGAGCCGAGGCACAAAGCAGTCAACAAACGCTCACTTACACTGATTCTCCTTGGAACCAGTTCCTGCAGGGCATCGGGGATAGGAGTGAGTATAATGACTCGACTCGACGTCGAATATGCAGAAAGCAAACTTGTCCCAATTCTCAATGGCATGTGATGTGTGAACATGGTGTGGAGACGGGAGGGGGATCGTCGCGATGGATGATCATCCGGCGGAGCTCCCAAGGACCTTGAAAGCTACTCTCTCTTGCCTTTATAAACCTCTACTATCATCGATATTATGTCTGCTCTCAGTACACATTATATATCATAAAGATGCAGCTGCGAGCTGTTCTGTTCCTTATTGGGACATTCCTGGCCTCCGCCGCCCAAGGGTTCGACATCTCTCCATTGGAACTGCAATTCCCGCTTCTCCATCAACTGCGACTGCTGGAAGATGGAACGAGTACATCAGTACACCTGACCTCTTCGAAGGAATTTATAGACCACAATTTCTCAGTGCCTATTGACCATTTTCACAATGAATCTCGATATGAACCTCATACTCATGACCATTTCAGCCTCCGCTACTGGTTCGATGCCAGTCACTACAAGGAAGGGGGACCAGTTTTTCTCATTGCTGCCGGAGAGACGAATGGTAAAAATCGCTTTCCGTTCCTGTCTCACGGAATTGTGACCCAGTTAGCCAAGACGTATAATGGTCTTGGAGTTATCCTGGAACACCGCTATTATGGAGAGAGCTACCCCTTCGCCAATCTTACCACGAAGAATATCCGGTTCTTGTCAACAGAGCAAGCAATGGCGGATTACGCTTACTTTGCTTCCAACGTTGTTTTCCCCGGACTGGAGCACCTGAATCTGACTGCTGACGCCGTGCCGTGGATTGGATACGGAGGCTCCTATGCCGGAGCATTTGTGGCTTTTCTTCGCAAGGTCTACCCGGAGGTCTTCTTCGGCGTAGTGTCGTCGTCAGGAGTCACCGAGGCCATTGAGGATTATTGGCAATATTATGAGCCCATTCGCCAATTTGCACCGTCCGACTGCATATGGAGTATCGGAACGTTCATGGATATTGTGGATACTATACTGATTGAGCACGCCAAGAACGAGACAATGAAATCGCACCTCAAGGCCGTGTTCGGTGCAAAGTCCTCCATTGTTGATGAGTTCTTCGCTGCGGCTCTCTCAAGTACCCTTGGAGCCTTTCAAGGCCGGAACTGGGACCCTGGGGTCGGCGATGGTACTTTTCAGAGATACTGCAAGAATCTGACAAGTCCGACATTGCTCTACCAGCACAATAATACCATAAAGGCGTGGACGGAGGGGCTCATCTCGGCCACAAAGTATGATGCGACCAACTCCAGCTTGGTCACAGGCATGCTTAATTACGCTGGTTACATGAACGCTACGCTTTTCTCCCATCTTGATAAGGTTCTCCGTACCTCCAGTCCCAAGTCACCACAGTCGCTGGAGAAGTCGGCAGGGGTTAGCTGGGGTACCAGGTCTGCACCGAATGGGGATACTTTATGCCCGGGTCAAGCGTCCCAAAGGATAGACTGCCTCTTATCTCCCGTTTGATCACGCTTGCCGAAGAATCTCAGTTCTGCAAGGAGGACTTCAGCATCACCACACCCCCTGATACCGACCGGATTAACAAGCATGGCGGGTTCAACTTCTCGTATTCCCGGGCGGCCATTATCGATGGACTGGCCGATCCTTGGCGTGACGCGACGCCGCATGCAGACGGTGCACGGCCAAGAAAGTCAACGGACGAGGAGCCGTTTATCCTTGTCGATGTCCCGGCCGAGGATGTCTGGGATGGAATTCGCGGTGCAGTACACCACTGGGATCAGAATGGCTTATCCGAAGAAGACGTGCAGCGAGGGAAAACCGCACCAAGGGCCATAGTCAACCTTCAGCGGGAAATTGTACGGTTTGTTGGGCTGTGGCTGGAGCAGTGGGGAAAACACAAGGATGTCTCGGATCTGATGGCGAACAGGGCAGTTAGAAATCGTCAGCTGGTACTCTAGTTGACTCATTTGGTACTCAAGGTTGAAGAGTTGTGTTGATGATGATGACATATTTGCCTAGTGACAGCGTGACATTGGAAGCTCTGTAGACTTTTAGCATGTGCTCCACCCAGGAGAAACGGTTTCACTGTGGATCGCTCAACTCTCTGGTCAAAGCGAATCGGAGACATTGGCACTTCTGATCCAAACCAATAGCATCGACAAGGCTGAAACTAGCTTGTCAATGTCGCAATTAACAGAGTCTGTCAATTGGCCTGTGTCGGGCAGACACTATTCCCACCGCGATGATAGGTTTTCCACTCCCACAGATCCTAGCTCCCGGAGCTGAAAATAACTGAACTGAACCCATCAATATTTCTGGACTATCATCTCCACATTCAATTGCCATTACGGTGACAAACGCAAAGTGGATTAGTTAACTAACTAGTTAAATCACGGGCGCTCGAATGGTGGAAGCCGATCTTAGTGCTCACCTTTCTGTCTCCGCACAGCCACGCCCGGCATAGCAACGGTTTACGGACGGACATTGATCAACCCCGACCGACCCTGGACCCTGGACAGTGCACACGGGCACTAATTGGATATTATTTCTATGTTTAGGGCGCTAGAGCAGGATATATTGGGAGTGTCTCACAAGCGAAAGCCGCGTCTCACTCACTCTCAACTGTCTCGCAGCGGGGTTGCTTCCTTCTTCATCTGTCTTTGTCGAGCTTACCCCGGCGACTGATATAACCATCCACATGTGCCCGACACACTTGCAACACGCTCAAACCGAGCTAAGGTTTTGAATTGCGGTCGCGTTCGACATGAAGCCGTTGGAATTGAAGCTAAAGCCGGAATTCCGCCGTTTCGCACCAATGGCGCTGGCCGCCGTCCTCTTCTTTTGCACTCTGGTGCTCTTCTACGAGATGATGCCGACTCTGCACCAGACGATTGGAAAACCGCCGGCCAGCAGCCATGGTACTAATCCCGGGCCATCCGACGACTTCCAGCACACTGACCGGCGGTGCCACGCACTCCCGGACCCAGGGAACATCCTGTTCATCGTGAAAACAGGCGCGACGGAGATCTACGAGAAGTTACCGACACAGCTGCTGACGACGCTCGGATGCGCGCGGGACTTTTTGATCTTCTCCGACCTCGAGGAGCAGATCGGCCCGTACCATATCCTCGATGCGCTGGCAGACTTCAACGCAACCATGAAAGCCACACACGCCGACTTTGAGCTCTACCGGCAACAGCAGGCGTACCAGCGCGGCGGGCTTGACATCGCCACGCTCAAGGACGACGGCAAGGCCGCCTGGACGCTGGACAAGTACAAGTTCCTGCATATGGTGGAGAAGACGTGGGCGCAGCGGCCACACATGGACTGGTACGTCTTCATCGAGAGCGACACGTACGTCGTGTGGACGAATCTCGTTCTGTGGCTGCGGCAGTTCTCGCCGAAGGACAAGCTGTACATGGGTTCGGCGTCCTTTGTCGCGAACCAGGCGTTCGGCCACGGCGGGAGCGGGTACGTCATTTCGCGAGCGCTGATGGAGGCGTTTGTGGGGAAGGAGCCGGGGATGGCGGGTCGGTACGACGATGTCATTCCGGACGAGTGCTGTGGGGACTTTGTGCTGGGGCGCACCATTAAGCAGGAGCTCGACGTGGGGGTCCGGAATTTCTGGCCGCAGGTGAATGGAGAGAAACCGGTGACGCTGGAGTTTGGGTCGAAGCAATGGTGCCAGCCCATGGTCACAATGCATCATGTCATGCCGCGGGAGCGCAGTGCCATTTTCGATTTCGAGCAGGCGCGCGACGATGTAACGGTACGCATATGCCCCCAAGTCCAAGATAGAACGCAAACGCAGCACTAACCTAACAAACTAGGTACCGCTTCTCTTCCGGGAACTCTCCGAGCTATCCTTCCCAACCGGGAGGATGCGCGTTCAGGAGGACGATTGGGATAACCTCGCCGATGTGCTCGTGGAACTGGACAACCCCTCGATGGAGGCCTGTCGCGACAAGTGTTTAAGTCAGGACGCCTGCTTCCAATGGCGGTACAGCAAGGAGGAGTGCCACGTATCGACCGAGTCATTCAAACTAGGAACAAAACGGCTGCCGGAGTATCACCGACGATGGTTCTCAGGATGGAACGTCGAGCGAATCCAGAAATGGCGCGATTCGCATCCCTGCGAGAAGCCGGCCTGGGTCAAGCCGCATTAATCTGTACGTACATAGATAACTGTAGCATATTATAATAACGAGCGATTCACTTCATGTCTATGAAGCTGCCTAGTAAAACACGCATCTATATCTATACCGTGTACGTAGACTAACTAGTATGAAACCGCTTAATCCTCCTCATCCTCCCCACCGACCTCACAGCATCAACTCGCTCAAGACTATCATCCAACCGCTCATTCGGGAGTACAATCGCCCGATCCAGCTGATACGGTAGTCCCCGATGCCGCCCGCGGATCATCATCGCACAGATAACCAGCTTGCTGAAGACGGAGAACTGTCCGCTGAGAGAGGTATTCACAGTTGGATAGCCGAGACTCAGACCCACGTTTGCACTATTACATTATTAGTACCGTCAGGATAGAAATTTAGAGCGATAAGACATACTACGCAGAAACAACCTCAAAGAAGATGGGGAAGACAGCGAATGCCTATCCTGTGTCAGCTTGCTTCACAAATCATTGGGAGTAGGAGAAGGGAGGGAAGGGAAGGTACCGGCTCCTTCGGATCCATAACCCGATCCGACTCCGCAATGCAAATACAAAAAATCCCCAGGAAAATATACCACAGGTCGAAAGTGAGCTGATTCCGGATATGCGATAGAACATAAGACCGGCCGTCTGACTCGTCGATAGTGGCCGCGTCGTCGGGGTAGACCCCCAGCGCGCGTTCCTCGTAGGTATTCGAGGCGCGCACGCTAATCGCGATGGGGTAGATTGCGATGTACATCATAACCAACAAACTAAACTGGACAGCGGGGTTAACGTTCGCGAGGTTGAAGACTGCTGTGCCGGTGTGGCGGGCTGAAGCGGCCTGGTAGATGGCGGCTAGGACGCGGGGCCGGGGGCCAGGACGGTGACGGTTGGATTGTGGAGGTCGAGGACGATGATAAGAATGACGTCGACGAGGTTCATGGCGAAGAGGATGGCGAAGAGGACCCAGGTGGGTTTGCTGGGGAAGAGGAGGGTGTAGCAGCGGCGGGGGTGGGTGAGGAGGAAGGCGAGGGGTTCTTTGAGGGAGGAGCGGCGCGGGCAGAGCTTGGACATGGTCCAGATGATGAAGCGCAGGAGGCAGGGGTAGAAGGTGTTGCCGGCGTAGGCGAGGAAGCTCATGATGAGTAGGGGGAAGGTTGCGTCCTGGAAGCTGATCATCGAGTCGGGGGTGAGGGTGAAGCCGAGGTTGTCCACCATTGTTTGGGCGGAGTAGAAGGCCCTACTTTCTTAGCATTGGCCATATGATGGGAAAGGGGTTATCAAGACTCACCACCAGATGTTGCCTTGGCCACATTCGGCAAGGTATTCGCGATACTTGGGGTTTGCGTGCTGGATCCAACCGACCAGGCAGATTGCGCCAAAGAGATGAAGCCCGAAGAAGTACCCTATTTCGGTCAGAGTGTGTCCTGCGAATAAACAGGAAGATAATGACTTACCGGTGACTATCTTGAGCAACAGTTTCAAACTGCGGTATTCGATTCCTCCCAGCATCTCTCGATCCTCGTCGGTCAGGTTATGGAACTGCGAGTTCCGGCCGATCGTAGCATGCGACGACAGTTCAGGCAGGTCCAGCTGCTGCGAAAGGGACTGCTCGAGGGGCTGTGTCTGCGCCCTGGTTGGATGGCTTGCGGAAGGGCCAAGGACAAACATCGTGGACGCGACTCGCTCAAGGGTATTTGTCCGAGCCAGCTTGAACCGCCGGCGAGACGTACCGACGTTGACCTGAGCGTCGGCGGATTTGGTTCGCTCTGTGATAGTCAGTTTGATATGGTAAAAACTTTGCGGTTAGCTTACCACAGTCACTCGGCTCATCGTCGACTTCCACGATCGGCTGTCCTCGATCTCGTTGCCAGGGAGGAGGAACGTATAGAGCTTTGTCCCGGCTGGCATCGTGCACGTCTTCGGCAAAGGTGATGCTGGCCGAGGGGAACCAGGAGTCTGGATTGCGCAAGGGTGGAGTCTGCGATTCATTCTGAAAAGAGTCTTGTCTGTCCGATATGAGCATTATCCAGCGTAACCCCAACGGACATACTCACTTCTCTGTAGTTGTAGCGTCTGACGCTGTGGCCGTCTTCGAAGTACTGTCCGCTCTCGCTTCTGCATCATCTTTCCGTCTTTGCCGGAGAAAGGCAGGGGCTGTACCAGATCAGCTCAGTTGCTCGAGTGCACAGATATGGATACATACCAACTTCCTTGAGACGCTTTTCGAACCAGCGCAACCGTACAATGACCACGATGATGTTGACGAAACCAAGATTGCTGATAATCGGGGCCACATAGATGTAGACCTGTTGATACGTTTTCAAGAGATTGACGTCAACACTAGGGCGCGTCAGTATCTCCCATCACCGGATGATCGAGCGACCAACGTATTCAGTCCGGATTCCGTCGAGGCACTGGCCCCGAAGAAGAACGCGTCGATGGCTCGCAGGTTGCCATATGGATAGATGATGGCCAAACTGAGTATGCTCAGAGTGATAATGTACGCATCTGCAGTCGAGTAAGTTTTAGTCGCTCTTGGTTCCAGAAGCGTACTGACAATGCAAAGTGATGAAATTGAGGGAAGGCTTCCACATCCCTGGTACTTGGTCAACTGAGGCACGCAACGAGGCAGCTGAAGAAGCACTTGAAAATGAAAGCAAGATGCAAAAGATAGAGAAAAAGAAGAATGCATCTCTTTAAACATGCGTCGCTGCACGTGGGGTGAACCATGTGTGTGGGTGGCGGTGCATGAAGCTATAATCCTGATAACCTTCCTTTTAGCGTGCGGGATTTATCTGGGCCAATCCTCGAAGCAATCGAACAGATTGGAAGATATTGCTCGTTTCGGGACGACAAATACCATGGTTTTCCTTATCATTATTGGCAAATACTTTACCTAAGGCGAATTGTCTGCTGACCTGCATTCTATATCTTGTACAACTAAAATATGCGATCTGCAAACCCTATCTGCTATCACACATGTCACAATTGATCCATCCATCACCACCAACCTCACCAGTCCACAAGCACACAATTATTCATCTCTCTGTCTCAATATCTTAATGGTAAACTCTACCGTAAGCTGACCGGTTGGAAACCTCCATCCCCTGCTGTACTGGCTGAGTCTCTTAACCCCCAGCACCACATCGCAGACGAAAAAGACCAGATGTAGAGTCCTAGACAACAATCAGCTTGCACAAACAACAAATAATGAAACTTACATGATGACCGTCTCAAACACAAGCCCGACAAGTATCACCGCCTTGATCGCGTCCGCAAACCTGTCACATCTCGCCTCGAACCCTGGAGCTGGAAACCCCCGACGATAGTCATCGCATTGTCCCCAGATTACAATCGCAGGGCCACTAAGAACTGGGTTGAGCAAGAAGAAGAAAACGATCAAGGGATCGAAGATGAAGTTGACAAGGAGCCATGCGCCGGTGTTCTGGACGGTCAGTTTGAAGATGCCGAACAAACTGGCGACCGCGCATAGGAAGCTCTATACGCAGGTTAGACATGCGATCAAAATTGACCGAAAAAAAGTCATACCAGAGGGAGCAAGGCCTCGATGGAATCTTCCATTTCCCAGGGGAGAAAGTCGTAATAAGGGGAGAGTTTCACGACCAGGTAGACGGTGAGGCTGTACAGGAAGGTCACGGCGGAGGTGATGGCGGACGACCAGATGAGGATGGTGACAATTCTTGAGGGCCATGTTGGTCGCGTTGTGGTAGTATCCTCGTCGTTGAGTTCATTTTGACTCGGAAGGAGAGGCGTTCTTTCGTCCATGTCGGACTCAATGCGTTGATGCGTTGAAAAAGGGATTCATGAGGAATTGAGGATGGGGGGAGTTAAAGGAACGAGGTGTCAAGCTGATACAGTCTAACCAATGCTAGTTAATCACTCTAGGCAGAATCAACTATTAGAGGCCTTTCGCAGCACTTAATATAAAAATGTCATATCATTAGCCATATTGCCGGCTAATCGCTCCGATAATACCCATTAAATCATACCTCCTATCATCCACTAGCTATACCTAGCTTGCTATTCCAAATGCATGTGAATGTATCATTAGGGTTCCCTATATATTCCAGAGATGATAAACTGAGTGTCTCAAAATCCTCCTTAAAAATTGCTGGATTTGTTGAAGGCCATGGGCACAGATCTTCGCATAAAGCTCTCCGGAACTAATACTGTTCCATCCAGATTTTTATATAGGATATATATTATTCACTTTCTGTCTAATTAACAAAAGCCATAGAAGGAAATACCACAAACCCACCCCTTACCATCTCAAGTCTATTTTGCCTCCCAGTTCAGCGGTCTGCCGCCCTTCGCGAGCGCAGCGCAAGATACAGTAGAACATAATTCAGGAGATAGAGTACAATGAAAATACCACCCAGGATAATCGTGGCATCGCTGCACCGCCGGCGGGATGTCGTTTTGTCAAATCCTTGGTAGTAGTAGCAGAAGAGATAGTATGCTATAGGGCCAAACGCGGCACAGATTCCGGATCTGATCCCATGTTATTTTCATTCCTTTTGCTGCGGTAACTGTAAATGAAGAACTTACATGAACATGATTTGGTAGACAAGGTCACGTAGGCGCCAAAGAAGGGTTGTTGACTGGGCATTTTGTCGAGTCGTTGCAGGATTTGATGGACCTTTTTCTGGACTGGTTGTACTCATTGTGTATCTAGAAGACAAATATGATGAATGAAAGGCAGGAGCTTCATGGTCAGGGTATTTGAACGGTCCTTGCGTTGATCTCCACTTGGGCCGCCAAGAATAGGAAGCTATTGAAGCTTTAACCAAGCGAGAGTCCACCTAGCAGTGGAGAAATGAAATAGGTATCAGAATGTAATCAAACGGCAGTGTGGATTCAGCCTTAATCATCTTATGTGACAGACACCGTCTGTTCCCGGCAACAAATTATCCTCTATCAGTTCAGACATATATAAGCCATTCCCTAACTTAAATTATTACTGTCTCTGGGATCTTCAAAGTCCCGTCAGGTAACATGGCAGCATCTAGACACCTCTCTGATAAAGGAAGGAAATCCAAACAGGGTTCTCCAGTGACACACTTGCTGCCCACATCAGCAAAGATGTGTTGATATCAGCCGATTCTGGGTTGCTATCATACCCAAGTGCCATGAGTATATATGTACATAATATGTCATCTCATTTTCTCCTGCGAGGTGGTCTTTGCTGCTGACGTGAGACTGGGGCAGTTGCCTTTAGTAGTGCACTGAAATTGAGGCTGTGTTTTTTATATATTCCCGACCAGCCACTGAGTCTGATAGATAAAACATTATCTCATAATCTCTGTATGGACACTAGAATCTTGTCTATACATCCGCCGCTATAATACCTTTTTATTGCATGTTGGAACAGGCAGACAAAGAAAGCAGACAGCTAAAGCTCTTTCCACTTTACTATCCTCATCTTAAACTATATATTTAATTATTACGCCACGATGAATGCAAACCGAGGCGCCAAAATAGTCCTACACTGGTAGACTCTCCCTCCCACAATCCTCCTTCTGAAGCTCACTCTACCAGGCTGGAAAAATCCCGCGCCCAGCGCATAATGTGGCTCATGGAAGAACTAAATCTCTCCTACAACATCAGGACCTACAAACGCGGTCCCAACGGCATCGCTCCCCCGGAGCTGAAACACATCCATCCACTAGGGAAATCACCCATCGTCTCGGTCGAACCAGCGGATGCCTCCCCCATGGTCCTTGTCGAGTCGGCCGCCATCATCGAGTACTTCCTCGATCACTTCAGTGGACCGAACACTCACCTCGTTCCACAGCGGTATCGACCCGGCCGCGAGGGCCAGGTAGGCGGCGAAACCGAGGCCTGGATGCGCTATCGGTACTTTATGCACTACGCAGAGGGGAGTCTCATGTCTCCGATCCAGGTGCAGCTCATAATGAATGGTATTTGCCCTGCCCCAGTTCCTTCCATCTGTCCAGGACTAATGTATGAACGAAGCGCTCAAAAACGCCCCGGTCCCCTTCTTCATAAAACCCATCACCGGGTTCATCACCGGAAAGGTCAGCGCCGAGTTCCTTGACCAAGAGCTGCGTACCCATTTCCGCTTCCTCGAGGACCAGCTGGCGTCGGCCCCGGAGGAAGGGCCGTTTCTGTGTGGTTCGCGGCTGACGGCCGCGGATATCCAGATGAGTATTCCGGTTATTGCGGCGCTGAATCTGAGTATTATCCCGCGGAAGGAATATCCGCGGTTGGATGTCTATGCGGGGGTGATTCAGAATGAACAGGGGTACAGACGGGCTGTTGAGAAGGTGGAGAGGATTGAGGGGAGGCCTTTTGTGCCGATTTAGTTGTGTAGATCTAGTCACTGCTTGGACCAGAGGAACCTTGGAATTAGTTGGCTAGAAAGAATATGTTTGATTCATGAAGCCAGGACCGGGATGGTCCAGGAGAGCCAGGTGGCACAGGGGCAGCTATTACTGCCGTGCAGTAATGCATAAGACATGGCTTTTACGCTGACGTGCCGTCTTTGGAATAGCCCATGCATATAATGACCAGGTAATCCGCGTCACAAGGGGGTTAAGCGCCATCTATCCGAGGCAGGGAAGTCTCCAGATACAAATGGACATATGGATGTCAGATAGAATTATCTACTGAGCTAGGATAATAGACGAAAACCGATCCGACTATGGTATCGTGGTCGTCAGCGTCTCCGTCACGGTAGTGCATCGGATACGTCAAGAAATTGGGATTTGTATGTGGGTGGTACGGACTGCAGAACAACATTCCGGAGAACGCGACAGTAAGTCTATCCCCTTCTGCCAGAAAAGCATACACTTCTCCGGCTTTGTTGGAAGGGGCAAGCAGCAGCTGGCATTGACATCCTAATGGCCGATAGAGTTTGACTGATCTCAGCCGCTTTAAGGGACGGTGGCTATCTGTAGAGATGTCGCCGACGCCTTGCTATGTCCACTCGCCAGCAAGTCATCTCACATCTCAACTCCAGAAGTAGACATCAGTGAACTTCTAGGCTACAGATATAGGGGCATATTTACTCGTATTGAGCTAATCGTCGCGGAAAGGGCCTGAGAACACAGTTCTATAAGTCCAGCGGTAGTCTGTAGGGACAGTGTACCTGTCCTGAATACGTGGTAAGGGATCAGCATCAGTCTCATTAAGCGCCAGGGTTTATGTGAGGACGAGCGGTTCTATTGGACAAGTTCGCGCCTGCCATGTCCAGCTCCAGAGTTCAGCCAGACTCTGCCCCCTTGAGACTCTGTTAAGACGCGTTTGCCAATAAGGCAAAATGCGACTTTTCGAAAGAATATATGACGTCGTCGAGCCCATCGAGGAATATCATCGAAAAGGCTACCAACCTGTGCACCTTCATGACTTATAAAAGCTGGCCTTTGGCCAATTCTCAACAGTATGGCTTGCACATAATCAATTGTGAGTGCCCTCAGCAGACTGTCTTTCCCACAAGACAACTAACTACCACAATCAAGGCTCCAAAAAAAAGTTGCATTGAAGATCCTAAAAGCAGAAGCTTCCAGGAACAATAAAGAGCTTGCTATGCTTCTTCGTTTATCTGAGCCCAGCCTAAAGCATCCTGGTAAAGGGCATGTCAATGAACTGTTGGATTACTTTGAGCATAATGGCCCCAATGGAACACACTTATGTCTGGTTCTCCCTGCAATGGTTTCTGATGCCGCCGCAATGGCTGTCAGTGGAAAACCGCACCATGCAGCGGACATACGATATATTTCTGAACAAATCCTGTCGGGTCTTGACTTCCTTCATACGCTAGGCATTATTCACTGCGGTAAGTCATCACCCTCGCCATGGATTCAGTAGTCTCCTGACCTTATGCAGACCTACAACCCGCAAATATCCTGTTCTCAATGGTTGGACTTGCAAACAGTGAAACACACTTACAGCCTCCAGAGTTCAGTCCCGTTAGGTGGCTAGAAGGAACAGTAGTCGACGACAGCGCGCCGAAATATCTACTGCCTACACAGAGACCTCGAGGCCATCTGGATGAGGCAGATTTCTCCGAGTTCGAGGTTAAAATCCGTGACCTCGGTGGGGGTATGATCCTCCCATTTTCACATCAGATTTGAATATGCTTAATAACCCATTCACTAGCTGTATCGTGTCGACAGGGTGATCGGAAGCCAGTATCACCGAGAGCCTTGCGCACACCTGAGCTAATCCGCCGAAATACTTGGGATGCTGGCATTGATATATGGACATTGGGGTGTCTGGTATGCCTCCCAGAGCTTCGACTCGTTCCTATCTGAACTTTTCAAAGGTATTCGAACTAGCAACGAATGAGCCGTTGTTTCCATTGGGAACATTTGGCCTCACGGCAGAAGAGATTGACCAAGAGCATATCAACCTTATTAGCCAGCTGCTTGGCGAAGACGGTCATCTGCACGAGGATTTTCACAAAGCATCTGATGGACAGGCTGCCACCAGACTTTGGTGCCGAGAACGTCCAGCGTCTTGCATCGTTTCTTTCGTCGATGCTACGACCAGATCCTCTGAAGCGAATGTCGACTACTGAGTTACTCAAGCACCCATTCCTAATTGGACAGAGAGCCTAGAAATTTATGGGGTTCGTTGCTGTAGTGACTGATGACTACGCGGTAAATAATGGCCAATGCTGTCACAGTTACCACCCCTGGCTCGGGACCTGGCAGGTAATAGTCTTGTTCTGGCGCTTGCAGGCAACGTGCTTATGTATGGATTCGGCGAGGATGATGATTCGGACTTGAGGCGTCGCCGAGAGGCTCTGCTCTGCTGAAACCATCATGGTGTGTTCTTCTGTTGATAGTTGAAGTCAAGTAGTTAGGGCTCAGGCAGCAGCTTGCCTGAGGCATTTGTTATAGATGTCGACAATTCAATGACTCCTGCTGCATTACTTGAGACTGAAAAGCGTATGTTGCGTCTCTGGTCAATTCTTATCTCCATCCCTCTTCTCAGTAGAATTGCAGACTATGTAGCTGGCCCGTCTCTACTGGCCACCTGCACGAGCATCTCCATGCTCTTGCCATATACATGAACTAATATCTGGATAATACGTCAAACCCAGGTGTCTGGCTACTCATTATGAAGTCTCACTCTTGGAACCATCAACCAGGAAACCCCCGTGGCGCCTAGCAATCCAACAAGAATCGGCTGCAAGACTTTGACGCCAGCATGAGTTGCCAAGATGCCAGTGACAGCTGGGAAAATCGATCCTCCCACCTGGCCAAGCACGAACACAAGAGCTTTTGGTCATTGGTCAGCGAGACTCTACATAGATGACGACGCACACACCTAGTGCAGACGAGCGAATCTCCGCAGAGAAGATCTTGGACGCAACAGATATGCCTGTAGCAAAAAAGGGACCGGAAAAGAACCCAAAAAGACTGATGGCTACTGCTTCCGTGATGATATTCGGCACACTATACGATCAGCAATGGCCGTCACATCTGAAGGAACACGTACAGCCAGAATATCAGCTGCAGACCAACACACAGCACTACGTAGATGAAGATCATGCGTCGCTCCCCCAAGCGGTAGGTTGGCTCAGCCAGAATGAGTCTCCCGAGGAATGCTCCTCCATAAAAGCCGGCGGGAACGTAGCCCATATCCTTGAGATCACCGTCTCGTACATCGACGAGGTACTCCACAATCCATCCTATTCGATCAGTATTGTCTCAGATAGAGGGAACTTGACTTACCACCGGCGGTAATGGCAGCCCCCAGGAAGAAGAAGAAATACAGACTCAACAACCACACACTTGGCGTGCAAAGAGTCCGCTTCATCTCCTGTAGACCCCCCTTCCTTGTCTCCTGAGAAGATTGACCAAACTGCTGCAGCAACCTCAACGAATCCCTAAACGCAACCACCACAAGAATCAGGTTGATCACGCCTAGTCCCAACGGCGCAGCATAGAACAGATTCCAACGAGAATGCACACCTGCCGAAGCCACGGCAGTCGAGACAAACGGGCCTACCAGACACCCGGCCATGTACATGGCATGAATAAACCCCAGCCATCGATGCGCGGCTTTGACGGATGCAACAAATGTGTTGGCGTGTGTATCTTGATATGCCTGGCCGAGACTCGCAAAGAAGAAGGTTACTGCGAACAATGGAAACGGAGGATGCCAGGTCCGCAAGGCGTGCGCCAGAACTTGGAGAACGGCCCCTAGAACCAGGAGGACACCCAGATCAAGGTACTGGCAGAGATGGCTGTTGGAGAGCGCGGCGAAAAACCAGCCGCAGAATGTCGTGCCGTATCTGTCTGCTGTTATTAAGGATGTTCGAAGACGAGACGAGAACGTACACGACAGCGACGAGATTTGTGTCGATATGATATCCTTGACGGATATAAGGGATCAGAGATCCAAGACTGCCATCGTTGATGCCGGCTACAAAGAATGAGAAACCGGCGCTGACGAGTTTGAGATAAAGTCTGGGGGTTTGAAGATGAGGTGTCTCTACTTCGAGTGGCTCCATGGTGTATGAAGTTGGAGAGCGTAAGCATCTTCTTCTTACTGGAAGATCCACCACACTATATATGCGGTGTCTCTGCTCAAATAGGCAGGTGGCCCAACGACACAGACTTACCTAATCAGGCAAACCAGCCAGCAGGACACATCTCGAAAATCATCAGTGGAGCATTTTCTATCGTCATCAAGCAAATAGAACCAAAATGACACATTGCTTATTTTGAGGCACTTGTTCAATTAATCCTATATAGGAATAGTGATGTGCCTCGACTGTGAGTGTTTTGACGTCAGTATGAGCGAGATTGAACCTTTTACAAGCATACTGAGAGATTACATAGACTTTAAGAATACAAACATCTCTTTAGAAGAGCCATGGCCTTCAGTACCTCAGGTTTAGACGCTCTTCTGCGCCGTCCAGAGCAAGAAAGCATATGGAGCCGCTTGCGCAGGGCCCCGATGCCTGTTCTTGCCGAACTTGTTTACACCCGATTCGCTCAAACGCGCACGCCCACTGATCATGATGGCCCAACCATCCGCGTGGTTTGCATCTCAGACACTCACAACACTGAGCCTCAACTACCGGATGGAGATCTTCTCATCCACGCAGGCGATTTCACTCAGTCAGGTACTCAAGCAGAGCTAGAAGCACAGATCGAATGGCTCGATCGCCAGCCGCATCGCTTCAAGGTAGCGATCGCAGGGAATCACGAGCTATGTCTGGATCCCAAAGCTCAGGTTAGAGCTCAAACACCTGGTCGCAATGAGCCAGTCGACTGGAAATCAATCCGCTATCTGGAGAACTCATCGACAATTATCGACTTTGGTTGCAGACGCGTCAAGGTGTTTGGGTCCCCGTACACCGCGCGACACGGGAACTGGGCTTTCCAGTATCCGCGAAACGAGAATATCTGGGGTGAGATACGGACCCCTGAGGACATTGATATTCTGATTACGCACGGCCCCCGAAGACGCATTTAGATCTGGGACGGTATGGCTGTATATTCCTTCGGGACTGGTTATGGTCAGCCAAACGAAAACCTTTGCTGCATGTGTTCGGTCACGTCCATGGGGCTTATGGGAAGGAGACTCTGTGCTGGGACGATTTGCAACGAGCGTACGAGAGCATCATGGATAATGAAGCACAGTGGATGAGTCTGATCATGTTACTGTGGCATGCACTTCTACTGCTTATACGGCCGAGGGATCCTTGCCAAAGGACTGTGATGGTTAATGCCGCTGCAATTGGAGGACTCCGGGATGAAAAGAGACGGGACGCTATTTGCGTTGATATCTAACCATCAACGTCATCAATAGACTACTGCACTACAGCTAGCGCTCATCAACAGAATCCGGCCAATAATACAACCCCCGATCCAGCGCCTTCTTCAGTGTCGGATTTACCCTGACATACCCGCCTTTTCCAGCCCCGCAAAAACCCCGTCGATCAACTCGGCCACCATTCCCCCGAACACAATACTGCCCTGCACATTCAGATGCGTCCGGTCCTCCGGATTGAGATTATACGTGTACGCCTTCTCGGGCCCAATCCTATTCAGGTATCGCGTACTCGCACCATTCAAATCGATGTACGCCGCATGCGAATTCTGCGCGGCCGCGATAGTCGCCGCGCGCTGGTCCGCCAGACTCAGGATAATAGTAGACTCGCCGGTGGCGTTGGAAGTCTCGTAATTCCGGCGTGAAAGCGGGGTCACCAGGATAGGCGTCGCGCCTGCATCACGCGCCTCGCTGACGAATCGCTCCAGGTTGCGTGTGTACTCCGCGAGAGAGATGTTGGCGGCGGGTTTCTGGTCGTTGTGGCCGAACTGGATGGTCACGAAGGGCGTGTAGCGGTCCTTGTACTCGGCTACTTTGGCGAGAACCGTGGCCCAGTCGCCTCCTGCGCGGAAGCTGACGGTCGTGGCGCCGTTGTGGCCGTAGTTGAGGCCGCTGGCGCCGTGGAAGAGGGTCGTGTTGAGGAATCCGTTGCCCCAACCGCCGCCGTTGGAGGACTGTTTGGCGGTTGTGCTGTCGCCGGCTAAGAGGAAGAACGGTGGTTTGAGAGTGTGGCCGGGAGTCGGCAGGGCGTAGAGGGGGAGAATGAAGAATGATAGGAGAAGAAGACGCATTGTGATCTCTGGTGCCAATACTGGTAGATGAACCTCATGTTGCGTGGACTACACAGCATCTTATACTGGAGTCTGGGATGTGGCTCGGGATAATGCCATGCAGCAGCAGTGTTTCCACCAACGGGAAAATTAGAGTCAATCTGCAGCCAGTTGGCATGCTGCCATTCATCGTACAACATTCGAGGTATAGCGATATTGGAGACTGAAAGATTCCGCAAATGAACGTTGATCCTTCTCGGTTGTTAACAGTCCGGGGTACATATAGTGACACGCAGGATCTTGGATGCAAACCTTACTGTCTCTGGAATCTGTTGAGGGATGTCTAATGAATCTAGTTTATGCTTTTTAGTAGAACGTTAGCTTGTAGGAGGCGACTCCCCGGCATAGCAGCCCCTGGAGAGGGCAGCTGTGTGGGTATTACTACTACTACTACTACTACTATAATAGTCTATCCGTCTTCCAATCTGTAGATTCAAAAAAATTTCATAGCTATCAATTACCGGCCCCTTCCGCCAAATAGCAAAGTCGGTACTTCGAATATGGAAAGCGCAAAATAATCTGGCATCCACAATCGTGGTGTTTCCATCCTAGTCACGGGACTACACTGGGAAGGATATACCCAAACTTCTTCCCTCTTTCAACCCACGTCAAGAAGAATCAACCCCAGTATCTGGATGAGGGATGAAGGGACACTCAAGCTCTTGAAATGTTACGTTCCCACGTTGAGATGTCGAGCAAGAGTATCTGAATCCGCTACTGAAGGTACGGCATTCGCCATGGTCAATATGTGGTGCCGCGGTCTTACCGGTGGAGATTCCAATTTCCAAGATATGGACGGGAAAAATACAAGGCAAGGAAAGTCATTGAACATCACCGATCAATACAAAATGATATCAGATCAACAGATGGCGACAACATTTCCCCGCTTAGTATCATCGTCACTTGGGCGGGTTCAATGTGCTCGCCTCCTCGGTCCCGACATAGGGAACCCGATAAATATCAGGCGCCGGGGGTAGGCCATCGTGCTTGTAGTCTCGAGGCGAGTTGATGAACTCTTCAAAAACCAGCTGGCGTGAGGGTTCCGGAATGCCTATACCGTTCTCATTAGTCCGGCGCAAATGAGTAAAATGCAGGAAATCCACGCACGGTCTAGAAGAGCTTGATGCCCCATGAACGACATGCCTAATGACTCTCCACCGGAAGTATGCCAGTCTAGCAACCGCAATCAGCCCTCTATCTGTTCCAATGAATCAAGAAACACATAGTACACACGGCTGGCCTCGTGGCGGTCGCGCAGTTTGGCTGTCGCGAATTCGAAGTGACATTCATTGCAGCGCCATTTCGGATACGGCAGATGCCGTCGATCCAGGGCACTGAAATTCTCCCGAAGCACAAGACCCCCGGGGCAAGGTTGTCGCGCTGGAGACTATGGGTGACAATCTCGAGGACTGTGTTATCTTCCAGATCTTCCAGCTTCTTGGGTTCTTCGTCCTTTGCGGGTGTGGTGTTTTGATTCCGGGACATATTGCCGGGGTTTGGAAGAGGAAGGACGAAAAGATCAGACCTCGAGAGAGGAGACGGCGCAATTATATTGGAGGAGGAATGGTGACACGGAACTCTTTATACGAGGTCAAGCGTTTAGCGCGGGGCGCGAGGCTGAATCCCGCACGAGGCTGTGGGAGACTAGACTGGCATATGGAAGAGACTCATCTGATTTGATTAAAGAGCTTCAAAGACCGTTCAACCTCAAGCGACAAGAGATGACGAGGTCTTTCTTGATTTTTTCTTGGCCGTCAAGATCGGCAGATGAGGCTGAGTTCCGACGACCTATATAAAGATGACTTTTTCCACCCCGACTGCAGCCGTCTTCTCGTTCACCTAGTCATCAACTACATAATATAATCCATCATGGTTGAGCCCAAGCGTGCTGACCCGGCTTTGCCGGATGCCCTCAGCGAGTTTGCTCAAGCTGCGGGCCTCCAAGGGGGTATAGCACCGGCATCAGCTTCTGAAGTCTTCCAGATCGTGGAGCACGCCAACCGCAAGTTTCAGTCCTCGTCTCCCAAGTCTGTCAAGTTCTCGCAGAAGCTATCACCATGTCTCGAGTCAATCAACCGGTTTTCGTCTGTCATAGACACATTCATCCAGTCGAATCCCACCATCTCGGGTTTAGTCTGGGGTAGTCTCAAATTCCTGCTGCAGGTTCGTTCCCTCCGGACTGTCCCGGTCCAGAAACACACGCAGATGTTGAAGCAGCTAGGGAGCACTCCAATTTACCTCCTACCTCGAAAGGCTGGGCGAAATGTTTGAAGAATTTGGTCAATTCTTTCCGGTCGTTTCCGAGTATGAAACGATCTTCGAGAGCTCTGATACGGTCCGAGCTGCGGTGTTGCATCTGTACACGGACGTTGTCCACTTCTTCACTCGAGCAGTGAAGTTTCTGAAGAGAAAGCGTACGCAAAACTGAGTAGGACAGACTGTACGATACTGACTGAGAATGCGTCGGTAGCAAGAGACCTCATCTTTCGGACGCTCGTCAAACCGTTTGAGCATGACTATGCGCAAATTCTTAAGAGCTACCAGACCCACCGCAACGAGCTGCAGATAGTGGCACTTGCTGCCATGGAGAGGAATGCCAGGAAGGAACGGGAACTGGCAGAGATTGCTCGCATTGCGGCCGAAGAGGAGAGAGTCGCCGCGGAAAATGAACGCAAAGAGGCAGCAGCTGAGAGGCAGCGTGCCGAGCAAGCGAGAACAGACATTCGCGAAGAAATCAAGCGGCAGGAAGCGCACAGGAAGGAGGCGTCGCGGGCACGAGAAGAGGTCCGGGAGGAGACCAAGAACCAGGAGGTCCACCGGACGGTGGTTCAGGGACAACTGAAAGGTAAGATCAGAACTCTTACCAGATGCAACCCTACGACTGATAGATGTCATTTGGTAGGACTGGAATCAGATTCAATGATACGGTGGTTGGATCCCCCAGACTATGAAAGTATGCTGAGTCAGATGGTCAGGCAACGCCAGGAAGATACTGTTCTCTGGATTGAGAGACATCCCAAGTATCTCTCCTGGAGACAATATGCCAACTGGACGCGTGACATTTTGTGGATCTATGGCGGTCCTGGTATGGGCAAGACTATTCTATCAGCAACCATCATTGAGGACCTTAGACGCCTTCACATCACGCAGAGTCCTGATCAAACAACTAAACGATACGCCGTGTGTTTCTTTTTCTTCGATTCGAGCAACGTCTTTGAGCAGCCAGAAGTGGTAATGCTCCGAGCCCTCGTAGCACAGCTGCTGCACCAGGCCGACAAGCCCGACCCCTCAACCAAATTTACCTTGCACGACGCTCGGCGCATGCGTCACTGACAGAGCTCAGAGAGGCATTCTCGACCCTGGCGAGCGACTTCTCGGGTGTCTATGTTGTTATTGATGGACTGGACGATGCGGCGAACGCCAGTGATGCCCTGCAGCTTTTGCTCACGCTCTTGGTCCAGGTGTCACCCGTCATGAAGCTGCTGGTCATCAGCCGTCCTGAGCCCGATATTCGGCGCTTCTTTCATTCCCATCCGCAGTTTGAGTTGACAGAGGATATCACTCAACCGGATGTGCGACGAGTCGTCACGACTCGCGTCCAGTCAGCATGCGAGGACAAGAAGATCAGAGCTTCTGACCCTAATCTTCGGCAGGAGATTGTCGACGCCCTCGTCTCGAGTAGTTCCGGAGTGTAAGTCGTCCTCAATACAACGTTCATTCAGTCAATATAGCTGACGGGCAGCTGTATGCTAGATTCCTCTGGGCGACAATGCAGGTGAAGCACCTCCAGACTCTTCGTGTGCAGACTGATCGAACTCTACGCGCTGCTGTCCGCAATCTGCCCAGTGGTGTTGCAGATATCTATGGTCGCATCCTAGCCAAGATAAACTCCTACGCGGAGGAAGATCGCCTGCTGGCTGAAGAGCTTCTCCGCTGGGTTGTCTGCGCCAGACGACCGCTGAACGTCTCCGAACTCTGCTGTGCACTTGCCATCGACATCGGAGACGAGGAGCTAAACATGGATAACGTTCCGACCAACACGAGTGAGATCGTAGACGCCTGCAGCCCTCTGCTCTCCATCGGCGACAAGGGGACTGTTAGCCTGGTTCACTCAACGGTGGCACAGTTTCTTCTGGACCCTTCCAACAAAGCCTCTGTCCCTGTGGGCACCGACCGATACTTCATCGAGCAGATAGAAGCTCATACCATGCTGGCGGAGAAGTGTATATCTTATCTGTCTCTGCTTTCATTTCGCAATCGTATCTCCGGGTCGCAGACTTTGGCTAAGATCACACATGAGGAAATCCACGCGTTTCCATTGCTGGAATACGCCGCTTTAAATTGGTGGAAGCATGTCGCTCACTCCAGCCTCTCGAAGAGCTCGGCAAAAAGGCTTGTGGATCTGATGTTCAACTTAGCCAAATCTAGTCAGGGCCTGACTTGGCTTGAGGTGTCCATCACCTTGTCGCTCTCCCTGGAACATTTACACACCGTATCGACGCAATTGCGTGCCTGGTTACGCCGGCTGGAGTTTGAGCATGAACATATCAACGACCTCAAGCTGTGGTTGGAGGGCCTTGTAGATCTCACACGCGTCTGGGATTCCATCCTAAGAGAATCTCCCTTTGAGCTGAGATCTACCGTTAAGAAATTTAGTACTGAGGGACAATTCTTCCAGAAGCATTTCGGCTCCGACTTTATCGGTGACATTGGGCCACCTCCCGCCTCGTTGCGGCGAACCAATACGAATCCCACTGTGGCAGAAGGAAATACATTCGATATTCTGGTTGACGACGAGGAAGGCTATGTCCTGCATCCGTCGGGAAAGATCCGCTTCCAGTTCACCTGGGATATCGTGCAGAGTAATGGAACCAACTCACTTAGATACACTATCTATTCTGAAAGCCCGATCACAAGGAGGCAATTCAAGAGAGTCGAATTTGCCCACGAAATACCCTGGAAGCTCCCGCAGGGCTTCCACCTCGGACTGCATTCCGTTGCCTTTAGTCCTGACTGGGATTACATGGCTATCGCTACGGTCGAGTCCGTGAGAGGACTGCCTACGGGACGCCGAGATCAGGGCACAACCACCATCCGCGTTTTCCTCTGGCGGCTGAGGGAACTCGATGAACCCAGCGAAGAAATCCTTTTCGACCTCCCCTGGATATTACCTACCAAGGGTAGTGACGGGAACGTTTACAGCGGCTACGTTGGTCAAGCCCAGTATGATTCCTTCCGGGGCTCTCGATGCGCAGTTGCCTTCTGGAAAGTCAAATCCATCCTCTATCTGCAGACCCCATTTGGAGCGGTGGATGTAGAAACAGGTGCTTCCCTGGAACATCCTCATTATCTTCAAAATGTCGTAACCCAACAGACTGTGACCCAATGCACATTCAGCCCCGATGGGCGTCGAATCGCAATGGTCAGGAACCATACAGATTTCGAAATTGCCAACATCGATGGTTCCAACGTCTGCGCCACGAAGCTCAATGGCGAGATATGCGAGATCCTGAGCATTAGCAGGACAGGCCGATATGTAGCGATCTGTCTCAACCAGCCTGCCACGTCGTCACAGCTAACCCAGTCACGCCTTGTCGTTCTCGACACGGTGACCAATACACTCCAGGTCCTACTGACGGGAACTCAGGAACGACGGTTTGACGAGGTGTCTTTTAAGCTCCGGGGCTGGCTATCGTGGTCTCAATGGGCCGCCCAGGGACGGTACGTGAAGTACATACCCAAGGGACTGGCCCCCGTTCGGCCAGACAGGCACTGCATTCAAGTTTACTCCGTCTTCAACTGGCTAGTTGGCGGAGCCTCCAGTGAGCTGTACATCGAACCCGACATTGACTACCTGCTGGACCCTCAGGAGCAGCGTTGGGGTTTAGTGCAGCCCGCGGCTATCAAGAGAGAACTACCGCTCTCATCCAGTGCGACCTATCTATTCTCAGATCGGACCATACGTCTCTCGGACAGCACGTTTATTTTATCCGTTGGCTTCTCGCCGCAGGATGAGCACTGTTGTATTCTCACGTCCAAGCAGACAGTCCTACTTCCTAGCTCGCTGCAACCATCGCCTCTGACCTATGCACCCCCTACGGCTGGTAAACAGCAGAAGACCACATATCGGACGTATACTCGTCTGTTTGACCACAACAGAAAGCTTGGTTGCTTTCAACTAGCCTACCAGTAAGTTGGCCCGCCCTGCTCGCCTGGCAATTCGCTTACCTGCCGCAGTGGCACGGAAGGACGCTGGATGGATTATCTGGACTACAAGACGCATGACATTGCCAAGAGCATCACTGCCCGTGTGTACATATGGGATCTCTGCGGCACGCCGAGGCTCATCCGTGACAAGCTTCTGCAACTGGATGAGGTTGAAATCAACATGCTTCGGTACGAACAGTACCGCCGGCTGGATGTGGCTTTCCACCCAGCCTGTGATCGCATGGCAATCTTCAACGTAGTGTACAACCTCGACCGGGTCACCAGCAGCAGCGTAGAATACCAGATATACCATGAGACGAACAAGTTCCATCCGGATATCGCAGCTGGACGCACGAACAATGCCTGGCAAGTATCCTTCAGTCCGGACGGCAGATACATTGCGTTTGCCGTCACGGCGAGTACCCGGACCCCAGGACTTTATGGGAAACGAGGAGAGATCACCAATGCGGTGGTCCTGTTCGAAACCGACGAGCCCAAAATCCCATTATGCTCGCAGATCTCGAGCCACAAGGGCGACACTCTCGCCATGGGCTCGTGTTCTGTTACATTCCACCCAACGGACAGGAAGCTACTCTGGACATCAATGTTTGTCTTCACCGACGCTACGACCAAGACAACCACAAAGCTACTGGACTTCAGTCACGAGCCATACGAGACGTCCTTCATCACAGGTAAGTCCTCTGCCCTTCACCAATCGGGCCCTAACCGATAATCTCAGACCTCAAATACGACGACTTCAAGTTCATCCCCACCCCCACGGGAAACCAGATCTACGGCCACCCCTCCCAAACTGGCCACCCCGGCTTCTGGGACCGTCTCAACACAAACGCGCACACACCGCAGCCAACTAACCTCCTTGAACCCGGCAAGATCCAGCTTACCGGCCTGGCACATAACGCTCGACACATCACCGGGATCATCGCCGGCCCCACCCCAGCGAACTCGACCTCAACCTCCGGCGGCCCAACATTCACATTCACCAAGAAGACCATCCTCCAACTACCCCCTCCACCCACCTCCACCAAAACACCGCGCGAGTCGTCCAGCGAGCGAATGACTACCTCGTCATCCTCCTCTTTCAGGACGGCCCCGTCCACTTGAACAACACTAACGCCCGCGGGAGCGCGAGCGCGAGCGCCAGCACGAGCCAGACCGAGACCGAGAACCTCGTCAAGCCCATTCTGATTCCCGTGGATGCGAAGGAGCTCGCACCGCGACCCGTCTCGCCGCTCAAGGCACGCGACGTGGATGATATCCACCCTCTACTCACTATGCCCCACGGAAGTTGAAAGATGACCTGCTGGGTCTCCACCATGAGTAGATTCGACCTACTTACTCCGGTATTGGTGAACGAAACGAACAGACGCATCCTGAAATGGTGTATCATGGCAAGTACAGTTCCACTAGCCCTACCACGTGGACAAAGAGACAACTAGATAGTGCTGTGAGCTGTAAGTTGTGAGCATCAAGATCAGGCAGACGTCCACACCCCACCCCGAGATCTAATTCTCGGTCTCGCATCACCTACATCAAAAATCAATCAATCAAGAGGACGAGACGGGGCACCACCGATCTCTTTCTTCCATTTGTTCCTGTTTCCATTTCCGGCAGGGATTGGAGTTGTTCAATTTGTTTGATGATGACCTCTTTCTGCTTATGTGCGTCTCTCTATAATCTTCTGGTTTGGTTGGAGAGGACGTGGAGTGCCTTGGGACGGCTGCCGAGTCTCACAGGACCAAAATCCAGCTCAAGGTCTATATAGGCAACGGAGTCTTTCATGCATATGACAGCCTATACATTCATCTGGAAACGACGACTAAAAAGCTTTAAGTATAGCTCTGGTGTTAAAACTCTCTTGTCTGCGCTCTCTAAGATACAACGACGTGGGTAGTTCCTCGTTGAAATATATATACATACCTATATGCGCCCTTATATATCATTGAAATCTGAAGTCCAACGGGACATCTCTATAGTTAGGGTCTTCCTATTAGTCATCTACTGCAATGATTCCATAAAGTATCACATTAACATTCAATTGCTATGTACAACAAATACATGGGTATGGACACACAAAACATAATCAAGGCGAGTCCCCATCATGTCTTCAAGATTCATTCCCTTTTCTTTCCGTTCTTGTCTTTTGGCCGTGGAAACAATACTAGCTGAACCGGGGGTATCTCTGTTCCATCACGTTGCCCTCGTAAATTCCATGAAAAAACATATCGGGTATGAAAATGACTCGCCTGTTCGCGGTAGTAGGCAAGAACAGCAGTAATGGCGTGGGGGGCAATTTTCAATCATGATGAAGGTGGGGGATTGCGTATGCCCAATAGCAACGCAGTCGTCTGTAAGAGAAAACGCAATAGGAAGGAATCAAATCACACAATGCTCCAGGTCTCGTCGTCAATGAGTCATAGATACCAATAAAGATTCGACGATCGAGCTAGCCTCTAGCCTAGTCGAAGGCAAACAGCGTTTGACGCAGTTGGCCAAATTCGTCTCAACGGGAGACGCCTGTCGAGACATACGTGCAGCCAACAGAGGCTGGAGATGCTCTCATCATCGATTCGTGATCGAAGAGCGCCGTCAAGTCCCGTCATCCGCCAGCCAACCATTTGTTCTATCATGCCCGTTTATCATATACACCTCGAACCTTCCTTCCGCGCCGAATGTTCACAAGTATCAGCAGATAGGGAGCACATGAATCATTAGCTAATTCACTCCGATTGCCGAGTTCTCAGCTCGCTCTTTCAACCGCATTGCTTGTGCTTCAAGAGACCGTGCCATCAGCTTCGTCACTGATACAATGTTAGCCATGTGCAACAAAAGTAATTTAACGGGCTCAACAAACCTGGCCAGACTGCAGCTCTATCAAGGAGGCTTGCTGTGGCGATCAAGATCTTGCAGCCATAACCCCTTCAACGACACTAGGCAGCCGTTGCAGAACGCTCAACGTGGCCACGGTAGTGTTCGTCTGCACGTCCCGCTGCATTTTGCTCTCCACACTGGAGAGGATCTCCCTGATCTTTTCCAACAGTTTGCAATCTTCTTCTTCGAGTAGCATGACATTCATGGCATGAGCGAGATCAACATCGTCACGCCCGAGGACACCTAAGTAGGGACCAACCCGTTCTTGAACGGTCGTGATCCATTCCGCCAGTACTTGCGCACAGTCAAAAGCACACATGGCGGACTGCAGAGGTAGTTCCCTGCACGTGAATTCGGCAAACGTGTTCCCGAGTCGGTCAGACATGGTGATTGAATCGGCCGCATAGAAGGCAGCCTTGCGCAAGTGCTTCTCGCGTTTGGACTGTCCCGGCCGGTAGACACCCATCAAGATCTGCATGGGTTGCTCCCGAGTCGGGGTCTTGGAGATAGTGAGATCCCCGACACCCAGGTCGGCCACCGAATCGCGACGATGATCGAACTCACTTGGCACCTGAGTGATCGAGGGGTCCAAAACGTCCGAAGGGATGTCGTCCGAATACGGGAACACTTCGGTGCCGCGGGCCAACTCGTCTGACATGGCAATCCAGTCTCTCTGCCAGAAAGCCTCCTTGCTCCGTCCCAGATTTACAAACAGCCTGATGTAAGCCAGATCCAACAGTGGTATGCTATCGGCTGAGAGAGGGCCTGCTCCAAACGGATTGGGCCGCTCCAGGCTATGCATAGGGTTGTTGGCCCACGCGGTCTGCCACGCCCGCAATGCCGGCTCAATGTGCGCTTGCATGGCGTCTGTCTCACGAGCGGTCCACTGCCGGCCCATGTGCCGTTGCCGCGTCTCCCAAATATAGTTATGAAGAGCATAAATGAGTACGAGGCACCCAAAGGTACTAGGCTTCAGATCAGTGGCGGTAGGATCCGACGCTGAACCGTTTGTTGGATCGGTTGAGGACGTGTGAGATTGCTCGCGCTGACTGGCTGTCAGGAGCGTAGTCAATGCAGACGAAAATGTCAAACCCTTCTTCGCGGACAGATGTCCACCCATTTTCTTCCAGGCTTGAGGGGACTCGGCTGCCCAAATATCCTCCTCACACGGTAGGTCAAGGCGGATTTCTGAGTTGGTAAGCGCCGGCGCATGGTTATAGGCCGAGACGAGGAAACAGGAGAGGGTGAAAATCGCATAGAGTGTCCGCTTGCGCTCCTCAACAATCTTCCAATCCAACCAGTCTTTTCTCTCCTTCGGCGGCCCGAATGACGCGGTATTGGAGTCTTCTGATTCGGAACTCGCACCTCTGGAACCCACTTTACCACTCAAATGGGCGTTCAAGTAGTCCTGGGGAAGGTCTTTGGCATCGATATGATGGGTCAACCCAGCAGCGCGAGCGAGGCTGACCAGAGCAGCACAGTGGGTGCTTGCAATGTCCGCTGACGTCTTATCGCCGGAGGAATGTCCGTAGATTACGTTGAGCAGCATCGCCTGGACCAGCCACAGCGGCGTGTTGTGAACCGAGTTCTCGCGCGCGGGATTGGAGCGCGAAAATGCAGCAGACATGTCAGCTTTTCGACGCTCCTCAAGATATAGTTGGATCATCTTCTTCGCTGCTTCAAAAAGATCTTTCGAGGCGGCGGTGTCAAATTCGTAGAGAGCGCCGATGGCTGCCATGGAAAGGATCAGACAGCCTCCGCCGCCGGCGATACCCGTAGAGCTCAAATTCAGGTGGCCGCTTGGAGTACGAAGGTTGTTTGTGTATTCGGGGGCTTGGAAGTTGAGTGTCGGAATATGAAGGAACGGCATATGCGGGTGGAAATACGTAATGTAGGCCGAGATATAACGCTGCATGTCTTGAGTGCTGGGGAGTTGGCCGGTACCGTTGAAGTTGGCGGAACGCGAAAACAGGTCGCGACAGGGCATCATTCCGCTGGCTGGCTGGCTGTACTTGCGATGATTATGGAGACCGGTGGGCAAAGCCATGCTGGCTAATAATGCCTGTCGTGTGGAGTCTGTAAAGGTATCGGTTGAGGTTGGGGCATGGTGAGATCGTAGGGCACTGTTCGTGAAAGGCAGGTTGAGAGGATTAGGAGATTCGCCGTTTGTTGCCATAGAAGATGAAAACATACTCTGGGAATGTCCTGCCATCAAGGGCTGGCCCACCGACGTCATGGAGGGGGGAGTAGCATAGGTCTCAGCAAACGGGTTCTGCGCCATCAGCGACTTGGGTGACACGGTCTCGGGAGGGATGCCTAGATCATTAAGGGTCGGAGAGGAGTAATCCATGGCGAACTGATTTGTTGGACCCGCCGAGTGTGGCGGGAAAGGGTTATGCCAGCCGGAAGACGAGATCGAGAACCGATTGGTTCCATCCATCACGGCCTCGCTGATTCCACTTTGGCTGCCAGTACTCATGGCGGAGGGAGACGACTCATCTATCGCGGAGTCGTTGCTCTGACCCAGGGACGGCATGGACGGATCGAAACCGTTCATCCAGTCGAAGCTGAAGTCTTCCTCCAACATTGGATCAGTGGGGGGTTGCACCTGATGCGAGCCGTGACTGAAGGGGGATGACGGCGAGTCATTTCCGTAACCTTGTGGAGAGCCACCAAAGTGGAGCTGCGCCGGATTAATCGTAGTGCCATGGTTCATGAAAAAGTCCCCCATGGTCAGATCAAAGCTGCCGTACACAGGAGCGGTGCGAAGTCCACCGGAAAGATCCATGGGCAGACCATGAGTCTCCAGCTTGGGAAGGCTGCTGGCATAGGGATGACTTGAGCTGTACCCGCGGTGAAAATCGATATTCGAACCCATAGATATTGAACCCATGCTAGGATGATGAGCATGTCCTGGATGGCCTGTGGCGGTTACCGAGTGACTGGGGTCGTTGTTGGCCATGCCTAGAGAAGCTCCATCAATGTGACTGATGGTATTGGCCCGAGGACGAATACTATTCGAATTGCTGGCAATGGAGTTTTTGCGGACGCGATTCGCTCCAGTACCAGCAGCTCCGGTGCTTTCTCTCCGAGCATTTCTGGGCCGCGACGACGGAGTCGTGGTCATGTGCAGTTTCTGCTGATGTCTCAAAAGAAGATCCCGGCGAGCAAAGCACCGGGAGCAGTCAGGGCACTCGAATGGCTTCTCCTTCGTGTGCGACCGCTCATGGCGCTTCAGATGTTCTAGCCGAGCAAATGATCGCCCGCAAGTGGTACAGACATGTGGTCGGGGCTTGTCAGTTTTGGGGGGAGGGATATTCGTATTGGCACCAGTTTGGCCGTTCGTATCGGTCTTCTTGGTGGTGTCCTTGGAGGTAGGCGCTGACGATCACATTCGCATTAGTAGGGTTAGGGATGGGAGAACCTGTCCACAGACTCACCAGATGTGTCCCCGGGAATCTCGCTGATGCTTGCCAGACTCTCCAGTTTGGGGCTACTGCCCAGATCCTGACCAACCATGGCGTCCAGTAACATCCTAACCAACCGAGTTATGTATCGAAACCAGTGTCAACAGACGCTGGTTCTTAGAGATAGAAGGAGATTCGAACCCGGCCTTATTCTTCGAGACAGACGAGGGCGCAGTTCTATTATGCGTGGTGATGCCCGCGTGAGGCTTCAGGCTGCGAGATTGCTTAAGATGAGGGTAGGCTTGACATTGACCACTACAGGTAACAAATCCATCGAATTAGCATCAAGCTCAAGAAATAATTCGCCAACTGGTCAGGTCGATGACAATGGCTGTGTCTTGTGTGGTTTGTAGTAGTGGTGATTGCAATGGAAGAAGGGGGGGAACTAGGTTCGGGGACACACACAGCAAAACAACTAATTCTCGTCAGGTCAGCGTCAAGGAAGATAGAGGGTAGGCGATGAGGATGAGACGATCGAAATTGTTTGACAGGACGACAAAAGGCGGGATACAAAGAGTGGCAAAGTGATGCCTGGGGAATCGGGTTCGTGAGCTCTGGGTGAAAGCAGCCTGAATAAGCAGGGGGTTTAAGGTTTCAGGGATCCGGAGGCAGTCCCAAGGATAGCAACTCACAGGTGCAGGAGCTGGATATGTAGACGAGATGAGAATAATTCATTCACAAATATCTTGGACCATTAACTGTGCGGATTTGATAGCGCTTTAGACGAAACCACCTAAGGGTACGTGGTTGTTTAGCAGGAGAAAGAGGTATGCGGTATTCGTCCGACGATGGATAAGCCGGAGATAACCGAATGGAAAATGGAGACGGGCTGGATAATGATAGCTGCGATTCAATTGCTGATAAGAATATTGAGTGGGAACAGCAGCGGAAGTGGACTGTATGTCACAAAACAAAGAGTGAGGAACGTAAAGATAGAAGAACAAGAAGAATCGATAGAAAGGAAAGAAGGCGAATCGAAGATAGACAAAGTAAGCAGCCGGAGAGGAACAGCAGTGAAAGTACCACCTTAGACTAACACTGAGGACAAGCAATCAATCCGGGTACGAGGATTGAGATAGGTACTGTGTACCGTGCCACGCCTTTTCATCTAAGCACGTCCGACTAGCGTAGTCTGTACCTTCTCTGTGCTGCAGTCTGTACACTCTGCTGTGTGTTGAGTGTAGAATTAAGAATAGGGTGTACCTGGTGCTAATAATAAGTAACCACCTTCTTGGAGAGTCTTAGTCGCATCTTACTAAGAGGCGATCTTCTTTTCCTCTGAGTAGTGAGTACAGTCCACAGCTGTATCTATCTGCTACTACCACAAGTATCTACAGTGGGCTCTGCGACTGTCGCGGGAGAAACCAGAACCATGAAACAGCAGACACTCTGCGTTATCGCTCAGTGTCAACCAATAAGTATAAGAGCAGTGGATCACTCGCACACTTTCATCGCTAGTTCAACTCCATCAAGAAGGATAGGTACCGGCCTAGTACCAGGTAAGGAAAGTCATGGGGAAGCTGTTCTGGAGTCAGGATCCACTGTAGGTAGGTAAGCATCCTGCTGTACTGACAGTACTGGGACTTGTAATTGTACCGTCACATCGGAAATCGGCTATCTTTCTTCCTGGGTATCGTCTGAGGTATCTCTTCAGTTTCTATCTCCCATGCATCGGCCGTGAGGTATTTATTAGCATTCCCCATTCCATACAAGATTTATATGTTCGAGATTGCTAGTGTGAGGCCTGGACTTGTAGCTTGCGCATCTGACCGGTCGGCAGAATAAGAGCTGGTCGGAATGTGTCCGATATGGCTACGCTATTAGCTGATTTGAGCGCAGTAGATACCTGGTAGAATATGGGATGTTTGCTGCTTCCGATGACGGGATGGACTTCAGTTGCAATATCCTGTTGAAGCCAAGTCTGGACTCATCTCAAGGTCAGTGTCATGCAACTAGAGAGCTCATGCAGAAGGAGAGCACAACGTCTCTAGCTGCTCGTCTTGTTTCAATTGAGAGATAATAATAGACATTTACCCATCCTTCCTTACTCTTTATGTTCCATCTGTGGATACAATATCAGCTAGTTGAGCATCTTGATGATGTTGCAGCTTTGTATCCCAGCAACTAAGGTAACTAAGGTACCTAGGTACCCTATCCGGAGTATACATACCTTAACTATAGCTGTGAGGAATAATGCATGAGGTAGTCTAGATAGAGCGCCACTATGTTGTAAACTCGAGAATGGCTGATACACCCTCAATACGAAGAAAACATACCGAAGCAAGGACAGATGTAACTGCATTAATAATAATGAGACAAATGAGGATAATAATAATTCTCATCGGGGAGTACCCCGGACCTCGTGACTCGCACTACCAACGCACCCAACCGTTTCAGACAATGATCCTCGGACGAAATGGGCGGTGGACCAGGGGTATTAGAAATTGACAATTGCCCATGGAGCCCATTGGCCATCTCAAATTGCTCAGGAGACCAGCGGTTAGAGGATTGGATGGGATCTTGGTCGGTACGCTTAGACCTCAGGCTGGGTCCCATCAATCCGTGGCTCATGTGGGTGGCGGAAGGCTCCGCATTCATTGCCCCAACAGAACATAGACTAGTCAAGTCAACAGTGGCGTACAATCCACACCGTTCCTATGCAGGAATGGGACAGGACAATTGGAAATGAAGGAATCGAATTTAGAATGGAACCAGAGCCAGGCCAACGCAGAGAATTGCGATTGACAAAGGGAAGGTCGGTAACGAGCGAGTCAGAGACACGGAAGTGTAGGACTGGACGCGTTCTGTGGGACCAGGGTTATGCCAATCTGGACTAAACGGCTCGAGGCTTTTGTGGGGGATTTTCCTGAATTTCAATGTCATAAGATCCATCTTCAGTGATGATTTGTCGCTCCTTTCGGCACTTTACGGTGTGAGTTATATCCATGCGATCCGTCCAGATGCGAACGAGGACAAGCCTCATTCCTATCCTCGCGTGCCGAGTCCGAGGTACATACTTTGCGGGAATACGGATGGAATCTGTGGAGATAAGGTCGCTAATGTCACAGGATCCTTGGTCGCCTCTTCCCCAGAATATTGAATATCCATCTTGAATCTCCATTTCACAAATCTCCAGCGTTCCGATTGAAGACTTGGCGTAAGCATGGCCGTATTCAATAATTGAAACCAAGGTTGCACAAAATTCTCCAGACTTACATTCTTCCTTTTATTGGACGGTTCGATAAGCTGATCGCCTCCATCCCTTGAGCGGGTTCCCCAGGAAATGCTAAGGGTTCTAGAAACTGCAATAGGCCGAGCACAGAACATTAGCAATGGTCATGCCCACGTTGCAAAGTTCGAAGCTCGGGTTCAGACCTTCTTTCACTTTTCTTTTCCGTCTCAGCCTTTCAGGATCGTGCGCGCTTGGTTCCTATTGGCGGATTGACCCAGCTATTCCCACCTGAGCTCATTTTGTTCTCCAGTTGGCTGTTTGGCGCGGTTCGGTCCAATCTGATTTGACTTTGACTAGATACGGAGTAGGAAGCTCAATTGGGACGGACACGAATGGAGAGAACAGCAGGAGTCCCAAGTTAATAGAGACAATGAAATGAGGCTCTAGTGGCTATGGGATGATTTGATGCCTGCTTCATATTCATCTAGGTCCGTCCAAGATCTTCGGCATAATCTTTCAGGCGTACTGTGCATAGCAATACGGTCTTTGAATTTGAGAACAATTAGGCGACCGGATCAGCAAACTGAGAATTGACACTATGTCCATCCCGGCTGACGGTCCCGCAGATCTGAGTCACTTCTCAAAGCAAAATGCCTCAAAGAGGAAATGGGGTGGAAGTATCCGCAGGCAGTAACGAAGTTGATTGCTCATCCCACGCTATGACGTCTTAGTTGGGGGTTCACTTTTGACAGCAGTCTTGAATAAAAGATGCGGAATCATCATTCGGGAGAGTACTCGATAAAATCAATCAATCAATCAAATAATCACTTTGAAATCTCATCTGCAACCAAATGTAGGGAATACTAAGTCTTAATCTTAGTTGGGATGGTCTTTTGCACGGGCCTCGGATGATCACAGACACAGACCCTGGACGCCTCAGGCCACTCACAGTGCTCCGGTCCTGCAGAAGCTCGGGCGCAGTGAGTCATGTGGCTCTGCTTTTCGTTGCCTGAGGTCTACTACTACATAAGCGCCTAAGCAATCAGCTATCGGCTCTCTGTACTCCGAAGCCTGAGGCGCCCTTACCCATTGCTCTGTCCTCAGGCTGTGCTATTGTCGATTGTCGTCCACTCGCCACAGATCTACAGAGACTGACTGCACAGGCCACAGGAACAATGAGCATTGTCGATCATTCATCGTCTTGAGAGGCGGATATCTGTCAAGATCTGGCTTTGATGGAATTCTCCGACCTCGTGCGTATCATCCTACTCTTTCGAGTACTCTGTGGGTAAGTAGCGAAGCGTAGATTAGCTTACTGCATGGTCTTACATCCAGGGCCGCTAGATGGTCATTGCTTGAGATGGGGCGCACCATGGCATCATCAGTGACTAGACATTCTGCAACATCGCTATTGAAGACTCAAAGCACCTCAACGGGCTGGTCGCGCCATACTGAGCAGTTGCAATACACTATTTGCAACTTAGCCTTAGATGGATCGCAGGTACCGTCCTGTCAATTACCTTTGATACCTTCGAGCGCAGCAATAAATGATTCAACAGGCCCAGCCACAAGATGACCATTTCGTAATGGAACAGCAGATATCTATCGCGGCCTGCCGCTGCATTGACCAAGTGGATGGTGGTTATTAATCCCTGCTAGCTCTGCACTGCTCATCGTATCGGCGTATCACAGTCGGAGAAGAGAAGCGTCTAATGCATCTGCTAAGAATTAGTCTGCTTGTCGACATTTAGCGGCGTCAACCTGGCCCCACGTCGCAGCCTGTACCTGTTTCAGTCGACATTATCATCATCATCTAGCCGAACTGCCTTCAGGCCTGTCACCCGGATCATATCAAAATTCAGGACGGCGGTTATACCCGATGAGAATGAGGCAGAATAACACAGGCAGACAAGAAACCCATTTGCCAGGAGAGTTAATGACTCAGGTCACTGTTGTAGCATTCGCCATCTTGTATGCAATCGGCGGCCAGCACCCAGCAGCCAGTCTAGCCTACAGCAGCTGCATGCAACTAGCCATGTACGTGCTTCCGTCCGTGGACCTAGAGCGTCTGCGCCTGATCCCGATTGCATGACTGTCCCTGGGTAGTGTACAGACACAGACTCGACGGTGTCTTGTAGTCACCAGTTGCCACGGTAGATAGTTTATTCCCGAGCATCGAAGCGAGTCAGAGCACAGCGTTCTCGTATCTCGAATAGTGCGGAATACTCCGACAGCGACATTGACGATACACGAACAAAGGCCCGTTCCTGGTCGCAGTTCCGTCCTGCCGCTAGTATTCTACCGTAGTTAGCAGTTACTTAATAACTATCTATGCTAGCGAGAGTACGATGCTACCTTACCGTGTCAAGTGGATCTATGACGGAGTCTTCTGACGGAGTACCTGCACTCGATAGTCGATAACATCCTGGATATGCACCAGAGACATAATAACCGATGAGTCTATGAGCGTCGAAGGTGTCAATCACGCCCCATGTCGTCAATCACTACGAAAGGACCTATCACGAAGACACGGATACATTATACCTGCCTACCCCAACTAGGATAAACTGCCAACGGCAGCAGCACAGTAAGCACTCCAAGTAAGTAGCAATCCACTACTGCAGAAGCATTTATCACCAACTGCGTTGGCCCGGCCAATGCAAGTAAACATGGCCAATCGTCTCGCATAGTATATTTATGATCATCACTAGACCTCACTAGCGACTACAGAAGCAGACTAGACTACAATACTCTGGTGCGAGCAAGTAAACCCGGAGAAACACCGATAGGGAGTATTACTATTACTGTCCCTGGGCCGGAGACATATGTGCGTATGGTACGGAGTACTAGCAGTATCGGTGCTGTTGGCGTGCATTAGTGGTATTGATTGGCCGAGTGACGATGTGTGGTGGGCGGTGCATGGGCATGGTGTGGGGTGTAGCTAAAGCGATGATGGTGTGCAGATTGCAGATGAGGAATTCCGTCTGTGGCTCTGGGTCTTGCCACAGGCCGTGATGTGAAGGCGAGTTTCTGGTGATGGTTAGTAGAACTGCCGTGAGTTACTGTATAGATTGTTGTTTTGTGTCGCAAGTTCAAGTTCTGTAGTGAAGGGTAACAGCACTGCCATAAGATCGTTGTAAAGGTAAGGTAGTTGATTGACCTCAAACGCCGTATCAGAGCTATCTACATGAGAAGTAGGGAAAAAATACCACTTTTATACCCATCTATACAAGAAGCTTCTCAAAGGAGTACTTGCCAGCAGCCTTGCGTCGCAGATATCCAATCTCACGGCTACTCCGGGTCTTCACCTCGCCCGTAGACTTTTTCACCTTCGTCTTGCTCACGTCCGTTGTCGGAGCCTTGAGCGACAGCGGAAGCATCTTTCCGCTGGCGTCAATGTCATACCCTTCGTCGCCCTCGGGGAGTCCAAACACCATCAGATCGGCCCCATTGAGTTTCTCATACCGGACGAGCCCGGAGGATGTCTCCTGACTTCCGGATTGCTTGGCTACCTCGCCCGTCTTGCCCTTGGCGGAGGGATGTGTGAAGCTGTTTGTGAAGCGGAGGTATTCGCGCAGGATACCCTTGAGGTATGTAGCTTCCTCGACACCCGCAAGCGCAGCCGAGATCTCGGACTTCATGTCAGCGATGAGGTCGAGGTCTCGTGTGCTGGCGTCGTCGATACCAGCCGCGGATATCCATCCAGAAGGGCCGATGGCGTCGACGGCGGCGTTCAGCAGATTTGTAATGGTGTCAAGGGAAAGTGAGGGTGTAGTCTGTTCGGGGGAAAAGGGGCTGGGCGGGTTTTCGGTGAAGCGAGAGGTATACCCTCCAGTCGCTAGGCAAAGGCGGAGATGATGGACGATGGAGAGCAGTTCAGATCTGGAGAGGGCAGAGCGGAAGGAGCTGACGATCGTGGGGAAGGGTTGGTTGTGAATCTTCTGCAGCGTGGTGTTGAACCCGATGAAGATATCTTGCAAGCTTGCTTCGGCATTGTGTAGGGTAACCTCCTTGCTGATATGATTCGAGTTCTCATCATCATTTGTCACAGACTTGGTGGCTTCTTCTAGGGCCATGGAATGCGACCGAGCCATGGTCAGCAAGACCTTGAGGGCATAGGCGAGCTCATCTGCATTGAGGAGTACCGACCCTTGGAGGACGTCAATGAAGTGATGTAGCGAGCGATCGGAATCGATCACAGCCTGAGTAAATGAACCAGTCGGCAGTGGTGGCAGAATATGCGGCTTCTGAACTCTTCTCAGCGCAATCTCAACGCTGCTTAGACAGAAGTGTCCGAGCAGAATGAGCCATCTGCAGGTCATCTCGGGCCAAATGCCAATGGTCAAGCGAGAGTCTGACGTAGCGGACAGCTTATCCTTGTTTCTTGCTTCTCTGAGAGAAAATATTTTGGATAGCAGAAAGAGCACCATTTCTGGGTTCACGTAGTGTTGCGCCGCAGGCAAAGCCTTGGGAGCGCCGACTCCGAAGTAATCGAGGACCGCGTCATCAAACGCAGCGCTATCCTTGGAGTTGGCGCATTCTTCTACCTTTTGTGTAAACTCCTCCCACTTGCTAACCTGTTCAGCCGAAGTAAGACCTAGCGATGCCATGTATTCGGTGCGATACTTCTTCGAAGATGCATCCGACTGAAACGCAGGTGAGCCAATGCCGCGCCCAATAGCATCAATGAGAAGGCCATCCCTTGGCCGTTTCAGAGAGGAATTAAGGGAACTAATCGACGAGCTCAAATCGAATGCAAACAGTGCGTTCCCCTTGATCGCAACAGCGACACCAAGTTTAGCAAAGTAGCTAACGAATACTGTGGGCGACTTGGAGCCACCAGAAGGGACACTGTCCACTGCGATGCTGCGCTGGATGGATTGATATTGTGTGTCGAACAAAGCGACAATCGATTTGCCAGCGGCAATCACTGATTGAGGCGAGGTGCGCATCAGAGAGGAGAAACTCTCATCTTCAAGAATGAAGCGCGTGGTCACGGTCGGCGCATATTGAGAGAGATCAATGTTGACAAAGCCCTTGTCGAAGGATAGATTCAATCCCGCGGACCCGGGGTGAAAGTACCACTGCAGAGACCTGCTATCGAATGTCTTATGCTCATCGATGTCGGGCAAAGTTATCGTATGAAGATGTCTCAGCTTCTGGCTTTCGTCAAGAATCCGTCCTTCCGAGGGTACATTCGAGGGAACAGAGAAAATCTGAACTTGAACATCACTCAAAGCGATCTGCTTCGAACCGGTCGGGTGTGAGACAAGCACCAACACGGAAGGCTCGTCTACTCCAGAGTCGGTCAAATCCCCGAGAGCCATAGCCACCAGATCTTGTCGCCTCTTGAACAGATATTTCTTCGCATCGTCAAAGTCAACCAGAAAGCAGGAATTAACTTCATGAGTTGAGCGAAGCCTCGCGATCTCGCTATGGTTCACAGTCCACCGCTGAGTCTTGAGGTCAGACGTCAACCTTCGTACAAGACCATCCTGATGCACAGTCAAGACATCGAATGAGTCCTGGTCGTCATCTTCCGTAGGAGCGGTAGGGACGATGCCGACGAAAACCGTAGGGCTGCTCGAATCGCTCACGGAGAATGATGAAGACGAAATGGCAGGCGCACTCGATCCAGTGCCCCCAATTTCTTCGACAAAGGTTTTGATTTCTCGTCCAGGTCGGTCCACGGCGACGAAAGTTTGTCTCTTCACAACCGACTTTTTTGTGAGTTTTCTTCGCACTGAGCATGGTCGACAGGAGAATGAGGATTGCGGTGGAACGGCATAGGAGGTAACGAGCTTGGGGGTTTGTATCTAATGGCACAGGTAATTAGCTCAACGTTCTCCTAGAATCTTTCATATATATTTCCTCACGTTGTAGATGTTCACAGCCTCCCCATCGACCGCAACAACGACCTCATATCTTTTTCGCTTCTTCGATTCGGCCAAACTATACACTTCACCAACCTGGGTTTTACCAGTAGAGGCATGTAATGGGCGAGGCAATTGAGCCAGCACTGAAGGCGGCTGCAGATCCATTACGGCAAATAAAGAAACAAGAATACTTGTGTTGCGCGACCGTTGCCGCTAAGTATTTGAGCATACACAGCTTCTTGAACAAATTCATTTTGATATCGCATTCTGAAAAATTTCCGGTGTTACGTTGTCCCGAGATCCGGGGCTATCCTTTCTTCGGACTAGCGTTTCTGGTATGGTAAATGACGTACGGCGGAAAACGAATGGCCCGCGTGGCCAAAAAAACCACGCGCTTCTTCGCGTTGCACTTTGGCGTTGTCGGTGATCAACCCAGGCTTCAATTGATTGTCTCCATGGTCCAAGTCCAAAATCCCCTCTCAGCCGGACAACCTTTGCTGTGGAGCAACCAGCATCACGTTTTCATGTTTTCATCATTCTCTTTCTGTCTTCTTTCGTGTCTCGAGTCATTTCTCGTCTAACCTTCAAGTGATGAGCATTGATCCGCTTATCGAATGAGCGCACTGCAGCCCATGGCCATGGCACAAGGCGAGCAGCCAGCTATCCACCCGTTTTTCCAAAGACAAAGAGGTTCATGTCTTCCTCCAATGGCTACATCCAAGTTTACTTATTATCAGCAGACCTCGGAATTCCTAGACGCACCATAGAAGATGTCGTTTCATCGCAGAGTCCGCACGAAGCTGAATCCAGGTTACCCGTTCAATCCTCGGCGCAATCAAACACCTCCCTGACACGCTCTATACCTACTCCGCAATTACTAGATTCCATGGCTCTAGAACATGACCCCAATTCAGCACGAAGGAAACGGCGAAAGACCGAGGATGTCAATGAGGGAACACGCGACGCTTCCACTAAGAATGAACCACATCAAGGCGATAACTCTCTGCTGCTGGATCAGCCCCTCGCTACATTAAATACGTCCGATGATAAGGCTCATTTCAACCCCAATGCTGGAGCCAACAATGCCACTCTTCCGCCTCGTTTTTCAGATGTCGCCAGCAGTGAGCCTTTAACAGAACCGAGCTCTGCCTCAGACCTCCTCAACCCGGATAGGGGGCTTTCGGACGCAGCGAATCAGGCACTACAGTCACGCTCCCCGCCGCAGAAAAAATTGAAACTCACCGCTAATGGGAAACTCCTGAGTTCGCCTGTCGCGAAGCAAACGGATGATACCCCTCAGAAGAAGAGAAGGAGCAAACGTGCCAAAGCAGGGAGCCAAGGGCCGGAGCAGGGCAAGAAGAAACTGGTGGTCCTGAAATACGCTAGCGAACCCGACAAGACCAAAAATATTGGGCAGCTCATCAATAAGATTATCTCCGGCCAAACAAAGTATGTCCCTTCCAGGGCAACTGTTCCACCTGTGCCGGTTGCGCAAAAGCCGCAACCTCCAAAACCTACGCACCCGTTCTTCTTGAAACCTGCTCCGCGCAAACCTGACCCTTGCGCTGAAACCTTACCTCCGTCAAATCTCAGCCAAGGAATACCCGGCACGACATCAATATCAGAGGCAAAGCCTGATGTTACCAGGTCTGCCAGCCGGCCGATGCTTTTCTCGTCATTCAGGCCACGCCCAAAGTTCCCTGAATCAATCCACCCGGTTTGGCCCCCTAAGGGCCTTAGTCACCTTCGAGGCATTCCCGGGGACTCAGATCGGCAGGAAGAAGATTTGAGTTATCCTCTGAATATTGATCAGAAGAAAGCAAAGATGGCTGCGGTTCAGGTACTTGATGAGGAAAATATACTACGTACGTGTACAGATTTGAATAAGGATGTCCCGGCAGCCTTACGTTTACCTCAGAGGCACACAGCGAGCGGAAGGGATCTGCAGCAAGCAATAGTACCTGAGCTTTCCGAATCCACCTTTGCAGATGGAACGAATTCAATTGTCAGTCATCCTGCCATCTCAAGAGTGTTCTCGTCAATTCCACAATCTTCGACTGCGTTCGATCGAGGCGAATACGACATGAGCTTGTGGACTCAAAAATACGCTCCTGAGTCTGCAGCGCAGGTTCTTCAGATGAGCAAAGAACCAATGATGCTGCGGGACTGGTTGAAATATCTTATGATATCCGCCGTGGATACAGGAAAACCTGCAAAAGACATTGAGAAAGCCAAGGAGAAGGGTGACGATAAAAAGCGGAAAAAGAAGCGCAAGAAGGCTGACCAGCTTGACGGATTCATTGTCGACAGTAGCGATGATAATATTGAAATGAGCGAGGTTACTGCATCCGACGATGACGAGTTAGCCGGTGGAATAACAGTCTCTTCCAAAAAGACAGTCATTCGGTCGGGTGACTCGGACGGTGTTTGGAGATCCGGTGCAGGAAAACACCGTACGTCCAATGTAATACTCCTCAGTGGTCCTCCAGGATGCGGTAAGACTGCCTCCGTGTACGCAGTGGCCAAGGAGCTTGATTTCGAAGTTTTCGAGATCCACCCTGGTAACCGACGAAGTGCTAAAGACATCCTGGAGCGTGTCGGTGACATGACACAGAATCATCTTGTGCATAAAGTGACCGCTGGTGAGGATACTTCAAATAATCCCTCGCTGGGCGTCGGCCTTGAGGCTCCAGAATCAGACGAAAGCAAACAGAACAAGCTCATGGGGTTCTTCAAGCCTGCTGTTGGGAAGAAACCCAAGCAGGACAAGAAAACCGGTCAAAAAGATTCGCAGCAGGAGAGCGATTCAAAACGGGCACGGAGTCAGAAGCAGTCCCTCATTCTGCTAGAAGAAGCGGATATCCTCTTCGAGGAGGACAAGCAGTTTTGGCCCGGGGTTATGGCCCTCGTCAGCCAGTCCAAGCGTCCCATCATCATCACTTGTAACGATGAAAACCTCATCCCCCTAGAAGAAATCTCTTTTCATGCAATCTTACGGTATAAGCCGCCACCCCAGCGTTCTGCTGTGGACTACCTTCTCGTCCTCGCAGCAAATGAGGGCCATATGCTCAAGAGGGAAGCTGTCGACGACCTATACCTGGCTACGGGAAGGGATCTTCGGAGAACGATCATGGATTTGAGCTTTTGGTGCCAGATGGCCATCGGAAGCGAAAAATCAGGGTTGGACTGGATAATAGATCGATGGCGAAAAGGCGCAGAGATTGATCAGGATAGTGACCAATTGCGGGTCGTAAGTCTCAATACTTACGAACCCTCTATGGGCTGGTTCAATCGCGATATGCTATTGGACAACACACTCGACAGCCGCATTGAGTCAACACAAGAATTATTGCACTGGTGGCAAGTTAGCCTGCAAGAAACAGAGGAAATGGCGGGCTCGAGCTCTGGGATTTTGTCCTCGGCAGGGACAACCAACTTTGACGCCACAAACATCGAACGTCTTCAAAGGCTGGAGCTTCAGTCTGATTACGCCGATCTGCGGAGTGTTCTGGATGTACTTTGCGCTCGATGCTCTCTCGACCAAAAGCTGGTACGTTTTGTTGACCTGGAAGACAATTCCAAAACTAACTGCCAATTTCCGTAGGACTCGATTGACAACACAATACCTGCTACGTCTGAGAAGCAAAGAGCGAACTATATCGAGGGTTATCCACTGCTGCAGGCGGATCTCGTGCCCGATTACTCTTCCTTTCTGGCAAGCATTGGAAGTACATTCGAGGTCTTTATGGGTCGAACTTTCCGAGACGAGCAACAAAAAGATATTGAAGCTTCTCAGGCACGGAACGTCTTGCAGAATGTTGTCGCACCGCGGCGTGCCGGCACATCCAAAGCGACTTTTCTAACAGCGTTGGAGCCTCTCAGGCGAGCCGATCATCTTTTCCCTCCCCCTCCAGGCCGGCTAGCACCCTCGGTTGAAAATAGGCTTGGGCCCCTCTCTGAGGACCTAGCACCGTATATCCGTGCTATAATGGCGTTTGACCTTCGTTTAGAACAGTACCGACTACACTTGAGCGGTCTCCTCTCCGAGAACGACGGTGGAAACAAGAGAATGCGAAAGACAAGGGCAAGTCGAGCGGCCCTAGAAGGGGTAGCAAGGCAGAAACACGAAAAGAACGATGGTTTCCGCCTGGTACCAACCCAGCGTTGATCCTAGCTACAGGGAATAAGGAGTGGCAGGATCTCTTGGTTCGAACCGGGCATTTTACAGTGACCTCGATGAGAGAATCCAGCAAGGAGTGCAGCGATCTTGCGTCAGAGAGCTCAGGTGATGGCGGGATGTAGGAATGTACACCATCGAACATGACGTATATTAGACATGATTTATATATATGTGAACTGCAAAGACCCCTATGAGTTGTGCTGTATCTATAAATATATCATCGCTGGCGATGGGGTTTCCCAATCCAAAGTGCATGATCGGTGACAGTATCCCCATGTCTGTACAGAGTACCAGCACTGTTTATTGTCGGCCTCGAATAACTGACTAGTGCGCGCTCTGTGGTGGATCCACCAAACAACATCACCTGCGGGCCCCAGGCTTCTTCGGCTCTATGCTCTCTTCCCTTATCACAGCAGGAGAAGCAGAGCTTAGCTGGCACTAAGCTGGTTGTTTAACCCCAACTTTCATCTCAATCCCATTTCTGGGGTTATCCATTGACTTGCAGACGACGATTGCTTCTGTGGCCCTCCGTGGTGGCCGCCACTTATCTCTCTCCCAGCCTCCGACCGAACTCCGCTTCCCCAAACCTCGAACTGGGATCATCGCCAACGAACCCGTGACGCATCGCGCACTCGAGATTGTCCATAATGTCCTTATTTGGGACCTCGCCAGAAGAACCCTCTATGGGTGATTCAGTCCATCAGAGGTCCAGGTCTTCGCTTTTCGCCGATGAGCCATCGTTCGGTGGAGCTGGAGCTGGAAGCTCCGCCAACCTGGGCTCGTCCTCCCTCTTCGCCGATGACGACGGGTTCCAGTCGAGCTCGCCCTGGAATAGCAACGCGAGCAAACGGGCCGCCAGACACGAGCTCGTGAAGACTTTGCTGCCCGACGCGGATGTTCCCGAGAGCTATGTTGACGCATATGACCTTGTGCTTAATGAGGGGGATCGTGTCGGGGCGTCGTGGGCTTGACCTCTGTGCGGGAGATACTGTCGAGCAGCGGGCTCAGTGCCAGCGACCAGGCCAAGATTTTTAATCTCGTTGTTTCAGGTGATGGCGATAGCGCGAATGGGCTTGGTCGGGGCCAGTTCAACGTCCTCCTAGCGCTGATTGGCCTTGCGCAGGAAGGGGAGGACCTTACGTTTGATGCGGTGGATGATCGACGCAAGAGTATAACGCCTTTACCATTGTAGGCTCGTCTGAAAGCTTGCTAATGCCCTTATAGAGCTTCCGCTACCGAAAAGCTCCTACCTTGACAGACTGCGCGACAGGCAACACCCCTCTGCACCTCCTCATCCGGAAGAACGGCCCACCACTCCTCCTCCTCCTCCTCCTCCTCCTCCCGCGGCCATGAATGATCCGCCTTCCGCGCGCTCGCGACAGTCCAGAGAATCTTTGGGCGGCTTGGAGGCTGATCCGTGGGGTAGCCCCCAACTACACCGCGGTCATAACCATGCGCAAACCGAATCCGAGCCTCCAGTCCTCAACGGCTTTGGAAGCGTGCGATCAGCGACCAATGCCTGGTCTAGCAGGGCTGCCGAGGATGAGACACGACATGAAGTACCGAGCGGTCCTCGTGCCAACGGGCGGACAGACGGTGTGCCCTCCACCAGCTCCGGGTCTGGATGGGGGGAGAGTTATGGCAATACAACAGCTGGTGATGGCTTTGGCGGACCGGTCCGAGCTGGACTTGGAAATCTCGGTGCTCCCAGTAGTGGGCAGGAAGAGTCCAATGCCCGACGGCCATCGGGCATCGGCATCTCTACGAGTTCACAAGTGGAGGAGACTGTGACAGTCAACCTGCTGCCTGAGAAGGAGGGCATGTTCATGTTTCAGCATCGCAACTACGAGGTGAAATCGGCTCGAAGAGGTAGCACAGTGATTCGACGATACAGTGACTTTGTCTGGTTGTTAGATTGTCTGCAGAAACGATACCCATTCCGACAACTTCCTTTACTTCCACCCAAGAGAATTTCAGGTACGTCAGAGCACAGGCTTGCTACAAGCTCTCCTCAAAGCTTACTCACTTCTTTCCGTTTGAAGTCAATGGCACTCACCTTTCAGCGGATTCAAACTCGTTCCTTGAGAAGCGGCGCCGAGGCCTCGTGCGGTTCACCAACGCACTCGTTCGTCATCCTGTTTTGAGCCAGGAGCAACTCGTGGTCATGTTCTTGACGGTTCCTACGGTGTGTAGATCTTCCCTTATCAATGGCATACGAGAAACTGACTTGCAGCTAGGAACTCTCGGTCTGGCGCAAACAAGCCACGATCTCGGTCCAAGACGAATTCACGGGCCGGGTCCTCCCTCCTGATCTCGAGGACTCATTACCCGCCAATTTGACGGATATTTTTGAAACAGTTCGTAGTGGCGTGAAGCGCTCCGCCGAAATCTACATCAACTTGTGCACATTGCTCGAGCGATTAGCCAAGCGTAACGAGGGACTTGCCGCGGACCACCTGCGGTTCTCGCTCGCATTGCAGTCACTCACAGAAGTAACTAAGGATACATACGCTGTGGATACCAATGACGTTCCTATACTCAACGAGGGCATCATGGCTACGGCCAGGCACCTCTCCAATAGCCAGAGTCTGTTGGAGGACGAAGCCAGAGCATGGGAAAATGGTGTACTGGAGGACTTGAAGTTCCAGCGGGATTGCCTTGTCAGTGTGAGAGAGATGTTCGACCGACGGGACCGATACGCACGTAACAACATACCTCAACTGGAGCGACGGATTGAGAGCAACGAGCGGAAGCTGCAGGAATTGCGGTCACGCCCTCAAGGGGCGGTGAAACCCGGGGAAATTGAGAAGGTCGAAGAGTCGATATTCAAGGTATGACCCTTTTTTTTTCACCTTTCATTTTTCTTTTTCTCTCCGTTTTCTTCGCTCTAGACCTTATTTTGCTTTTTCCTTTTGCCGCGTCGGCTTCCTTTGATTGCCATGTTTTCTTCTAACACGATGCTTTGCTGGCACTGCAGGACAAGGAATCAATTGTGCAGCAACACGCGAGAGGAGTCTTCATCAAAGAGTGCATCCGAGATGAGCTGGTACATTTCCAGCGGAGTCAGTATCACATCAGCCGACTTCATCAGGATTGGAGCCAGGAGCGAGTGAAATACTCCGAGCTGCAGGCCGACAATTGGCGGTCATTGAGTGATCAGGTGGAAGGAATGCCTTTGGGCGAGTGATGCGAGAGTTGTTGCTTTATTTTTCAACCGTGTCTACCCAGCATGTCTATGTTATTTCGCTGTTGCTCAGCCTGTCGCTATTGGATAGTTGATTTCTTTTTCAGTATGCTTGATCGATGGACCTTTTCAGTCTGGACTGATGACTGTGTGATCATTTTGAGTACGGTATCTGGTAAGGTAGTGGTTTGCCTACCATTGTTGATGCGTGTGATATGTCCCCTGTATGCATGGCAAGGCAATTGATTCCGATCCGACCCGCCGCGATTTCTCGGTGTCTCTCTCACTTTGTACCCTACACTCAGGCGCTTTGGGTTTCGTGCTCCGCTAGTGGGAACAGGAACGCCCTGGCAAGGACCGGATCAATACAAAATACCCTATCAGGATCAAGTTTAACCATCGATATCTCCAATGGGATTACAGCTCCTGCCTCCAACGGTCCCACTCATACACCAATCTAAACCGCATTTCCCGGCGGCCGCCCATGAGTGGAGCACTACTGTAGCCAATGATACTGAAGCATCCTGGGCAGCCTTGCAAGGCTGGTGGAATTGATTTGATGTTCTACTCCGGAGTAAATCTCAGACCGAATACGCTAGAGTGGCTGGGTTCTTTTACACTAGACAGAGTACCCGTAATCCGCAGATATATGGTGTTGAAAGCGTCTCAGAGATTGCCTGCAATTGGAAATGATACATCCGGAGGCCCACGCTATGCCTGGGAATGTTGTACTACCTATCACGCCGCCCCAATATAGATCCCATGTGGCTCAGCAACACAAGGTAGGTACCTTAGGTACTACATACGTAGTGTAGAAGTATATACTGCAGGTGCCATTGTGAATTGGTCTGAGTCTGATACGATCCATCCAGCAATACTTTTGATTCTGTCTATTTTTAAGACTTGTTTCTCTAAAGGACGAGGATTACGACGAGATTATTATTGTCTTATCAAGACCAAGCCTGACTAATCTGCCAAGGACAGAAATTGTTCGTTCCGCTTTGGGTCTGGTGGGGCGACGAGAACGGGGACGACGAATCGCCGCATCCCCGCTGGGTCCTCAGGCAGTAAGGCTGCCAGTGCCGCCTCCGTCATCATCCTCAGCTTTCTTTAGCCTTTGCTTGCGCTTTTTCTCCCATTTCTTCGGCAAACTCGCTACAAACAAAGGAGAAGGTGAAAAAGAAAAAGAAAGTATCTGGCCTACCACAGGCAGACTCATGTTTGACATTGACTCGTCTTCATCGGATCAAAGCAAACAGTGAGCACTGGTTGTTATGAAATTCCCGGGTGTGGTCTTGGGTTCCGTCGTTGTCGTCTTGGCTCTGGGTCCTTGAATTTGCCCGCTTCCTGGTGAGTTGCGTCTGCCCAGCGTCTTGTCTTTCCTCCATTTTCTGTCTCTTATCCTCTCTTGTCTCTTTCTTGTCGTCGCTTGTGCTTGCTTGGGTCTGTTTTTTCCCCTGTCCTTTGCCTCCTCCTTTACTTGTTGTTTCCTTTCTATTCTTAGGGTGAGTACAGACAATTAGCGTGCTTTCCAGGCTATCGATTTCCAAATCTGGTAGTCCCTGCTTCTCTTCTCTTACTTCCGTTACTGGCACTTGGACGAGAAATGTTCGCATTTTTGGCCGACATCCCTTGCCTTTCCTTTCCTTTGACACTATTTCTCTCCGTTCATCTGTTTGTTTATCTTGTCCTGGTTGCTCAACCGCCAACTGTCGCAGAACAAAGAGCTGACGAGAACCGCAAATAGTCAATAGGAAAGACCTCGATCGACCGTTTTAGCCGTTCACTATTCCTGAACTTCTCTTCGTTCATTCCTCTTCATTCCTCTCAGAAAGGTATGCGGAGAAACGGGATTACGCAATCCTGGTGCGGAGTTCATATCTGTAATTGCACGTTCAATCAGTTGGAGAACGTGGAGATATTGCTACCCGCGTAGGGATCAAAAAAAGCAACTAGACTTACAAGGAGGAAGCGCTGAGTAATTATGGCGTGGCATCACTTGGACATCGATAAGCCTCATCTGGCGTACATGATCCTCGGCGGCTTCACCGGGCTGTTCATGCTTTGCTCGCTCTTCGTGAAGGAGAAACTGTACATTGGTGAAGCAACTGTGGCCACGCTGTGTGGTATCATCTTTGGCCCCCATGCAGCCAATCTGTTCAACCCTTCCGAATGGGGCAACGTCGACAAAATTACCCTCGAATGTTCGCGCATCGTCCTTGTCGTCCAGTGTTTCGCCGTCGGCGTCGAGTTGCCCAAAGCATACATGGAACGTCATTGGAAATCCGTCTGTCTCTTGCTCCTTCCCGTGATGACTTGGGGCTGGTTGGTCACTAGTCTGTTCATTTGGTGGATGGTGCCTCCTCTCAACTGGCTCGAAAGTCTCGTATGCGCTGCTTGCGTGACAGCTACCGACCCCGTCTTGGCCTCTTCGGTTGTCGGTAAGGGTAAATTCGCCAAGCGAGTCCCCAAACATCTGCGAGATCTTTTGTCCGCCGAGTCCGGCTGCAACGACGGCATGGCCTTCCCGTTCATCTATCTCGCGTTCTACATCCTGCGCTATCGCCCCAATGCAGGAAAGGTGTCACTCAACTGGTTCTGTGTGACGATCCTCTATGAGTGTATCTTTGGCGCAGTCTATGGTTTCGCCATCGGATATATTGCTCGCCATGCCATCAAGTTCGCCGAGCGCAAGCAGTTGATCGATCGCGAGAGCTTCCTGGTCTTCTATTTCGTCCTGGCCGTGTTCTGCGCCGGCTCTGGAAGTTTGCTGGGCATGGATGATCTTCTGATAGGCTTTGCTTGCGGCGTCGGCTTCAGCAACGATGGCTGGTTCACGGAAAAGACCGAGGAATCTCACGTATCCAACGTCATTGACCTGCTTCTCAATCTGGCGTACTTTGTCTATTTCGGGTCTATCATCCCCTGGGAGGACTACAACAACCCGGATATCGGCCTCGTGCCCTGGAGGCTCGTAGTCATCGCGATCCTGGTCATCTTCTTCCGCCGGATTCCGATCATGATGATACTGAAGCCAGTCATACCGGACGTCAAAACGTGGCGTGAGGCTCTTTTCGCCGGCCATTTCGGACCCATCGGGGTCGGTGCCATCTTCGCCGCAATCCTAACCAGGGCTGAACTCGAAACCGATAGCACTCAGCCGTTGCCTGAGAAAGAGCTGCCCAAACCAGGGTCCCCCGACTATTATGTAGTGCAGTTGATCTGGCCCATCACAACCTTTATGGTCATCTCGTCCATTCTGGTGCACGGATCGTCGATCGCTGTCTTTACCCTTGGAAAGCGTATCAATACTTTGACAATCACGCTGTCATACACGGCCGCCAATGAAGAGGGTCCCTCTTGGATGAACCGGCTGCCTCGCGTACAGTCTCTGGCCAAAGGGTCAATGTCCTTCCGCAAGACTGACGCAGACGAGTTGGGTGACTCATCCACTGAGCCAGAGTTCCCTCCTGGAACCCTTCCGCCGATTGGCGTTCCCGGTAACTTTTTGCGACGGGTTCGTGAGGAAGAGTCTGAGACACCCACCGGTCGACCCTCTAGTCGCAAGCCTCGAAGGCGCCGTAGGCGGGATGACGGAGCTGGAGGTCCGATCAGCCAGTCAGCCATTATGCCTCAAAGGCCGGTCGAGGTTGGTGAGGAGACTGAGAGATCAAAGGAGGAAGCCGAGGAGCGGGAGAAGATTGAACGGGAAGGATCTCCACCGAACCATGAGCGTGATCGGTTTGGCCGGGAACCTGCCTTAGAGGTGTACCTGGAAGGCCATACGATGGTCATCGAAGACGAAGAAGGCAATGTCTTGAAGACAGAAGATATTAGCCATAAATCACCCGAGGAACGGGAGCAGCACGTTGAAGAACAAAGGCTGCGGCTGCAGAAGGATAAGTCAGGCGAACTGTCCAAATCCCGAAGCCAACCACATGAGAAGACGGAAGGGGAACAAATCCAACATGCAGTGGGAGCTGCGGCCGGGCCCCCGCTAGGAAAGGCTCGCAAGCAGTTCGGCAAATGGATCGGTTGGGGCAAAGGCCGCGGCGAGGAAGCGGAAAGCAAGGAGGCGAAGAAAGCTGCGGAGAAGAAATCGACCGAAGAATCTGGCAAGCCGGCCAAGGGCAAAGCTCGCTCGGCTCACGCGTACCAATTCGGCAATACCATTATCGTCGAAGATGAGGATGGCGAAGTCATCAAGAAGTACTCGATTCCCGCCGCTGGCAAGGCCGAAACCGGAGCCCCTAGCCGCCGCGGCTTGGGACGAATGGGAACCTGGTTTGGCAGAGACGGCGAGGCGGAAACCTCGGAAGCTGCACAGAGTAGGAAGGCAGCCAAGAACGAGTGGCTAGCGGACGATGGACTGCGGTTCACCCTGGCCAACGACAACGAAGTTGGCAAGCGAGGTGTCGGTCACAAGGGTCGCCGCATGACAAAACACGAGTTCGCCGAGCAGATCAAGAATCTGGACCCTAAGGCTCGTCGTCAGTTGGTCGAGGAGACTGACGTTCCTGAGCGTGTGAAGAATGTGGCTCGGGACGAGGCCGAGCAACGAGAATCTCTCCCAGCACAACCTGTCGAAGTGCCGGTATCGCCTGGCACGCAGGTAGAGACCCGCGGCATCGAACAGTTCGACTCTGACAGCGAGACCACCGACGACGAATCGGTACAGGACGTTCCCGGGCCCGACGTGGCTGCTTCGCTCGCTAGGGTGACTCGAGGCTCGGCTGCACAGGAGCGACGCAGTCACCTGGAGCCGTCCGCCTCGCCTTCCAGGCCTCGTCCGCATTCGAGGCGAGACTCCGAAGACGATGGTACCGAGCGGATCCCGCCAGCTCGCCTCCGAGAAGCAGCCGGTCTTGCGAGTCCCCCGCAGGAAGCCGACTTGGACGACACGGGTGAAACACCTGCAGAGCGTCGTCGTCGTCTGGCGGCCCTGGGAGAATTGCAGAACGACTCGGACTCTGATGACCCGGACGCCGCAGTCGAAGACACGGACAGCGATGACAACGGTGAATTCCGCCAAGTGCGAGGCAGGGTTCAATTTGCGGATGGCTCTCGGGCATCTCCGCGAAGAGACGATGCTGGAATTGTAAGCGGTCTCCCATCGACGTCGCCAGATGAGCAATCCTCGGATCGTAGGGGACACCGCACACGCATTTCATGGGGAGGAGAGAAAGGTCGCGAGAGTTGAAGAGTAGAAAGCGAGCGCAAGCAAGGCGACAGGCCTTGCGGTGTACAAAGCCGAGGAACAGGATCTAGAATCTTGTCTGTTATTACTCATCTTTCGACTCAGCGTTGGCGCCGAGACGATTGTGCATACGCCTATCTCGGTTGCTGTATATAGAGGCGTACTTGACGTTGTGTAATATTTGATTGATTCCCCTTTCCTGTTTTGTCTGGTCTGGCTGCATCGACTATTGAGTGGCTGGATATAGTCTTGTTAGCTTGCGTCCACTTTCAATAGTACATTGTCTACGCCTTACCAATAGGCACTATTATTGACATCTCATTTAGTAGACTAGTAATCGTGCGAGTTCGGTTTCCTGATGCTCTTATGTTGCCTTGGTTTTCTCCCTCGTTTGAACTCAGACCGTTGGCGTACCAAGTCCTCCTTGCATGACACCACATATTAACAAAGCTTAGCGTAGTAGTAGGTTTCCCTTATGCCCTTTTATAATATTAAATTCTATGTCCCATTGCAACTAGTCTTGTCTTTATTAGTCTTCTGTCTTTGCTACTTTGCAGGAATGATCATTTCTCGACAACTACCGTGCTTTGAACCTAAGATGTATTACCCAATTTAAATGTGGCTAATCAAGACTGATAAATATTGGACGACTATCAGCATAGTCTTTTAGCCATTGAAGCACTTGACTGGAGTGTCTAGACAGTCATTTAATGTAGGGGAAATAATAGTGCAAATGTGCAATACGAAAAATCGGCAGTCCCGCACAACGGATAATCCCTCGCACATTCAATTCAGCGCGGAATCTCTAGTTGGTGTTTATGAGACAAATACGCGGTATACTAAGGGCACTGGCAGAAGAACGAAGAGCTCTCCTTCAGACATGGTGAGACTACAATGCCGTGCGGAGGACATTGTAGACCGGCTATCGCCGTCCTTGGTATCTCTCCTTAGGCAAGCGCCCTCTGGCCCGCATATCTCTCTGCCTGGTTGTCATATCATTATATCATTACAATTCACAGACTCGCAGACACTCGTAATGAACTACACATAATAGATCAAGTCCTCGGAAACACCACACACAGGGCACTGACCCTGCCACGCTCCGAGACACGGAATCTACACATTTCCTGTATTCGGAAATAATCCCGGGCCCCCCAGTCCATATCCAAGACCTTCCCTTCCACGTCCACTACGCTGACTACCGGATTCCCAGCCCGCGACAGAGGGAGAAGTAGCAGATCATGTTGTTTCCCAATCGTCGATTCTCCGGGAAGTAAAACGATGATGTATGCGTCGCGATAAGGATGTTCGGGTAGACCAGTACTCTTAAACCCGTCAGATTTCCCATTTCCCACTGGACCACGAAGGAGGAGAAGCTACCGTGTGGTAATCTGCGATCAACTCGCTCACCAGTGGTGAGCAGACAGGGGGTATGTCGAAGAGGACCGCCGAGAGCAGAGTCTGGCGGATTCCCATCATGCTTGAGATGACATCGTGTGCCGTCTGAGCGTGGGTTTTGAGACTTTCGGGCAGGGCTCGTCGCGTAAGACCGCGCAGGCCGCTGCTTTCCATGCTGCTGGTGGGATAATCAATGTCGATATGGTTTGGAGTGATGTCTGTCGCGACTTATGTGAGGTCGTGTTGTTGTTTAGTACTCTGTACTACTTCTCTACGTCATAGGTAGCGCATGTCACATGGTGGGAACTGACTTGTAGCTGACTCGCTGCATCTATTATTATTATAATTAATTATAGACTTAGTAGGTAATAACAAGAATTATATGTAAGGATCCTTGTATGACCATATTTTGTATATGAACTGCTTGCTGGTGGTCCAGCTGTTTATATATGTCTATTGACAATTTGACATCATTTTGACACATGGAAGCTAAACTAAATCAATTATACTCGGGTCTATCTTAGCTAGTGATCATCAGATAATTGGAAGATATTATTCTATATCTGTACCAGGAACCTAAGGGTGCAACCCCCGTGAAAGATGCCAGCTGAGTACAAGGGGCGTGAGCCGCGTGACTCTGCAACAAGGTGGAAGGGTCGGTTAGAAACTTAGAATCGCATATTGGCTCTCCATCTCGTATTGATAAAAGCACAAATTTTCCACGTAAACAAACACTTCTCTGGCATATGATGCCATTCAAATCACCAAATGGCTCACCTCTCTAATCTACCCGCTGAAGTCCTGTATCTGATGCTGGCACAATGTGACTCTACAACACTTCATTCCCTCTCGCTTGTGTCCAGACCCTTCCACCATCTGTCCAATCGATTCCTCTACTCCAACATTGACTGGATATATCACCATGACGAACGACGACCGCGATACCCACCTCTTACTCTTTTCCTGCGCACCATCCTAGCGCATCCAGAGCTGGCTCTACTCATCAAGCGAGTCCATCTAGACAACCACTACTTGGCGAACATGGAAGATCACTTGAAGGACGTGGTACCGGGATCGTTAGACCTCCAAACCATCAACGCAGCAATGGATCTGATAAACAAGATGGGGTTCCCGCAGAAAGATCGGTGGTATACGGCGCTGAGCGAAGGCAGTGTTGACGCCGTGATAGCCTTGATCCTTTCCCAGCTCGAGAATTTGGAGACGTTGAAATTGGCACTGTGTCTGGTGGATGATTCCGTGTTTGTGGGAATGGTATTAAAGCATTTGATTATGGTTCCTGGGGGAGGAAGTTTCAGCAGTTTGAGATATGTGAAATTTGGCGACAACGTTAATGGCTACGATGCTATGGATATTCAGGCGAATATTGACCAGATCATCCCATGCTTCTTCCTTCCGTCCTTGGAGGAACTGATAGTGACGATTCATGAGCCCGACCTCAGCTCATGGCCCACGCTCAAAGAAGAGCTGCAACAGAAGCAGCAGTCTCAGTCACTCGCGACGCTCCGCCTCTACCGGTGCGACATCGACCCGAAGCATGTGGAGAAACTGGTGATGTTAGCACCAGGAATCAAAGTGCTACACTGTGGTTTCCTCCGTCACATCTCGGCATCTGAATACTCAGAAGAGATTGATTTCGCAGATCTCCGTTCCGCTCTACTACCCGTCGCAGATACCCTTGAGGAACTAACTATTGACATGCGATGGACTGACAAAAACTGCGATGTCTTCTCCCTGCCGCTCAGTTCAGCAGGGAGAGTTCCCATGGGCTCGCTGCAGCAGTTTCTCAACCTCAAGCGCCTGGACATACCGACTGAATTACTCCTGGGTAATCTTAATCGCTCGCAGCATCCGCACAAACGACTATCTGACCTCCTGCCCCCGAGCCTTCAATCTCTATGCTTAGTAGACAACACAGTGACTTGGGAATCGTCTTCTGACCGGCGTAGCCCAAACTCAACCGAAAATTCTATGCAAGCGAGCATCCATGCACTCGATGAATATCTAAGAGACCGTGCACAGCACGCCCCCTTTCTGCGGGACGTCGTCCTTAACTATGAAGGCAGGCCGTGGGAAGGGCACAGCCTGCTCGATCCAACGTATATCGGCAATATTGCACGTCCAACACAACCGCAGCTGCTGCGCGGAATTGCGGAGGCAAGTGGTGTTGCGATGTCTGTAATTTACACAAAAAGGATCAAACGGGGGATTTCGGGGCGGGCGTCAATTATCGTGTATGATCCTGAGAACCCGGATACTGAGCCTATTGAGTGTGCGCCGTCGTTTGTGGAACTCTAGGCCTTCTGCATTGGGCGGGTCATGCCTCCATCACTGCTTATATCGACGAACCTGAGGAATATGAGAAAAGGGGGAGACCAAAGCGTCATATCCAGTTGTCCTTCTCTTCTCATTATAATGGACGCGCATCATCTGAAACAGTCCCTACCCCCACTTGGTGCAGTCAGGATGAGCAACCGGAGGATTCCCTCCACGCGCTGCGCGCTTTTATTTATCTGACCGTGGGTAACCTGCGCTCTTTCCGCATGGTCTGGGTCGGGGCACCGTGCCTGCTTGTGTCCATATCTAACTCGGACAGTTCCGGCACCGAATCGGCCTCTCCGGGCGGTAGGAGACCTCACAGAACACTGCCTTCCCCGCGAACCTGTATGATCCTCTGGTTAAATAAGAGCTGAGCATCCTGCTCTCTGGATAGGTAAACAGCCATCAACTGTAAGCTTTAATGCCGCTCAGCCAGCGGACCGTTGCGGTAACATAAGCTTTTACCTCCACTGTTCTGTAAGAACAGGTGACTGAAATGTCAGGGTAATAAGGAGTAACTTAATAAATGCCAAAAGAATCAGCAGCGCCCTGCTCCTGACTTGAGGCTCCTGGCTGCTTTCTAGCTGGATTGCCCTGTGCTTTGGCTTTAAGGGGATTCGCGCATATCGAGGCCAGTAACCGAAGGAACGTGAGAGGCGCGCGTAAATCCAGGCAAGTTCCTCCTGGTTGGCCGTTGAAATGGATGCATGTCGCCCTATGCTCGAATGGGGCCGACAAAGCTTCATTTAGCGAGTAGCGTGACACCGACAACCAGCGATGGTCGAGGCTATGGAGAAATAAATATGAGTGGCAGAATACTTGCCAGCTGTGTCAGATGTTAATCACTTACGGGTGGAAAATCTGCACAACAGGCCTCATCTCATATTTTTTACGGTTACTTGCTGATCGTTAACTAGAGTGCTGCTACCTCTATGAGTATTGAATGGCATGCACACTAGGATATCAAATCATATCAGGTTCAGGGACAAAATCAACAATATATGATCATCCTCAGTAGGTAAGCCACTGAGAATAGTGATTTTTGGGCACAAAAACGCCGCAGATGCTCGTCTAATTGCTTTGCGATTCAAGAACTATCAAGGCTCTTGTTGCCGAGGATTACAAGGATCTCAATATGAATCGCGGCCGAAGACGAAGACTTGAACAAAGGATGTCGGAGGAAATCCACTCGCTCATCCACGGCCTGTGATACCATGATAGAAAGCGGCAAAGCCATTGGGTCGATTTCCGGGAGGATGGCGGAGTTCATGACAGGCGTATATTTGCGGCCCTCGTCTACCCCGAGCCACCATCCAGGAAGGCCTCCCATGACATGACAGATGCGGATTGCCCCGCTGTTGGTCAATCCCAACAGCACAAGGTACCCCCCGGCCATCAGCAGCTGTCGTGTGAGTTCTCCAGGGTCCTTCGGAGAGACGCGGTAGCATGTAGGACATTGGAAGCAATGACAGTGTCGTAGGAGTGTGGCTCGTAGCCTTGATCAGACGAGGCCTTCTCGATATCCAAAACCTGATATATCATTTTATTGCTGTACTCCTTGAACAGCTCCGAGGCTTCTTCAAAGGATCCCACTGACACCTCGGTGTACGTATAGGAGGAGAATGATGTCCCAATGCCTTCTAGAGCCGGATCTGTAGTTCCACCTGTTCCGGTACCTATTGCTTTATTTTTAGCAGACGGATATATGCAATAAAAATAGGGTAATGGGGTTTGGCTGACCTATCTCAAGAATCCTGGCATCTGCAAAGTCAGCTTTTAGTGGCCAATTGGAGTGGTCCCTTCTGATAGGATTTGGAGTGCCTAAGTGGGCCAAAGACGACAGAAACGGATAACAGCAAGGGTCCAGCCAAATGAGAGAGTCAATCTAAACACCCTGTAGGAACTTTTGCTCGCCGAAATTGGACGCCATATCAATACATCACCCGACCACCCATGTACTCGTCCCAGCTGAGTGGCAGCAGTCTGGTGGCTCGTTCAGTGACTAGTCTGATGGAGCTCCAACGTAATGCCATCAGCATCTTGAAATTTACAAGGAGACAAAGACAATTGTTGATCTTGGACTCCTTGCACTAGCACTATCATACGATCTCACGTATCGATTCCATGTCATTCTCCGAGACAGTGAAAAGTGGCCTTTCCCCCCGGTACCTTCGCCATGCATTCGTCGAACGAAGTAGCTCGGGGCAGTTTCGCAAAGTCCAGCCCCATCGTTGGATGAAAACCTTGGTGACCTCCCAGCCGGATGGGTCCCATGGCTCTTTCCACACCAAGATACCAGTTTCCCCACTACCCGCATTGCGATTAGACTGTTGCCCGACGGGGCTACCCCGACCAGACATATCGTGGCAAAGTTGTTCATCGTCAATGAAATCCTGAGCCAAGATCAGGGTGTCTCGCATGCCCGGGAAGGGGATGAGGTCCAGCCATGGATGGTGAGGAATCGTGCGCTGAATGCCTGTCGGCCTTAGTGCCGATGGTAGCTTGGCCTCAATGATGTCTCGATCAGGGTGCCTTGACGGCCTCTCAACTGTAAAAGTTGACTGCGCATCGTCCTGGATATCGCTTGGCCGATAGCCCAGGACCTCGAGATTGGCATGCAATGCTCGTAAGACATTCAGCCTCGTAACCCCGAGACGTAAATCTGCCGCCGGAGACCAAGCGTTACATCGAGCTCCAAAGACAATAGTGCTTTCAAGCTGCTTGAGCGCGCGTGCAGCGTTAATGGCGGCTGGACCCAAAATACGTATTGCATCCAAAATCCTCAAAATCCGGCCGATATGGTTGGCGGATTCAGCACCAGGACCCAGCTGCTGCTCGACCTGATTGACGCTGGTGTCCGATGCTCGTAGTCGCTTGCCTATTCTTTTATTAGCGACTCCAAACGACTGGACCCCGGACACGGAAATACGAACGCCTTTCCCGCTGGTTCAATCGATTCTGCAATCTTCGCCGTATTTTGGGGTCTGTAATCCCAAACCAACTGTCCTCGTCCTCCCCCTGCAACACCCGCGGGAGGTGCTGGAAGTCAGTCGTGGCAATGGCCTGCATATCTGCTGACGTAGCTTTACACGGCTTGCTGACGGCTAAGGAGCCACTGACGGTATAATGCCCTCTCGGAAATCGCCAAGTTGGCGTATGTAGGCTGACGGACCCTGATTATTCAGCGAACTTAGTGGCAAATGGACGGGCGAATAGCCTTGGAAGTTGAGCCAAATGCACACTAGCAGGATCCTTGGTACACCCGCTTGGCCAAACCGAAGCCCGACAAAGATTATGGGAAGATATTGCCAAAATTAATGGAGTGTAACAACCCATACATATCATGTGAAGTCTAAGCTAACTTTATTCCTTGTCATCTTCTAATCAGTTCACTTAGTAACTAGAGTGGTTAAACCCAACCTAAAACCCCAAAGCCGATCCATCTAGGCTGGGCTTTAGGCCCTAAAATCTAATTAAGAAGCCTCCTTCTTACAAGCGGGCTATTGTAGTGGGTAAGGGAGATAGAATATAGGGCCATGTCTATACTACAGGTGTGGTAGAACTCTATCTTATATTAGAAATAGGTGTCCTTAACAAGACAGAGGAGATCCCTTAAAAAAGAAGGGGATCCATTGCTCTGAACTTCTGAAGTGGGAGAGACTACCTTTCTTGATATCTCATGGGAGATTGGGAAGGAAGGTAAGGCTCTTAGCCTCTTGGTGTATTTAAGACTGATGAGGTGGAGTGTCTGTCTTTAAAAGATGGAGCTGGGCTTGATGAAGTGGTTGTGGAAATTGGCTTTTGTATTAAAGTGAGGATTCCGATTGCTTTCGCTCACAACTTCTGCTCATCAACAGTACATACTAACATATGTGTGGCTGTGTGCAGTGCTCGCACCAAGTCAGACAGAGCATGTGAGATGTTCAGCTGGAAGCCCAAAAAGTCTTTTGAAGATCTGAAGAAGAGTATCCAATCTGAGGTCAAGGGTTGGGCGCTCCGACAGTCGATGTGGATGTAGTCTTTATTTTAGGACATATGTCCCTTATTATAAAGCATCTAGGCTCTTTTGCACAGGCCTCCCTGGATACTTTCAATGTGCTTACAACTGGTTAACAACCGTTTTCTATCCAAATTCCAAGTACTTATAAGTCCCCGTCTTTCTATAGTCTCTCGTCCTTCTTTTACTTAATTTTCTTGTAACGTAGCTGCAGAAGAAAAGTAATTAAAATTCGGGGAAAGTATTAGTCACGCAGTAGGACTAGTTAACTAACCCGGAATGAACATACTTCTCTCGTTGCCTGCAAAGTTCTAGCTTCTGGAGCTGCAAGTTCAGATGACCTCTGTAAAATACTACCTCTTACCACGAGTGTCGGTAGTGCGCTCAGCCGACATCTCTGTTGCGGTTCGAGTAGGACTATCTTGTCAGGGAAAATTAAGCCCATATGGAAGCCTGCATCAAAAGCAGTATTTTTTTTTGTTCAGACTAGAGGGACGCAGAGTGGTTAAGAATCATGTGCTATATAAAGAGCTAGGAAGGATCTGGTGTGCGATCTAGGTGCAGGCAGACGTTCATCACATAAGCATCTATGAACAATTATGGATGCAGCGGACTCGGACTCAGGAGGCTGGCAATGAGTGCTTTAAGACCAACTTCAGTTTCTCTTCTTTCTGCTGCCGGAAATTAGGAAGGACATGGTACCTCGCGCAACCACCTCAAGCGCCTGCAGGACATTCCCTGCGCGAATGTACATAATCGCGGCTAAAAAGTCATAGCCGATTTGGGGAGATAGGGCTGCTCAAGAAAAGCAATTTCCTCCGCTGTTAACTTAATATTGATTGCTCCAACAGCTTGATCAATCCTCTCAACAGAATCAAGGCCCAGGATAGGTGCTGTGCCTTCCTTAGAGAGCACCCATGCTGTGGCCACCTGGGCCATGCTTATCCCCTTTTCATGGGCAAGGACACCGACACGATGAACGATTTCTTCTGCGGACTTGTCCTCACTGCTCCTGAAGAGAGCCTTGAGAAAAACATCTTGCTGCTCTCGTTTGTCCGAACGATCCGTCCAACTGTGAGCCAAGACACCAGCCGCAAGAGGCGACCAGGGAAGGAGGCCGACGCCAGTGGCAGCGCAGTAAGGGAACATTTCACGCCCTTCCTCTCTGTATAGCAGATTGTAAAATCCTTGCATAGAGATGAATCTGTGCCAGCCGTGTCTCTCAGCTATATTTTGGAGCATTTGAAACTCCCAAGCAGCCATCTATTAGGTCCGGGTCAGCATTCCTTCTCGGAGGTTCTTGCTATATCCGCGTGAGGAAAAGAACATACTGAACTTGCCCCGATATAACGCACTTTCCCAGTTACAATCACGTCATTCAAAGCTCGCATGATCTCTTCCATATCAGTGTTTCGGTCAAGACGGTGAATTTGTAACACATCGATATAGGTGCCTAGTCGCTCCACACTTCGCTCGACGGCATCAAAAATGTGTTTTCGTGAAAGGCCAACTTGATTAACCCTCACACCATCATTGATGCCAAAACCAGCGGCGTCCAGTGGACCCCGTGACTCGTCCACCTCATGAAAGCATTTCGTCATAATAACAACTTTGGATCTCGGAATGTTATACTTCTTCAATGCGGCTCCAAGGATTTCCTCGGAACGTCCATTCGAGTAAGTGTCCGCAACGTCCCAGGTGTTGATACCGCGGTCGTAGGCGTGCTTAATCAGTGGGAGCGCGGCGGCTTCATCCATGATCCAGGGCTGCCAGTTTGGGTCGCCATATGTCATACAACCGAGCACAATCTTAGAGACCTTGAGGCCTGACTTCCCCAGTCTGTTGTGAAACTCCCGTTAGGTTCCAGTACATTGAGCAGAAGGGAATACTTACCTGATATATTCCATTCCATTGTTTCCCATTTTGGATCCTCTAACGTGACTTTAGCAGAAAAAGTCAAAATTTCCACGGTGCTGGGGTAAAGACCAAAGGTCAGACTAAGTGACAGATCGAACGACCATTTTATATGTTGTTTGTGAGAAGAAGGACGGCATCCAGAGGAACCTTGTGCCCTTTGAACCTGGGAAAAACATTCATATGTGCTAAATGATGACATGCATTTAAAATGCCTTACCATCAAATGGATTTGGAATGGGGTTTCAGCATCCAACAACTACGTAACATGTACGAACGTGCAATGGTAGCCCAACTCTCTGATGTCTTCGGCTAATCCGTTCCGTGGTACTTCAGGCCTTTAGTTGTAGCGACCTCCTCGTGGTGTGCCAGATATGTCACAGCTAAGTCCCGTAGAGTACTGACACTCACCAATGTATGTACAAGAGTCAGCAATTAGTTTGTTCCCTCTTGACCGGATCGACCCACATGTGGGGCAGGTCAGCAATTAGTGCACCATACTTATCCAAAAGCTTATACTTCGATAGAACTGACCAATCAAGACCTCGGAAAGAAATATCTCATATCAGGTCACTCTCAACGACGTCAAGATCGACCTCACAAATGACATAGACTAGGACATCCACGGGCGGACTTGTCGTCGGAATCTTTTACCTGAACCAGTCAAGAAGGGCATAATGACGACAGTAGCTTAAAAGAGTGAACTTGATCTATGAGGTAACATCCGATCTGTAGCGATGTCACTTAGTCGCATACACTCTATCGCGTTCCGGCAGAGAAGTTAGTCTCGGGGTCAACGGATATATAAACTGTACGATAGCTGCTATTTAGATCCATGCCATCAAACGCATTCCTTTTGCCCACAGAGTGCGAATCGTGACTTCTGTTTTTCCCCTAACCTTTTCACTGCTGTCCTTCGTACGGCTCTTCAGTCACTGATCATGGCGCATCTTTGGGCCCCAGCTCCCGAGCCAGTCACTGAACTGGGGCGGTACCGCATCCTCTCCTCCACTGCCGGAATCCGTGTCTCTCCGCTTCAGCTTGGAGCCATGTCTATTGGAGATGCGTGGGCAGACTCCATGGGCTCCATGAGCAAAGAAGAGGCATTCAAACTTCTTGACGCTTTCTATGAAGCCGGCGGAAATTTCATTGATACAGCAAACAACTACCAAGATGAACAATCGGAAACCTGGATCGGGGAATGGATGACTGAGCGCAAGAACCGTGACCAGCTGGTAATTGCCACCAAGTTCACCACAGACTTTCGGTCATACAAGCTGGGCAAAGGAAAGGCGCCTAATCATTGCGGTAATCACAGGCGAAGCCTCCATATGAGTGTCCGCGAGTCGCTGAAAAAGCTGCAAACTGATTGGATTGACATTTTGTATGTCCATTGGTGGGATCAAACCACATCAATCGAAGAAGTCATGGATAGTCTTCAGATCCTGGTAGAACAGGGCAAGGTACTCTATCTGGGCATTTCGGATACGCCTGCATGGATTGTGTCAGCAGCAAACCTATATGCGCGCTCTCATGGGAAAACCCCTTTCAGCATCTACCAAGGCAGATGGAATGTCATGCTACGCGACTTTGAACGAGAAATCATCCCTATGGCACGCCATTTTGGAATGGCACTTGCCCCGTGGGACGTCCTGGGAGGAGGAAAGTTCAAGACAAAGAAAGAAATTGAAGAACGCAAGGCTCGGGGCGAGGGCCTCCGAAGCATCTTGAGTTCGGATCAGAGTGAAGAAGAGGCTGCGATGAGCGCAGCACTCGAGAAGGTGGCCAATGAACATGGGATCAAGTCTCTAACTGCGGTTGCCCTGGCATATGTTATGGCGAAAGCGCCAAATGTGTTTCCTCTTGTTGGCGGTCGCAAAGTGGAACATCTCAAGGAAAATATCAAGGCTCTTAGTCTGAGATTGACGGCGGCGCAAGTTGAATATCTTGAGAGCCAAACCCGCTTTGATGTTGGGTTTCCCGGCAACTTCATCGGCCCCGATCCCAAGGTGACTGGCAAAGCATCATTCCTCTTGGCTGCCAATGGTGCGTATTCCTTCGTGCGGTCACCCACCTCTGTTACGAGCCCAGAATAGATTCGATATTACGAAAAGCTAGTTTTGAGGTGTGTGTGTCTAGACTAGTCATGTTCTGGCTCGGAGCTTTGAACTAGCAACGAATGAAAGTATTACTATGGGGTCAAAGCTGGGGCGTCCTGTAATCATTGCAAAGACTTCACAGCTCATACAAATCTAGTAGGCTAGGACACGAAGCCGGGACTGAGGGGTCCGAAAAAGCGATCAGAGCCAGGTCTCCAATAGAGTCATTTCAATCGCTAGTTTTAGATGAATTCAAGCCCTTCCTACAGTCACAAGTTAGCAGTATTCCACGCAGTATTATCACCAGCGGATTGACACAAGGGCAGTTTGCGTGATGTGAGAGAAGGAACAGGCAGTGTCAAGCGCAATGACTCGTCTTACCTGCTGCTGTTGTACCTTATCACAATTCAATATCGGTCTTCCAACAGGCGACAGGCGGTTTGACGCAGCGAGATAATTGACCAGAAACAGCCCGACCTTTCCCAATGAAGCTCAATACCGCTTGAGATGCGTGCCGAGCCACTGTGAAACTTAGAGGGACCTTTCACTATTTACTAGGGGAGGGGGAATGTTCTGTTTACGCGAGTCTTAGCATACCAGTACCTCAGACCCAGCTGAATCGTACTTCATAAGCCGATTTTATAGATGACAAAAATAGTCCTACCAAATAAGTTAGTTCGCGTATCCAAGACAAGGAGGACCGGGTTTCAGCTTGCCAACTGCCCAGGGGCTATGCGCAAGCCATGGTACACCTTCTCAGCAAGCTCTATAAATCAACCAATCGGGCGTGATCAGTCATCAAACTGATTGCACGCAGGCCGGCTGTCATGCTCGTGAGCTCGTCTACTCAAGGACCCAGCCTATATAATCTATCCGGCTTATCCGTCTCGTCACTCAATAATTGAACTCCCAAGCCTCGCAGTGCTTTTCTTTTTTTCCTCCCCTACTCCATTCTTGAAGAAGCCAGCAATGAAATACGTGCAACTCGGGACCAGCGGTCTACGCATCGCTCCAATTGGCGTGGGGTGCATGAGTTTCGGAAATCCCGAAGGCCGCTTTAAGTGGTCGATCCCGGAAGAAGAAGCCCTTCCCGTGCTTAATCATTGTTATGAATCCGGCCTCAATTTCTTTGATACTGCAAATGCCTATTCTAATGGCTTGTCCGAAGAGATTCTCGGCAAGGCAATCAAGAGATACAATTGGCGCCGTGAAAACATTGTCATCGCAACCAAGTTGTGGGCGCCTGTCGGTCGAGGCCTGGAGCAGCCGATGGCGATGTCAGATGACGAAAAGGATAACTCTGGCTACGTCAATCAGTATGGTCTGAGTCGGAAACACATCTTTGAGAGCATCGATGCCAGCCTAAGAAGGCTGGACCTGCCCTACGTCGACTTGTTGCAAATTCACCGCTTCGATCTTAGAACTCCTGTCAAGGAAACAATGGAGGCACTTCATGATGTTGTCAAGTCAGGCCGAGTGCGCTATATTGGTGCTTCGTCAATGTGGGCTCATCAGCTCCTCGAGTACCAGTATACTGCTCGCATCCACGGTTGGACGGAGTTCATATCCATGCAAAGTCTCCACAACGCCATATATCGCGAGGAAGAACGGGAGATGTATCCTGCATGCAGCAAATTCGGAATGGGTGGTATCCCTTGGAGCCCTGTTGCAATGGGTTTCCTGGCCCGGCCCTGGCGTGAATTTTCCAACACCACACGCGGGGAGGGGCAAGGGCAGGGCTTCCTTGGCCTGGCCAGTACAGAGACTGACAAGAAGATCAACGAACAGGTTGAGAAACTCGCCAAGCAGCATGGCGTATCAATGGCGACTGTTGCAATCGCTTGGTCCCTGTCCAAACCCTTTATCACTGCACCGATTCTGGGAATGAGTAAGAAGGAAAGGGTTGACGAGGCTGTTGCAGCTATATCATTCACGCTTAGCCCCGAGGAGCTGAAGAGCATTGATGACCTCTATCAACCCAAGAAGGTGATTGGACACCAATGATGGATTCCACTGCTGTACTTTCCTTTCCGGAACGCTGTGTGTCATTTACGCGTCTGTAGGGAGGATGCCGAATGGGACATGATGTTTAATAGCTTTTAGCTCAACAGGAAGCTATCTCTACCAACAGTAATCAATGTGTAATTCAGAACTGAGTCCCTACGAATTTGGCCGGGAGACCCCGAAGCAGGTCGACCTAGCACTTTAATCTCAAGATTTTTCCCGGTCGATACCCAGGCCGTGTACAGGATTTGTAGTCTCAATAGCAAGATCTCTGCATTCCCTGGATGTCCCTTTACTGCCGGTGGATAAAGTTCTTGTCTTGTAAGCTGCCTTTTTCCTAGGAAAAACCATCGAAAGGTCCACGTTTTTTCTAAGACTAACATATTGTGGAAGAATGTGCGAACTAGTTTTGAACTCACCCAAACTCAGACCAAACACAACTCTAATCTAATCTAATAAAACCACAAAAACTATAACTATTAGTTTTAACTAAATCTGAATCAGTTCCGCCCTGGGGAAACTGAAACTAGTGCAATTCCCTAGGCTAGGCGCCTGATCCGAACCGCTGTGTGTTTGGTGAGGATTGCATTTGATTTTAGCGGTTCACACGTTCACTTATGCAACTCTAGGTTTCACCACTATTAAAGATGTTTAGTTTTAAGCTAGGTCTAAGGGAATCAGAGTAGCAGGCATTCTATTCAGGTCAATGGTGAGGGCAATATGCTTAAGTGAATGGCGAAGGTTGTGGTGGTGGTTGACATTTGTGGTTTGATGTCATGGTTGACGTGGGTGGTGCCTGTCATCAACGCTTCAACTGAGGCCAGCACGATCTCCATGGTGTAGGTTGGCTTCAGGGTCTCCTCCACAGTCGTCAGGAAACAGCGGTGGCGGGTGATTGAGTTCGGAAGTACAGAATGTCAGAGATGGCCTGATAATTTGTATATCGGCTTCTGAATAGAGTAGCATGGTCCTATTCCGAGGTAGCATTGTACCTTCGCCAGTCAGAGGGGATGCATCTCGCCCTATGCTCGAATGGGGCCGACGAAGCTTCATTTAGCGAGTAGCGTGACACCGACAACCAGCCATGGTCGAGGCTATGGAGAAATAAATATGAGTGGCAGAATACTTGCCAGTTGTGTCGGAACAGGAAGACAATCTGCACAACAGGCCACATCTCATCTTTTTACGATTACTCGCTGACCTTTGTTAACTAAAGGGATGCAAAATAAGTCAACCAGTTATATAGACAACTAGATATAGGATCATCCAAATTTAATTCGCTGTCGCGGCTACATTGATTTACTTCTCATGTGTGGAGACCTTGCCCTACCCACACGAGAGACTGATAGATGTTGAGCATGCAGAGAGGCTTTCCTCCCTCTCTTCTCCATATCCTGGTGGGAAATTGCAATCTCTTGGAGGGGTTGCGACAGCTCCTTTATTTTCCTCCTTTGTTCATCTTTCAATACCCACTCGGTTTCCCCTCCACATGATCGCTCCTCATATGGAGATGTTTGCATCCAAGCCATCCACTTGCGCACCACAGCTATCGCAAGCTGGCGTGAAACCTCAAACCACTCAATGTGATTCCCACCACACTCCTGGCACATTACTTCCATCCGCCTGCAGTTCTTCAACTCTGTGTGCACTAGCTTCTCCACGCGGCAGACATGGCTGACCTGTAGATGCTCCTCGTCACTCTCCTGTTTTGGAAAGTACACTTCCATCAGCTTGCGGCACTTGCTGCTCCATTTCTTTAAACGCTTGCTAATTTCGTCTTTTGTATAGCCGATTTTGAGGTGCCCGAAGTTCCCTGGTTGCCAGTAGACATATATGCCTCCTACCCTCTCGATCTCGCTCTTCATAAGGGGCCTGACCAGAAGCTTCTCGAGGGCTTCCGAAACGGACAAACGTACGGAGGCCTTGGGGACGTAGGGTATAAACGTTTGGATCAATGTAGACACTTGCGGAATACTGCTTGGAATGCTCTCTTGAGATGTTGGTGGAGAGGTTGTCTCTACTTTTTCCAAGAAACTTTCCCCACCGCTCAGAGTATTGATCCAGTCGGCAAGGGCTAAAAGGCGATCATTTGTATGCGAGGCAACGTGCCCTTGATCTTGCTGAATATCGCATAGCTTGTCGATGTCTGTTTCCCAGGCTTCTAGCTCTCTCCGGGCGACACGTTGGTGCGCCGAAGGACATAAAGCAACACTAATCAGATTTTCCAAGCGTTGGAGCACCTCACTGGACTTGGTGGTAGTCAAGCTGTCTAAGGACTGCATAATGATTGGGACATTGGCTCGGCGGCGATTCTTGCATCGTAAGCCCTTCGCTGTCTGTGCTGGGCAGCGTTGGTCATCCTCTCTCAAACGCTCCCGAATTTCAAGCGGTATAATATTGTGAAGCGATTTTCGAATGGTATCTTTGGCCTTGGCAGACGGGGAAGTCTTCTGAATCGAGAGGAGAGTCAATACGGCTTTGACTGTGCCATCTCCCGATGACCTGCTCCTGCTACGTGGGTCATCTTCGTCGTCTTTAATCCGGACTGAGTCAATCTGACCATCCTCCGGAGGGGAAACGGTGATGGTGGGTACGATGGAATTGGAGGAGGAAGGTTGGTCGGCACTCTTATCCTGCGTGCAGGATGCTACTGGATCTAAATGGAACTTCCTCGAGCCAGCAACCTCGCTGGCTGCTCTCGGTCTTAGGATCCATGTCCCTTCTGCAGAAAAATCCGTATTGATGTTTCTCGCCTGTTCGGATGTCCAATACTCGGGCTGGATATGCCGAGATCGTTTCGGTGTCTTCTGTCCGGTCTGTATGGACGGCCATGTTATTCCCTCGAGGAACTTCCCCTGGTCGGAGACCCATGCAAGAGTATCGACAGGAGAGGTTGAACTCTCCTTTCGCTTGCTTAACTCTGTCTTGGTGGCATCCTCTGAGCGTAGAGAAGAGATGCTGAGTCGGGGTCTCAAGCTCTTTGCTCTCTTCGACCGTTCCAATGGCTTAGTCGAGGAAGGAGCATTGAAGGCTGCAATCTGCCCAGCTCGATCATCGTCACCCGCGGAGTCGTTCTCCTCTTCGATTTGGGAGGACTCGAGGCTGTCTGTATCTTGTGTCGTCGACAATGCCTGGCCTTTGATTGGAGTCTGCCAGCCATAGTCATCCGTGATATCGGTGGCGGTTGACTGTGTGGGGCTGAACAGACTTTCCTCTGGCGAGGGAGGGGATGAAATGACACGAGCGCTCAAAGCGCTGCCCAGGGGTGATTGAGTCCCACGGAGCATGGCTTGGTGCGTGGGGCCCTTTACGGGTGTACGCGGTGGCTCTAAATTAAGCTGAATTTCTTCTTCTCCTGCCATGATCGTTGCTCGAACTCCATGAATTCAGAGAAGAACACTTCCTTTTTTTCATCGTGAAAGTGGTTAATGAGCCTATAAAGAGAACCTGGCCCTCCGGGATCCATGCTGGTTGAGCATCGATTGCGCATGAGCACGAGGCTGAAACAAGCCACCATGCCGGTTGTATGTGACTGGAATGCGCAAGGACATAACCCACGAATCACGACGATTACGCCGCCGGTGTTGCCGTTGGAGGGGACACAGCAGCCGGCTGAGCGGCATCATCTAGCGCGGCTGATTCCTTGAATGACCAACTTCTCTAGGGGTTGTATTGAGTACACTCAGAAACCCAAGACTGTCCTCGCAGGGAGACCTAAAGCAAGGGCTAGCTCCCGGTATCACATGCCCAGTGCCTTGATATCTTCGAGCGAAACAATACATACCGATAGCTCCGCATACATGCCAACGAGATAATCCCCAGCTCCGACTTGTCTTTGCGACGGCCAATGTGATTCTCCATATCCACTTCTTAGGTTCAGCCTCGCGCGGCTGCGGGGGCATCGGCTCTGGCCGAACCGAAGCACAGTGGGGGCGAAGCATTTCAAACACTCTCAAGTCGCAAATCGTCATTGGGCTTTTTTTAGCATTGTGATTAGTAGCCGCCTAGAACACTATTTGTTACGCCATGGCAGGGATTAAGTCCAATGGCTATCAGGCGCTTCAACACATTCGTACGGCAATCTGATCTTGCCCCGGTGGCCTTGACCTTTGAGCCACAGGACCGGGGTAGTGATAATATGAACTTGTTGGCTTGTTACTTGCCCGGTTTTGCCCTAGTAGATGATGTGGAAGTATACGAAAATCTCCCTACTCGGGAGAAAAAGAGGTAGCAGAACACAATGATGCCATCAAATGAGCTTTTGTGGGGGCCTGGGTAATAGACAGGAAGATCCCTGATCTACTAAGACCTTAAATCTATTCCTCATTCAGAGTACAAGCGAGCAATGCACTAGTGGGTGGCTATTTCTTTTCCTTTGGAGCAGCAGCTCTTGACAGTAATACTCTAAGGGGAATGAGTTAAGGAGGTTTTTCTAGGTGTAATAGCTACCTGGAAAGGTGGCTTCAGGCTTTTGCTTTTGCTATAGCAAATTTAGTATCCAGGCTTTATCTCAATTTCTTACATGGGAATTTGGCCTGGAATGTATTTCTGTCCTACATGCTATTTTTAATCATATCATTAATAATGAAAAGGAGAATGGGTTACAGCTAAGACATACCTAGTTTTATAATTGACTAAGGATGGATGAGTTTAGTGTAACTGTTAGAGTACACATGCTTAACATGAAATACTGTTTAATAGATCACTTAAAGATACTAGCTTCTCCACACATGGCCCTGGTGGAAACAAGTCAAGTCCATGTGAGTACATGAAGGTGTATGGCATACATTTAAATGATACCAGAGAGCGTCCTTATTTCTCTTATCTAGGATAGGCACTTTTGCCTTAGCTACATATTTAGCTAGTATGTAAATACTTTTTCTGGGTTCATGAAATTGGACGGCATGGCTTATCTGAAAATACCGTCATGGTCTTTTACATTGAATATCAGAGAAGACAGGTTGTCCGTATAACACGGTACCGCTTCTACAGGCCATTAAGAAAAGGGCAGGCAGAGCTATTTAATATAAAGAAGAGGCACGAAGAGTATCCTCCGTCGGCATGCGTGAAGAGCCAACGAGTCCTCAGTGGTTGTAGTCCCGTCACCCAGTCCGGAGGACTGTAATTAGCTGTCTCGTGCCAGTACCTTTATCGTGGTGCCTCCACTAAGCAGCGTTTGCCTTTCGGGGACAAGATAAAGTAGATGGTTTGCTCCATATCTGATGGACCCATGCCCTCTAGATTGGAAATGCGCGCATTTGGAAATGCTCGGAAGAAGGACGCTGTTGCGAGCCGGAGCTGCATGCGGGCCAGGTTTTGGCCGATACAGGCTATTGATAGTTGAAGTGGTTAGCATGGAGGTTGAGATCTGAAGGACCATTGTGTCGACTTGGCACTTACTCCGAGAGCCTCCGCCAAATGCCATCAAGGCGTCTTTCATCTCAGCGGTAGGTTTGCTCCAGCGGGAAGGATCGAACCTTGGCGGTCAATTATTCATGAAGAGAAACTCGTACGCTTCGAGGTTAATCCTACCTTTCCGGTTGTGGAAACACGGAGCAGTCTCGGTGAAGACTGTACGCCTGGGTGGTGACAGTTACTCCTCCGGGAATCCAATGTCCAGCCAGTTTTACTCCTGGATCAGGGACTGTGCGCGGCAACCCTGAAGGTGTTCCCGCGTAAAGTCGCAATGTCTCGTTAATGACTTGGTTAAGGTACGGAAGCCTCCTGGCATCATCGTTCCCAAACTCATCCGAGAGCGCTGCCAGCTCTTCCACAAGGGTCTGCTGGACTTCGCCATGCTGGCAAACTGACCAAACCAGGTATGTCAATGTCGTAGCTGTTGTGTCGCTTCCAGCAATAATATAGCCCTGTGCTTCGTTTCGGATTTCGTCATGACTCAAGGCCCCATGGCCAGTGTCTTCGAACAGTTTGGCAAAAAATGTTGGCTTAGGGCTAGAAGATTCGCAAGAGACAAGTCTTCTGTAGTTGTTGATACACTCATCGGCACATGCCCTCATTCTGCGGCCCGCCTGTGCTATATCCTGAAAGAATGGAAGGGGAAAGATTCTTGCAGTCTCAACAAGCCTAGGAAATGCGGATCGGTACGTTCCGAAAGCAGGAATCTTCTCCAGATCCCTTACATACTGATTTTTCTACGTAACCTGATCAGCTTGAGTTGGATATGCTGGGCCCTGAGAGAAATACCTTGCCTTGTTTAAGCAATCCGAAAGGAGTGCCAAAGCTTAGCTCCGCAATAATATCCATCGTCATAAACATCCACCACTTGAAGATATCGGCAGCACCACGCTTGTCTATCTCTTCCTGCATGCGATGTATGGTAAGACGTAACAGTGCTTGAATGACTGGTTGGACCGTCTTAAGGGAAGATTCTGACATTGGCGGTGCAAGAAGACGCCGGCGCATGTTATGCTCCTTGGGTTCACGCATGCTGAATAGGTTTTTCACCCCGTTCATAGTTAAGGTCTGATACCACTCGGATTTAAGAAACCCACCCCCAACCTTATGGATTTCCTTTGCGGCATCAATGTCACAGATATCGACCTCATCAGGGCCCACTCTGACCACGGGGCCAAATTTCTGGTGTAGAAAATGGACATATCTTGGCCTCTGGCCCTTTATCCACTGATATTGGAGGATCAACCCTGTCCACCTAGTGTACCAGGGCCCTGGGATAGAGGAAAGGTAATCTTTCGAGGTTCGGAAGGCGACCTATTTATGATTAGCTGTCTGTGAGCATCGAAACCTTGCGCAAGCCACTCTTACGAAGACAGCCAGTACAAGCGCTGTAACCCAAAGTGACTCAAAATGACTGCTTGTAGATATATCCATGCTTGGAACGGATGATACTAGATCGAGCGCGACGGCTATTGACGTTCTTTCCCGCTACAGGGAATCCGTCCTTTTGGCACTGTGACAGTTTTATAGACCCCTTAACGAGTCGTGTCCAGCCAGTAATGTCACTAACTGATCCATATTAGAATTGAATGACCCATCGCTTATGTCATTGATGAACGTACACCGTAGACCTCCTTGCAGTTCAAATCTCACCGCTCCTTTTCGAGTTCCTGATATTGTGTGCTTATCCTTAACTTCAATCAGCGTCATGAGAAGGCGTTGCCGATCAATGTATATCCAGATATGAGGTAGTTTTGAGATTATTCATTTTTGCAGTCGTGTCCTCACCGTATTTCCTTCAAAGTGCCAGGCATCATTTCCGTATCAAGTACTTATAGCCCTGCCACTACCATTCAGAAATAGAAGCAGCCTCAAGCCGGCCAAACATAACGGAATTCCAGACCTGCCTCGGTACATTGATCCCCTATTACTCATTTGATAGAGGGCTATTATTCATGGACCCGGACTCGTCCAATTTATCTCTACATCTTCCCCGAATCCTATGTTTTCATGGGGGAGGGAGCAACGCGACAATCTTTCGCTTCCAGTGTCGCGTCCTCCGAGCGCATCTTCGATCCGTCTTCCGCCTCTGCTTTGTGGAAGCACCATTTGAAAGTGAACCGGGTCCCGATGTGACCCTCGTATACAGGGATTACGGTCCCTTTCGCCGCTGGATCTGCTGGAAAGAAGAGCATCCACGCTATCCCCCGGCCGATGCTGTCAGGGCGATTGAGACGGCTATCCAGACAGTGATAGAGGAAGACAACAGCAAAGGTGCGACTGGAGAATTTGTTGGAGTGCTGGGCTTCAGCCAGGGAGCACGCCTTGCTGCCAGCTTGCTTTACCGCCAGCAGCTCCAAGCAGAAGCTGGGGGCAAGTTGGTTCCACTGCAAACCAGCTTTCAGTTCGGAGTCCTCTTAGCCGGTCGTGGACCGCTTGTCATCCTTGATTCTAACCGCCAGGCTACTTCGTCACCGCTGGCTGCGGGTCGTGATGTGCTAGGGGCGGCCTGCGTGGACGATCATTGTCAGATTGGTAACCGAAGACCTATCCTCCGGGTGCCAACCCTTCATGTACACGGCCTGCAAGATGAAGGTTTAGCCTTTCACAGATCTTTCCTACAAAAATACCATTCAAGAGAGAGTACTGTACTGCTTGAATGGGATGGCATGCACAGGGTTCCCATAGAAAGCGGGGTCGTGGCATCCATTGTTCAAGAAATGTTACGCCTTGCAGAAAGAACAGGCGCACTAAGCAATTAAGAACACCCTTACTTAACCTGCCTGGCACCTATGATGTATGAGAAGTCAAGAGCTGACAAATAAATTATGACTAATTGACTTTTTTCTTTTCTGTTTAACGGGACACTGGTTGTGGGAACAGTGCGTTCCACACATTGGTGCTGCCTGGATGAAGGTATAACAACTAGACCTGTCACTGGCGAGCTACCCGTTATAGATCTTCTACCATTAGAGCCAAGGGCACTGACAAGAAGAAGGAACCACACCTCTTGGTAGTCATGGAATCGCCAATGATTGCAGACCTTCTTTGCTCGCTTGACTTAGCTACCGTTGTGCCATTGATTGTCGTCGCCGCCCTCATATGGCATACTTGTTGCACTTACATGAAGCTCTATGGCGTTCCAGGGCCATTCTGGGCAAAGCTCACCAACTTCCAACGGCTTCACTGGGTGAAGACCGGAAGAGCGCAAGAATACCACCAGCAAATGCATGAGAAATATGGCCCATGTGTCCGGCTTGGACCAGATATGGTGTCGATATCTGACCCGGTAGTCATCCCGCTACTATATCAAATGCGAGCGGGTATTCCAAAGGCGAGTTTTCTATCCATTCGAATCGACTGGGGAGTGGTTCGTTAACGACAATCAATAGAGCAAGTTCTACCGGGCTTTCATGCCCTACACCCCTAGTGGCCTCTTACCGTCAATTTTTACCACTCAGGACGAAGCAACACATAAACAGATGAAGTCGCATATTGCTCCTCTGTATTCCTTGTCCCATACAGTATTGTTCGAGGGGACCTTCAATGAGCTGCTGCAGAAGCTGTTCAATCAGTTAGATGCTCGATTCGCGGACTCGGGGGTCAGTTTTGACCTGGGTGACTGGCTACGGTATTTCGCGTTCGAAGTCATGGGATTGATGACCTTCTCCAAGGAATACGGCTTTCTAGAGAATGGCACAGATGTGAGAGGCATACTAGCCGACCTTCGAGATTTCAACCTGGTGGCCGCGCCGGTAAGTGGGAAGACCAAATACAAGTGTCACCGCTGAACTGTTTCGAAGATGACACAAGTCCCTTGGCTTGATAAGCTTTTGCATAAGAATGCAATAGCCAATGCACTTAGGCGTCAAGTTGTTTCGCCTCTTCTAGACTTTGTGAATAGAGCTGTCATGGATCGGCAACACACTGTACACAGACAAGACTCCGTTCATCGGCGGGATTTCCTGTCACACTATATCGACGTGCAAGCGACAGACTCCACAATACCACCGAGGTACGCAGCGTGGCAACGTTTAAAAATGTGCCGCTAATGACAAGTCTAGCTATATATCGTCCTGGGCTCTCAGCAACGTCATTGCAGGCTCGGATACCACTGCAGTGGCCATGCGTGTCTTGATGTTCAATCTCCTGTCACATTGTGAGTCGCTAGAAAGGCTCCTTCAGGAGCTCCAGGACACGGTAGACTCCACTGGGCTCACGACACCATTCCCGACATGGAAAGAAGTCAAGGACCTCCCGTATCTAGATGCCTGCGTCAATGAGGCGCTCCGTTTGCAACCACCGGTCTGTCTACCCTTCGAGCGTGTTGCTCCTCGAGGGGGTATTACGCTGTGCGGGAGATACTTCAAAGAAGGTACTATTCTGGGCATGAATCCGTATGTTGTCCACAGACACCGTCCAACATTCGGACAAGACGCCGACAAATGGAGACCGGAACGATGGTTGCATAATGGGCCGGAGCATCGGAGGATGCTTGATGCGAGCTTGTTGAGCGTACGTCCATATCAACAACCAAGTGCCCTGTGATTCACTGACTTTTATTCGAGTTCGGTGCCGGACGCCGTATATGTCTGGGAAAGCAACTCGCATTATTCGAGCTCAAGAAAATCGTCCCGGCTCTGCTATTGAAATATGAGGTACGTAATTCTCAACAGCCCAGTGAACACTTCAGAAGCTAACGCTACATAAGATTAAACTCCTTGATCCTTCGACCTTTGCTACAAAAAGCTCCTGGATCTTGATGCAGGGTGGCTTGAAGACTGTGATAAGGAATCGTACCACGTAGTGTGATAGGCAAGGGGCGTTTGTCTTGCAGAGCAGTCAGGCTTTACGGCGCCAGGAAACACTCTTGATAATGATGGGCCGGTAAAGAGAGTAGCGGTGTAACATGTCTCATGATCTTATCTCATAGCTGTTCCAATGTCATTGGCACCATTTGGGAGGCAAGGGCTTGCGCCTTGCTCTTTGGTCCCGCCTTCATCACGGCCAGGCAACATCGATCTTTCCCCTAGTTATATATGGACCGACCGGGGCAGTAAATCATGCCATACCATAGACCACACAGTATTTAACTCAATATTTCCTCATGCATCACATCAGTGGAAAAGCGTGCGTACTTCTTTTTGGGCCCTTGGCCCTAGGGCTCGATTCGGCGTCATTACTCAAAACACACAAGCTACTGATAGATCCGGACTACGATTCCCAGTGGGTGATTGATGTCCTCGAAGAGCTTCCGGCGTACTGGGAGCTACTAGCAAAGGAAATCCCGGCCCTATGCCATTGTTATGGCGCATCAAAGCTCCGTGATTTGAAGGGATGGTTTCAAACCGGCAACATCCCGGCTGACGCTTTTCCACTTCCGAACATTCTTCTTGTGCCTTCTGCTATTGTCATGCAGCTTGTGGAATATCAGCGATTTGCCAAACTTGCAAACGTTGGGAGGAAGCATTCCGAAGCCTACTACGGCAACACAGAAGCCTTTGGGCTGTGTACGGGGCTCCTGAGTGCACTCGCCGTGGCTCAGTCCACCACCCAAGAAGAGCTACATCAATATGGTGCTGTAGCCATCCGCCTGGCCATGGTTGTTGGGGCTACTGTGGACGCCGAGGACACGTCAGATGGGAAGGCTATGGGCAAGTCCCGATCCTTCTCAGTGGCCTGGGACCAAGACACCTCGTGGGAAGACATTGACAATATTCTGCAGCGGTTTCCAGAGGTATGCGTCCACTGCCAAATCTAAAACATTAAGAGCTATAAGATTTACAGCATGTCAGTCACAGGCCTACGCGTCCGTTCTCTTCGATAAGCGACGCGTGACTATCACGACATCCAAGGGCGCGTCCGCCTCTTTATTGCAGAGCCTCCACGAGGTTCCAGGAGTGACTATTACAGCTATCAAGTTGCACGGGCGATTTCACCACGTGTGCCATCAGGAAGTCCTGGGCCGCCTTGCAGAGTTCTGTAATTCCAATAGTGCCTTTCACTTTCGAGACGATTCTGGTCCACCGATTTCTCTGCGCGTCGGCTGTGCGAAGCCCGAACAAGGAGAGCAGAAACTACATATCCTGGCCCTACGGTCTATACTGGTTGACCAGTCCCTATGGTATGAAGCCTTCCGTGAAATCCAAAGTCTGATATTGTCAAGCGAAAGTTCACGCCTGGTCTGTTTCGGGCAAGAGCGATCCATTCCACCCTCACTTCAGCAAGCAATCTCTTCTCGAATTGTCCACCCGACTGAGCTCCTGGTACCAGCCAAGGCATGCGCAGATCCATATCAGTCTACCAAAATATCCTACAGGGGTTGCAATGGCTCAGTCAACCACCATGCAGTTGCTGTGGTCGGTATGGCATGCGAGGTCCCTGGAGCAACGGATCTGGATGAATTTGCAGCCCTATTGAAGCAGGGCAAGTCGCAGCATGTGGAAGTCCCCAGCGAGCGAGTGGACTTCTACACCCCATGGCGCGAGACTGACAGTAAGCGCCGCTGGTATGGAAATTTCCTGGATAACTATGACATGTTTGATCACAAGTTTTTCAACAAGACGGCGCGCGAGATGGCTTCTACCGATCCCCAACATCGGCTTGTTTTGCAGGTGGCGTACCAAGCATTGCAACAAGCGGGTTACTTCCGCTGGAAAGATGCTGATAAAAACATCGGCTGCTTTATTGCGATGGGTTTAACCGATTATGAGCAGAACGTTGCTTGCCACCCGCCTAATGCATATTCTGCTACGGGGAATCTCAGGAGCTTCGCTGCTGGCCGTATCAGTCACTATTTCGGCTGGACAGGGCCCGCATTGGTCATTGATACCGCTTGTTCTTCCTCGGCAGTCGCTGTCCATCAAGCATGTCAAGCCTTGAAGAGCGGAGAATGTTCTGCTGCACTCGTTTGCGGAGTGAGTCTTATGACAAGTCCGCAATGGTTTCAGAACCTCGCTGGAGCCTCGTTTCTTAGCCCAACAGGGCAATGCAAGCCATTCGACGCTGCTGCAGATGGATACTGTCGGGGAGAGGCGGTGGGTGCTGTGTTCCTGAAAAGCTATCAGAATGCTGTGAGCCACCATGATCAAATCCTGGGTCTCATCGCCGGTTCAGCCGTCTCCCAAAATCGCAATTGCACCCCCATTACGGTCCCAAACGCCGCCAGCCTTTCGGATCTTTACCGCTCTGTGATCGAAAAAGCCGGTCTGGAGCCAAGCTCCATATCCGTCGTCGAGGCACACGGAACAGGCACTCCGGTGGGTGATCCCGCAGAATTTGACAGTGTCCGCCAAGTATTCAGTGGCCAGGAGAGAATTGGCCGGCTGCATCTTGGATCTGTTAAGGGGCTTGTTGGGCATAGTGAGGCAGCCGCAGGGATTGTCTCTCTGATCAAAGTCATCCTGATGATGCATGAGCGCTTCATTCCGCCACAGTCTAGCTTCGATACAATCAATCCAGCAATTAAACGGTCAGCGAACGATCAAATTGAGATCACCAAGAATCTGCAACCATGGACCTCCGACTTTTATGCTGCGCTCGTTAATAGTTACGGCGCCTCGGGATCGAATGCCTCGCTGGTTCTCACAGGGTCCCCCGTACGTTTGACCGAAACGGAAGACAATGGTTATGCGGAAGCTGCTAATGTGAAATACCCCTTTCGCATATACGGTTTCGACACGCCTAGTCTTCAGAGATATGTAACTCGGTTCCGCCGATATCTGAGTACCGCAGGACAACATGTTTCTGTCGCTGGCCTGGCCCACCAATTGGCGTTGCAGTCAAATCCGACACTTCCTTACGCGCTAGGGTTTTCCGCCAGAACCAAGGAGGAATTAATCGATAAGCTAGGTATCATCGAAAGTGGTGCTCAGGCCCCTGCAGCAGTCCGGACGGATGGAGCGAGGCCGGTCATTCTATGCTTTGGGGGTCAAATTTCAAGATACATCGGGCTCGACCGAGACATATACTATCATATAGATATTTTCCGCCAATATCTAGACCGATGCAACGCATACTGTGAGAAGCTTGGTCTTGGTAGCATCTTCCCGGGGATCTTTCAACGCGCGCCAGTGGAAGATATCGTGAAACTCCAGACGATGCTCTTCGCCCTCCAATATACTTGCGCCAAATGCTGGCTGGATTGTGGAGTCTCAGTTGCGGCAGTGGTTGGCCACAGCTTTGGGGAATTGACCGCTCTTTGCATCTCCGGTGCCATTTTTTTGGAAGATGCTCTTCTCGCCATCGCTGGACGGGCCCGTCTGATCCAGGAGTACTGGGGTGCGGACAAAGGATCTATGTTGGCTGTCGAGGGAGACTTGGCTGTGGTGAAGGAGCTGCTAGCTACTGCGAATGCTACAGCAGAGCCCTCCCCTCCTGCAAATATCGCTTGCTTCAATGCGCCGCGCATATTCACCTTGGCAGGTCCCACACATTCCATCAATGTGGTCTTCGACATGGCCCGCGGACCCAAGTATGCATCACTTGTTAGGGCTAAGAAATTAGAGGTCACGAATGCGTTCCATTCTGCTTTAGTTGACCCTCTTGCGACACATTTGCAAAAGCTGGGGCAGAACCTGATGTTCCAGGCCCCGAAGATCCATATCGAGCGAGCAACTGCAGAGGCCGAGTTTATCTCTCCAGGTGTCCAGTCAGACATATTGCTGAATCATATGAGAAACCCAGTATACTTCCACCATGCGGCCAAGCGCCTGGCCCAGCGATATCCGTTCAGTGTTTGGGTGGAAGCCGGAGCAAACTCATCGATTACGTCCATGGCCCGCCAAGCACTGGGGGATCTTTGTGAACATTCTCAACATGCGTTTCAGTCGTTGAATATTACCAGCGGTGCAGGAGTGGGATTCAACTCCCTTGTGGATGCGACGACGTCCTTGTGGAATGAAGGCCTGAATATCGTCTTTTGGGGTCACTGTTCGACCGAACCGGGGAGGTACAACCCTCTCCTACTGCCGCCATATCAGTTTGCAAAGACGCGCAATTGGATGGAGATTACCAGACGGAATATCCCAGCCGTCGGCAAAGCCGACGCACTGGCGTCTGCAGGACAAAACATTGACGATGTCAATCGCCTATGGAAACTCGTTATCTCCGAGGAAGATGGACGTCGCTCGGCCCGCTTTGAGATCAATTCTTCGTCTCAAGTCTTCCGCGACTACTTATTGGGACATGTCGTCGCCCAGAAAGCGCCCCTAGCAACTAGCGTGTTGCAGTTGCAGATCGCCCTGGAAGCAGTGGCAAGTTTACGGTCTGACTTTCAGGACGGTACGTTTCTCCCAGCTCTCAGAGGTCTGAACAGTCATGCTCCTATGCTTTTGGATGCGACAAGGCGTTTCTGGGTCGATGCGGAGGCTCAGGATGCTGGTGGCCTTACGTGGGACCTCAAGGTGAACAGCGGAGCGAGTGATGGCAGTGGACCAACCACGAAACATACGTCGGGACGCATTGTGTTTGAAAAGGCGGATGATCCCGAAAAGCTGGCAGAGCTTTCGAGGTACAAACGTGTGATGAACAGTACACGGTGCCTGAGCATGTTAAATGCCGGCGACAACGACAGCATCATGCAAGGTCCCGGCATTTATCGGGCCTTTAATGATGTGGTCCAGTATTCCCCGGCGTATCGGGGGCTGCAGAAGATTGTTGGGAAGGGGGCAGAGTCGGCAGGGAGAGTGGTAATGAGCCCACCGGAAGGGGGATGCATCGACACTGGCCTGTTCGACTCCTTCTGCCAGGTGGCCGGTATCTATCTGAACTGTATGACCGACATGCCGGAGCAATACATGTTCATCTCGACCAACATTGAACGATGGATGCGGGCGCCTACACTACACTCGCGAGAGAGATGGCCTACGTCATTCGATGTGCATGTGTGCCATGAGTATCAGTGTGACAGCGAAGTCTTGAGCGACGTTTTTGTGTTCGACGCGCAGAGCGGAGACTTGTTCGAAGTTATCCTCGGCATACGCTATAGTCGCATTTTGAAGGAGCGAATGCGCCAAGTGCTGCACCAAGCCATACCTGCCCCAGAAGGCAGTTCCCGCCTTCCAGCAGATGAGCCAGATCCAGTCAAGGACATGCCCCATAAGCCAGTAGTGGATGGGAGAGGCAAGGAGTCCTCTCAGACGGGAGTATGGACGCAACTCCAAGGGATGCTCTGTGATCTTTGTGGCCTGGAACCGGATGAAGTCAGACAGGACTCGCAACTGGGAGACATCGGCGTCGATTCACTCCTGGGAATGGAACTGGCAAGAGAGATAGAAAGTCTTTTCCAGTGTATGCTGAATCAGGATGCACTCAATGAAGCTGTGGATGTGGCTGATCTTCTTCGGTGCATTGAGGAAACTCTTGGTGTGAAACCCATTACACAGAATGGCTCGACAGAGAAGGCGGCCGCATCTACTTTCAAAGTATCCAACGGAGACAGCATGGACTCCAAAGGCTGTCAGAACGGTGTGGAAATGTCTTTTGGTTCAACAAACACCGGCATTTCAGTCAACAGGCTACCAAGACAGGCGCTTTCAGCCGCGAAAGGCTCTATTGCCGCAGTCGCTACAGAAGTATTTGCCAGCACCAAGGAGGCCACCGATTCGTTCATTGAAACCTATGGCCTGGCTGACTATCTTGATCAAGTCCTGCCGAGGTCGACGGAGCTGGTTGTGGCTCATATTCTGGAAGCATTGGAGGCCTTAGGATGTCCCGTCGGTGCAGTACCGCCGGGCGGACGCCTGCCCAAAGTGACGTATCTCCCAAAGCATGAGAGATTCATGAATCTTTTGTACGGACTCTTGGAAAAAGCGCGGCTCATTGAGATACATGACAAGGGCACGTCCCTCATTCGGACAGCCAACCCGTTGCCCTCGACGTCAGCCGAAGCCCTGGCCAGAGAACTTTTTAGCGACTACCCCGAGCACATTTCCGACCATCAGCTTACGCACTACACGGGGAAGAACCTATCCGACTGCCTCGTCGGTCAGGCCGATATCCTGCAGATTCTCTTCGGCTCGCCGGAATGCCGCACGATCATGACCAATATGTACAGCCGCTCACCAGTCAACCTGGTGTGGATCAAGCAGATGCAGTCCTTCCTGGAGGGTGTCTGGACCCAGTTCCGTTCGAACGATGGGCCCGTCCGGATCTTCGAAATGGGAGCCGGTACTGGGGCTACGACTGAAGCCATTGCGTCTCTTATCGCCCGTCTGGGAATCCCAGCGGTATACACCGTAACTGACATCTCCACCTCGTTTATTGCCAGAGCGCGGAAGAGATTCAAGCAATACCCCTTCATGGAGTTCCGGGCGCATGACATCGAGAAGGCACCACCACCGGAGCTGCAGAACAGCCAGCACGTTGTCCTAGCTACCAATGCCGTCCATGCAACGCACAGTCTTTCCCAGTCCGCTGCCAGTATCCGACAATTCCTAAGGCAGGACGGCTTCTTGGTGTTGCTCGAGGAGACCCGCCCTCTGCCATGGGTGGACCTTGTTTACGGATTAGTGGATAGCTGGTGGCTGTTTGATGACGGGCGAGAGCACGCGCTGGCGCCTCCAGATGTGTGGAAGCAGGCATTGAACAAGGCTGGCTATCGCACGATTCAGTGGACGGATGGGAGTCGTCCTGAAGCAAGCATCCAGCGTCTTTTCCTGGCGACATTATAAGAATTTGACCCTGAAGCTACCTTAGTTTCGAGTTCGCAATACAAGCGAGGTAATTCAAAGCCAGTAGAGTAGTTTGAACGATATATTTGCATCGATACGGCTCTGCAGCACTTCCTTGGAAGCTATGGTTTGAGTGAGGCTCGGCTCATCTCACAGTCTTCCGAATTGCGTGTTCCACCTCCTGTCTAAGGCCAATATGCTGAGCTATTTGTTCTTCAAAAGAGCTAAGTAGTCTCTTGTCTGTTTTTGGGCCGTCTCCATCAAGCTGCTGTAATAAATCACTGTGCTCTTCCCAGGAAATATTCGGTTGTTTCTAATACTGTGAGTAGAGTTTTCGACGAAAAAGGCGCTCGGCAGACTCTGAAGAATATGTCCGCGTATCAAAGGATCCATGCTTTGTTGGATTTTAGAACTCTCAGCAGAATCTATTCTGTCCAGCTGACAGGCGACGCTCCATATGTTGGATATGTCTTTTAGCAAAGGGCGGTAGAGCCTTTGCAAGTCTTGCAGCTGGTATTTGATCATGTTTTCATGTGTTTCTAGAAGAGATGCCATCACGAATTACCTCTCACACCAAAACTTCTAGTGTCCCCAAAGCTCGTTAACCATCATAAACATATGTAGGATGTGTGGGGTGCTTCATGAGGACGGTGCACTGGTGTTACTATACATCATATGGAACGAGACAGTGTTCACATTGTTCATCGGTATTTCTATTGCTATATTGATGTATACATTTGGATGTATATATTCAGATAATCATCATACAATGCTCATTATCCTGGCCGGATGCTGATGCAGTCATACTCAAGCATCCTCTGGGTACAAAAAGTAAATCACCGGTAAAAATACTGCATGGAGGATGTGGTCTTGCATGTTATATTTAAAATGGCGTCGGAGATCTTAGGGTGACTGTGGGTGATATGGGTGAGAAGTCTGGAGACTGTGGTGACAGAGGTGAGAACGAGGTGAGAGGAGGTGAGAATAGGGTAAGGACTCTCACCTAGATCATTCACTCTCCCAGTTTAAATTGAGTCAGGCCATAAATATGGGCCCCAAGGCGTCTATCCAGCTTGCTATTCTGAGTCTATGAATACCAGGCTATTGAATAGAAGATGCTCCTGAGTTATTCTAACAAACATTTATGTTATAGGATTGGTTTTCGTCTCAAGCTTCCCCTTTTTCCCCGCCCTAGGATCAACAGTATCTTACTTTCAATATAAAATCGAGTACTAATAGTAAGTTTAAAATGCTAGGTAATGATTGATCATGAGTTTTTCAAAGGATAGCGCTGTCGTGATGATAAAGACTTGTGAGTCCGTAGATAAGCTACTACAAAGTTTGATTGAATGCTAACTTGAAGGATCACAGGCTGAAGAAGTGCTCCAGATAACATTTAATTCTAAGTCTTAAGCTTTGCTTTTTAGGTGATAGTACATAGCGTAGCTGATGGCGCTTTTAAGGGGCTTAGTAGGGTCACTAAAGTGGCTGATGTTCTCGCTATAAGACCTCTGGTGTTAAGACAGAATCTACTTGCAGGTTAGACGGCCTGTCAGTCAGGTAAGGAAGAAAGTAACAGGTCTCATTGTTGCAAGACTGTTTCTTAAGGAGCCCTTGACAAGCAAAGGAGGCGCTCTATTTACCATACTCCTCCATGTAGCCTACCCGGAGATCAAAGGGTTCAGCTGAATGCAAAGGAGGTTCAGCAGATATGATATCAGAGAGGGGTATGAAGTTAGTGCAGCATGTAGAAGGCCTCTGAGCAGCTGTGGAACCACTCCCACTTCACCACCAACTACCTGATGGTAAGAGGTTGTTCTGCCAGAGGAACACTAACGGTTGGGAATAGCATCATGAAAGGAAATGTCATAACAGAAGCAGAGAGAATCATATAAGCTTGAATAGAAAAAGAACAAAAAGGTGTTTCCTTTATTTAGGACAGCGACTCTAGAAGGAACCTCGCAGAACAAAGCCTATTCTTCTCCTCTCTGCGCTATAAGTTGTCAGAGCCACTCGCTTATCCGCACCTCCCCTAGCCGTCTACCACCAATACCTCAAACCAAAAGAAACCTTATCATGGTCACGCAGTCAGGTCATCTCGTACTCGGGAGGGTCCTGTAGTTCCGATTCTTGGATTACAGGCAATGCATCATTTGTAGAGTGTTTAGACGTGGGGTCTCTGTGGGCTAGGCTCTGGTGGCGTCTATGTGGGCGTTTACTGTCACGACAAAATTTGGCGAGCACCTTGTTTTCCTCAGCCGCAGTCTTGTCAATCAATTTACACAAATACCCTCAATTGCCATCAGATATGGTGTCTTGAACCGCGATAGTTAGACTCCATACTTCCTAATCATACCCAGATGGTCACCTCTGAAGATATGGACAAGGGAGGAGCATGCTCAACTCTACCTCTGGCTCCCGATAGAGGGGCGAAGCGGATGCAGGGGCGTATCCAGGAGATTCTCATCGCGTTCACTGTTATGACATTGCCGATGCTAATCTTCTCCGGCCTTCTGCTCGGCTTGGTCTTTCATCATCGCATTACACAAAACGACTTTAGCTCCAGTGATCTAGCATTTGGCTCCACCCAGAATGATCCAAGCGTCTATTTTGTCCGAATAAGTGCAACCACACTCACCACCGTTGCCTCGTGGTCTAGCACTATCGCTCCAATATTAGTTGGCTTCGGTGTCGCTCTGGTGTCTTACCCCGTTGCGAAGGGTCTGTTGACGGCCTCGGAAAACCATGAGGTGGCGCAGCTACCAACACCTTTTCAGCTCTCATTGATTGTCCGCATGGTTTCGAGCGGCTCATTCTCTGCCCTTTGGAGCTGGTTGATGTATTCCTTTGGCTGGAGAGGAAGGCGCGAGCGCCAGGTAAGAGCGATCAAGAGTCTGACGACCGTGTTGACCGTCGGCATTGTTTTAAGGTGCGTGTTTTTCAGTCTGTAGAAATACTACCGAGTTTGCTAGTTTAACAAGGAAAAAGCACGGTTGTCCTCGTCACCGACACCTGGCTTCACTTCACTACCAAAACCGTCAACTTCATCCAAGTAAACGCAAACTCCGACGCCTCAGGTCTTGGATTCGGCGTGTACCAGAATTGCACGAACGTCGACAGCACTCTCCTTAGCTGCAACCTCAACAACCCTGCCTCAGGCGATGTCCTACTTAACCCCGACCCGATGAAAGTTCTCTCCAACATTTCAGATACAATGACAATCCAAATCTACTCTGCGGGTCAAGATCAGTACGCATACATCGCGAGCCCGGAAAAATCTCGCCTATCGCTTCTCGACTACACCGTCTCAACGTATGCCATACACTCGCAATGTTCTCCCATGACCTCCCAGTGCGCGAACCCCAATGATGTCTCCGGAGTTCACACCACCTACAACTGCCCATTTGCGTTCCAAGGGGCCGTCAACACAGCCGTGGGCGCGTCCAACTCCGTCACCATGGCCTACTTCACAGACTCAGCTGGCTCTAACAATAACACGGACAAAACCTTGATTGGCAACCCCTATTACTACTCCGCCATGATCCTAGCGAATATGCGAAACGCGCGCCCGGCAGCCCTGCAGAACGACCCGGAGGTTCTGTCCGGTGGACACGGCGGCGCTACTATCGTGGCGGTGGGCTGCACATCCACCGTCTACGACGTCGAATACTCTTCCATCAACGGCACCATCAAGAACTGGAAGCTTAGCAACTCTAATAGATCTACGACGCTTATCGTGCAAGGCACACAGCGCCACACAGACGTCGGGAACCCAAATCTCATTCAGGCTGCAAGCATCGCAGGGCTGGGCAACTCCGCACAAGAGATCGCAGATCAGTTTGCACTAGCATATAGTCAAACCGCCTTGGCAGTTGCGTCAGGCGCATTCGAGCCACGCGCCGCTTTGGCGTCCCAAGGGCGAGAACGGATTCTTGTTGCGCGCGTTCCCAAAGCGCCACTATTCGCCCTGGTTGCCGCAAATCTGCTGCTTGTGTTGCTGGGCATTATCCTCACCATTGTAGCTCTGATAGCTGTTCGGGGCAATACAGGAGAGGCACAGGCGCGCCTGAGTATTCCTGCGTTAGTAGCGGCGCTGTTTGAAGTACGCATGGCAAGGCCTGTAAATGAGGTAGAGGATATGTTTGAGGAGAGGCATGGTGAACAAGGACCTCGGATTGGGTTTGCAAGAGCAGTGGATGGGGGTTGGGTCTTTCAGAGCTGGCGTCCAAATTGACGGTGTGGGTGCCGCAGCACAAGCACAGGCACCTTTCAATGTCTTACAGAAAAGGCCCAGCAATCAAACCATCTTCACAGACAATTTAACTCTCCATAGGCGGCTCTCTGGGCTAGGGTCTGGATGGATGAATACTATGCTATTTACCTCAGCCGCCTCATATCTCTTGGTCATTCCTGCCATGAAGCTCATTGTAGCAGGGCTTTTCTCTCCAATAAGCACACAGGTGGTCAACCTTGTGAGTGTGCAGATGGATACCAGCTTGACTACGCACCTGGAAAATATACACCTAGAACAATCATCCAATTCCTTAATTAATTTAACACCCATTATCAAGCAGGCTTGTGATTTTGCTGAGTGGGAAACTAATCCCGTCTTCGGCCTGCATCCTAGGCCAGGCATTGTTGGCAATCTTGTCTTGGATAATCTGACAGCCGTCGTTGGTACCAAGAATGACATCTGCGACGGTGTAATTGAAGTCCGTGTTCCCGCCATCGCAGTTGATATACAATGCGAACCCATCCCCTCTTCGGATTTCAATTTGTCGATAAGGCTTAACGGCAATGGGGAAGGCATGACCTTTTGACTGGGCATGCACGACAGAGCGCTGCTCTCAACGCCATATCAACATTATCTTCCTTGGGTCCGAGATTCCATCTTATAGTGGAGACGCCAGTGTCAATATGGGCGGGTACCAGCGTCCGAAACTGTATATTCCATGTACATAGCAGATCTTACATCTCTGGGGGCCTCCATTCAATCATTCAGAAACATGACGCCGCTGCCCTCCGATGATGATAACACCACTTTATGGGCCACGCCGGATACCCTAAAACGTTACGCTGCCTACTGTGATAGCATCCGATTGCAGGAGGAACCTTACCATCGTCAATATCAACACTACATTCACTAGACTGACCGCAGTCATTACGGTAACACTGCGGCGCTAAGCGTTCTTCGGCTTCGGTAGCCACATCCCCACCCAGTAGTGAGTGGCCTTGAGCCCTTGACCGTCTCTGAGACGCTAACGTCTGCATTGAGGGCAGGCATCAGCGCACTGCGTAAAGTATGATAACTGATCGAGAACTGACCGAGAATATTGGAAATGACGGGCAAACCATTGAGGGTGACATTCTATAAAACTTACCAAATAAAATCGAGGGGTCTGTAGACAATGGGGCCGCAGCAACGTTGTAAGAGGACCATCGGGGTCCAGCACCCGTTGTGGACACCATTTGGCGGTCCTCTGCCTGTGCTGGTCGTACGACCGCGATCTTTCGATCATGTAGTTCCGGGGGCGCCAGATCGAGTGTTGCTGGTCATACATCACAATGCCTATGCATCCTGTCTTGCTGCCTGGGTTGTCAAAATCTGGGACAATAAAATTATCGAACACAGACTCGTGGTATCCATCACCTCGCTTAGTAGATAGTTATCTTGTCAGTGTACATACTTCCTTTGCTCTCTATGTTTAGTATTCTTATATAATGCTACCATATCTTTCCTGATTCGCGAGACGACTGTCTTGGAAACCACATTGAGGCTCTTCCGGTGCTCACGCGACTCATGACATGTTCTGAAGTTCCTGTTCAATTGCTAAATGCCACGTATTTTCGAGAGATGGGTGCCTTCTTTGAAGCTCTGTTGTCGTAGGCGAAGATGTATGGCCGGCTCTTTCCTAAAGTTGAGGCTGTAGTTTGCATGTTCCTTGGCTATTGCGGTACAATCTCCCTCAAATCCTCGTTACTCATATCTTGATCCTTCTTCAGACTGTCCTCCAACGCCCCAGCAAGACTCCCAGCCCTGACAAGTCTGCTCTTCGCTCACGCAAAGCTTCTTATGCTGCTTCTGTGATGTTGTTTCCTGATCCTGCTGTATGAGATCTGTCGCCCAGTAAACTATATTGTGTGGAAAGCGGTTTCAACAACAGAGCCCCTGGGTGTTCATTGGCTTTCTTGATCCGTTTTTTCTCCAACCACATCAGAATCCCAGGAACTCCAGCCGCCACACAAGCAAGACCGACAAAGAGCCCAGTAGTCCAACTTGGCCTGTTAAATCGATTCATCGCCCACATACAAGCAGCAAGGCAGACCTGAAAGGCAGTATTCAAGATATTACCCCATATTACCACATGTAGTTTCCACCCGGGAGTAGGCGAAGGACTTCGCCCTTTAGAGGAGGTATCCTGAGTTGTAGTAAGTAGAGGACTCCCATTTGGCTGGGGCCCTTGGTAGAACCAATTCGCGTGAATCTCTGCCAGACGATCGAACCATTTCCGCCGGTTTCCTGGCCCCCGGCCTAGTCGCCAACGGCACCACAGGTAGAGATCCCGAATCCGCCAGGGCGCAAGTCCGAACCCTGTGACGCAAAAAAGCGCATTGAGGATCTGCGAGTCGATCTCGATCCAGATCCGGCGAGAGGAGTACAGATCATTGCAGCTGGGATGGCACATTGCTGGTGCGGCGTTGCACATTAGTAGGAATAACATCCCACCCCATGCAATTACATTAAGGCCGTAGACCGATATTGCAAACCCCAGGGGCGTCAGGACCCAGCGGCCGAAGGAACGAGCGGTGGTGGTCCATGATGAGGATGCCTCTGCCTATTGGCGTATTAGTAACATGGAGAGAGGAAATACTGGGCGGAAGGAGACTGACCGGGTCCACTTTCTCTGGGGAATGCTCGATGGACGCAGTTCTCTTAGTTCGAGAAGCCATTAGGGTTACCTTTATTTTTAATCCCTGGAGCAAAGGAGAAAAAGGATTGCGGAGGATACTTCAAGAATATCATAGTTGAGAAGGCCCTCGTTCTCGCAGCCATAGCCACAGCGGCATTTCCTAAATTCAGCAATGGATACGAGTACGAAGGACAAACTTAAACGTTACTCCATCGCAGCTGATCCACTATGGATTAGTAGCCATTAGCATGTTCGCAATGATACAACACTTCTCTGGAACGTGCTCCGCCCGCAACAGCCCAGGAATTGGCGCGCAGTAGCCACGAAAGGATATGTAGAGTACGGAGCAGATCAAATTAGGTTCCAATCAGATATGATGGTGGCCTGTGCAACATCCTCCTTTGCCGCCCCGCAACATATGGGGACCTTTCACGAAGCATACTCCACTTAGAGAATGAAACAAGTACTATGACATGCTTGGCGCCTGTTATACTGGGAGTTTTCACTGCTTCCTGTAGTATAATTTAGACGGATATACACTAATCCACGCTAGGTAAAGGATACAAAAATGACCAAACTATTCCATCAGTAAATTCACGGTGATCATTGCGAGTGCCTGCAATTTCGCTCGGCTCATTTACTAAGACTATATAAGCGGCTTCATCGCTTTGCATTATAGACTTTTATATCCGAGCTCATCGCCCTTGTGGCGATTCTAAGTGCTGTCGAACTGTCGACGATTCAAAGTGCCCTCCTTTGTACCACCGAAATTCCCGCTCAGCACAGTTGATAACGATGGGGTGAGTTTTGCCGGATCTCCTGAAGCCTACGACGCTGACCTTAATGAAAGACCCACGCCGGTCGCTATGATGTTCGAAAGACTATGGTCTGGCTTGACGAGGAGAATCCCAACAACTTGAAAAGGCATGTCTTGTTCCTCGCAATCATGCATTGGGCATCGGGCTCCTGACGGGCAAAAAGCTACTTCTTCCTTTCTGGTCGACTGCAATGGACGGATCGCAAGTACCATGTAACCTTAGCACCGAACTTTTTCCGCGGCAGCACCACAGGGTAGAAGATCTCCAGGATCTCTCATCCACTGGCGCGAACTGTTTTCGCTCCTGGTAGTGGAAGCATGGAGTTTCTTACCTTCCGTTCGGGAATCCAGAATCTGACCAGTCCTCGTGGATCCGACAATTACACTGACTTGACCGTCTCCGCAAACTATGCTGGGGCGTAGCTCATTGTACACGTTAACCCAACTGGCAAGAATCTGTACGTCGGAGGAGGTGGTGGTATTACCCTATCGAGCAATAGCAATGATTCCCGGAGGATTATTCCGGGGTAGTCTTGGTACGGGGCACGAGTCACCCAACACTGAACAAAATTCTTTCCGCCACTCACAAGCTTGTCGCTTTAGGGCAACCCGACTCTACGTCTGAATGGCACGCTCACTGTGAACTATGGGGAAATTGCAATCGATCCATGGTCAATTCCGAGGATACTTTGAGCGCCAGTGGGGTGAATTTGGGATATCTGGTGGCCATTATGGATATTGGCTCTATCTCTCGAATGGATTGATGAATTCATGGGATGGGTCGTAGGCCCTACCGTGGAGCAGCCCTTTGGCGTCCCCAGCCTGGGCAACAGTCTGGCATCCCAATTAGCATTCATGAAGTTGTAGAAGTGGGCAAGAACACCACAGCATTCGATGTTTGGAAAAGTGAATATAGTGGACTGGACTAATTCCAGCAGGTTAAGCTGGATATACCGACTCGGCAAGCGCAATTTAATATCGGACCAGTTGATAAGAGCAAGTGAGCTCCGCCCACTCCCCGGCGCTAATGGATACAACACAAGCGAAGCTTATGCTCAAGGCGAGGGTGTCTGGGAAAGCGATGCTGGAATTTTCCTTGGGCATCTCGAGCAGCTATCTTTCTGGTAGAGGGAACTGAAATGGGCTTGTGCGAGATAGGTGCTTGAGGAAAGTATTCGCGAATTGCGATCCACCTTCATAGAACTAGCAATCTGGAGGACTTCGGCTCGTTGGGGAGACTACATCGGCTACGAAAGATGCTACGAAAACGAAAGGTGTGCCGGGATGGAAGTTTCCTCGCTTGCCATACAGAGCGACGGTTGCGACAATATCCTTGAAGCTGTTCTCACTCACCGCATTTGCACATTTATGCTGCAGTTTGCCGTTGCTTCTCAGGGAATTACAGGGACCTAGACGATTTAGAATTGTTTTTCTACAGAAATATAATGGTGCTGGGCCAGAAATACTTCCGGGCGATGTCCTCGTCAGTCCAAGGTGTTCATATACATAGCCATAGTGGTAACTTATCCCAATTGTTGTGATTCCAGGCTCGATCAAGTAGACAATAGAGGTTTTGAATATGGAATCTATTCTGTATATAAGCAGATAAAATTTCCAATCAATACGTTGATTGTCTTGTTTATGAGGCCACAAATTTTCAGATGCGAATAAGGTCTGCTGATTTGGTTACTGTGCTTCCAACTAGATCGTAGATTTTAAGATTCAACAGCATGCTTCGACTCCAGCGCCTATATCTCATCCATGATCTTTCGATATAATTCTTAGAGCTTCATATTCCAGCACATACGACCACAGGGTGTGGAAAACAGGGCTTCCCGTCCGCTCAGCCGTACTTAAGCCACACGCCGGCCGGTTAGTAGTTGGGTGGGTGACCACCAGCGAATCCCGGCTGTTGTATGTTTTTTTTTCCCTTTTTCCTTGCTCTTTTTGTTATCAATTCATCCTGAGAAGTTGTTGGATATCGAGGATGGTAGCTGACAGGCTGGGTTTGCTTTTGTGCAAGGCTGAGGCAATCCGAGGAGGTCCAGGCAGGCGAGTTGGACAGATTTATGACTTGTCCCCTGTTCAGAAGTAAGATCCTTCCTGAAGAGAAATGATGTCCATGCAACCGTTGTTCATTGCGCAGGGAAGATGAGTATGGCTAGAGATGATAGGATAGAATGGATAGTGAACAAGAAATGATGAGAATTATGTAGAAGAAAGGCTGTAAGGAAAGACCAAGAAGACAAAAGTTAAGAAGAAAAGGAGCAAATATGCATATGTGATGTAGTAGAATGCTGAACCATGCCAAACCAGCCTCTGCTTATTTTACCTTTCCAGATTCTCTGCAACACCAAACACCGCTTATATAACAAAGCCAAGCCCAAGGGTGCGGAAGATGAAATGAAGATTGTAAATTCGAAGAAGAGATAATAGAAACGCGTGATCGCCGTCAAGGAGGGTATCAGGGAAGGGGGTATATCAAGCAACAGTTCGGATGTCGCGACACTCGTTTTTCGGTTCATTTTTCTTCTTCGAGCAGTCTATACGCACGTTTGCATCACAAAACGCCGCCGGGTAGGTTGATCTGGCCTTGTCTGCCCTCGAAACCTGCACTATTGGGGGCAGAGCCCCCGCTGGTGTAAGCGTTGTCAATGGGATGCAGCTGTTTTCGTAGCATGAACATCGGTTTTCTTCCCTCCTTCTCGAGTTGCTTGAAGAGAATAAGCGGCCGCTCCTCAAGTCCTAGACATCGCTCTTGATCACCATACACGATGTACAGTGCATACTGCTTCCAATCGGCATTGATATTGTACTTCTTGAGTGCGGCGGGAAGAACCTTATGACAAGGGTCATCCATCGAAACACGGAATGACTTGAAGATCTCGACGCTAGGTGGATCAGCACCCGCTCGGGAATCGGACCGAGTGGGAACATCAGGGCGTGACGCTTGTGTGGGGGTGGGATTCAACCGATCGGGACGTGATTGTGCCGTCGGAGTATCTTCTGGATGATCATAGCCTGTGCGACCCGAATTGGGTTGTGTGTAAGAACGTGATGCCAGCGTCTGATGAGCACCGTAGTGAGCACCAGGAGAAGTCGGCGATGGCATGCCCGGTGACAACTGTGGCTTGCCATTCAAGGCGCTAAGATGGGATGAATTCGCGGCAGCAGAAGGGTCCAGTCCACCGTTGTCGTTGTACGGTCGTCCTTCGTGTATCGATGGAGGGATATGCGTAGGCGAGTTGGTTTTTGGTGTGCTACCCCCAGTGTAGACGCGTTTGGAGAAAGTCCGAGAGATTCCGGACGCTGCACGCTCAATCAAGGTGCTTCCGGGGGGTGACACAAGGGTTTGGCCTTCGTAGTGGCCATCGGCTCCTGGGCCCGCGGATGACGGAGGGGGCAGTGGTTGTGATCGATCCTTGGCCATTTTGAAGACAGGAAGAAGCTCTTCGCGAAGCCGGCGATACTCGTCTGCAACGCGCCGCAACTCAGACTCGACGCTAACGATTTTTTCGTCTCGTAACCGGATGGACTGTATCAAACGAGCAATATCCTCTTGTGTGGCCGTTTCGTTCATGCTTTGGTCCGCCGCTGGCAGACAGTTAGAACAAACACCCACGTCAGCATGGAAGGGTACTTACAAAGAGGTATGTAGTGGTCAGGGTCCAGGGGAATGTCTTGCTTGACTTTAGTCTCGTATACACTCTTCAGAATGGTCAATCGGTGCCCAACGCTGGTGATTCCCATCTCTTTCAATTCCTCGTGTTTGAGCGCAATGAGCGCTTCGCCGACAATTTCGTTCTCTACCACGAGGTTAGTAGCTTTCCCCACGCTCCAGAACTCTGTCTAATGGTCCCAATTGTTCTTTCTGTTAGGCGGCCCAACTTACCAAGAAAAGTTGCGCAGTACTGACGGAGACCGAGGGCGGCAAGCCAGTTTGCGCATTCCTCAGCGGTCCACTCTGTAATGATAGTCTTCGGAGATCGAGGGTCTTCCTCAGGGTTTGCAAATGTCCTTGGAGTATGTTCGGCTGAAGGGAATTCGGAGTCGGAGGGAGAGGCCTCGGAGTCGGTCGCTAGATGAGGGGAGGTAATCACACTCCGTTCGTACTCGTCATCCGCGTCGGAGTCCGCATGATAGGATGTATGCAGAGACATGTCCAAGGAAGGAGGCTAGGGAGCCGACAATGACGTCCACGGGAGCGAAGAGGAATGGAGTGGACGTCGGCCCAGAGAGTCGGCTTTGCAGCAACAATACTGTGAAGAGTGACTGCAAAGTGAGAAGACGGGGTGCATAGATTATGAGACAGTATTTGGTCTGCTTTAGAAGATCACAGTCGAGGTCATCCAGAGTTGCGATTAAGCGAGGTCGGGGGCTGATGCAAGTGATGAGGGCAGCTGAGCGAAGCAGGTAAGCCACATGGACGGGGAACAATGGCGGTTAGAGGCAGCGAGGAATCGTCGAGATGCGGGGACGGAACGGAAGGGAGGTAGGTTCGTGAGGGCCAGCGACTGAAGTATGATCCTTCGTAAGATGGTAGTATGTCCAGATAGCGGGTTTCGTCACGATGAGAGGTATAGTCGAGGTTGGGACCGAAGAATATGTTCCTGAGGCCACCAAGGCAGTAGCGGTTGGAGAGTGAGAGAGAGCGGGGGGAGGAGCGGATCTTCTCCCAAACGGGACGAACAGTAAATTAACAGAAGAGTGGTATTTATTCCACGAGCAGGAATTGAGGGAAGAAGGTGAAGAGGAGGAAATGTCAAGGAAGATGAATAAATAAAAAACAGAGAGTGATGATAGTTTCTTCCTCGAGTATGTACCTAAGACCTAAGGAACAATCTATCTACCTAGTGGAAGTACCTGATCTGGGACGTGGAGTAACTCTTTTTCTTCCTTGCTAAGGTACCTTATTAATGACCAATCCGAAAAAGGAGTGGCACTGGTCAGCGCTTCTAAAGTTGGAGCGTTGCACGTGACCCTGGTCTGGACCCCCCTTGCTTCTTGATTAAGCTGTTCCTGACTGAGGACGAAGCAACAAAAAAAGTGACACCGATGACGGCGATGATTGACATTACCTTACTCTGCTTGCCAATGAAGCTTGCTGGATGACTCATTTAGGCGTGCTCTCGCTACCGAGTTCCGAGTTCAAATATGTCACATCCTCCATGAGCTTCCCCCGTATCCTCGCTAAGACTATCCCTTCTCCGACTCAGGTCTGTCTAGTATCCTAGTCGTTGATCATTAGTACCTTCAATCAATGCATCGGAAAAGGGGCAAGTAAGCTATCAACGGCCTCGATGGACTAGTGGTCAAGTTACACCCTCAATGATTATTGCACAAGTCCAACTACTGTCTTCTTGTTTCAGTCATCCCCAATTATCCAAGGTCCAGTATCCATCAATACGCAGGGGCAAAAGTCTACTGAACGTTGATGGTATCCACAGAGTATAAAATCTTCAATAATGCTCAATGTTATTTATGATAGGCGCTGTCAAAAATCAATAGTGCCGGGGACCTGTACATTTTGGGCCTAAAGAGTCGCAATACTCCGCTATCATCGTGCTAATATTGCATTTCTATTCTGGGCTGTTCTCTGATGCCTCTTTAATTGAGATTCTTTTTTGACTATTGACTCTCTTCCATGCGCTAATTGACTACAGAGCAAGGTTCTGTCTGGTTCATAAATTTAGCATTAGTCTCGGTCTCTGGTCGACGGGCCTTAACATCTCTGTGCTCCGGGGAGTATCTAGTGCAGCATACAGATGAATCAGCAGTTCGCGACTTCGCCTAGTCAGCGGTCCGATCCTTCAGCGTAATCGGTAGATCCTCCCTAAGGATGAAGGTATGGCAATTGATGTCAGCCATGGCAGACGTTGGATGAGCATGTGGGCGCCTTGGCTGTCAACTGGCAGGAGTGAAAAGCAGCATGATATATACTTGTTGTTCACTATTGAACACGATCTTCTTTTCATTGACAATCTGCCCAATAAAAGCAAAGAAGCTGCAATGTGGTCTTTCTAATTACCTTTATCTTTCCATTGACTCGATCAATAACAATGACCTGTGCAATATGCTCCGTAGATGCATTGTCAATAGAAATTCCAATCCAACTGATACCCACTCTGGCGCTTGGGTTCGTCCAAAGCGCCAACAATGGATGGATAATGCATACAGCTTCTGGAGTGTATAGTTGTCAATGCGTTGATACTCGAAAGCCATTTTTTTAATGCTTATCCTCAAGGTCCAGAAATGTACCTTATCATGATAGAGTCACTGGTCGTGATACTTGAGGCCCCGTTTTCCCGTGGGAATTCAAACACCAAATGAATCGCACATGGGTTTGAAGATTGGCCATGTTGACGATGAGGATGATGCTAAAGAAGTCTTCAAGGATGATTCATATTGCTAGAAGTAAACATTGTCAATTTCAGTACCTATTGTCCTGGGACTCGTTGCCTCAATCAACGCTCCGGGAAAAAAGGCGGCGGAATTGGCCTCCCAACACCGAGGTCCTCTGAAATCTCCTACACTTCGAATGAACACAATAGAGCTTGCGTCTATTGCTTTATAATACAAATCCTTCTTTCCGCATGGATATATCTATGTTATCATTTCCACTATACTTCAAGTCTGTCCTGAATCGATCCCAATCTCCCGCCCTTGCCCGCAGCGAATTCTTCTGAAATCGAAGTATCAGCGTCATCAATCTCGGTACTCGCCAACAAGCACTCTACAACTCCAAGGTAAGAGTCAACCTGACAAGGCACGAATCGCAATAGCGGCATGAACTACATTCAATACTAAAAAGCCGCCGTCACAGAAAAAGCGCAATTCAATCCTGCAGCAAGATCCTCCGTACCCGCCGCTGGAACAGCGTCGCATCACCACCTCCCCACCGCCGCGCCAGCGCCAGCACCAGCGGTACGGAGTATACAATCAATCCGCAGCAAAGAAGAAAGGGCAGGAACCTATCTATCTCATCGGACGGATCAAAAGCAAAACCACAGTACTACGGAGTAACTGAACGACCATCGTCGCCAAGCACGTCCACACCTCACCCGAAAAACTTCCCTACCATTTATCCAATAGACTAGATACCGGCCGCCGACTCCTCAACCCCGACAGCCTCACCACTACAACCACAACAGCAGCAGAAAAGTTCGACTCAGAACCAAAACCTCAGAGGAAAGAAAGTGACAGGAAGGAAAAATGCCCTCCACAACCTCCCCACCACCATCCAACACCTCGTCCCCTCCTCACCGAACACCCTCACGCCCGAAACCCTCGAAACCGATCTCCTAACGCACCTCGCCTCAACCACCGCCCTCGAAGACCTCCACGCAACGCTTCTCTCCTCCCTCCAACGCCTCGGCTGGACCGAAAAGATCCGCAAACTCTCCCTCGAGCTCCTCCGCGCCGGCCGCTGCGACCGCTTCGACGACGTCGTCGAAGCGGTCGTCGCCTCCGCCGCGGGGATAAAGCCGCCCTCTGCAGCGTCGCAGAACGGGAACGGGAACAGCAACAGCAACAGCAGCGAGGACGACTGGGCCGAGCTAGACGAGGTGGACGTGCGGATTCCCAAGGCGGTGGTGGAGCAGGGGGTACGGGCCATCAAGGAGGTGTTGCGGGAGGTGATTGTCATAGAGGATGATCCGGATCTGAACGCCCTGCATCAGAGCGAGCATGTGTCCGAGAGCAAGGGGAGCTTAGAGGCCGAGGGGGAGAAGGAGAAATCCAAGATCTCCAAGGCCCGGGAGCCGTCGGTAAAGAATGGTGATACAAGTCCGACCAAGAAGACGGAGAAGAAGCCCAAGACGGGGAAACAGGCCAAATGAAGCGTTCCTTCAAGGGTTTCTGTCCTACTTTGAGTGTATGCTTCATGTCACTTTCTTCGCTTCCATTCCTGGGGATACCTTTACTTTGGCTCATGCAGGCGTTCGTCATGGCTTACGGTTTTTCGGTCGCACTTTCTGGGAGTCTAGAGGGGCGGGATTTTGTCATTTGATACCATATCCGATCATTATACAAGGTTTAAGAACCAACTTTCTCATTTACGTTCTAAGCTATAACAGAGGATTGCTCAAGCTCACATGTATCGATCTTCCTCGTCCGCCCGTACATGAGGCGTATGCGGAGATACAAGCTCAAGGGATCTTTATCGTAAGGAAGTGAGCAAAATGTAAAACAATAGATACGCATTCGTGTCAACAGGTGAATCCCGTTCAACATTCCCAGGGTCATAAGCTGAGACTAGATCTAGCTACTAGAGGATAGGAGACTGTAAATGAAAACGGACCAAGCTCATTAGAGAACACCCATTTAGTCGTAGAGGCTGTCATCATTGCCGGCTTCACCGAACGTGTCGTTATTTTGGATCTCACCCGAGGTGGGGAAGCGGAAGAAGCTGCTGCCACCGGAGTTCTTCAGGCTCTGAGCGAAAGCCTCGTAACGGCGGATCTCAACATCGCTGACGGAGCGGCGAGCCGATTTCATAGCCTCCTCGAAGTGAGCACGGGTGAGCTGGGGCACCGGGTCCTCCTCCTCGCCCTCATCCTCCATCTTGACATCCTCACCAGCAGCCTCACGCTGCTTCTGGCGCTCAATATCAGCGGCAATGGATTCCTTAATGGCCAGCTTGACGGCACGCTGGGTGACGAATCCAAGATCGGCACCAGAAAATCCATGGGTCTTGCTGGCAATGAAGGGGATATCAACGTCGGGAGCGACAGGGGTCTTGCGGAGCTGAGCCTTCAGAATGCTCTCACGAGAAGCCTGATCGGGCAGAGGCACGTAGACCAGGGTATCGAGACGACCAGGACGAACCAGGGCAGCATCGAGCTGCTCGGGTCTGTTGGTAGCACCAATGACGAAGACATTCTTCTTCGATGTCATGCCGTCCATTTCTAAAGTATTTGTTAGTCATAGTTCAATTGTGTCGCAACGCTTGTCAAACTTACCAGTAAGAAGCTGGTTGACCACACGATCAGAGGCACCACCAGCGTCGCCGACAGAACCACCACGGGACTTGGCGATCGAATCCAACTCGTCAAGGAAAACGACGCAAGGGGCAGCAGCACGGGCCTTGTCGAAAATGTCCCGGATGTTGCTCTCGGACTCACCGAACCACATGCTCAGAAGCTCAGGTCCCTTGATCGAGATGAAGTTGGCAGCACACTCGTTCGCCACGGCCTTGGCAAGCATGGTCTTACCAGTACCAGGAGGTCCATAGAACAGAACACCACGAGATGGCGAAAGGCCGAACTTCTGGAACTTTTCGGGGTGATCCACAGGGTATTGGACACTCTCGATGAGCTCGCGCTTGACCTCCTCCAGACCACCAATGTCCTCCCAACGAACGTTGGGAACCTCGACGACGGCAACCTCGCGGAGAGCAGAGGGGTTGGACACGCCGAGGGCGTAACGGAAGTTCTCCATTGTAACGCCAAGGGAGTCAAGCACCTCCGCGTCGATGGTGTCCTCGTCAAGATCGATCAGATCCATCTTCTCACGAATCTGCTGCATAGCGGCCTCAGAGCAGAGAGAGGCAAGATCGGAACCGACGTAACCGTGAGTCTCGGCGGCAATGGTCTCCAGATCGACATCCTCAGCGAGCTTCATGTTCTTGGTGTGGATGGACAGGATCTCGAGACGCCCAGTGGGGTCGGGGATACCGATATCCACTTCACGGTCGAAACGGCCGAAACGACGGAGGGCAGGGTCGATGGAGTTGGGGCGGTTAGTGGCGGCCATGACGACAACGTTGGAACGAGCCTTCATGCCGTCCATCAGAGTCAGGAGCTGAGAGACGACACGGCGCTCGACCTCTCCATTGGTCTTCTCACGCTTAGGGGCGATGGAATCGATTTCATCAATGAAGATGATGGCAGGAGAGTTCTTCTCGGCCTCCTCGAACGCCTTGCGCAAATTCGATTCGGATTCACCGGCCATCTTGGACATGATTTCGGGACCGTTGATCAGGAAGAAGAAGGCACCAGTCTCGTTCGCAACGGCACGAGCCATCAGTGTCTTACCAGTACCAGGAGGACCGTACATCAGAATACCACGAGGCGGCTTGATACCGATGGACTTGAACAGCTGAGGATGACGCAGAGGCAACTCGACCAACTCACGGATCTGTGCCATCTGCTTTCTGCAACCACCGATATCGTCATAACCGACCTCGTTCAGGTTGCCCTCTTCATCCTCCCGCTGGATGGGCTCACCCTCGCAGTGGATGATGGTATCTTGTGCGACGATACCGTACTCCGGGGGATCGACCTCAACAACCTTGAACTCCACCTGTCTCATACCTCCACGTACCATGAACAGGTCTCCCTGTTTCACGGGTCTGTAGGCTTCGCGGAAGTATGGGGCGAGGTAGACGTCGAAAAGGGATCCAGTCAGACCCTCTACGGTGTCTGCAATGGGAAGAACGGCAATCCGCTTGGCCTGCAGAGAAACGAAGAGTTAGTTTTCCGTTTTCGGTTGAGGGGACATTTGAAGGCAAGCCTACATATTTGATATCTGGGCAAGGGTGAACGGTGATAACGTCACCGTGCTTGACCCGCAGATTGTGTCTCACGACACGGTTGATGCGGGCGCTTCCGTCATCCAGGTCATCATCAGCAAGCACAATCAAAACGGTATCCTTCCGCTTCTTGCCCTTCACCAAGACTGTGTCACCACGGAAAAGCTGGAGCGTCTCCATAGTATTGTTAGAAAGGGCAATAACTGAGTTGTCATCGTTGACGGCATCGGTCACACTAGGCAAATTGAGTCAGTATCCACGCCCGCCACTTCAATAGCCATTAGCTTTGGTGTGCTTACATCAACGAGTTGGGCTTCTTCTTCTTCCTGAGAATGGCTGTAGAGGTATCGAGCTCCTGTGTTTGAAGAGTCAGTACTAATGTTGACCGCTTGTCGACGCCACTAGAACTTTACCTCTTTCTTCTCGGCGCCCGAGGCGTCGCTGTTAGTTCGTTAGCATGAGGACCCTGTAAGACGGAAAACCGAGAAACAAAGGACGTACTGCAGGTGCACCCTCTTCTTATCATGAGCGTGGTCTGGTTCTGCGCTCATTTTGACGAAGACTGAGATACAGTGGTTGTGTGAATAAGCTCTTGAAGCAACGTAGACGATCTGCAGGTATCAAGGACGTCGCTCGGATGAGCTCAACTGCCAAGTAGACGAAAAAAAGCGAGAAAGGAATTGAAGAAAACGTCGAGAGAGTTTATAGAGTCCGACAGACGAGATGAAGTGTCTGGGGGACGAAGGGAAATGAAGAGAGGTGGTAGGTGGATGTAAGAGAGATGGATGTGAGGTTCGGAGGTTGGCAGCAACAGCTCCAGTTTAAAGAGGTGACGATAGGTTCGGTGCCTGTCGGACTGATGACTTAAGCCGCCTCAGGTTCATCAGCCACAGGTGCCGCCACCGCCCAAAGGAAGAAGCGAATGGAAGATGGTCGTATCCAACCACCAGAGGGACGGAGGTTTGCTTTGAAATCCATGCTGCGTAACTACGTGTCCTTATCAGTCTTCATGCTTCCTTTGAGATGACAATGCTTCACAGATGCTAAGCTTCATGCATGGGTTTTGCCACCCTGGCAGACAGCCGCACTGCATACTTTGCTATGTGCCTGAGGCATCAATATAGGAACAAGTGTTCTTGGCACTGAACCAGGCCTGGTGCTGGCATGCCTTCATCATCGTGCCGTCCATTATAATGGATGATACGGGGCATTCTCACTCTTGATACAGGAACGAGCTGGTCGACCCGCCGAGGTAATATAGATTGGATAAAGCTAAAATCCAACAACAGCCACTGAGACTGGACTGAATAGCAAGTTACAGAGTTGCATCCATGATATCTACCTCTCTATATAAACCAAATAAAACGGAGCAGAATTATACACGAGTGAATCATGAAAACCGCGATCATGACTTCGCAGTTGCAGCCCAGAGATCATAGAATCCCCAAGCGCCGGCCATGAAACTAATCACACCCGACAGACTGTTGGGGATGCCGACGCCACTTTCGAAACACCAGTGAAGACACAATGGAGCCCAGCACACATTGTTGACCAGAGCCTTCTTCCAGGCACGAATCTCCGCCCTCAGTTCCTCCTGGCCCTCCTTCGTCTGCGCCCTGGCCGGGTCGCTTGCAATCTTCCTCCTACGCAAGACAAGTTGTCTCCACAGCACAAAGAACTGGAAGAAAATATGGCCGAACCAGGCCCGAATACTCCACAGGTACCACTTGTTGATGCCTCCCCATCGCTCGATCCATTTCTTCGAGATGACACCCTTGGATGCCAGGTAGCCCACGTTCTCGAGGAATTGGTATATCATGTTCACAGCCACCTGGGCGAGGGTCAAGTTGCGAATAATGGGATCCGAAGGTGGTGACTTCAGAGTGGCTGACCCCCATGTCCAGAGGGGAACTAGCCCTAAGAGCCGGATGGTATAACGGGTCTCAGACATGAGAGAGGAAAGGGCGAGGAGCCGGGATTGGGGCGACGAGGACGGAGCGGTGGTGTTGCGTGTAGATTTCGTATGGTTGTTCAACCGGGCAAAAAGGCCCAGACGCGTCTGTACAGCGATCCATGGCGCAGAAGTAATGAGATGATGAAGTGCATGAGTGAGATATCCGGTAGCTGCGAAGACTCGTTCTTGACCGTAGGCTGTGGATAGGAGTCTACGGAGTGTATTCGTTGTTAGGCACATATGCGTCGCACCGCGCTTTGACAATAGCAGAGGGCGTTGGAATTGACATTCACTTACCGGTCTAGACGTTCAATATTGTAGTCTGTCGCTTTGAGCCCTTCCAGCAGCTTGCGTTGAGTATCATTCCTCGCCGAAGAGGATGGCACCGGCGGTGAAATCCCCGCGGGGCTGACGGGCTTCCCCACACTGGGCGCTTCAATTTCAGGTGCCACAGGGGGCTCTGACGAAGCGAGTGTCTTTTCTGAGTCTGGCATGGTGGTGTCTGACTGTCTGAGTATATTTAAAAAATGTTGTGGAGAAAGTCGCGTCGCAGTTCTGAGATTTAAGGAGATTGGTAGTATGGAGCATCTGATGAGGATCTATGCTCACGGCGCTGGAGCCGAGGCTCGGAATTCGGAGCGCGCAGGGGCAGCTGGACACCTGGTAGTGTGCAATAATGAAACCGAAGACGTCCAACTTCAACAAGAAGGAGAATCACAAGTCCACGGTGCATACGGAATACTCATAATTCACTCTGCATTCGATCTGCAGAGGTCGGTTTGTGACGTTCGAAGCTACTACATAAGGTCAACTGACTACGAGTAGTATCTCCAGAGGTCTCCCTAACTCTGGCTTGACCCGAACCTGTTAGGGAAATCAAGATTGCTTCCCAAGCAATCCTTGCATTGTGATTTTATTGGCCAAAGATGAATGATGACAATGATAGCCAATGAATAAGATCATCAGACAGGTTCCAGGTACTTATGAACAGCTTCAACAGCATCCTCAAGGGCTCTTAGATTCACTTAACCAACAGATTTTGGCTCCGTTCTCGCATCAGACTGTTTCGCTCAGTGTGCTGGTTGCCTATTGACTGACGTGCTCATTCGAGATCGAAAATGTCCAAAGTCGTACTGCGAGATAGCGATTCCAAGCCATAATTATCATCGCCCACTTCGACATCAAGGTCACTTTCACGCTCATGAGTGCTCCGTACTTCAGCAGCCTCAATGGCGTTCTCTCCAGCATAAGCTATCAACATGCTTCTCGAGCCGCCGCTCAAAAAGGAATGTGCTGCTCCGCTGTCACTGAGCTCGGCAATAAGACCCGCGCTTGAAAATTCTGAGACTTCCATCGGATCGCAAAGACTACGCAGATCAATCCGTGATGCAATTGCGCAAAGGCGCATAAAGTGAGGCTGCATTATTGCGAGACTCATGCTTTCGGATGATGTATAAGGAGGTGTCGGTAGCCCGAAGAAATGCTCCCTCTGCTTGTAATGATTGTCCAAGTTGCGGACAACCCTAGCGTCGGAAACCCTTCTGTTGCTGAGCTCCCATGGAAGGGTGATCGCAGTACATGGATCGTTGAAAAAGCCGTCAAGATGGATGAAGGCACGCGCAGGGATATGATCCCTACAATGGTAGCAGCACCAGAATCGGCAAGCTGGACGCGGCTGCCTGGAAGGTTGTTCCGGGCAAGGCATTGATTCTACATGATTCTGCCGACGGACATCATCAATTTTCTCTGTGGGCAGTCCATCATTGCCGTTGTCATTGTCCTCGCCGCCCGGCTCGACTCCCTGGATGACTTCAATGCGTGAAAACGGAGCCGCTGCCGGCCCATACTCTTGCTCCATATGCTGCAACACGATTGCCCTCTGTTGCCTCACGATCGTTCTCTCTCTGAAGGTGTAATGACCGTCTATCATGGCCCTGGAAATTCCTTGGGACAGCCCCGGACCGGTTGGTTGATTGAGATCTTCGACGCAGAGGAGCAACCATCCTAGCAGGGGTTGGCGAGCGCAGTTGGGACAAAGTATACGATCGTCCACAAACCGGCGAACCATAATGCCATGAGTACAATGTTTGTTCATCTCATACTGGGGAAGGTTGTGTTTCGGGCCAAAGGGCGCACGCTTTCCTCGCCATGTACTTCCTGGGTATATATCCGGCCGTTTCTCAAAATTATCGGGCAGGACGTCTTCAGGTCTAGGCATTGGCGGCGGGTTGATGCGAGGGAATGGAACTCGAGGAGGCTGCGCTTCGGGGACTCTGCTGTGCCATACAGGAGGAGGTGTCGAGCTCCCCTCTCCATTGTCCGCCATGGCTTTGCATACGCGTTGAGATGTTGGCTATGAAAGAGAGAAATGGGGGATTGGGAGGAGGCATGGCAACTGAAAATGTGCTGTGTGCTTTCTCACTCCACGGGAAAATGTGAATGGGGTGTTCTCGGCGACAATGCCATGGTGATGTTGATTGCAGTGAGTCAGTTCATCGTAGGTGCTTTCCTATTAAGGACATCCTTATATCATAACTACTACTGTGGCAGATAGATGAGTAAAGATTTAAGCATATTATCACAGAGCTCTAGGAGAATTTAAAGAGCTTGAAGCAATTTCTCTGGTTCTAGCTATTATCGTACTCGATGGTTAGTCTGGTTGAGGTACTGTTATTTATATAGCATTAGAGGCAGGGACATGGTTTACTAACTCATCCTAAGAAGTAGCTTGATAGCTAGACCCTCATTCTACTGTGTCTTCTGACTATACTCTGTAGTATGTTTTCTATCTTCATTCCTTGTTGTAACTACTCTCTTTATTCTACCTTTTGCATAATAAGACATGCCTAACAAGGTGATAAATGATGGCAACAGCGTTATGCACACAAAAAGACCGCTACCTTTATTTAAAAACAACAGCACAACTGATGAAACGCCTTTAACAGAATCAAACAAATATAATTCCAGCCAAAGGGTCCAAGAAACACCATATCGGAAGAGCTCCCAGATGTCGGAGGTGCCCGAAGTTGCCTGGCCTGTCAGGTTGAACCCGCCATCTGCCGACCGCGTGGCCGAATAAGAAGCTGTTCTCAGAGATCGGGGATGCGTCTTCCCCCTCCACCTTCAAGCAACTAATAACCGATATTATTTATCTATCTCCATCTCAGGAACGGCGGTTGGGCCACATTACATCCTGTCTGTCTATATCTAGATCAATTGCATGCACGTAACTCTCCGGAGCTGCTGCAAGTAAGACATTTTGGTTCATCTGTTCTCCTTTCTTGCTACATCTTAGTTGTTGTTGTTGTGTCGTGGTCTGGGCCAGGCTGCCTCGGTAAGCTCCCTGGTGCAATCAATAACCGTCTCTCTCTGTCTTTCTCCAGCCTCCTCTTCACGTAAACAAACAGCGGCCGGCCCCTTTCCCTTTAGCTCTCTTTAAACGTCCTCCTGTCCAACCCACGATTTTCCTTTCTATCCAACTTAGCGGCCTCCTTACCCACCTCGCCTCATATTTTCTCGTTCCGTCGATTATCAATTGTGGTCGTTCTCATTCCTGACGCTCTGTGACTGACCGTCTTTCCCACTGCGCATAGCTATCGGCATTTCTTATCGCCTCCATTACCCGATCCATCTACCGACCCCAAGTTCCAATAAACACCAGCAACCATGTCGGTCAAGTTTCAGGAAGAGGTCACCAAGTCAATCCGAGCGGATACCAAGGAATTGGCGCATAAGGTCGGGGAGCGGTTGACGGGTGGAAATGCTCAGACAGGCTACCTCGCTGTATGTTTAACCTGCTGCTGATCGACAATGGAAGAGTACTGCGCGGATAGATGGCTGACCGGGCATTTCAACATGCATAGCTCTACCTGCGTCAGCTGCAGTCGAATCCCCTGCGCACGAAGATGTTGACATCCGGTTTGCTTTCTGGTCTCCAAGAGGTCCTAGCTTCCTGGATTGCGAACGATGTCAGCAAGCATGGGCATTACTTCAGCGCTCGGGTGCCCAAGATGACCCTCTACGGCATGTTCATCAGTGCGCCTCTGGGCCACTTGCTCGTCGGCATCCTCCAGAAAGTCTTTGCTGGTCGCACCAGCTTGAAGGCCAAGATCCTCCAGATCCTCGCCAGCAACCTGATCGTACGTTTCTGTCATATATGTCCTATGCACTCGCAGATGGCTAGTGCATATCACTCAGCGCGGCAAATTCTAACCGCATTCGCGTTGCAGGTCTCCCCCATCCAAAACGCAGTTTACCTCACGTCGATGGCTATCATCGCCGGCGCGCGCACCTTGCACCAGGTCCGCGCAACCGTTAAGGCCGGCTTCATGCCCGTCATGAAGGTCAGCTGGATCACCTCGCCTCTGGCGCTCGCTTTCGCCCAGAAGTTCCTTCCCGAGCACACCTGGGTGCCATTCTTCAACATTATCGGGTTCTTCATCGGAACCTACGTCAACACTCACACCAAGAAGAAGCGCCTGGAGGCTCTGAGAAAGGTACAGTCATCTTCTCGTTTTAAGTAGAGCCCGGCTAATATGCAGCAGCGCTACGCCGAACGCCGTGGCCCCGGCAGCGAGTACGAGAAGGGCGGCGACTACCGGTAAAGAATGCGAATACATCCAATGACTTGCCAGACCGCGCGATAAATTAGGACGAAGATCTGGGGCCTTGTAGAACTTGGATATTGGACTCATGGCTGGCGAACTGCTTTGCATGCATATGATGCTTGCCAATTTACTTCTTGAACATGTCTCATGTGACATCTCTCTTCGACCCGGTGATTCCCCTGATGTCGAGATGAAGATATGCCTTTTCTTTTTTACCTGTTACGACGAATGGTTCTTTCTAAATATTGTATGTGAATGTTTATGATGCCTTGGGCTTTGAACTATCTATGATTTGGTCTGGCTGTTTTGACTTGAGCTCGATTTCGGATTTATCACTTACTAGATGATAGATCAGCAGACTTTAGGTCTTATAGTCTCCAGTAACATAGTGAGAGACCTTGTCCACGCTAGAGAAGTTGAATTGCTCATTTACACATATATCCACGAAGTACGAAGGATGGCACACAGCCTTGATGAAGAAGGTGATCAGGCTATGCCTAATAAGACTGATGATGCACTCCATCATTCTTTGTCAGTGGTTACTCGACCTCCATCTCCTCCGCAGACTTGCCCCGTTTCGCCTGCACCCAACCCACAAACTCATCTAGGGTCCCCGGCCAAGCGGCGTCAGCACTCCACCAACGAAAGTTCTCATCCTCGAGGGTCTTGCGCAGGAACACTTCAACCTGTTCCCACAGATCCTTGTTGACGGGTCGCTTTCCGCGCTCTTCGAGATATTCAATCCACCAGTCCAACCAGGGAGTCGTAGGCGTGTTCCACTGGATGCCACCGTGCTCGGGCGTAAAGAACAATCTCCACTGTTCTGCAGCAATATCAAACTGGAGATTCCGCTGCCCTTGCATACGACAGAGAGGAAATGTGTACCGATAAACGCGACGGAAGAGGTCTGGCTCGGCCGGGATACGAGCTCGAATGTCCGCCGCATGAGCAATCATCTTTTGTAGATTATCACATCTATACCGCCATATTAGTTCAATACACGGGTGCAGAACTTAACTAGAATCGACTGCTCACTTACCCAGCGCTTCTCCAGCCGTTTACAAAGCCTTCTCTCGTGAACTCACCCATGGACGGCGACTTGAGAAGCTCTGCGATTCCCAGGCATGCCACTTCGTCTAGTTGTACTTGGATATCCCCTAGGAACTTCATGGCACCTTCGATACCGATCCCGTCAGGGTTCTCTTCGGGTGCATCTAAGCTTCAATTAGCAAATCGCACGGCGACGAGCTAGTGTCGGGATCTTCAACAAGGAAATACCTCGATACGAGTCGAAAATCTTATTGAGGGCAGAAGCGCTTCCCCCGTTGCTTTGTGGGCTCTGGAAGTAACTGACAGTTCAATTAGTCTTTGCTCGGAGACAAATTTTCGAAAGATCCAAACAAAGAAGCAATCGCGGATAAAATAGAGTCAAGATCCGCCGAAACGATCTGATTCAATAACCACACTTGAAGAAGACCACGGATACTAGGAATTTGTCGGCCGCCTCTAATGTCAGTCCATCTGATGCTCATTGCAAGTCGCTCGGAAGCTCGACGCTCACGACGAAAGCAGCTGTTTCACTCAAGAAGAGTTGTCGCTTGATGATAGGACCTTGGCTTTGACAGCGCAAGGTAGAGTGGATACCTATACCTGCGTATAATGCATGCCATTCTGAAACTACCAACATAGCGTGATTGCTCATTTCCAGATCCAAATGGCTGCAACGCAGAGTACTGATAGGGCTAGCCAGAGCGGGAAGATACTATGTACGTATCTGAGAGCAGGAAAGGCACCAGCAACACACATACACTTCCCACTGCTTTCTGAATCACCACAGAACGTCCCATTCAGCAGATATGGAACGTGATTCAGCATTCGTCCAGTATGGCGTGCATCCGGTATGGCGTCGTCGTTGAGTTGGATGCCTCTAGATGCACAGTTGAGTGCACCGGTACCCATCCCGTAGATACTCGGGAACAAGTTGCAGGACGCGACGCGATGGTAGAGTAAGAGCGGTGGCCACACAACAGATCCTGTTCCAAAGGAGCACTAACACTTCTTATGCACCACACATTTGTGCCCAGACAACAAGTACCGCTCTAGATTCGGTGAAGCTCATGCAGACGTCGAGCATGGAGAAAAGAATGCACTCATAACAGGAATCTTTACAAAAGAAGGCAAGTAAAGGAACAAATTCAAATACTTACGCATCAATAGCTTCCTCTACATTCCATCTATGTGCTTTTAGGAACTGTAAAGCCCACGATGATTAGTGATGATGGACAATGTAAAATTTCACGTGATCTGAACTCAAAAAGTGACATCTTTGGCAGGGTTTCGATGATCAGCTGGACTGATTTGTGCAGAACATACCTTTGCTGCTACTGCATCCTTGGCCTCTGTGAAGTTCACAAACTGAGAGATCAGTTGCTTCTGTACTCCGGAGTAAGGTGGCATGGCGGGGTGATGGCGGGCGATAGTCCAGGAGGGGAAGTTCAGTTCTGGTGGAGTCGACAGATGAGAGAGCGTGAGAGTTGAACTAGTACCTAGTAAGATTCGAGGCACTGCTCGCGGCCAACAGAGTTGAGTAAAAAAGCCGAAACTATAAGAGAAATAACTGAAGGGATTGTCTAGAGATGCTTGGTCCACACGAGGAAGGATCCATCTTCGCCATTTGAGGCGCTGACTGATGTTCTGTTGGGCACGTGCCCAACTGCACCTATTTTGTGTCGAGTCCGACGAAGCTATGAAATTGGCATGAGGTTATACAATTGTCGCCTTATGAGTGAAAAATGCAATTCTGCGAACTACGCCTCTGTGCAAAAATTCGAATATATAGGCAGATCTCCAATCTCGGATGTCTGGCGGTGTTTGACCTCGAGACAGCAAACAGCTTACACGACTACATACTGCAACTGCCTACCTATGTATATTCAGCACGGTTTCGCGGCTGCCTCATCATGGGAGCTATTGTCTGATGGATTTTGAGGGCTACAGTGCGACAATGTCGCACTCTCAGGCCAAGGAATCATGGCGTGTTACTCCCGGGCCGAAGAGCAGAATGCATAATGTAGAATGGAAGATGATAGTTGATATTGGACATAGAGACGAAAAGACTTTTGTAGCCGAACAGATGCGAGACTCCAAACTCCTGCGACAATTCCTTGATATCTAGTATGCGAACACCATATATGATCCTGCCTGTGAAAAGCAGTTCTATCACGTCGTAAACAGGGTATCTTCCTACACAAAGGTTAGCATTTATATATGGTCCCTAATAGCCCGTCGTTAAGAAGACGGAGCGACGTACCTCTCTCAGGTATTCTCCTACATCCGCTTGCCGAAACACAGCGATCGCAGTGGGATCCAACTTGCGGATCTCAGCGGTGGATCGGGCAGTAACACCGAATCCCTGAGCCAAGTCAGTTGCCTATCCAGAAGACTTTTGCAGTTGTAGACCATCCATACCAAAGGTGTGTCGTTCGAGTCGTATACCAAGACTCCTGTATGCTCTGGGATATCCTCACTCCATCTTCCGACATGCGCTTTCACGACATTCGACCCGTAGAGGTACGGCATGATACCATTGTCCTTGATCCAGACCTTGTATCTCGCATGAGGGGCAATTACGTCGAGCGCTAACCATGCCACTTGGTTAGCCAGCCATGCCACTGCGATTCTGCGCGACAGAAGAAACAAACCTGTGATGTGGATTCTGAACTTTCCAGTCTTGGTAAACTTGCCGATACAAATTCCAAGAGAAAGAAGGGTGTCCCGAGGAAAACTCGTTGATAGATCTGCCAGTGACTTCTTCACGTAGTACACTCGGTTTCCCTGAAGACGGAAGACATGGCGCTCCTCCTCGGAATCGGACTGGGGCACGATGAGGTTGTTGAGTGACCGTCCGGTGTAGCCTGCCAACTTGGCAAGTAGCGTCTGCAACTCCTGCTCCGTAAGTTGACGCATTTTTGCTTCTGCTCTGTTCAGATTAAAAATTTCTTGAAGCTCCGCGGGAACAAAAATTCTAGACAAGGTGGAGCGGGAGCTACTAGCGTGAGATTCTTGGCGCTCGGGGAAAATTCAAAAGAAAAAAAAAAGTTTCGACTCCGAGCTTCAACGATTGCCGTCGTTGAATTTCGGACAATCCACGCACAGGAATTATGGCCCCTGGACGCACGATAAAGAGGAGACGACTAAGTCCTCCCGGTGATGAGGAGGATACCTCCTTCCGACCCTCGCCTGATTCTCTCAACGATTTCTACAGCAATGCTGCCGAATGGGATCTCGAACAGGACTACGAGCGCCGACCGCGCAAACTAGGCAAGAAAGACAAAGAGAACACTAGATTGCCCATTAAGACGGCAGAAGGGTTGCAAATGGTCGAGTCTGAACCAGAGGCGGAAGAGTCTGACAGCTTTCTCGGTACTGACGACGACGAGGACGGTGATGAAAATGAGGCCGACTTCGACGACGAGGATATGGAAGATGACGAGGAAGATGCAGAGGAAACTCCAAAAGTGCCATTGAAGTTGCAGATTATTCAAGCGAAGGAAGAGCTTGCGAGATTGGCGACGATCATCAACGAGGACCCGGAAGAGCACATTTCCTCCTTCAAGACGATGGCTGATATAGTGGAGAACGGCCAACACGTCGCGATACAGAAGCTGGCCCTCGCTGCGCAGGCTGCTGTCTACAAGGATGTTATTCCTGGTTACAGGATTCGTCCTCTCAGCGAAGAAGACATGTCTGCGAAAGTCTCGAAAGAAGTGCGCAAGCTCCGGAGCTTTGAACAATCGCTATTGTCGGGATACAAGCACTACGTCCAGAAGTTATTGGATCTTACAAAATCCTCAAAGCGCGATACCGCAGCTGTCGACCCCGGCTTGAAGAGCATCGCGATCAATTGCGCCTGCAACCTCCTCCTTTCCGTACCCCATTTCAACTTCCGCACAGAGCTGCTGAAAATCCTTGTAAATCGTCTCGCAAAAAGGCAGATCGATGCTGATTTCATCAAGTGTCGAGAAACAATGGAAGAGGTGTTTCGGAAGGATAATGATGGAGTAGTCTCTTTGGAAGCGGTTCGTCTGCTGTCAAAGATGATGAAAGCCAAAGATTTCAGGGTACACGAGAGCGTCTTGGACACATTCCTCCATCTACGACTTCTCTCCGAATTTTCGGCAAAGGGCTCGAGGGATAGGGTAGACCGCCGGTCAGCAGAAGAGGAGAATACCTTCCAAGGCAAGAAGCCGAAGCAGAAGCGCGAATTCCGCACTAAGCGAGAGCGTAAGGTGCAGAAGGAGCGAAAGGCCGTGGAAAAAGACATGAAAGAGGCGGACGCTTTGGTTTCCCATGAAGAAAGAGACAAGAACCAGGCGGAGACACTGAAGCTCGTCTTCGGCACTTACTTCCGCATCCTGAAGCTTCGCATTCCCAACCTCATGGGTCCCGTCCTCGAAGGTCTCGCCAAATACGCACATCTGATCAACCAAGACTTTTTCGGCGACTTGCTGGAAGCTTTGAAGGACTTGATCGGCCACGCCGACAAATCCGAGGTGGAAGATGGCGAAGAGGAAGCAGAGGACGAAAGCGAATCGGCGTCGCGAGATGCTCAACGCGAGGCTCTGCTCTGCACCATCACTGCCTTTGCGCTTCTGGAGGGCCAAGACGTTAGCAAAGCGGCATCATCTCTTCACCTCGACCTGAGCTTCTTTGTCAAACATCTCTACCGCTCCCTTTATTCCCTCTCCGTCAACCCTGATGTCGAATACAACCCTACCAAGGCACTTCGGCTGCCTGATCCAAACTCACACGAAGCAAACGGCTCAACGCACAGATCCAAGAGCAAAGTCAACTTCCAGACACCCACTGTCCTCCTCCTTCGGTGTCTCCAATCTACGCTTCTTTCCCGCGCGCATGGAACACCACCTACCATCCGACTTGGCAGTTTTACCAAACGGCTCATGACAACCTCTCTCCAGCTACCTGAGAAGTCTGCACTCGCGACGCTGTCGCTTCTGAACCAAGTCTCCAAGCACCATGCGCGCCGGATCGCGCCATTGTGGAACAGCGAGGAACGGAAAGGGGATGGAGTGTTCAACCCCTTCGCCGCTGACGTCGAGACGACCAACGTATTTGCGGGAACAGTATGGGAAGGCGAGTTGCTGCGTCTTCACTATTGCCCTCAAGTTAGAGATGCGGTAGCGGATATAGAAAAGTTGATTGTGGGCCGGAATTGAGCTGCGATTACAATTACCAGACTTCAGTCATACTTTTGAGCTTAAGATCATTTCACAAATTTCTCGTGGATTTCTCCAGTGCAGCCTATCACATATCTCTTTTTAGGATTTTTGGCCCTTTTTCGTGTTTTCTCAGCCATCAACATACTGGTGATACCCTTGGGTAAATTGAGCACGTGAACGCACGGTCCTTTAAGAATCTCCCATCCTCCTCACATCTTTAGTGCAAATAGACCCAAATCCATTACACCCTCTTTTAGTAATAAAGCCAGAAACCAAATCGACAAACTCCTCGGGTCCTAAGAAAAAGGCTTCCAGTCAAGAAATCAAATAGAAACGCTGAGCTTCGGCAAAACATCGAATGAAAACCTATTCCAGGTCTCATCATCGATCATCCCAATTCAACTTCGGGTTGAATTAAAAACCCAAAAGCGAAGCAGTCACATATCTCAATGTTCGGTATGCAACGGACGAATGCTCGACGAAGTATCCGAATTTGAGATCTAAGCATGATGGTTGCTCTGATTACTCTCAGGCGAGGCTCCGCTGTGCGCTGCCGGATACCAAGTCGCAGCCTGTCAATCCTGTGTCCCCGTTCGAGCTGAGGCAGTGACAGAAGCAGGACCAGTAACCTGAAGGGAAGCAGGTATATTATGTGGAGTTTGGCCAGCATAGCTCGGCAGCATCGGGGGCGCTCGATGGGGCACACCCGCCGCAGAGGAACACAACTGGATATCCCTATTGAGTGACAAAGACGAAGAGGGTGTAACAGCGAAGGCGTTTACAGGCAAGCGGTTTGCGGTTGGTGTCCTGGTGCCGATGTTCTGGTGAGGATGCGAGTTTTTCAATCCGCGTCTCTGCGGAGTAGGTTTCTCGATTGCAGAAGTCGTCTGTCCGGTCTGCGTACGCGGCTGAGATTTGAGGCGCTCCCGGTCACGCATGATCTGCTGCTGTCTGTCATTGCGTAAAGCGGGATGGATGGAGCTTGGGCTCCCCTCGGCGAGTGTCGAAGGCTGCGAGGCTCCGGCTGCAGCAGCTGGAACAGAAGGCGTTGGGGAATGGCCGTTCTGTCCTTGGGAATTCTTTGTCTTCTTATTCCGACGGGGCGTGTGCAAGAATTTGCCACCAGCGCGACTTTCACCATCATCCCGGCGGCGGAATCCAAACATCCCCTTCTTGTGAGCGGTCTTCACACCTTCATTGGTGTCAAGGTGTGAGTTCTGGATGAGCGAACTCTGTCCATTCTCAGGAGCAAAGTTGGCTGCAGAGTGACGACTAAGCTTGGGCGCCTTAGGCTCAGGAGAGCCTGAAGACTCCTGAGCAGGGTTTCTTCTCACCCCTCTCTTCACCTGAGAGTCTGTGATCTCTCGGCGTGTCTCTCCCAAAGGCGTGCTGCGGAAGGGCTCGGTAGTGGACGGAATGTTTTGAGCGGGTCCTTGGTTGTTGTGTTGGGTCAAAGAGCCCTCAACCCCAGACACGTTCTCACTTTTTTCCTTCTCCTTTCCTTTCTTCCTGTCTTGGTTCCTGCTTATTTCCATCTCACCTGTTTTGACACACCGCTGTCCATTTGTATCCTGTTGTTTCTCGCTGTCCTTGGTCACAACGGGGTATTTTGAGCTGCCTGCAACTCAGTACCTGTGATCTTCGGATCGGGTGATGAGTTGCAGGAGGCACACGCCCTCTGAGGCGACGTTCTTGACGCGTTGATTTCTCCTCTCAGTTTGTTGATTTGGCTCGAGACGCCGATCAACAACCTCTCTTCCATACGCCTCATTTGAATTTCAATTGCTCCGACCTGGCATTGAAGACTGGTCATACCGCGGTGCAGGTCTGACACGGCCTCATTTTGGCCTGCCGTGCGGGCATTGATCAAACGCAGAATATCGAACATGGCGTCTGTCTGTCGCAGAATCTGATCCTTTGACCAATTGTTCGAGTTCTCAAGCACCCTGCAATGTCTACGAACAACGTTGTTCATATGGACATGGACTGCTTCGATATGAGACGTGAGCTGCTGACCCAGGTCCGCTGTGTTTTGGTAGTCTGGGTCTGGTGGAGGAGGGGCATAGCCTCCGTGACTTGTAACTCCAGCGAAGGGGTGTTGAGCAACTGCAGCGTGAGGATGAGCATTGAGATGCTGGGTGTGCGTCTCTTCGAGTGCTGGTTGATATGCTGTCATCACGGTAGGCTGAACTCCCCCGTGACCATGATTGAAAGGTGCGGGATAGCTTGGCTGATCAGTCGCAAGCATCACAGGAAATCTATGTTCATTCGTGTGAGCTCGTCCCCGTTTGTGGGCAGTATTTGGAGGGTCTGGGATCATCTCGGCACTGGCATTGTCGTATATGGACGGCGAGATCGGATCTGCAAATTCATCTTCCACCGCGTAGAACGAGATATTTGTTGATGCAGGGCTGCCCAGATCGTTCTCCGCTCTTAGGCTGCGAATGCTCGGTTGCTCTCTGATAACCTGCGCCTGTCCACTGTTTTCGAGCTCGCCTGCGCGGGCCGCAGGAGAAGAGCCAGTCAGTAGCAGGGTATCAAGCTGCAATGTCCTCTCACTCTCTCGCTCGGCAGGGCTCTGTATGGCGTTTCTGCCCGCAAAGGGTCCAAGGCTTAACTTTTCGTTGTTTGGCTGCTCGTCATTTGCCGTGGAACTAGCGACAGCGCAGGATTCAACACTCGTCCGCGAAAACTGCCCAAAGCTGATGTCCCTGAACGGGAAGGGTGGTGCAGACGATGGGTAGACTCCCGGCTCTCGGGGCTTAGGGACATACAGCTTCTCTTCGTTGAGGTCCTGGGTATCCACGCCAGAGGTCTGTCCGCCTTCATTGCCCGCTGCTGGCTCGTTCTTAGAGCTGTCCCTGCGGAACTCCTTCGCGAGGTCTTTGAGACTGAGCTTGGACCTGAGCGCAGCCACTCTGGATTTCATTTTTTCTTTCTGACTGTTTTTGTCCGCCTTGTTATTTTCCAGAACGTCTTCAGGCCGAGCTGGCTCGGTGACGGAACGCTTCTTAGTCATGTTAGGGTTGCTCATGACGTCCAACTTGCAAGCCTCGACGGAATCGCCATTATCTTCCACAGGAAGGTGGCGTGGCTTTGGCATGGGAAGGGCGAGGTCAGCGTCGTAATCGAGACCCGACGACTTGCGTGAGGTGGTTGGTCTGGCACCCATGACTGGACCCTTACGAGGTATAGCGACTACGACGAACGAGCTTATTAGCATCAAGGTCTTCCGTCTTCGGGGGGAAACATCGTGGACCCCCGTTGAGGAGATACTGGATGCTTGCTTACCTTTGTCGAAACTGGTAGTGTGCTGCTGAGCGACTATGACGACACGATCATATTAGCACCAAGGTCTTCCGTCTTCAGGGAAAAGCATTCGTGGACCCCTGTCGAGGAGATATTGAGATGCTTGCTTACCTTTACCGAGGCTGGTGTTGGCAGTCTGCTGCTGCTGTTGCATTTGCTCGTGAGCCTTCATCTGCGCCCATGCATTTCCACTCTGCGAAGCCATGGCCATGTAGCAGAAGTAGTAGGCAGTTTCTTTTGAAAGGGCTCTTGAGCAATGATATCAGAAGTCTGTTGCTTATCACGATTGTTAACTAAGAGCAAAGATGGAAGAATGAAGAATTATGCAAGTGTTGCTATGGATATGAAGAGATATTGATCGATGGTAAGCTACAATGCTTAGGAGGGTGTTTGGTTGCTCGCTTGAGATCTCACTTTGTGTGTGCGAGCACCGCGCGTCTAGCGAGTAAACAGAACTTCACTGAATATCTGCTCAATGATGTTTTCTTGTTTGTGTTGCTGGCGCTGGCGCTGGTGTTTGCTAGCGCCTGAGGAGGCAGACGTCACTGAAGAGCTCAGCGTGAATTGCGACATGTACTTAGATTCTTTGATCATTTGTCTCTCTTCTCTCTGCCAGGCAGAATGATATCAGGCTTAGGAACATCCAGTTCTTTTCTTACAGTACATGTAGATATCCCTAACTAGGAGCTGTGGTCGAACAGGATGCCGCTCCATAGCTGGGTCTGTATAGAGGCAAGGCATGGATTCAGAATACGCAACGTTTAGTACAAGCTGATTCTCTCGTGGATTTATCCGAAGCTACGCTGTGGGTGTAGATTGCGATTTCTACTACATGAACGTACATAATCTTTTGTATTGACTGAGAATGTTGATAATGCAGTCCAGTTCGAATAGGGCGATATCACCGCATCGATACCAAGAGCAGGTCAAGGAGTGTCGGGGTGCTTCTCGCTAAGGTAACAAGCTACACCGTCCGAGGTCTACTTGTGGAAAGAGACTGCCCATGTCTGAGAATCTTGACAGACAGTAATGCTAACTGGACTGCAGATACTGCCACCTTTTTTGCACATGTTAAGGGGCAATGGCAGGGCATTGATCGAATCTAGCGGAAAGGTAATCCTAGCTATGGCGAGGTTAATGCCACTCCAAGAGACTAGCTTGATATTCTACAGTAAGGCGCGCTGTTCGAAAATTGAGAGGTCTTATTCATTCATCATAATCGTCAGACATAAAACATCATTACATACTGGCAGACGATCACATCAACCGCAAAATTCCGGCCAGTCATATCGATTGTTACCAAGGTCAGACAGCCTTCCAAGGTTGTGAGAGAGTTGCGACAGTTAGAGAGTAAAGGAAATAATATTAACAAATTGAGAGCGAAATTCCACAAATATCAAATACAGGGGAATCGAGTCGAGTAGAAAATGAGCGGCGATAATTAATTTTTCAACAGATTCAGCTTATCGGGTATATGCACGCCAAATAATAGCCAGGAAAGGTGCAGCGAAAACGGTCATCAAGAACAGATTCCTGAATCTCATTAGCTTTGGCACTGACAATGATTAAGCGATTGATTATTTGATCACTCCTGGAGTTCAGAGACTCTGTAGAGCGAAATTATTTCTCGGACAAGCGGTAGGAGCAACCATCTACTGGTCCGTCCTTCCACGACGGCGGAAGGGCGAGAAGATGGCGCCGAAGAAATTGCCGAAGACGGCACGCAAAATAGTCCTCAACCAGCTGTCTCGCTTATGGTTCAAGGAAACAGCAGTGACTGACCGATTTTGACTGGGAGAACGAGACTCCTCATTGTTCTTGGGGGCAATTGCCTTGCTGACATCGCCCTCGGTAGGAGCGCTAGACTCGGTCGCGACGGAAGGGCCGTCGGTAGACACAGGAGAGTGCTCGTCGTGACCGGCTGGCTTCAGAGCCTGGTTATCGCTGGTGGACAAAGTAGGTTCCGCAGGCAACTGTTCAGTGGATGGCAACTCCAGCCTTCGGAGCAGAGCTTCGCGGTCGCCAGCAAGTGCTGCGAGAGCAGGATCACTTTCAGGCTCGGGCGTGGGCATGTCCTTTGAAGTGGAGGATTCCGTGTGCTTATTGTCGGCGGTCTGGGCTGCAGGTACGAGGTGGGAAGTTTCCTGCTTGCCGTCATGAGGCTGAGACTGTTCCTTGGCATTCACATCGCCCTTAGGTGCAGTAACGACTTCAGGCTCTTTGTGAGACGTGGAAGAGACTCCAGTGACAACAGCACCGGCAGCGATGGCAGCTGCGGCGCCAGCTCCAACGAGCTCAGGAGTCACAATCGAGTATTTCTCTTCTGAGTCCTTGGTGGCCTCCACGGTGGGCTCGGGAGTGGCATCCTGAACTGGAGGGACAGGCTGAGCGGAAGGATCGACGTCTTTCTCAACCGAAGAGTCGCCATTAGAAACAGGGGCAGAGTCTTCAGTCTTGTGTTCCTCAGAGGCTACTGGGTCGGATTCGACCTTAGCGGCCTCCTCTTCACCGGCTGGAGATTGGTCTACCTCGCCACTGCTGCTGACCACACCATTGACCTCAGGTTCTGCTGCCGTCTCGGTAGAATCGTCCGGGACGACCTCAGGCTTCACTTCGTCGGTGGTCTCTTCAACCCCTTGAGAATCGCTTTGCTTTTCAGTCGCGGGTGCGATGGCGGGCTCAGCGACGGGCTCAGCGACGGGCTCAGCGACGGGCTCAGCGACGGGCTCAGCGACGGGCTCAGCGACGGGCTCAGCGACGGGCTCAGCGACGGGCTCAGCGACGGGCTCAGCGACGGGCTCAGCGACGGGCTCAGCGACGGGCTCAGCGACGGGCTCAGCGACGGGCTCAGTAACAGGCTCAGTAACAGGCTCGGCAACAGATTCAGCAACAGGTTCGGGAATGGGCTCGGCAACGGGCTCAGCCACGGGCTCAGAAACAGGTTCGGTGACAGACTCAGCAGCGGGCTCGACAGACTCAACCGGCTCAACGACAGACTCGGCGGGCTCAGTGGTGGGTTCGACGGCGGGCTCGGCAGCAGATTTAACCACCGGCTCAGCGGCCTCTGTCTCCTCTGTGTGCTTGGTCGCTTCTTCTGCGACTGGCTCCTCAGCAACATCCTTGGTGGGGACCTGCTCTGCTGCGAGCTCCTCTTGTCGTTCGCTGACTGAGGGCTGTTCCGCGGCTTTCTCTTCTTCTTGAGGTTCCTCGACCGTAGCCGGGGCTTCAACTTGCTTCTCCACAGCAGGCTCATCGGCCAAGGCGCTCGCAGTAACCGCTTCAGTGGCGGCCTCCTGGACAGCTGGTTCCTCGGAAGTTGACTCCTGAGAAGGCTCTTCAGACACTACATCTTTGGGACTCTCATTCTCGGCAGGTTCATCAACAGCAGGGTTGGCAACAGGCGCTTCGGGCACAGTAGGTTCTACCGGTGCAGTCTCCTCGACGGCGCTCTCAGTCACTGATTCCTTAGGGCTTCCTTGTAGGTGGACACATCTTCCTGCTGTTCTTCAGTCGCTGCCGCCTCGGCAACTTCATCTTGAGCAGGTGCCCGAGGGGTGGTTTCCTGCTCAGCAGGTTCAGCCACCTCACTGATCTGCGGCTCTGAGACTGGTTCCTCCGTCGCGGGCTTTGAAGAAACTACTTCCTCGGCAATAGAGGGTTCCTCTGCAGTCACGTCCGTAGAGACTGTCTCTTCAGCGGACTCCTTCTCAGTAGCGCCCACCTGAGCGATCGCGGTTTCGAGGGGGTTTCAGCAACCGGTGCCACCGCTTTGGGTTCCTTCACTGTCTCTGACTCAGCGGCCTCCTCAACCGGGGCGGATTCAGTTGTCTCCGCCGCAGTTGGCTCTTCGATAGTCACTTCAGTGGCCTTGGTTTCTCCAACAGGCTCGTCACTGGTCTTGGGCTCCTGGGTGGCGGCCTCCTCAGTCGTAGCCTCCTCGGGACCGCAATCCTTGCAGAGAGTAGGCTCATCGGCGGGCAATTCGGACTTCTCAGTAACGGCAACAGGTTCTTCAATTTCCTCCTTTACCTCAGATACTTCCGCAGGAACTGCTTCTTCGGTAGCAGTAGCTTCGGTGGGCTCCTTGATGGCCACCTCTTCCTTAGCTTGCTCTCGTGTGGTCGCGATGGGCTCTTGGGCCGATTCAACAGTGGCTGGCTCTTTAGCTGCAGCTTCGACCTCGGGATATTCGTTCGCAGGTTCAGGAACGGCGGTCTCGGCAGCCGATGCCTCTGGTGCCTCGGGAGCAGCAGGAGCTTCGTCCTTCGACTCGGCAGTCTTTTCCTCGATTGCTTCGACATGGGACTCGTTTGCGGGTTCCTCGACCTCTGGCTCTTCAACCTTTGACACTACCGCAGGCGTTTCGCTCGAGGCAGCCTCTTTAGTGGCAGGAGTTTCAGCGGAAACGTCTGGAACCACTGGTTCGCTCACTTCCGATGGCTTGGAAGACTCTTCAGCAACAGACTCCTGGGTGGCCGGCTTGTCCCCAGCCAGAGCTTCAGTCGCAGCTTCATCTTGAACAGGTTCCTTGACGTCTGCTTCGACAACAGCGGGTTCTGGCGCTGCTTCGCTTGTAGGCTCTTCTTTTGCTACCTCTTCAGCTGTGGCTTCCTTGGAGGGCTCCACGGCAGGAAGAGTCTGATTCGGCGCTTCCTCGCTAACTGGGTCCTTCGCGGGCTCCTCTGTAGTAGTGGACTCTTCCGTTGGTGCTTCGAGCTTGGTGGCAGATGTCTCGGCTGCCTGTGGCTCGGGTTCCTCGGCGGCTACCACTTGAGTGGTCTCGTCCTTAACTGGTTCTGCGGTCTCCTCGGTTGAGGCAGATTGAACAGCAGGCTCATCACTGACAAGTTCCTTGGCGGGTCCTTCAGTAGCGGTAGACGCCTCCGTATGTGTCTCGGCCTCCTTGCCGGTGATTTCTTCTGCGGCTGCCAATTCGGCAGAGGATTCCTTTGCAGATTCTTCGGCCTGAGGCACCTGGGCTGCCGGCTCATCGCTGATAGGCTCCTTGGCAGACTCTTGGGCAGCAGTAGGCTCTTCCGTTGATGCCTCAACCTCTTTGTTGATGGTTTCATCAGCGGCTGGCTCTTCAGTTGCCTGCGCCTCGGGCTCCTTGGCGGCTGTCACTTCCGCAATAGGTGCTGAATCCTCTGTGGAAACAATCTCAGCAGATGGCTGCTCGGCGACAGTCTCCTTGGCAGACTCTTCGGCGACGGCAGGCTGTTCTGCGGATTTCACCTCAGGCTCCTCTGCAGAAACTGCCTCGACCAGTGTCTCCTTAGCCGGTTCTTCGGCAACTACCGTCTCGGTTGCTTGTTCCTCGTGAGTCGATTCCTTGGCAGGTTCTTCAACAGCTGGCCCCTTCTCAGTCGTTGATAACTCTGCGACAGGAGTCTCTACAGCAACTGCCTCAACCAGTGTCTCCTTGGAAGGTTCTTCAGCAACCGTCTCGGTTGCTTGTTCCTCGTGGATCAGTTCCTTGGCAGATTCTTCAACAGCTGGCTCCTTCTCAGCCTCAGGGGCCGTCTCTTCGACCTTCTCAGTCGTTGATGACTCTGCGACAGGAGTCTCTGCAGCAACTTCCTTCTTAGAATCTTCAGGAATCTCCTCAGGGACGGATTCCTTGATCGGTTCCTCAACAACTGCCTCGTCAGTAGCCGAGTGCTCGACACCAGAAGCCCCAGCTGGCTCGTCGGCCACCTTCTTCGCCTCGACAGACTCCTGTGCTGGCCGTTCCTCCACGTTGTTCCGAGAGGGTGACTCATCCTGGATGGTCGTTTGAGCCTTCTCTTCAGCGATGGGTTCCGCGGGTACTGCTTTCTCGGAGGATTCTTCGGCGAGTGGCGCCTCATCAGTGGCTGTCTCTGTAGGGGCCGTCTCGGCCTTTGTCGGTTGGGCTGAAGATGGCTCCACTGGATTAGATTCCACAACAGGCACTTCCTCCGTCACTGTTTGTGCGGGCGCAGCGTCTTCCTGGGACTTTCCAAGGGCAGACTCTGGCTCTTCTGATTCTTTAGCGGCGTCCGTCTTCTCTTCAACTGCAGCAGGGGCGATTTCAACATCCTGCGGCTTCTGATCCTCAGCCTTCTCGACCTCCTTTGTCTCAGGCTTCTCGGTTTCAACAGAAGTGCTGGGAATCTCTTCAGGCTTGTTTTCTTTGTCGTCTTTTGTAGTTGTCAGAGAAGCCTCAGTTGCCTTCTCTTCCACTGGCTCCGCCTTCTCCACAACAGCTCTATCAGGTTGTGATTCCGGAATCTGCTCAGTAGAGTGGGTGCCGTTGGTCTTAGGTTCTGCGGCTGCGTTCGAGGCAGGTTCTGTTGTGGCATCCTTCTGGATGTCGCTCTGGTTGGATGTGTCGGAAACAGGCTCCGGCTTCACCTCCTGTATCGTGGGTTCGGACTCAGCGTGAAGATCTTTCTCAACAACCACCGGGATATCAGTCTCCTTTGGCACTTCGCCCTTCGCCGCCTCGGTTGTCGTTGTGGGTTGCACCTCGGACTCTTTCGCGGTCTCCTCGACCTTCTCGCTGGTGCCATTCTGAACAGGAGTTTCGGTTTCCTTCTGGACAGCCTTAGCTTCCGCGGCAACAGGCGCCGCAGCGGATGAACTCAAGCCAACAGTGAGGATATTGTTGACGACGCCTTCGTCATCAGCAGCTGCAATCACAGAAATGGTCAGCTCCAACTCAACAGTACCCAACACAGAGATAAGCTTCGTACCATGCTTCGCATCCTTATCGTGGAACCACGGACCATCAGTACCCTCCCTGAACCGATACTGGTATTGACCCTCGGGCAATTCAACATCTCTGGAGAAGAGGTATTCGGTCTTAGCGGGGTTCCCGTCCGCATCCTTGTGCTCTACGGGTTTGGCGCTGAGCTCCAGAAGCTCCCATTTGGGATTCGAGAACGTCCCCGCAACGTAGATGGCGGGGGTCTCCGTTGGACGACGGATGGAAATAGTGACGGTCTCTCCATTGGTGAGAGCCATTTTGGTCATAAAGGTCGTAACAGTCGTTAGGTATCACAGACAAACAAAACAGGGAAAGAGATCAAACGCGAACAGGATTGGAAAAAAAAGGTCTTTATCGAATCGAGTCTCCAACGATTGAAGAAAGTACCCCTCAAACAGCAAGAGATGAAATAGTATACAGGAACGCTGTAGTTGAATCGGACAGAAACCTCTCAAAATTAACAAGTAGACAGGAAGTTGGTGGGAGGTTGTGAGAGGTATCGTCAGAGGAGTTGTATGACCAAGCGTAGATTGGTCCGATAAGGGAGACTTAAGGTAGTAGAGCGACTGCGAAAACAAACAATCGAGGGGAGTCAGATGAGGAGATCAACTCGATGAGACAGATGAATGGGGAGCCGGAGTGCAGGTGATTCACAAGAAACAAAAAAAAAAATATGCTGGGCCCACGGAAGCCAAAGGACGGATGGAGTCGTCAAAGTGCAAGCTATATGTCAAAGATGGTTAGAGGCCCTCACGACTCGGGCATAGTGCCACAGAAAGTGGCCTGGCTCTGGCCGTTAGTTACTTACTATCTAGCTAGTTAGCGGGGCACCAGCAGTTGTCACAGTGATCAGGCCCCGCCCGTTATTTGGTGCTGCCAGTCTGAGCTAGTGGCTTGTCGAGGTGATTTGATAGCAGTCACGGAGCTGTAGCTATATAGAGTAGATAGGGGATAAGGAAGACACGAATGAAAATATCCTGAATTGGATCGTCATTGACTTGACTCCTTCAGAGATCGACGGCAGACATAGAGTCATCGCCAGCTTCACTGAATGATGATGATACCAAAGGTAGCATGATTTCTGCATCCATACAAACTTTCCTAAGTACGTAGGTTACTGATAATTTTGCGCCGATCCCTAAGGTAGAGTGTAGACCAAGCCACGAAAGCTCGGGACTGGCGCCAGAGCACAAAATGCGGTGAGTTGGCGGCTTCCCTGCTGCCAATCATATCCCCAGTAAATTTTTTTTACATACTCAAGTAGAGAAGATCAAGTTGCTTTGTATCATTTCCTGCTTCTTAGCTGTACTCCTTGTCTGGTTCTCAATCTCAGCATGACCTGCGCAGAATTTACTAAAGCATGTTGTGCGCATTGATCGAATCCAAGGATGCGAAATTTCTGCATTCAAGAAAAGGAGAGGCACGAGTGGATTCGGTATCAGCAAAATAATAGTGTGTGGCGCCATACAGTCCCATCTTTACTGCTAGTCATTTGGTAGAATCCTCTCCGTCTATGCCGTCGCGCGTCATGTCATGAGATAATTTCATGTTATTATTTCTTACTGTTCAAGAATGCGAGAATCCAGTTTTTATCAAAGGACCTTTGTAGTCAAGCATGGAAAGATTTGATTCGACCAGTCCCTGAACTACCAACCCTACGATAAGTAAACCATGGTTCGCGGAAAGCAACTTCAGTAAGGCACATGCAATGCAACACTTGAGCATGAAACCCTCGTCTTCCTCCAGACCCAGTCGGGATCAAAATACTCCATAGTATCCATGTGCTCATACGGATAAAGGGGTGTCTTTTGCGGGTCAAACCTACAACCAATATCTTATAGTCTCATCACCTCCTGTTTCCTTTGTCCTCGTTGCTATTTTTGCTTGCGGTCTTCGAAGCTGTCCTAGGTGGTGGATTTCTCACGAGCCATGGAACGGCTCCCTCGGTTATTTGTCCTACCGACAGAGTGGTCTGAATAGCCCTCTTACTCACAACTACCCCGTGTAGTGCAGAGTGGCTTGACTCCGTACTCGATCACTTGAAGTGAGAGACTATATTTCTCTGGATGGCACTGCCTATCTATTAATTTCTGGTAGATGACTCGTGACCTCCGCAGAAATCCTGGTTGCTCTAGCGCTGTCGATCGTCGCGTACATGCTGCAGGTGTTGAGTTTTGGTAGAAAATAGGGTGCGGACTAAACAGAGACTGCAGCTCTCAAACTGAATATATTAGAAAGGTCGACGTCTTCTGAACCATGTTAAGCTTTTATTTACGTCAATCTCAGAGAGCAATGCAATGCAGTCATAACAGAAACCACAAAGAGACATAACCAATGTTTATTAGGACACCGATGAGGATGTTCCATCATGCAAACCAGGGTGCTGGAACAGAATTCATTATAATAGATCTAAAAAACACAGATGCACACCTTTTAACAGCTCATAAAACCTTGACCGAAGGCCCGAGGAAATCAACGCAAGAAGAACTGCAGGCTGCAATCACATGAACAGAAAGAAATTAGACGAAGGTATCTGAAAAGCTATTCGAGAGCAAAAAACAACCATTGACGTCAATATATCTCCAAATCCTCAAATTCCACTACCAACCCTTCCTCAGAGCCGGCCGTGGCGCTGCTGCCCAGCATCGGACCGTTCATAATCGCCCACATGGTGCTATTATGCGAGATATTGGCCGGCCGGCTAGCATATACACCCACGTGGACAAACTTGTCTTCTACCCGTAGAAGAACCATGTCACTTCTCGTAGCTTCTTCCACGTGCTGCCCACAGCACCTGGTGTCCTTGCAAAGGGGGACAGGGTTGGAATCTGATACCAGACCACAAGTGAATGACCAACGCGCTCGAACTTGATCCGCAGAGAATGCACACTTGCCGGTCCATTGTCAGGCAGACAGAGGGGCGAGACACACCAGTCAGCTCCGTCCGCCGTTGCACTGACCGAAGATGCGTTCACTGTCCCCGAGCAGAATTCCATGCCGGCTTTGACCCATTTGCACGGCCGCAGAGACTGGGGTCTTTCGTGACGACTCAACGGCGTCACTGCTGATATTGGCACATTCTCTGAGGAGAAGGATTGAGGTGCGGCTCCGGCGAAAACAACGATGCCGCCTTGATCTGATTCCATCTCCCAGTCCGCACTCACAGTGACTTCGGCGACTACGAAAGGGTTTCGTAACGAGGTAAAAACGATAGGTGCCGTAGCAGTGTCTCCGTTGGGCGGCTTCCGCCAGAGATCCGTGTTAGGACCGGCAGTAAGAGTAAAGTATTCCATACACTCCGGTAGTGAGAATGTTGAGGGCAAATTCAACGTACTGAACGAAGAACCACGAGGAGGCATTGTGCGAGTCGCCTGCCTGGGGAAAGTGTTTCAAGTTAGGGAAGATTGCCTTATGAGCGTTTTACTCGCAGTCGAGCTCTGTCTTTCTCAATGCAAGCGTCGAATCTGCTTGGAAATTCCTTCTTAATATGAGTTTTCGAACTTCAATAGCCTGGAAGTCGTCCTGAATACAAGTAAGACAGTGATGGGCAGAAAAACACGAAGAGAGAGAAGACAAAGGATGATGGCACTATCATGGAAAAAACGAGTAACTCTCTCATCACAGCAAGAAGCAAGGGAGCTATACTTCTCTCTCCACGGGGCCATCCCATGCCGCGAGTTGATGCGGGTCAAGGATCCCAATGGTATATGTGAAAGCGAAGATCAAGACAGATGTTGAATAAAGAGTGTAGACTTACCCAGTCCGGGCGCAATGAAGCAATCAAGCTAGAAAAAGTAAAGGAGACACTTCGAGGAAAAAGCAAGATGGACCGAACAGGTCTCTTGGATGCCGAGCGAACGAAGACAAAATCCCGTGGTTGTGTACTCGACAGTACGATACAACTCGCGCAAGGAGTCAGAACCAACGCAAAGATGAACCTCAAGTTCTCAACAGTAACCTTGATTCGCGACGCGATGTTTGTCAGAGGCTCGTGACAATTCGAACACTCTGTTAGCAGATGATGGATGATTCCCAGAGATCCAAAGCGAGTCATCATGAAAACGCGAAGTGCAAAGAATAGCCAACTTATAGTGTCGGGGGAGATGCCCTCTTTCTCGCCCCCTTTAACTGGGTACAAGAAACCATTGCTTCTTTGGTCCCGACATGTCGGGTTCTATCTTCCAGCACTTTTTTGGTTCCATTCAAGCCTCAGATTTTGATACAAGCTCGAGTGTGAGTGTTTCTGTAGATGCTGATTTGCCATTCATGTGTAGTTCTGCCGTCCAGTTGCTGCAACGCGGTTCACAAGTGGCGGGTCAAGCTGCAGTTCTTGGGACAACAAACAGCCCAGCAGATTTACGCAAGTGATAAGTTGTGGGTTGGACGGTCCGATCCCGAACAGCTGAAAAAGTGAAACAGCCAGGGAGTGGTCCAGTTTATGGACCTTATGGCACAAGCCGAGAGAAGAGAAGGAAATCTAGTGGCAGGGTTTGTTAAGTGTGGAGGGTGTTTGTTCCTATTTATTTATTTCGCCACTGCCAACACAACCCTCTGCCACTCGGAGTTGGCGATATATAGTGTCTATCTGCTTCGAGCTGAAGTCAGACTATTGTTTACCATGATGTCTTACGCCACAGGTGACGGTCGAGTTTTTCAACCATTCCGAGTTCTACCTTGCCATCTCCGTCACTGAAGCACAGCCATTGCCAAGGGGACACTTTCTGTGGCTTGTCCTGCACGCTTACATCTCTCCTTCTAGGAACATGCTTGTGAATGAGTGAGTACAAGGATCAAACTTGTCAAATCATGCACGAAACCTCAATCGGAACGATGAACATAAGCATGCTTTTCCGAGGCAACTGAAGCAAACAGTTGTCAGGTATGCCAAATCACAATCGAAATTGGACGGACAATGAAGCATTTAACCACAAGAGCGGATCCGTCTATCTATCAATCGGAGACCTCGTTTTCTTATCAAGGGTGCCCAGTCTTTGAAAATCTACCCGAGTGCCCTCCTCAGCCTGTAGCAGGCTTGCTCGTCTCGGTTGCTCTCAGCACACAGATGAGCACTCGGAGCACTGAACAGCTACCTGTGTTTGATTTGAGCGAAAAATAACGACTAACGGCCTTCTTTTTATCTAGATCATTTTGCGGTTATAGCAACACGTCCAGGCCCCTTCAGCTAATAGGCATGCTACACTGGTGTATTCTGTCTCTCAAAGATGATTCAGAAAACCGCGCTTCACGGACGCGAGATATGCGAGGGCTCAAGCTTTGATGTTCTCCTGAGCACATGCAGTCAGTTTAATGAGACCGGGTGTTAATCCTTGAATTGCATTGACTTGCTTACTCTGCGGACACGCAGTCTCATGACCGGCGAGGAGTCCGACACTCCTGCCGCGTATATATCGCTACAGCGGAACGAGAAAATAGGTCCACTCACTGTCAACAAAGGGACTAAACTACATGCTGATCTCGGAGTATTTGAGCGAAAGCATTCAAGATGTAGCAATGCATAGTCCGTGGACATAGAGCAGTATCGGCTCGGGTTTGAGCACATATGCCATATTCAATATTCGTACACTATCCAGGAATTGACAATTATTGCACACCGCTCAGGTAATATCATCTTGGGACTCCAAATATGAGGCTCGGCCTTACTCCGTAGTGGACCCTGAATTCGCGATCCATATTGGGTGAAAACTTTAAGTTAGCCAGTAGAAGCCTTTGAGGGAGATTGAGATGGGGTCCGATAACGACAGAGATTCAAGAGGTACTGAAGTCAACTTATAATCGACGAATAGCATCAACCAGTTTCCTGTTTCGTTCTCATATTAACAATGACTATTATCAGACTCTTTGGATGACGAATGTGCCTGGCAATGACTCGTCTGACTCGTAGCTCCTAGTCACGTAGTGACTGCTGAGCGCCTTACTATCCGCCAAGCAAAAAACAACCTTCGAACGAGGCTAATTCGAGAATAACTTGTTATATTTGGCCGAAGATGTCCATGAAATCGCTAAACTAGACCCGAATAAACCCAAGCGTGATTGTTGTTGAGGTGCGATCTTCGTATTTTGCTCCCTCATGCTCTCCACGGCCCAATAAACGGTTGTGCTTAGCCCCGGCACCTCGTATCCCCAAGGCTGAGCCTCCAGCCGTTCATCATGCTCGTCGCCAACAGAAACAATCGCAAGCCACAACCCAGCATACTTTTTGAGCCCAACTCCTATCTGAACACTTGAAAATGAGGCCCCGTCGCCGTTTCTGTGCCGCACCCTCCAACAATTGTCCACATCCTGACTTGCGCGGTTGTCCTCAAAAGAGAGCGCCTCTTGAAACTCATAATGTTGTTGCCACGAAAGTCTAGGGGCGGGCACTCGTCCAGTGGTTATTCTTCCTCCAGTTATAACGACTCGCCATGGAACGAAGAGGTTACATTCTCGATGTACAGCGTGTATGGACGCAGATCGTACTTCATTGCGCAGCTCGCTTTCGAGTTCCTCATATTGGGAGTGCTATTTCTCTTCCTTTTTGGCTGTTTTTTCATCAGACAGCCTAAGGCGCTACCCAAGACTCTCCCTAAGAAGGCTCTTGTCTTCGGGATATTGAGCTATATCCTGTGAGTAGAAATAACCGATTGTCGCAAAGGAAGATAAATCAAGAAGACGAACCTAAGTTCTAACTTTCTCCTCTAGCTCCGAGCTCCTTACAATCCCTTACATGTTCTTCTATATTTGCGAGGTCACAGTGAAGCAGACCTATGTTGTCATGTTAATGCTCCAGACGATATTCTGGCTTCTCGCCATGTTTCTCATGTTCTACGTCTTCTACCGAGTCATCCAAGCGTATCTCAACCGAGTTGCGAACGGCGGCAAGACATTCCTTCCCGTGTCCGTACTGCACTGGGTTCTCCTGGGTGTTTTGGGGATCCTCATGGTGGTCAACGCTGCCATGTACATTGCTCTCCTCGTCATGGAGGTGAACGGAAGCAACCCACTGCGAATACTCGGACACTACAGCAGGATTGTTGAGGCTCGCATCATCGTCTCGTGGCTGATGTCTCTGGAGATTCTCGTGTGGACAATCTTCATCATTGCGAAGTCGAGATTTAGCAGCAAGGTATGCGCCAACTTGTCATCTAACCTTGGGCCTGTTCGCTAATAGCCTTTGATCAGACCGGATCTATAACCCTTGCTTTGGCAGGATTCTTCCTCTTTGTGTTTAACCTCGAGCAGCTGATCGTGACAATCATGTACAATTTCGAATCGAAGTTGCCGCCAGCGTATTTGAACATGGCCACCTCAATCGTCGCCTTCTTCTGCGCAATCGGCATATACTTCGGCCTCATCTTCTGCTGTATCCAGTGGTGCAAGGCCAGCAAGATCTATTCTCAAGAGCATGCTCAAAACGTCCAGCATGCCCCATATGCCCAGCATGCCCAGCATGCTCAGACTCTTCCTCCTCCCCCTCCAGGCCCTTACGCTCCTATGTCCTCATACGAGCCATATCAACCGCCGTCACCCCAGCCTCCTAGCCATCCAGCACATTCTAGCTACTCGAGCCCTGTGAATGGTGGCCTAAGCCCCGTGAATGGTTACTCGAACCCCGCGAACAGCAACGGACAATTTCCTCCAGCCGAGCTCCACAGTGAGAGCGATGCTGGATCGCATGGGCTCCCAGCTAATCAACAATACCAACACCATCCTCACGCGTGAAATGACCGATATCAATAAGATCAGTCGACTTTTCTCGCAAGAATAACTTTCCTATCCTATTTGATGATACCATTTGCGTTGGATGTTTTTCGGGTTGAGTTTCCAGGTCTCTAATGATATTGAGCGATGAATCAGACATACCCTGTCTCGACTTTTTTATTATTGACGAAACGCACGCTATGCATATAATATAACCATCTATTTAAATAAGAATAATCTAAAGACATTTCATTCTCAATCATATATGCCCACTACAGTAATCCGCACAGACCGACCCCGCAGGGTGCATTATAAGCCAGTGCCAACCACTACGTCTCCACCTTGACATCAAACCCAAATAACCGCCACCCAACCGACGGACTCTTCAAGCTGATGCAACGATCATCAGAACCTAACAACCACGAACACGAAACAGTAAACAGGCCACACAAAATTAAAAGCCAAGTCATGGTCTGCGCAAAATGCCAAAAGAAACTCAAGTCCACGGAACTGGTCACCCCAGGCGTCAAACGCAAGAGTGAAATGTACTATGGCTCGCCGGCGACGACCCTAGGCGGTGGCGGCGGAGCTGGAGCTGCTGGCCCTGCAACGAAATCGAAACCGACGTTGGGAAATACAGGTATTGGAAAGGTGTGTTCTATCTCTTTCTGAGGTGCAAAGTGCTATCAAAGTAATCAGACTAACGCCGCATAGAGTAAACTGCTCAGCTCCAAGGCCAAGAATCCATATGCGGCTTACTCATCGTCTTGCGAGCTGTGCAAGACTAAGACGGAGCAGGGGCGGAAGTATTGTCAGCGGTGTGCCTATCAGAAGAATGGTGAGATCTTTACTTTTGGTTTCTTGGTTTGATCTGTGTTGAAGCAGTTGCTGATGGGACCGATAGCTTGTCCGATGTGCGGGAAGAGTTTGGCTGGGAAGACTGCAAAGGACCAGCCCGTGGTCCAGGGGCAGAAGTTCAACTTGAAGTGATGCAGTGTGTTTAGGTGTTTCTGTGTGCGCGTTCTTCAGCTTGGTTTGCTTGGTTTCATTGGGATAGATGTTAGGCGTGGCGTTTGGGTCTATTTTACTGATACTCCAAAAGAACTCGGATAATGAAGCTGGAATAATGAGAAATCAGAAAGCTAGTTATACATTTCATACTACAGCAGTATATGCAATTCAGTGACCTGTAAGTGGAAACGGTCAACACTCGAACCCAAGGGAAATACTCCGCGCAACAGCTCTATCGATACAAATCTTGCCCCCGTCAAGCCAACGATAAAGAGTATCATAAATGCGATAGACAGATTGTCTGTCCTTCGAACCCAGGCATTTACCGCTCAGCCAGCATGTTCTTGATGTTGCTGTAGTACTGGGGAAGCACGAATTTGGCAATCTCATCCTTAGCGAGCCACTTGAAGTCCTGAAGGTCCTGCACGTTGGTGGACAGGTCAGCCTGTCCAGCCATGATACGACCCTTCATGAAGAATGTCTTCTCGCCGAACCATTGTTGGCCAGTTGCAGGGTCGGTCTTGGGGTGTCGGAAGTTGTAGACATGGTGGCCAACAGGGTGATAGCCCACCATCCAGGTGTTCATGTTCACACCAGCGGATTGTTCCAGGGTACGTTCGGCGGCCTGTGCAGACGATCAATTAGTACCCCAGAATGGCCATGCGCTCGATTTCAAACACTACTCACCACGCGAAGGGACTCCCCGGTCTCGACCGGCGAACTGGGGAGTTTCCAGAATCCCTCCTTGGTCTGGACAAGAAGATAGAGGGTTCTCTGCAGAGCCCGGTTCAGGCTCCTCTGGTCGTTCTTCTGGTCCGCCTCCGTCACTCGGGGGAACGGTCTGGGAATCTCCTCCTTCTTGCTGGTATCTTGAGAAGTGGCATTGACAGTAGCCTCTGCGTCCCGCACAAGCATCTCAATCTGATGCTCTGGTTCGGACTCAACAGCCCCGACGAGCAATTCGTCGTTCCATGCTTCCTTCGAGTACGCGTTATACTTGCCGATGTCGCGTGCAGGCGTTTGACGCTCCCGAATCTTACGCTTCCAGTCCTCATCAGCCGGAGTACCCCGCTTGAAATAGAAGTATTTTGTAAATGGGAGCGCCAGTCGCTCGTTCAGCCGTTTCTGGTAGAAGAAGTACGCCTTTTCGAACGGTGTGAGATCGCGAGTGATTTGCGGAGGACGGGATAGGGCCACGCCGGCCTGGATGATGTGCGTAGGTCTGACGACGGGAAATGTAGAGGCAGGAGTTGAAACGGTTTCTGAAGCTGAACTAGGCGCAGCAGTGGAGGCATAATTGCGGCGAACGAGTGTCTCTTGACAGCTTCTGCAGACTCGGGAGTCGACTATTGAAGGCCCTGAAAAGAAGTCAGAAAACGACTTAGACAAAGTACAGAGAAGTTGATTATTGCGTACTCAGCACAGACGCTATGCGCCTGGCGCCATTGGGTCCTGAAGACATTTTTACAATGCAACCACTGGACTCTGTCCTCATCAACACAGTCCGTCCCCGATAATTGTCAAAGAAAAGTTGGCGGTCACCTGTCTGCCGCCGAACCACGCTAGTCCTGCACAGGCTAGAATATCAGGTGACCTAAGCCTTTTTCTTTCCCATTTTTCGTGCCCCGTCTCTCCTGTTTCTTTCTTTTCTCTCACAGCACCTTTTCCTTATCGTCAACTGCGTTATGATTCTTCTACAACCAGTCGATCATTTAGTGGTGCTCAGAGAGAGTAGGCGGCCTTTTTTCGCTAGCGGTACCTTCTTTAAATCAAGGTGTACTGTTAGATAGACGCTGCGTACATTCAGCTACACTGCCAATTTTGGGTCATTGCAATGACTATGCTATAGTATGGTGACGCCCTCGGGGTCGCTCTTGTTTCCAATCGATGACATCTCAATGTACAATCAAGAGAGCTTTGAGTTATGCGTAGTTGGATCTGTATCGGTGCCGGGGATTCACGACGCACCCATCACACAAACTCTTTCCAATGTGCCAAAGACTCGCAACTTGTTCCCGTACACTTTCCAGAACTCGGCTCCCAGTCGCGGGATGAGCTCGCCATTAGCAGCTTTCTCCATGACCTCGACAGAGTCGGTAGGACCCAATGACAATCTACGGTCATCAATAGGTATATTACTGTTGACTTCGTCTATGGCCTCCTCAATTTCTAGTAGATCAAATCTCGTCCCAAGGACTCCTGTCGTTGGCGCTTTGGGAGATCCTGTGCTGCTTGGTCTTGGCTTCTGCTCAAAAGTCTTCTGTGCGCTTCCAGATGTTGTTTGCAATCTGCCCTCAGTATAGGCATCGGATGCAACCTCCTGATACGTTTGCTGGAGGTTCGAGGTGTCTTGAGCACCTTTAGTGGACTTCTGTTGCGGTAGATCTACCCCTCCACCGCGGAGCTGAGCAGACAGCCTGATAAAAACTTGGGCAGTTAGCAAGCTATCATAGCCTGCTTCATGTTCAATCTTCTGAGTAGTATACTTGGAATGTTGCGGGTGTATGCCTGTTGTCTTTCTTAGCCATCAATTCAAGCGGACGATCAAGGAAGTCATGCGCACTGATTTTCGGAATTGCTTTCTTAGCCAAGTTTTCGTTGAGCTCTGAGAGTGATGACCTGGGATTGATGGAACCACAGTTATGTGTGGCCATGTATTTGGTGTCCATCAAGACCGGAAACAATTCGTGCGCCATCGACTGGAACTCTTCCACTTTGCTTGGAAGAGGCCCAAAAAAGCAACGGCAGAAGTAGATAAGATCTGAGAAAAGGTTATGGCCAACAAGAACAGGCCTATGCTCTTTCAATCGCTGCTTGAGTTTGTCTGAGAACTCGTTGAGAGGGTATTTGGATTCTACAGCGGCGGAGCTCGCCATGATACCAATGAGGTAGCCGGAATCCAGATTGGTAAGATCTCCTCCAGCTAAAGCCTCAGCTACCCACCTAAAGCCTGTCTGCTTCCAGGCGCGCTCCCGTACTCTCGTCACTCTTTGCTCGCGGACGGATCTCTCACGTTCCTCGTTGTAATCGATGATTTGGATGAAATCGGGTCTGCTGATTGTCACCAATGAAGGATATTCCACCTCTATCAACTGGTGAACAAGCCTTTTCTGAAACCTGTTCAAGGCCGAGGGCAGAGACTTGGATGATTGAGAAACACCAAGGCGGGTTGGCGGTGGGATGTTCAGGTACTCTTCGCGTGTCTGGTGCAACGATTAGCTTCCTCAAAGAACCCGGTGATGGTTGTCTCACGGCTCCCAGTGCAAGCCAGTCATCTACGAGACGGCGAACGGCTTTTAGGAAGGCTAACGACTCGTGTTCAGTCTCTTTGACGTCGATCGAAGTATGTGTTGCGACGCGGTCACGTCTCTCGATGGCGTTGGCAATAGCTTGTTTTTCTTCCTCCCGAGACAGGTACTGGACACCCTGTTTCAAGACGGAGTCGATGCTGAACTTGTTCTCGAGTAGGAACTCAATAGCTGGACAGAATTGTTCAGGTTTCTATGTCTGTAACTAAGGCGGCAATCGACTGGACATACCGCTGCTTTGCATGGACCAGCCTCTCTCCACCTCTAGTCTCCGGTCGATAATCGGATTCAAGTTTACGTTGTAGGGTTTCAAAGTATACGAAGCTGTCGAGGGTCCAAGTCAATAGTCGGTACCCACGATGAAGGGCAAGAACTGAAGATCTGACCATTCTCGGTATCCTCGTGACAGATTGTCAGTCCGACCTGTAAGATCTGATATTTATCGGCTGAGTTTTTCACTTCTTCGTAGCGAGCCTGGAGGGTCTGGGATCCCCTATTTGGGTTTGAAGAAGTAGTAGCGATCCCAGAAAATTCGAAGTCCATGGATACAAAGCAGCATGTTGCCAGATCATCCAGGATCCGGGGAAGATGATAAGGGAATGTTTGAGCTGTTACATCCATCTTCTCAGTGGTCCACTGAGGTTTGGGAGTGATCTATACGAGATCGAGAGCTGAGAGAGCCGAAAACAGATAGAAACAGTGAAAGGAGTTCAATTAGAAAAAAGAAGATGCCCCAGGAGCAATTGATGCATATATCCAACTGTTTGTTATCTGAATGTTAATCGAAGCTAGCATGTGGGAAGACGAATGAAGTAACACTTGCCCCGATCGACAGGTAATGAAGCAAGTCTCGTGAGCTCCGTGTACTTCATCATCAGTGAGTCGTCGCAGACATATGTTCGATGCAGCAGTGATGGCTGAATATTTTTTCTACAGTCGCAATGTTTAAAAACAATCAGTCTCCTGATAGTTAGTTCGATGATCTTACCTTGATCATGATACGGAGTAGTACTCCGTGTTTTACGGATCCGCATCCCGTGACATCGGCCAGACCCCAGACTGAGGCAATGGCCGAGCCGAGGGAAAGCAGTTAACCCCAACTCTTGGGTTCAATCGGAGTCCAGCGACTAACAACTACCACTCACAAGCTTCATGCATCCTTGCGACAGCTTCAATTTACGATATTTATCCGACTTTATCACTCCTGCCGCCATTGTTGAAATTTCTCACAATTTCTATCCATTCCTTCTGACCTCACATTGATTCTTTCTCGCTGATCGCATTCTCCGCTGGCGGTGAACAATGGCCGAAGATGGATCGTACATGACGACGTCTCAGTCGCAACTTTCATCCTCCACCTCGTCCTTGTCTCCCTCGAAGTTCTGTTCAAAGACATATAAGAATGCTTCGGAACTCTTTCTGACACGACGGTTGCCAGAGGCCTTGGCCGCTCTTGAACCTGCCATAACTGTTGCGCAACCTCATGACGAGCGATACGTTAACGGTGACGACTCAACGCCGCCTGTCGCGTCCGCTCAAAGTACTTGGAGGATCAAAGTATGGAATCTATATATCACTCTCTTAAGTTCCATTATCGACTTGGGGCCTGAGGAAGGGAAAAACCAATTCGGTCAGAAGAAGTGGAAGTCCATCTCGTCTCAGGTGCGCGATGGGCAAATTTGGGAGACTGTAGTTCAGACTGGCTACAGAGGATTGGAGGGGTCTGTCGACGCAGAGGTCGTCTATAATCTGTCCGTTAAGCTTCTGCCTCCACCAGTTATCTCCTGCACTGACAGTGACTACTATGACTAACAGAGCCACCCTCTTGTTGCATCACTCTGCTTCCCAAGCTCTAAACCAGCATCGACTTGAAACCTACCTGTCCTCATACGGCCAACCCAACTTGGACATCGCAGAGCATCTGCACAATTCTCCGTCGCACCATTCTCATTCCAGACCGAACGGCGGCACTGACACTCCGAAAGATCTGGCAGCGCGTGTTAAGATCATTGAGCTCTTCACACTCCACGTCCTTCCCCGCAATGAGGAATGGGACTACGCCAGGGAGTTTATCAATATGAGTGAGGTCCTGGACGAGGAAAGGAAAGATGTCTTTCTACAGACGCTTGAGGGAATTAAGGAAGAAAAGGAGCAAGGAGAACTGCGCGCAGCGGCGCTCCAGCGAGAGAAAGACGCTGAGCTGGAGAGGCAAATGCGTGAGGAAGAGCGTCGGCGGGCGGAAGAAGCAGCAGCAGCCGAACGCTTGGAGCAAAAGAATCACCGGCGCAACAATAGCAAGGTAGATTCTGGTATCGAAAAGAGCCGACCCAACGGCGCTTCGAAAGCCAAAGTGGGAAAGCCCACGGACAAAACGTCTGGTAGCAAGTCAACTTCTTCAGGATGCACTGCGTTCTCACCTCCTGCCTCGTCGAAAAACCTCAAGAAAACCGACAAGCCGGCCAGATCAAATCGAGCTTTGGCAAATGTGCTGCGGAATATGCTGCAGTACATTTCAAAAACCGTTGCTGGCAATCCTCTGTCAATTGCTCGCACGCTCTTATTCATGCTAGGCATTATCGTGGCGCTAAGCAGGCAGAATATCCGCGAGAAAATTCGGAGAATCACTGGGTCGGGTTGGCAGAAGATCAAGGGCACTGTGGGGATGGGAGTGAAGGTGAGCTATATCTGACGAGGTGTCGGTTTTATCACTATTTCCTTGCTTCTCCCCTGCTCTGCAGTGGCCCTCTGCCTTACCCATGACATGTTCGAAACCTCTGGCTTGCCTTTCCTTTGACCCCAGGCCAGTGCGCTGGTCATTATGTTATATAAGATAAGGTCTCTTCCGTTTGTAAATGCATGCATCGATCTCTGTGAAAGGCAGAGAAGGGTTTTCCGATAGACATTCTGGTTATGGACTTTTCATCTTATCAAACAAGGAACTTGATCGTTCTAATCATTGGACTGTCTTGCATCTACCCACGCCTTTCTGGTCTGACGGTTCGTCCGCAAGCGAAAGCACAGTCATTCTGGAAGAACTAACATGGTCGCCGATTGTCTCAACATCCCCTTTCTTGTTTAGATTCTTATGCCACCTTTGCAGGGCATGAACAACAAAGTGTGCTATACAGATCTGCTCCGTCGTATACAGCAACACAGGGACCGAGGTCCTTGCCTTGGTGTACAGGTCCACTGGGGCCCACATGGCATACAACAGGGGAATTCCCAGCGCGGTGCTCTTTGCGGGACCACAGAAACATACTGCGATCGTCTCCTCGGGGGTTATGCGCTTGAATATGCGTCGCATGCGGAACCTATTGGCCGACAGTACTTCCGGTGGCCGTGAAAGGACAAAACATACGGCAGTGAGGGCAATGTACAGAGCGATGTTGAAGAAGACCACGAACAGGACACTTTGCACAGAAAGAGTTTGAAGTGCTCCTGTGGCGAAGCAGGAGGAGAATGTCATCCTGCCATGGTTATCCAAGTCAGATATTTTGGTTCACTTCGGGACATGATCATAATAATTACCAAACAATCAGCAGTAAACAAGCGGATCCCAGCTTCGAGATACGATACTTCTGCATCACCCGTTCCGTCTGCTCTGGCCAGGCCCAACGCACCAGCTGTCCTATTACCAAGGGCAAAAGTGCACTAAGGCCCAACTGTCTGAATACATCTTTGTACATCTCACTTAAATCTCCGCTCGCTTGCCTCCATGGATCGAATTCAGCGGTAGTTGGCAGCAAAGTGATAGTCCAACCGGCCGTGATGAAGGGACCTAGGAAATTGGCAATGACAACCTCAACCAGAGCAGCTGCATCATCTCCGCCGGCTGATCGAGTCATCACGACATTCGAAGCGATAGTAGTCGGTATACAAGCGGTGAAGATATAGCCCGCCAGCACGGCCCGGTCGATATGGCCATGCGGATCACCCGCCAATATGATATGAACAACCGCAAGTGTGAGCGCTGGAATGAAAATGAATGAGAAGACTTGGACAAGGAAGTGAAGACGCCAGTTTAGAAGATGCGTGAACAATTTCTGGCGTGGGATGCTCAGACCCGACGTGAGGAAAATGATGGCCATCGCTCCGTACAGAATACTGTATTCAGCTCTGATGACGCCGCCATGCTTGGCTACGTTGGGGAAATAGTAAGCTAAAACGCATGCGACTCCGATACCTATGAGCAACCATTGGTGCAGAAGGAAAATTATGATGGTTTTGCCGATGTACTTCAAGCTCCGTGCCTTCGAGGGATGCCACCGCCGAGAACTGTCATTTTCGGCTATGCCGTGGTTCATCGCAGAGTGTCGTTAGGCGGATCACTCAGTCACAATTCCTTCTGTGAATATCACGGTGATGTAGGGCAAGACGGCAAATTAGCTTTAAATAAGAGATGCTTGTTTGCTTCATATTTACCGTCAGTCCCTTTTCCGGAATGCCAATTTATGGGGTGAATGACGGAAATCGGATCAAATCCGATGATCCTTGATAAGTGATAACAGCCTGTGTGGGGTAAAAGTACTGCCTTAGATCAGGCTGAACTGATTCCTGATACTGATAGTAACTGTTTTCACCAGGAACAGACGCTGTACACAGATTGGTCTGGGTCTATTGCATTTGCGTGGTTGCCCTCGCTTCTCGTCTCGTCTCCTTGAGGGATCTCTAACTCTCTCTCTCTCTCTCTCTATATCCTGATGTACAGTATTCAGCAAGAATCAACAACATATGTTTCGCGACACACATATTAGAGACCTATGGCGCGACGAGGCGATCATACACATGACCATGTACCAATAAACTACACTATATTTTCACATGAAGAGCCCGCATTATTCTTGTAGTTGTATACTGCGGTAGAGTCAGTTGAGCATGGATAAACTATAAACCGTGGAAATAGTATCAAGCGTGGGGAGTATAGAATCTCGGTTACTCCCTAAGGTGGAAGAACGAACATGTCTGAAGACCAGATGTCTTTAAAACTATTTAGATCGACGTCACTTGTCTCATATATCAGAAATCGGAGAGGTAAACTCCTCAGTCACAATAACAGCCAAGTTCTGTTAAGGCACGCATCCAGTGTCTGTCTCATACATATGTCGCAGGCTGTCCGAATCGGGAAAAAGCCTCGGCTGAACATTCGAGGGGCTTAGCCGGAAATTTCCGCATACCTGGGTAACGACTCCAAGGTAAACACCTACAGAGAATGAAGGAGGTGTTTCTGGAACAAAAGAATGCACGAGACTTATCCTGACTAAGGGAGGATAAGTAAGTTATGAAACACAAGCACTCAGATCATGCGTAATGACGATGATGCTTGATCGTGTCACTCTAAAGCATGTGAAGAACGGATCTCCAACATCATTGGTGCGTGTGATGTCGTAGTCATTTGCTCCTGGGAGGAACTCAAGCCATATCTGGTAATTCTAGTGCAGGTGATCCAAGGGACTACCAAGGGACTACTACGGAGTAAAGGCAGGTTCTGGGCACTGGACACTGGACACTGGGCAACAGCTTTGGCCCTGTCCTGATGCCTCGGGATGATGCTATGAAAGACCAACGCGGTAGATCTCCTTCAATAACCGCTGTAGGCATGAGCGAACTCTACTTAGATTGATAGACAAAGCTCGAGAAATATAAGTAGCGCAAGGCACATCGGCTGAATTAACAACACAGTTCTACTATCTCTGTTCTTCTACAGCTTCGGCTACCCTTCAGCTCTACATTGCGGGCGGCGGCATCTCTTCCGCTCGTCCAGAAGAGCTTCCTCCGCTTCCCCGTCATAGCTTCCCCACGGCCCCGATTGAGGAGAATAAAATAGACAGAACAAAGTAACAAAGCCGCCACTGATCCCGAAACATTGGGCGAGTCCCCATTCCCGAAAATTGATCAGTTTTATTTCAATAAGCGGGTGACCCCAGAGTGTCCCAGCAATCTAAATACCAGCTCTGATTTGAGCCGAGGGAACTCCATACTTCCGTAACTCCCCGGATTTCTTGCGCACCTGTGAAGATCCGATATCGTCGCTTTCTTGTGCCTTTTTAATTCTATATCGGGCCCAATTGAGTCATACTTCGTTGCTTTTTTACCTCCTTTCCTCCTTCTCTTCCAGTTTCTCCTCATTCCTCCCGTTCAGTCACCAAGGACAATCGCCGCAGTTAGCCGTCGTCACAGAAGGAAGCTAGTACCTCAATTGACGGAAAAGAAGGAAAAACCGCATAATCGCGTTGTGCAAACCTAGTCATTCGCCATGGCCGCCAAATCTGTGGAGGGAAACAAGGGCAAAAAGCCCGCTTCCGCGGCCGTGAACTTGATCGGTAAGATGACGCTTTTCGTGGTGAGGGGACATTTCGTTGGTGGTGATGCTAACATGCGACACAGCTGGTGGTGGTGCCGGTATGATGGAGGCTCTCGTCTGCCATCCTCTTGGTATGGCTATAATCCAATGGTATCGGGTTCTGAAAGCCAGGCTAACAATCTCCCAGATACCATCAAGGTCCGAATGCAGCTCTCGCGACGGGCTAGAGCCCCCGGAGTAAGTTAAGCCGCAAGCATTACTCAGTTGTGCGGTCACTGATAATTCATTGCTTCGACAGGCAAAACCTCGTGGATTTATCACCACCGGTGTCGAGATCGTGAAAAAGGAGACTGCCCTGGGATTGTACAAGGGTCTGGGAGCTGTTCTGGGCGGTATCATCCCGAAGATGGCTATTCGTTTCACCTCCTATGAGTGGTACAAGCAGATGCTCGCGGATAAGGAGACTGGTGCAGTTACCAGCAAGGCCACCTTCCTCGGTACGTGATCAATGCCTTCCCCGGTCAGTGTGTGTCTTTAGCTGGGTATGAACTGACATCTCGAACCAGCTGGTCTTGCTGCTGGTGTGACCGAAGCCGTCGCGGTGGTAAACCCTATGGAAGTCATTAAGATTCGTTTACAAGCGCAGCATCACAGTTTGGCGGACCCTCTGGATACCCCCAAGTACCGCAGTGCGCCCCATGCACTATTCACCGTGATCCGGGAAGAAGGATTCAGCACTTTATACCGCGGTGTCTCCCTGACAGCTCTTCGCCAGGGTACCAACCAAGCTGCCAACTTCACCGCATACACCGAGTTGAAGGCCTTCCTTCAAAGTGTCCAGCCCGAGTACAGCAACTCACAGCTTCCCTCATATCAGACAACGTTCATCGGATTGATCTCCGGTGCCGTCGGTCCCTTCTCAAACGCCCCCATTGACACCATCAAGACCAGACTCCAGAAGACCCGCGCTGAACCTGGTCAGTCCGCCGTCAGCAGAATCATGGTCATTGCCAAGGACATGTTCAAGCAGGAGGGTGCGCGCGCTTTCTACAAGGGTATCACTCCTCGTGTGATGAGAGTTGCTCCTGGTCAGGCTGTGACTTTCACGGTATACGAGTTCCTCAAGGGCAAACTCGAAGAGTCAAACTGGGCCTTCGTGGGTGGCAAATATGAGGAATAAGTACGGTTGTTTTCAATCGACGTTGAGCGAGAACGGCCGCTGCGTGTTTTCGAAATTTGATACCATGAGCATCGTGGCGTTTTCGATTGCATTGCGATCTCACTGCATTATTTTTCTGGGTTATCACTTCGAATTGATGATGGCATGCGCACTCTGGGCTTGGTTATGGGTGAAGCCTGTCGCAATTGAAAACAGCACATTTGACTTGTATATAACTTTCTTTTCTTTGTCTTTTGTCTCACCATCTGTTAGTATACCAATTTCTTTGACATCTTGAATATAGAATCAAAAATCTGAAAGATAACAGATGATGTCGATGTCTCGCGCAGATGGCTAGATGCCAATGACAAGCAACTAGAGACATATCTACTATTTGTTCAAAATGCCTTGGAGAACAGACCACTTGCAATTCCCTCACTCTAGCCACATTGGGCAATCGGGATTACCCCGCTAAACACCACCTCCAACTACACCGCTTCTGCCAGCTGTAAACACTCCCTAAACATTGAGGACATCACAAGAGCAGCTGATAGGTCATATATTCTTGAGACACCAGACCGCAACTGCACCTACTCAAGATGCAGTCAGGAATTGCAGGTAAGCACACTTCACCACAGTCCAAACCCCTCGGTCCGCTGCACTGCACTGCATCCTGCACACTGCATGGTCAATCCCGATCACAAAGTAGAGAAACGCTGACTTTTGTTCCAGTCTCGTCCGAGCTGCATAATGCGTTCAATGACTTCTCCTCGGACTCCTCCATCTTCTGTCTCCCTGTAACCATCACAGCAGAGAGCCTGACCCCCTCTCCCCTATCCGCTTCTCCCCCCGGCGCATTCTACCCTCCCTCACGCAACTCTCGTCCGTGCTGCAGCCAAAAACTCCCCTCTATCTGCTCTTCCGTCGTCCCGAGTCGGGTTCCTCGTCCCTCTGCGCATTGACATACATTCCCTCCAATGCCCCGTGCGCGCCAAGACGCTCTTCGCCTCAACCCGTGCCACGCTGGTGCGAGAACTAGGCAGCGAGAAGTTTGCGACTACGATCTTTGCAACGGAGGAGGAAGAAGTCACCAGCGAGGATGCGTGGCGCGAGAGGGATGCAGAGAAGAAGGGTTCTGGTGGCAAGGGAGATTTCAGACGGGAGGATCTGATGGGGGACAAGGAGCGTGAGCTGGAGGCTGTGCGGAGAGCGGAGGAGGAGGCTAGAAGCGGTACTCCTGGTAGGGATATCGGGATTGGTGGATCGTTCGCGAGAGGTGGTTTTGGGTCTGGTGTGCAGTCTGGGATGCGGATGACCGTGGACGATGATGTGAAGGCTGCTCTTGAAGGACTACAGGACGGTTGGCTGGTGCAACTGGTACGTTCTCTGGAGTTTGGAGCTGAGTTCGGAAAAGCTTATAATCTTTCAATCTGTCATTGATTGCTAACTACGAGCTCTGCGAAATACAGGCCATCGACATCCCGTCGGAAACGTTCAAGCTCGCTGCTGCAGAGTCCGGTATTGACGCGAACTCCGTCCAGACGCACATCTCTTCATCCTCGCCTCGGTACACTTTCTACCACTATCCCGAAACCGATACCATTTTCTTCATTTATACCTGCCCGTCAGGCTCGTCGATCAAGGAGCGCATGCTTTATGCAAGCTCTCGGATGTATGCCCTTCGTGTAGCTGATGAACAGGGCCTGAAGATTTCCAAGAAGGTATGCTTTGCGTGACAACCACATGATTGATTCTTTACCATCTAACGATGCGACATGCAGATCGAGGCATCTTCTCCTGACGAGATCTCAGGAGACAGATTGCAGGAGGAGGTCCAGCCCCAACAGAATGATGGGCTGAGACGAGGATTCGCCAGACCTAAGCGGCCTGGAAGGTAGAATTGGCTGTACTGCTCTTCCGGGCACCTTCTTAAAATATTTAGATAGCCCCCGCTGTCACTGTCAAATATGTCCACCCTTTCTAAGCTCTCAAGTATGAAAATCGCCCGGAAGCCGACATATTTTGCGGAAGGCGCGAGAAATATAAGCGTAGGGTAGAAGATGCCTCGCCGGACGCCGAGTAATGCACCGCGATCGGTTAAGGCACGGGGCGAACGAGGAAAGGCATGCCGCAACATCAATGATTTCGAAAACTTTTCTTTTGGTAGAATAAATCTGTCCTCGAACTTCCAAGATTGATAATCTTGGGACAACCATCTCGATCCTTCTCTAACCTCGTACACTCAAAACAATAGAAGGCATCACTGATACCTTCACCACCACAGACAATACACTTGTTCTGGTAGTTGCCGAAGGAGCATTCATCGCAGATCCGGACAAGCGTCGTAGGTCGCACGTAGGAATCGCACACGGGGCACTTGCCGTCGCACTTGTCGCAGAGTCGGCCGATGGAAATACCAGGCTGCTTGCGGCACATAACGAGATCTGGGTGATGGCGAGACATGGCTGCAGGACTTGCGACGTCGGCGCTGTATTGAACGGGGAGATATGTGAAAAAAGGCTTAAAGATATAGGTTGCTGAATATCGCCACTAATCCAAGCGATGAAGATACTATCGGTAGTCTTCTGAGCTTCGGGTTCTGGCCGCAGATTTAAGGTGGCCAGGAGGGAACTGGTGGTTTATCAATCAAGAGAGAATTGATAGAAGGCGTTGGAAGGAGAAGAAGATTCCACGGAACGCCCTTTTGGTGCAGCAGATCGGGCAAATGGTCCGTGCACGGGATGTTGGAGTCCCGCCATTGATATCGCGACTGGACTTACGATACCGGCCGTTTTCATTTTCGGAGTTGTCGACGAGACAGTGGATAATCCAAGTGCAGTCGCTTGCTAACTCATTTGACCTTGTCATTACCAGGCGTCTTGAAGCTGTTTTCTGCATTCGCTGACCCTGTTCAGATACCGCGTCAGAATTCGCAGCCCCAGATATGGCAGAAGGGTACGACATCTACGGTCTTTTGTGCACGTTTCTTGCGCTAACTAAAGTCTGACGATTGCTTAGGACACTTGCTTCTGCAGTTGCAGTGCCTGAGCAGGACATCCTGGCTCCATCTCCAGATGCCGGCCTCAAGCGAAGAAATTCATCTACTACACACCCGGATCCAGATAGCAAGCGTCGCCGATTAAGTACCCAAGAGGAGAAAGATCATCCAGCATCAGATCGCAAGCCTTCGTTTTCAGATACAGCTGAGCAGAGGCCAGACCGAAGGGCCAGTCGGCAAGCAAATGGTCGCGATGAGGAGCGCAAGCGCGGACAACGACTATTCGGAGCACTACTCGGGACGCTTTCGCAGAGGTCCAGTACAGCAGCCGAGAAGCGGCGAGCAGACATTGAACGGAAGCAACAAGATAAATTGAAACTTCAAGAAGAAGAGTACGATGAGTTGAAAAAGAAGAAGAGGGAGGAGCGAGTCGCACTTAGAAAGAAGCAACAGAGATACTACGAAGATGAATCGGTAAGTGCCCGCTGCTCTCAGTTCACGAGCTTGCGATCTTATGGTTGATGTTGATAGATGCGAACTCGGCACTCGAATTTGTTGGCAACGGCACATTTCTTGAAGACAAAATCGGAGCCAGTGCTGGTATGTTATAGGATTTCCAAATGTTTCGGCTTCGTTATCGTGATCGATCTAACCCTTCTTTTCATTGCAGTACTACAAGCCATGGCAATTGCGGCCCGATGATGAGGACTTAATACGCCGCCAGATTGACGAAGCAGAAGCTACCATCTCCCGAGAGCGCGCTGAATTCGAAGCACGTCATCCTCCTCAGGAGGAAAGTGAGTCAAAGGAGGAAACAGAGACCCAAGCTAGTAATCAACAAGAAGCTCCGCAGCCCGACGCCGAAGTCCAAGAGCGCAAAGATACGACCGAGGAAAGCTCGGACAAGGCGAACGCTGAGACGAATCAAGACCAGAATGTTGAAGCTGCTGTACCCGAAACGGTCAACGACGTCCCGGAATCAGTCAATCACACCGGTTCAGATGACCATCGGGCAGCTGATGACGATGGGGGAGAGGTGGTCGAGGACAATGAGGATACGGTGATCTATTAATGTCATGTTGGGCCTTTTTATCTTCTTGAATATCTAGGCTCTGCCTTTTACCATACTCTTCGTAATAACTCCTCATGGTCAGTGATATAGCAGCCGCAAGCATTTGTGGGGAAAGGCAGCAGTAATTCCAACCGAGGCAATTCGGCGGCAAGAGCTGGACTTGGCAACAGCATTCATGGGCACACCGAGTCCGCTCGTCGTCGCAACAGAAATGATATCGGGAATTCCTTGATCCCGTTGAGGTTTCCGTACTTCGTAATTCAGGCACTTTCTCCATTCTTATTTGTAGCCTTGTCATCTCTGTCCAGGCGTCCAATACGTTTCGGCAGCTTCGAAACGCACGTGACGAGACAACTGGCGGGGATCCATAGCTTCGTTGTACATAAATAAGAGCAGAAGTCGGTAGAACCTGATCTCCAGGTAGTTCTCTATTCCTCCTGCAAGAGTGCGTTCGCATAAACGAGATTCTGATATCCGAAATTGTCTGGTCGGCGTTGCAATCATGACTGTCGATAAGATCAACGTCACCGGCGACCCTCGGGTCCAATTCCGTCAAGCAAGGGTCAATGGCAAGCAATACGGTATGCATCTTGTCACTTCAGCACGTTTGCACATTTTTTTCTGGCATGCGACCAGAGCTCCTGGGGTGTCAGACAGATCATCCTGGAAACACCATCGCAAATCAGATCTTGACCGTTCACTAACTATATATCTTCAGGCTTCCTCTATAGCGAGCCAAAAACAAGCACATACAGAGCTACCATCTTCCTTGTCAGTTAGCTCTTGCTCACCTACATACATTTGAGCGAGTAGCTAACTCTTTCCTAGCTCCATGGCTTCCCGGACCTATCAATGGGATGGCGGTATCAAATCCCCATGCTGACCGATATGGGACTGCGGGTTATTGCTCCAGATTGTTTGGGATATGGACGAACAGTATGGACTTTGCTACAACTATCTATCTCGTTCTAATATTTCAGATGCGCTGACTACGTGGTCTAGGATGCTCCAGAGGATATTTCGCTATACTCTCACAAGCAGTGCGCCGATGATATCAAGGAGCTAGCATTACAACTTGGCGCCGACAAGATCATCGTAGGAGGACATGACTGGTACGTTCCTCCTGACTTCAATCTTTACATTTCTTAGAGCGCTTATGACTGACTATATTTCACAGGGGCGCTGCATTTGCGTACCGGCTTGCCCTCTGGTATCCAGACCTCGTTACTCATTTGTTCACGGTCTGCGTACCATATAGCCCCCGACGAAGAAGTACTATCATTTGGAGGAATTTGTAGCAACGGTTGCGCCGCATTTTGCCTATCAGTTGCAGTTGAAAAGCGGGGACTTGGAACCAGTCATCCGTACAGAAGATGATATCAAGAAATTCCTCAGTGCATTGTACGGTGGTCGTACTGAAAAGGGAGAAGTAGCCTTTGACGCGGGCTTGGGAATACTCCTGGACAAAATGTCCGAGGTGAAACCGTCGAAGCTGCTCAGTGAAGAGGTCAATATTTTCTTCTGTTTTCTGATCGCCCTCTATTTCTGGTTTCCAAGGTACTGACAGCCGGATACCTCAGGAACTCGACTATTATGCCAAAGAGTTCTCGCGAACTGGCATCCGGGGTCCATGTAAGACGCCACATATCTCCTTACTCCGGTTATTTCGTGCAATAGCAGGATAGGTCGCTAATGAGACTACAGTGAACTGGTACCGGACTAGAGAAGTGAACCACAAAGAAGAACTAGCCATCCTTGACCGGCGCATCACAACCCCAGTCCTCTTCATTCAAGCACTCAGAGATGCCGCCCTTCCAGCACACCTGGGCAAGGGTATGACAAAGACAATCCCTCACTTGACTTACAAACAGGTCAATACATCTCACTGGGCTCTGTGGGAGAAGCCCAAGGAGGTAAACGAGATGATCGCTTGGTGGCTGGAGGAAGTGGTATTCACCGATCCCCGTTTGTTCAAGTTGTGAAGGTTGCATAAAAATTGCTATGTACAGGATTGTATACGATAGTATATGTGTGATACTTCGATCATAGCATGAGAGATGTCTTTGGTTTACTTTTGGGTTGCGGTATTAACATCAGCTTGTTCAATGAGTATTGTGGTCAAACCTGGATGTCAACCAACTATCGAAAACTGTGCGTAATTGATTTACATAAGTCTGGCGTTTCATTAACATGATGGGCATAACATCAATAGACATTTAAATGATCCTTCATTAGGGGTAGCAGGCAAGCAGGGCATCAAAAAAGGTGGCGGCGTCAGTAGTCAAAGACCTGAGTCTCAAGATGGCATCCAACTTTCTCTAACCGGTCAACAAAGGATTGTCCTAATGTTGCTGGCGTTACAATGCCGCATCGGGACACCTTCTTCACTCTCTCCGTCTCCTCCAAGATGATCATTGCTGCCTCGGCAAGCAGCAAACCGGTCAGTGCATACATCGACCCTTCATACTTGAATTTGCCGAAGACACGCTGCGGTGCCGCGGTCTTTTGATCAGCCGTCGCTACTGCACGGTACTCGACGCGGTCATTGACTGAATCTTCCTTGCTCGGCCCCTGACCTGCGGCGTACACGACCTTCCGTACCAGCGCGCGAACGGGAGGGAGTATCAGAAGACACAAGCCGATGATAAAGGCATAGTGAAAGAGCACGCCGACAAGTGTATTTCTAACTTTGACAAATTGCCGAAAGTAGAAGCGTGGCCCGTAGAATTCTGGCATCAGGGTACTGCTGCGGTGCACAATGGTGATGTCTGCCATAGCCGATGGCGACGTAGTGAGAGTACCCAAGTCCCGAACGGACCTAACTCCTAGGATTTTGTCTACTAGTGGCTCGCTGGGGACATTCTTGGGGGCGCGGCGGCGGCCAAAGCGAAGGGGTCCGTGGATTTGAGGATGTCGGAGAAGGAAAGGGAGTCGAAGATTGTGAGCACTGTATTCAAGGTGCCACCGCTCGCTCCGGAGCTCCTGCATAGAACCGTTAGGGGATCAATCTAACTGCATTGAAGGGAGGGTGCGCATACTTCATCTCCTCAATTGCACCAGTCACCTCTTTTGTGTCGCAGGAGAGATCCTCCCGAACTCGTTTAACAACAGACCAAGCTAGGATGTCTGCTGGAGCGCTTTCAACACCGACAGATGGGATAATCTAGAATAAAGTCAGAACAAGTCGCAGTGCTTCGCAAGGTGTAACTGACGATAGCTCCGTTAGACTTCGCAACATCGTGATACTTTTGAATTATTTCCCTGACCCAGGGTGTTTCTCCAGTGCTGCGCAATGGGCATCTTAGTTCTCGTCCACGGTCTGTCTCGAATAACATTGCAGTAACACTCACGCGTCCACATAATGAGTTCCATGATTGGCGCACGCTTCAACGACAGGAGTGCTGTACAGGTGGTATGGGCCAACGCAATTGATGATGACTTTGGTCCTCTGGACGAGAGGGTCCAGTTCTTTCCGATTTAGCTGTACAGCCAGAATCTCTGAAGGTGCGTCAGCGATGACTTCGTTCAACGCACTGGTCTTCAGTTACCTGGCGCGGTGCGGTCAGGATTGAGAGTCCTGAGCTCCTTTGCGATGCCCTCAATCTTCTGCACAGAACGACCTGCTAGAGCCCATTTCAGGTTCGTCGGCAAGTTCTTGACAATATGCTCTGCGCAAAGTCTCCCAGTGTAACCCGTAGGACCAACAAGAACCAAGTCGAACTCCTTGTCGGATTCCATGTCTGTTATTGTACGAGGGCTGTCGAACCTTGATGATAATGTACTATGAACTGAAAACTCAAGAACCTTGACTATGTGACATCAAATAGACACAACTATAAAGGCGTCCAAGGGATATAAATGACAATTCCCAGGCATCGATCTTGAATACGTATTTAGATGATCAACACATGGGACATCCGCGCGTACCCATTTGTTATCGTCATACCTCGGTCCTACGGGCTAACCGCAAGTAGAAAGGACTTATCTAATATCATGTGACGATAAGATGCCTTCCAAGCAAGAAAAGGAGTTTCTTGTGGGGACCAGATATAGAGCGATAGTATGTACCATAATAATTATATTAATTTGAGGGCAGGACAGACTCTAGCCAGATTATCCATATGTAACTAGCCCCAATACCATGACTCCTCCTTCGTTAGTCACGGTGACCGTGTAAGAACCTGGTTCTTCTTGGGTTGCACTACTCCGCAGACCTTCAGTAGTAGAAATGCTTGCGCGCTAGCTTTCTCAAACGACGATCGAGTGTAGAATGCAATCTGCTGGAATTGAAATAATCAAATTGACGGATTTTAGAGAGAAATCCATTTAGTTCTGTATCACTTATCGACTCTTTAGTTTCCTTAATGTGCTTAGGCATCATACGTCAGAAAGCAATGGGTATCACGTGATGAAAACTTCGCCAAGAGTCGAACCCTAAGCGAGCCCACCCACAACCAGTCTCTCAAGAAAGCCGCAGCCTCGATTTTGTCTTACCGCACTGTATCCATCTTTGACCTCAACAGCCGCACACGAGACAAGATGACGAAGCGCACTAAGAGTGAGTGATTTTGATCGAGATAAACCGCAGACACAGGATGGAAAAAAGGATAGAGATACTGACTGCATACTTTTAGAGGTCGGTATCACGGGTAAATATGGTACCAGGTATGCTTTTCGCCCTCGCTCCTCGAAAAATCGATCTGAAGTCGTCTGCATTTCGCTCTGTTCATCGAAACCGGAATCGAAAGCGCGGAATATCGGATTCAGGAGATCTAGAATGGTTGGTTGACATGGCTTGTTCATTACAGATACGGTGCCTCCCTGCGTAAGCAGGTGAAGAAGATGGAAATCACCCAGCACGCCCGCTACGTCTGCACCTTCTGCGGAAAGAACACCGTCAAGCGCCAGGCTGTTGGTATCTGGGAGTGCAAGGGCTGCAAGAAGACCGTTGCCGGTGGTGCCTACACCGTCTCGTAAGTCGATCACGCGTTCTCTCCCTGGTTCCTAGCCTTCTCGGTAGTCGCGCCTTGGAACAGGCCAGACTGGCGAAAGAATGGCCTGGAGTATTCACAGTGACACGGATACTGACCGATGTGACTGTACTACAGCACACCCGCCGCCGCTGCCACCCGCTCGACCATCCGTCGTCTCAGAGAAATCGCGGAGGTTTAAATGTGATGATGGGATTCTCTTTCTGTTTAACGTCTGAACTAAAATCAAAATAAATTCGAAACTGGAGAATCAGCAAGAACACATTCCCGTAACGGATACCACTTATCGATGTCGATAGCGTACTTGCCTCGTCGAATCAGACATTTCAATAAAATGATTCCCACCTGACCATCTGGGTCCCCTCAACTTGTGCACCACGTGAAATCCTTTTCCATCATGTCACGTCCTACATCAGAACGCTAGATCAGATCCATGGTGATTCACGAGCTCACTTGAACGGGAATGATTCCCCTGACTGCTCTAGCAGTGTCCGCGAAGTAGGTGCGAGCGGACATCCAACCTGTGTTCCCCCAAAATCATTCTAGAGTTCTTCGTAGATGAATTCCTTCTATTCTCATGCGGGCCAACTGAGAATCAAACTGATTGACCGCCAAATCAATTTGAGTTTTTTCTCTGGCCCGACTGGCTCAAAATCTTGGCAGAGATGACCGCACTAGCGATGATCTGCCTTCAAAATTAATCATGTTTGAGGCCAATTTCCTCCGTTGAATAGGCATTCATTACATAGGTAATTAAATCAACTTTGACCTACAACGTCCTGGTGAATTAAAGGCTATATATTACCTTGTTAGGTTTACTTCGGAGCTCTACCAATTCTCGAGAAGGGAAACAGTTGCACGACCGCAAAGAGGGGACCCTCGCATTCTGCTGAGCTGCAAGGGCAGAGCATCCTCCAAGCACCATTAATCGCCGGCATGATCATAATGAGGAGGTTTTGCTTAGCTCTTAGCAGTTGTCCTGCCTGCTGATTCGCCTGGTGGGTAGCTGGTCACGTTCCTGTCCAGGCTGTTTTGCGTTAGATCGGATTTTAGGTCCACCTTCAAAAGGCCGCCTGCTTTCTCCCCACATCACTCGACCTGCTCTCTCTCCCCTTCTCCTTCTACGCCTCTGCCCTTTAATCTTTCCTGCTGGTTGCTCTTCATGCCTTCTCACAGCTTTCCTGCAGACAATTCTGGCACTTATTCTTCTGTTCATGGCCGACACTTGTATTGTGTGCTTAGGAGACCTTGGCGAAAGCGCCAGCGATTCTCTCGCCATCGCCGCCGAGGCCGTGCCAAGACCTGACCTTCAAGTAGAAGGCAAGTCAAGTGACGCTTCTATCAAAACAGGCGGCGTGGATGACAATGAGGACGCAGGTCAAATCGCCCAGCTACTTCCTTGCGGTCATATTCTGCACAATAATTGCCTAAAACCATGGGTCGAAAGAGCCAACAGCTGTCCCATATGTCGTCGCAGCTTCAACCTAGTGGAGCTGAGTGATCGTCTCGGAGGTATGTCCTTTCACTTCCACCTCACCCTCACTTGAGGTTGTATCTTGATTCTTGAAGATTTGTGCTAATCTTCGGGGCTTTTATGGCCTTTTTGCAGGTCCTGTTATCTCATCATATGCGGTAGAGGACCGAGTTCAAGTGGCCGATGTCGATCCCTCAATGGTCATCGATTACTTAGACGATGATTTGGCCGACTCTCAACCTTGTCTTATTTGTGGGGATGCGGACAATGAAGAGCTGCTTCTCCTTTGCGATGGCTGCGATGCGCCATCGCATACCTACTGCTTGGGGCTCGACGAGGTACCATCTGGACCCTGGTACTGTTCGCGGTGCCAGACCCAACGTGCCCGAGCATTGTCGCCAGATACTGCTAGACCTGTCAGGACGCATGAAAGGCGAACACGTCGCACGAGAGCGCAGCAGCGTAGACTTCAAAGCAGGAATCAGATGAACTCTCTCCACTGGGCACGAGTGTGGCAATCAGTTTGGGATCATTTGAACCTGGACCTGGACTTTCCATTCGACGATGACGGGGCTACTGCGCGTGCTATCCAACAACAGCGCCGAGAGGAAGCCAATCAACGGGAGTTTCGAGCCTGGCAGCGCCGGTTCGAGGTTGCTGAGCGGCAAGGCGGCAGCAACCGGTTTCGGGAGACTGCTGCTCTCCTTGATATCGAGGCGCCACGACCATCACGACCTCGCGTCCCGAGAGAACCGACCCCTGAACCGGAATCTCTTGAAGAGATGAGGGCTTGGAATGCCTTTGAACGAGCTCGCGAGATAGAGAACAACCCCAGTGCAGCAAGAAAGCGCAAGGAACCAACACTATCCCCTTCGCCAGAACCTACCGAGCCGGAGCGGAAGCTCAAACGTCCTCGGACCCGTAGGCCGCAAGAGCTAGCGGCTCTAGCTCTCCAAAACGGCGAGTCCTCGAGAGCAGCTGCTCAGGCTTCTGCTCGAATCAATGAAGGTTCCAGTGAGCCCAGCTTCCTTCAGTCTCTCCTGAAAGAAGTAGAAGAGGCATCGAATCCTAGCGGCAGCAATTCGCATGGCCCATCTGCACCCGTTTCGGTTGCTCCCACGGACCACAGCAGTATTGGTCCATCTTCTCCCTCAATTTCGCCTGCTCCTTCCAATCAATCTTCGCCTCGACTTTCATCTACGACACCTCCTCCCTATCCTCGCAGCAGGCCTATCTCCCCGTACAACTTGCGTCGCCGACTGAACAATCGTCTCCTCCCTTCTCGCCGATTGTGTCACCATCAGGTTCCAATAACGATGCCCGGGAAACAACACCATCGCATGTTGGGTCAAGCCGCCCACGTTCTCGAATTCCTAGGGCAGCACTACAGTTGACAGCGCGGTCAACTGAGAGCTCGCCCACTCGCCCTGGCCTATCTCTAACGGTCAAATCCGACATTCAAAAGCTGGTTGGAGGAGCACTCAAACCGTATTATCGCTCAAAGGTGGTCTCGAAGGACCAGTACACGGATATCAACCGTACTATTTCACGAATGCTATACGAGCGAGTGGGGAATGCGCAATCCCTAGACACCGAGACCAAGAATAGCTTTGGAAAAATCGCCGCCGAGGAGGTTAAAAAGGCGATCGATGGTCTCCGAGCAAAGGATGAAGACTCCCTTGCGGATAGTAGCTCTTAAGGGCAGAGAAGATTCCTTGCAACTACCGGCGTTTATGCAGCGATTTATTTGTTCTGCGAGTTAAAAGCATACAGCGAGGCGTTCATCTTCACAATGGGACTCGGCGCAGCGTCTTTGGATACCCGCTTAGGAATATGGGACATGTTGATGGTTCTACACTGGGGGCAGGATCTCTCACAATATCTTTTCAATGTATCTTCAGCGACAGCATAGAGCATATTATGTCCTAATTGCTGGCTCATTCGATAGCTGGTACATATATGACTGAACAGAATTCTTGACATATTTAGAGGTGTATTATTCAAGTGAGAAGCGAGTAAAGACCTCAACTCATCGTGAGGTTGCTTCTGGTATTGTGAGGTATAAAGTATTTATTAGATCAATGCTCCGCCTGAAGGAAGAAGAAGATGATGGTAAGTTCTAGTTAGATCCATTATGGGTAGGACCATTCATTAATCTTCTCTCACCGCTAAATTATTTCATAGTTTGTGATCAGTCCATGCTTTATGCATATTTAAGTCGTCCGTACTCCGTAATAGATACACTCCAGCATGATACCCACTCCTCTCACTGTCATATATAGATACTAAGCGGCTACTTGGGTATATGCGCATAATGGCCCGGGGCTTGGGATGAGTTGCACAAGACATACAGAAGATCTGGGCCTCATCGTGAAAATAAAGAATTTAGTCAGCACTCCATGTTATGCGCAAGTCAGAATCTCACAGACAAAGTCATCTCCTCAACCTCTTATCAAAAAAAGACACAGACCAGACCTCAAGTTAACTACGGAATCAAACGAACTGATAGTCATAAAATAATGCACACAAACTGACGTGAGACTATAGTGCAGGATTAAGTCTGTGGGGAGAATGGCCAATTTAGCTGCCTACTAACTCCGTATACGAGTCATATGGGATCCAGAAGGCATCAGTCGAATTTTCTAGGGAGTGGTCTATCCAATCTATCGATCGGAAGCGCAAGCATCAACATCCACCGAGTCAGTCGTCGGCGGCCCTAACTTCAGTCCAGATCAAGCGGCTGAAAGGCCGAGACAAGTGGAAATTTCTGAATATTTGTCCAATCAGCAGCTCTTGTTCGCGCGATGTATCTCGGTCGGTCGTTCGGTGGCGCCGAAGAGCGAAAAGAGCGGGTAGTCGCGACGCTAAGCTTTGCTCCGTGGACCATCAGGCATGAATAATAGGTCCATGGAACACTGATTCAATATTGACGATTTCCAAGCCACAAAAATCCTTTCCTTTCACATCGACACATGGACGGAGTCGGAGTTAAGGGCTCGCGTTTTCCCACGCTGCGATGACCTCATTTGATGTGATTATCAATCCACAATACAAGGTACTCGGGATGTAAAGACCAACCAATAATGGGCGAAAATGGTACCTTTATTCTTGTTCTTTTCTCAAAATGAGTCAGTGGCAACAGTGTCACAAGGGCCCTGTCCAGTATCCAATTTGACACTCTCCTTCAGGCTTGACCATCAGATTCTTCTCGGCGTATCGGCATCGGACATAACCATAGGACTACTCCGTAGGGACCCAGTGCGAAGGGTGGTGGGGAACTCTTCCATCTCTTACATACTAGTTTGCTTAGTGGCCATGGCTCTCTTCTGTCGGGTTCCCATGATATCTCCAGAAGCCTACTTGCTTTATCAGCTTTTTCCCTGTAGGCCCACTTTGGGAACAAGATGGTTCCCTTAAATATCTGGACACGCCCTCCGTGGGAATTCAGGGGCCTAGATATCAGATGCAGCGTACTCTATCCCCGAAGAGCCTATAGTCCACTGATTAAGCTCCTCTCCTAGATCTTGTTTGATCTTGTCCCTTATCATCAGTGCTTTCAGCCTGTCATCTGTTATCAAAAGCTTACATTCAGGAGTGAGGGATAGAGCCAGGAATACTGAATCCGGCAAAACTCGGTGATGGCCTCTGAAAAACAGAACGACCGAGTATACAACTCCAACGAGACTACTCCTCGCATCACCCAAGAGACCCTAGCAGTCCCGCCTACATCAGATCCGACAAAGTTCAAGGATAGTTTCGATATGGAAGACCAAGCGCCGGGGACCGAGAGCCCTGATGCAAGAGACCTGGAGACGGAGGGCACAGATATCGAACGCGCAGACGCTCAACAGCCCGAGAAGACACCCGCAGCAGCAGATCCCAATTTGGTACAATGGGATGGCCCAGACGACCCTGAGCACCCGCAGAACATGCCACACTGGAAAAAATGGGTCTTGACGATGACTTTATCCTCGATGACCATGTGGATCACCTTCGCTAGCAGCGTCTTCTCAACTGCAACTACGGTGACGGCTAAGGAGTACCACGTATCAACTGAAGTTATGACTTTGGCTACCAGTCTAGTCGTGTTCGGATTCGCTCTTGGTCCCATTGTGTGGGCTCCCATGTCTGAGCTTTATGGACGCAGGCTGCCGCTGTTCTTGGGCTACGCCATCTTCGTAATCTTCCAGATTCCGGTAGCAGTGGCACAAAATGTCCAGACCATCATGATCTGCCGCTTCCTCATCGGTGTTTTCGGTTGCTCCCCTCTAGCGGTTGCTGGTGGCGCAATGGCAGACTTCTGGGATCCCGTGGACCGTGCTGTGGCTATTGCCTTGTTCTCGGCTGCCACTTTCGTTGGTCCTACACTTGGCCCTATCATCGGTGGATTTATCACCGAGTCGTATCTCGGCTGGCGCTGGACTGCATGGATTACGATGATTCCGTCTGCGGCCTTCGGCACTCTGGCCTTCTTCATTGTTCCTGAGACCTATGGTCCTGTCATCCTTCAGAGACGCGCGGCTCGCCTTCGCCGCGAGACGGGCAACTGGGCACTGCACAGCCTTCTCGACGAAAGTCGCCCTACCGCTTCCGAGATCGTCAACAAATACCTGCTGCGCCCTATTCAAATGCTTTTCCTCGAGCCCATCCTGTTGCTCATCACGATCTACCTGGCACTGGTGTACGGAATTCTGTACCTTTTCTTCGAAGCGTACCCCATTTCGTTCATGGAGGTTCGCGGCTGGACCAACGGAGGCATTGCCGGTCTTCCATTTATCGGGATCTTGGTTGGAGTGGTCTGTGGCGTGGCATTGATCGTCTGGCAGACCAAGACTCGGTTTGCACGCAAGTTGGCGAAACACGGCCGCGTTGTCCCTGAGGAGCGTTTGGTTCCCATGATGGTCGCATCCGTGCTTCTGCCGGCTGGTCTCTTTTGGTTCGGCTGGACCTCCAGCCCTCATATCTCGTGGGTGCCTCAAGTCCTTGCAGGGATTCCTATCGGCATGGGAATCCTGGTCATCTTCATGCAGGGTCTCAACTACATCATCGATGTGTACATGATGTTCGCCAACTCGGCCATCGCTGCCAATACTCTGATTCGGAGCGGTCTCGGTGGTGCCTTCCCGCTCTTTGCCGTGCAGATGTACAATAAGCTCGGCGTAAATTGGGCCTCGAGTCTGCTTGGCTTCATCACGGTTGCGATGATCCCGATTCCCATCGTCTTCTATGTCTATGGCAAGAAGATCCGGGCTATGAGCAAGTACTCGCCCAAGCTCTGATGGTCATCTGTCTCTTTTTCATATACCCCAGTTTGCTTTTTCATGCCCGAAATAGACGTAGTTGTCCCCTGTCATCAGTTAGGCGTTGATTATGAGCGCTTGGATTTGCATTTGGTCGGACGGACATATGGTAATTAAGCATGATACATGATACATTTTAGCGATCACGAGCACTCAGATATACAGCGGTTCCAAGTTATATAATTAATGTGACCACATACATTGTTAAAGTGTAGTCCACGTCAAGGAATTGATAGAGATTTCATGTACAAAAGTGGCTAGCAGAAGCAGCTAAAACAGGCGACGGTGAGACTTTATCAGGGTCAAACTATAGGTTGTAAGCGAATCAAAAATCAAAGTCATCAATATTGAAACATCAACATCCGTGATTTTGATACCGACATACTACGTTTGACTTCGCCAAAATAGAGAGAGCTCCACAAAAGAGTAAAAGGCAAAGCAAAAACACGCTATTATTATTGAGCGACGCGTCCCGGGCGGCGTCTTCAGGGCGGTGACAGTCGAAACCGCCGGCGATCTTTCGAAACGGACAGACGGGCCTCGAGATTCGTCTGCTTGTCCTCCTCATCCAAGCCTGTCGCCAACCATCTCTTTTGCTATCCATCTCCGTCGCTTATTTTACTTACTCGGAGATTGGACTCTTGTTCTTGCATCTATCTTTCAACCATCGTCTGTCCCGTTCCAGCGCATGGTGTGCTGAAGTTTACGCCCTGAATCCCTCCCCGGCTTCCCCGCGCTTCGTCCACGATGCCTGCGCGCACTCGTCAAGGTCCCTCCACCGTCACGGAGGTCGTGGAGCCCGAAGAGACGTCCGGAGGCCTTCGCAGTCTCAAATTCAATCAGCCGCTTTCCTGGCGCGTGGGGAGGGCCATCCCCATCGCCGATTTGCTTCAACGTCTACAGACGCTCGCGCAGGAGCTTCGCAAACTCGAACAGGAGGAGATTGATAAGGAATCCCTGCGAAAGGTCTCGCAGGAGTTAGCGACGGCGAATCTGCTGGCTCATAAGGATAAAGGAGTTCGAGCTTGGACGGCTTGCTGCATTGTTGATGTCTTGCGTCTCTGCGCGCCTGACGCGCCGTTTACGGGGAATCAGCTCAAGGTTCGTTTTGAATCGGGTTCTGCATTGCTGATTTTGCCTTGCGGGGCTCTATGGAGATGTTTTCTAGATGTTCTGGGCTTTGATCTAACCATTGTGATCATTAGGACATTTTCACTTGCTTCGTGACATCCATCATCCCCGCTCTTGGGGATCCGTCCAATACCTATAATGCTCAACACATCTACGTCCTCAACTCCCTGGCGGAGGTGAAGAGTATTGTGCTCATGACCGATTTGGATCAGCCGGACTCGTTGATTATTCCGCTCTTCACCACGTGTTTCGACATCGTCTCCGGTTCTTCAAAGGCCTCAACAGGAGAGGAGATCGCCAAGAATGTGGAATTCGACATGACCCGCCTCTTGGTGACTGTGATCGATGAGTCGCCAATCCTTGCCCCCGACGTGGTAGACGTCATCGTGGCACAGTTTCTGCGCGTTGACCCCCGCGTGCTAGAACCCCTGAACAAGAGAAGCAAGAAGGCAGATACGCCGGTGGACTCAAAACAGGGCACACTCTTGCTCAAGGACTACCCGCCGGCATATAACATGGCCAAGGCGATATGTCAAGCGTGTCCAGAGAGGATGACGAGTCATATCAGTCAATACTTCAACAATGTGATCATTGACGCTTCTGGCTCTGGGGGCACAAACGGGTCCTCGAAACATCATCGCAAACCGAACCTTGACGATTCCGACGATGAGGGTGAGGATGTCAAGGAGTTGAGTAAAGCTCACCGTCTTATCCGGGAGCTCTGGAGGGCCTGTCCCGACGTGCTGCAGAATGTGGTTCCCCAACTCGAGGCCGAATTGTCCGCTGAATCAGTATCATTACGTTTGCTCGCTACACAGACGATAGGTGATCTCACTGCTGGTATTGGAGTTGCCGGTCCACCTCCACCTCCGCCAATGGATCCTGCAGGTTACCCACCGGTAACTTTGGCAGAGTATGCGCAGATGATTCCTCAGCCCAACGTGCTGGTCAAGCCTTTGTCCCCGAAGCCATTTTCACAAGCACACAGCTCCACATATGAAAGCTTTCTCAGCCGGCGCTTTGACAAATCCGCTTCCGTTAGAGCTGCCTGGGTCACTGTCATTGGCCGCATTCTACTGACATCTGCAGGTGGCTCTGGTCTCAGTGAGAACGAGCAGCAGACTCTCATCGAGAATCTGTCATCAATGCTTCGGGACGCAGATGAGAAAGTCAGACTGGCGGCAGTTGATGCGGTCGGAATGTTCGGTCTATCAGATGTTGTGAACAAACTCGGATTGGGTGGCGGTTTCTCGACCCCAGATTCGTTGCTTTCCGTCCTTGCAGAACGAGTAAAAGACCGGAAGTCGCAGGTACGAGAGCATGCGACGAAGACGTTGGCGCGAATCTGGTCCGTTGCAGCTGGCGACATCGAGCAAGGGAACGAACAGGTGGTCTCTCTACTCAAGGACGGGCCGTCTAAAATCTTCGATGCTTACTATACCAATGACCCCGAGATCCATATCTTAATTGATCGTGTGCTCTTTGAGATTCTCCTTCCCCTCAATTATCCTCCGATCAAGCCCAAACTATCGCGGAGCGGTTCCAGTCAATCCCAGAAACAGAAAGAATCACAAAGTGCCGAGGCCGATAGCGACGCCGATGTCGACAAGATACGTGTTCGTCGCATTCTCACTCTGCTCGCGGGGCTAGACGACAAGGCCAAAAAGGTCTTTTACGCGATGCAAGGTCGGCAAATCTCTGTCAGAAACTTTGTGGACTTCTACCTAAAGGCGTGCGAGGAGTACAATGTAAGTGATGAAAGAAAGAATTCTCAGAATTGGTCGAGACGCTAATGGCGAATGTAGGGAGGAGTAGTGGAGGAGAATGAGGATCAAATCAAGACTAAACTATCTCGAGTTATCGACTCGCTCTCCAAAACCTTCCCAGACTCGTCACGAGCATCTGCTGATCTGTGGAAATTCGCCAAGCTTCACGACCGTCGTAACTACCAGCTTATTCGCTTCGCGATGAATGTTACCAGTGATTATCGCACTGTCGTCAAGGCCATCAGAGAGCTGGCGAGACGCATTCAAAGTTCCAACAATTCGTCACTGCTCGAGACGTTCACACCATTGCTGTACCGCAGCAGTTCTCTGATCTTTAACCGAAGTCATACGCCGGCGATTATGGAACTCTCTCGGACAGACGAGCATGGTCTCGCCAACCCGGCACATGAAATTCTACGGGAGATTTCGTCGAAGAACCCAGAAGTCTTGGAAGCTCAAGTTCAGGAAATGTGCAAAGACCTCGAGTCGCAAGCTCCAAAGGCCACAGCTACCACTGCCGGCGGGACCGAAGAGATTCTCAAGGCCTGCTCCGGGTTTGCACGAAAACTTGCCGATAAACTCCCCAAGGATCGCAAATTCCTACAAGCTCTTAGAAGTTACGCTCTTCATAGCCCGTCCCCTCGAGCCGCCAAACATGCCGTCTCAATCCTCTTGGCGGTCGCGGACAAAAGAGAAATGTACGCGAAGGATTTGGTCCAAGCATGTGTTTCGAAGTGGAAATACGGATCCGATCGTTTCCTGACTAAACTGGCAACATTGTCGCAGCTAAATCTCTTGGCTCCATCGGAAGCGGATGAAGAAAGTGACGCCATCATCTCGATCGCTGTCAACCAGATTCTTTTAACAAATCGTTCCCCTCAGCCAGACGGCGGGTACTCCTGGTCAGATACTGTGGACGATGAAACGGCTGCTAAGGAGTGGGCTCTCAAAATCATTGTCAATCGGCTTCGAGCCAAGAAAGGGTCGGACGGCGACGACGATTTCCGTGCCCACGCCGTGCCGGTATTCGAGACACTGAATAAACTGGTGGCGAACGAGGGTGAGTTGTCAAAGAAGAAGGACACCCCAGCAACACAGAAATCGCGACTTCGCCTCCTGGCCGCCAAATCACTTGTCAAGCTGTGCGCAACAATCAACCTATGCGACCAACTGCTTACGCCACTGGACTTCAATTCGATTGCCCTAGTGGCTCAGGACCCCACCTTAGCCGTGAGAAGCGGCTTCATTTCCCAGCTCAAGAAGAGACTTGTGCAAAGGTCACATCTGAGCTACCGCTGGTACATTGTTCCCTGCCTCCTTGCGTTTGAGCCGAATGTTAGCTTGAAGGACAGTACCCTTACCTGGCTACGGTCTCGTGCGGCGTTCTTCTCACAGCAGGTTCAAAGCAGTGGCCAAAAGGAGACTGTCATGGAGTCGATCTTTTCTCGTCTTCTCTCTCTCCTCGCATACCACCCGGATTACCCGTCCGCCGACCTGGATGAAGCGACACAGGTTCGCGACCTAACTGATTTTGCACGCTATATCCTTTTCTATCTCACGGCTGTTGCGAATGAGCACAACTTGTCGTTGATATTCCATGTCGCACAGCGGGTGAAGCAAACGCGGGATGGTATTACCAAATCAGACGAAATCAGCACCCGTCTCCACACGCTTTCTGACTTGGCACAAGCAACAATCCGTCGCTTTGCGGACATCTACTCCCAGCAGCGCAGATTCGGCGGGGGAGCTGGCGCTGCTAGCATCCTCCAGACATACCCTGGCAAGGTCGGAGTGCCAAGCTCGATCTTTGCTCGGATGAACAGCCACGAAGAAGCCCAAGAGGTCGCTGAAAAGAACTTCCTCCCTGAAGATGCCGAAGACCTTCTCGATCGTCTTGTTCGGTCTGTCATGAAAGCAAAGAACGGATCGTCGAGTAATGCGCAAGTCAAGAAGAGAAAACCGGAGGCGGCCGGTACGAACGGTAACAATGGCTCTGCCAAGAAAGCAAGAAAGGAGAATGAGAGGACATCACGGCCCCGCGGATCCTCTGCTGGTACGACCTCGAAGACACCCAAGAAAAAGAAGAAGGGCGAGGACGGGTGGTCCTCTGATGAGGAGGGTGCTCCTGCAGAAGTGACAACATCTGCTCGGAGACGCAGCAGCCGCGGAACATCGAAGAGGGTCAGTTACGTGGACAAAGACAGCGATGAGGACGACATGGAAGTGGATGAATGGGGACAGGAGGACAATGAGCAAGAGGATAACGAAGATGACGCAGAAAGTGAGAATGCCAGTGACGCCGCCGAAGAGAAAGTCGACGATGAATCAGATAACGAAGAGCAGTTGAGTGAAGCCGAAGAACTAGAGGATCCAGAGGAACTGTCAGAAACAGCCGTCGCAAAGACAGAAAAAGAAAAGCCCGAGGCGAAGAACAAGCGAAGTGACAAGACGGCTGCGTTGCCAACGAGAAGATCCTCTCGAAGGGGCTAAAAATTGTTCGAGAGTCAACATATGAGTGAAAGTCGGAGTGGATGGATTCGATATCCCTTCTTCGCGTCGAGATGTATATGACTCCCGTGATTTGCAACCTATGTTTTCTTTTCTCTCGTCGTTCCTTGATGGAACGACTGTGGCCAATGTGCACTTGATGCTTGACTAAGAATGAGCCGTCTTATTACTTTCTTCGTTGCATTTCCTTTCACACTGGAGTTGCATCGAAATGTGTATACCCATTTTCATTGCCAATTTATCTGCCTTTTATTTGATGCAGTTGCTAAAATATCGATGTGATGTATTTGAGGCGGAATATAAGATGTGATTATTCATTTATAGATGATATAGACACCGTTCTTACAGGCTGATCGTAAGTCTCCCACCCTCGGGACAGACAAAGGCTTCCACGGAACGCTGAGTCTCTATGGAACAGAAAGAAGATGGACATTTCCCCAGGAGGACCTCCAAGTAACGAATATGAATTTCTGAGTTTGAGACAGCAACGCAGAGACGCCGATGACCAGATATCTCTTCAGCTTCATTTGATCCCTTAGTCTACTGGCTCGGCGGGACTGAACGTGGAGCGTATTGTTGGGAGTGTGCAGCCTACAACTGCGGTAGCGTTTGAGTCCGAGAACTTCGCCCCAAGCCTCTGCAGTTTTCATGCAGGTCAGACGGTGCTTTTTCTTTGTCTGCGTTGGAATCTGCCGCTGTCAGCGCCATCTTTTAGGCCCCAGAGACCGCTGTTATCATCTTTTTGAGGCCCAGTAGCATTATCCTCATTCTGGGGTTCATCATTCTTGCTAATCGACATTCGTGGTTCCAGTACGTACCCCAGCCTTCGTGTCCCTCATTCCGTATTTGCAAGGCATCCTAGTCAAATGAACCATATCAACTGGCTAGCCTCGCACAGCTAAGGAGAGAAAGAGGTCTATAACTAGAAATAAGGGTCCAGACGCAGCCGCGCGTAGTAATGACTATGGGCTAGCATATCTCTGTGGATGTGGTGCCATTGGTGGATGCTGAGCTTGATTGTTTGTTTGTTTGCTGCTTGTATAGGCTATTGAACGCGGACTAAAGCACAGCCTAATTGATGCTACAGCACATAATATGACACCCGGCTAGTTGTATATATGAGATCTCCAGGCGCCAAATGGCAGCTAAGCATCTATATCTTAACAAAATCCCCAGCTTGCCTTCTTGCTACCACGTCTTATCTTCCGACTCATGCGACCGGGGGATGGGAAACGGTGCCTTTTGGGAAACAGGTCTAGCGCATAGTTCCTAGCAAGGGAGCGTCTCTGCGTCTTTCTGCTAAAATATCATGTGTTTCGTGCGGTCTTGTCCCGTGGATTGGGAGTTAGTCATGGCCTTCCTTGTGTTGATGACATACGAAGGTATGGGGCTATGGCTATGGTGGTGGATGCAAGTTAATAGACTCCTTAGTTGTTTCTCCTCCTAACCAATGTGCAAACTGCCTTGTTTCTGTGAGAGATTCTGTCTGAGTAAGAAAGTAGCAACACCGCAGCGCTGAGAGCGCATCATGAGTGTACCCAGTCATGGGGAAGAATGGTTTGGAGATGGGATTTTATGTGTACCATGACCATGAACGGGATATTTCGTCAGACTTATCTACATATTCACCTCCCAACTCTTAAGTCCACACACAAACCATCTTTTTCTCTCCCCTTCTCAGTACCTTCATCGCCTTCTTCGTTGCCATGCACCATGGCTTCTGCTGTTGACCTGGCGCAGGAACGCGTTTCTTTAAGAGACAAGTACATGCGAACAGCACGATCCATTGTCCAAGCTCTTGAGGCGCAGTCCAAGCCTGCCTATACGCACACCGAACTCACCCAACTTCGAGTTTCCCTTCAATCTTTCAATCCGGAGGACCAAACATTCATCGATTCTGAAGCCTGTCTCTTCGAGCCTCTAACCCGGGAGGAGCTTGAAGAGTACACAGTCGACAAAAAGGACCTTGCCGAGGCCGATCTCCACCACTTCTGCAAATTTAAGGAGACTTTTAATGAATTCGGACCTTACGAGGTATCGGAAGACTGCCGCATGTGGGAAAGAGCTTGTCAAATTCGGGAGTACATTGATATCGTCCAATCCTACTACGAGAAGAAGGGGGATAAGAAGGTGTGGGGTGAAGATACCTTCTCGATGGAATACCTCTCGCACTGGCATAACATCAAGTAAGGCTCGCTCGATGATTGCTTAACTATTTACTAATATGTGGACTGCTCCTTTAGGGCTGAGGATTCTTTCCATGATGGACCACAAGGAATGTTGTACGGTCTTCGAATGGGACATTCGAAGCCTAGCGATCTTCCGAGATGGAATGCTCAGTCCATCTGCCAATGGCGAGACGACTTTGAGGATCCGAAGACGACTCGCGCTCATATCAAGCTTGTGACTTGCACTGGGGCGGAGGCTAAAGAAGATGAACTGCTTCATGGCGAGCTGGGGCCTATCGCAAATGCAATCCAGTGCCGTCTCGACCAACAAGAGTTCGAGCAGACCTCGCTGTTCCCGGTACAGACTTAGTAATGCCTCTACTATGATAAAACGGCGTTGACATTATGTCATAAATAGGTGCTCGTTATTTCGCTCTTTGGGCCAAGGCATGGCCGTCTCCTGCAGGCTAAATTCGACAATTCCCGTACCTTGAACATCCGATCGTCGCCGATTTACAATTTTGTGGATAACGATGAGAAGATGGAGCTTTTCGTCCGTGACTATAATTGTAGACCCCGAGATGGCGAAGAGTTCGAACCTGTTTTTGTCGATGTGGATTCTCCAGCTCCTCATAGTCAGCGTCATGCCTCGTCCCCAAATCTAATAAGGAAAACCTCAATGGCAATCAGAAATGATGTCAGGTGCTAGAGAAGAATGAGTGCCCTAGGAATACTAACGTGATTCTATTGCATTACATTATGGGACCTATAGCACGCTCCTAATGAATACCTGATTACACGACATCTATGCCCTCTTCTTAAGTACCCAAGCAGAGGCCAGACAATCTCCAGGAGCAGATCAGATTTTTCTAAGACCATCGTCAAGTTACTCTCAATCTTTGCTTGTAATTTTTGTAGCAAATGGCTGATGGGAAGGTACAGCAGTGGGATGACGAATGGACATGGTAGTTCAAGAGCCATGCAGATCCTAATGGCCGAGGAACCGTGAGTCTTGTCATCCACTAATTGCCAGGTGCTGATAACGCAAAGACAGCTTGCTGTTCTTCACGGTCTAGTCCTGGACCGCATCCAGCTACTCAAGCAAGGTGCTGTTACTCTTGGATCCTGATGCTCTCCAGTTAGCTATGGGATCATCTGCGATCAGCTATACGTCCTGGAGAAGCACACAGGAGAGCTTGTCCGGCAAGACCCACACGATCAGCTCAGTTACGCAGTCGACCAGGTAGATTGGCTGGTTGTCCAGGTACACAGCAACCAGTCTAAAATGCAAACCACTATAACATAGGTTGACAGCAGTAGGACACACCCATCCCTCCAACCGGCTTTGCAAAAGAGTTCCAGCAGCTCGAACCCTGGCCAGGAAGAGGACACTTTCCAAGTCCATATTGTCATGTCCATGTATCCGCCCCACTGGCTCCCAAAAAGTTATGTCCCATAAGAGCGTCCAGCGGGTATGCACCCTGCATATTTCGACCGAGGGAGTGGAGAAGAAGCTCAAGAAGAGCCACTGGTACAACCGAAAGCCAGTTTTCTGGAAGGGCACATTTAATGTTAGAGTTGTGGTCGGGCCTGCAGACCTGGCTTTTCAATTGTGGTCCAAGGATCAGAGGATTAGGAGTAGCAGTCATCCGCCGATTGCGGTGAAATGGATTCCTGCTGGGGGTCTAGCCGTGGTTTGAGCCAGGATGGACAAGAAGGGGGGAAGTATGATCATGATCTTGGAGGTATACTATTTTTACACGAGTCACAAAGTCGTCAATTGAGTAAGAGCAGAATCTTTGCTCTCATTCATCTTCAGCGATGGACAAAATTTGATTCCCAAACGCAACGGCCAACTACTGTCATCTATTTCCCTCCGGATACAACAGGAACCTGGTCCTCCGATCTACCCTCTGCAACTCCCGGTCCATTCTTGCCCTTCAACCCATAGTCCGACTGCACCGTCGTGCGCATCCGGATCATCTTCCCCAACAATGTAAGCAGCAACGCCAGCCCCTCTAAGTCAGATAATCTGCCACAGTCTGAAGGATCTGAAAGTCCCTATTATGGTATATTATAAGTGCACTGTAAAATAGTGCAAAAATAGGTTCTAATAGGGTAACAAAGAAGGGTCCTCTATTTATAGGTAGTATAATTTTATCCTGACTCTAAAAAGACCAACTCACTAATATAGATAGGTAACTATTTTCTGCGAGCCCCCTGAGCTATAGATTATAATTAAAGCTAGTAGCTCCTGTTGTGCTGAATCAAGGCCTTTATCCATGGTTGCCTGCCCTGGGGTGATTTGGTAGATAGAGATGTAAGATACTGGTCTTGATTGAATAGTAGGCTGATAGCTAAACTCCCAAAGATCCTCCGGACATGGTTCTACTGCGTGGATGGAATGTATCTATCGATGTTTTATTGCTGCGTATATGATATTATGACAGACAACAGGACAGGAGGAGGCGGCCACGACTGAGATGACAAATGACAATGTATCAAGATAGACTTCTCAGGCGGACTAGACATATCTGGAGTTGGCTTAGCGACGCGACAAGCAACGCAACACGCCCGTCTTCCCCAAAAACCAAAGAGCACCTAGAAACCGAAAGATGGAGAGACCAGAAGTCGCCCATAAGATCACTTTGAAGTACCACGCCGTGCGGTCGGTCGATGTGGTCTGCCGGTATTCTCAGCCCAATCCTCTGGATGCAAATGTTGATCGGAGTAAACATACCGTCAAGCATAAATTTGTCACGCTAGCATTGTTGATCAGCAACGCCAACAGGCCATTAGACAAAGCCCACAGGAGCACGAGATTGGTTCGGAATGTTTTATACGAGTCATCCAGTTGCGCTTCCTTTTTCTCCGTTGGCTTCTGCCACGGTGCCAGGGCGCGTCGGACAGTAAGCTCGAATTCAGTGTCAATATCGGCCTGAGGCTTGTCCACCTCCTCAACAAAGGTTTTCTGGGCATCTGTTTTCTTGGTCTGCGCTGAGGGAAGGGAAGCCGCGTCGTCGGAACCTTTCGTACCCCACGAGACGTCATGCCAGTTGCAAAAGGCGTAGACATTGAGAATATTGATGGTTGACGGCATCCCGAGAAAATATGCCCAGGAAGATGTCAGAAGATGCCAAGGGTCACAGTAGAGAACGCTCGCTATGAAATAGGTCCCGTAGGTCGACGCCAGCGCGACCAACACGAGGCCTGTCGTCGAGGTGAAAAAGGATCCCAATAGCCCTTTGGCCCCATGATCAAGGTCGAGATCCATATTGCCGCCGCTAAATGCCTGAGCGACGAGGTAAAATGAAAGAACGAGGATGTATAACTGAACGAAGGAGAAATAGAGGAAAGATAGAATATACGCAAGTTGGGACCTAGATAGGACCTTTGTTGTTAGCAGACACCTCCATGGCTGACGCAATGGAATTACCCTTTAGGCCGATTCCCGAGCGCAAGGAAGAACTGCTGCATCAAGAAAGCCAAGTATAAAGCCTTGATGACATTATTGACGACCGGCGAAGCGTCGTTCCCAAAGGGCCACCCCTTATTCTTATTTGTCGCACTTGGAGTCCCCACGATGTCCATGATCACCGATGTAGTAAGCCAGTAGGATGCTGCCTTGATTAGCCCTCTTCGCCCGCCGATGGGAAAAGACACATACCGAGAGAGAACCATGTCATAGTCAGTTGGCAAATATTATATAGCAACTGCACGTGGAGGAAGACAAGTCGAAGGATATTGTGCCCACTTTTGTAGACACGGCTGAAGTGCATCACCGCATACAGGCTTGCGGCGAATGATCCATTCAGCCATCGGCGCCTTTGACTGAGAAATTCCGCCGGCGCTGCGCCCCTTACTATGGAACCTGAAAGATATTTTGGGAGAAGAGTCGGATGGCTTACCTTCCGGCACATCAGTCTCCCCTTTGGAGGCTTTCACGTAGCTCAGTGTCCATTGGGACCCTGTCTTTGCAACCAGCTCAAAGCACAAGATGCGGTCCTCAGCCAAGAACATATTTTTCTTAAAGATATTCATCCCGTCGATCCCTTTCTTGCCTAACCTTTTTGACAAAGTATGATCTCCATGGAAATACTGCTCCAGAGGTCGACCCATGATAGCACGGTAGCGGTAAGCGGAAAACGCCCCCGGCAAGACACTGACATACCCAAAGACGCTCTCCAAAGGCTTGTCCAAAATATTCGAGATTTTGTACTCAAAGTTCTGCGCGGCTACCAAGGGATTAGCCAGCTTTTCCCAGCGAGGACCGAGCAGGGCATGAATCTCGCCACACGATCCTCCCAGGTTTTTATTGTTGTAGAACGCTTCCCATAGCGCAAGAAGGGATTTACGGCCCGGTTTCGTGCCCGCATCAATCAGGATACATATCTCCGGGTGCAGAATCCTTCCAAATGCATTGAACAGCCAGCGGTGAGAGTTGATCTTCTTGCTGTTCTTTTGCTTCAGGCAAAAGATCATCTGCACCGGCGGCAAGTTGGCTGGATCATCGCCCAGCGGACGGACTAGCTCCTGGGAGGGAGTAACCGACAATTGGGTAGTATACTCGAACTAGGAAAGTAAGAAGAATTAGTCCTAACCACCGTCCATCGTTCGAGGGGATACACAAACTATATGTGCCACGGTCTCTTTGCCATCAACGTCATGCTTCATTATACCATCCTGATATATCCCGATTGTAGCCAGAACATCAAGAACATCCTTATCACAAGGACCGATACCATCGAAAATCAGGCATACCACAATCTTCTGCCATGCAGGGCCTCCTTTATCCCAGAACTGGGTTTTTTTCAGGTTCACAACATCTCGAATATTCTGCATGACCCCATGGAGAGTTCGAGCTGTCAGGACCTTGTCTTCATTGTAATAGGTGATTGCGATCAGAAGTTCGGTATGTCGATTATACATAGCGGTGCGCAAGTTATAGCCATTGCGTAGATTGAAGTCATCAGGGTCGCAAGTCGCAGCCGTGTCTACAGCATCGCGTCAGCCGCCAGTCAGTTGAGTGGCTCATTCTGTCAGCCTTACATCGGAGATGGGTGAACTCTTCGGCATTTGTGTCATTTGAATCGCGGTATTTTGCTTCCACAGAGTTACGAATCGCGCTGGGAACTGGATAGTCGACGCTGAGAACGGCGTCATGGACGAGATCAATCCTGCGAGTTGGGTAGCGGCGTAGGCCTGAGGCTGCAATGACAGTTTGACGTCTCTGCCAGGATGTCATACTGGCCGCTCCAGAGCCATGTTGCACTTGTGAGTCTTCGTATGGATTCAGCTGTGCGATTCCCGGGTGCCAGGGTGAGCTGGCAGAAGTGTGGCGGTCCTCTAGCTGCCCCGATAGCAGCGATTGCGAATCCTCTCCGTGCTCGTTAACAGTGTAAGGGTTGGACTAGGACTATGTCAGTTCATGTCTTTGGGAACTTGTATCGCTTGAAGGAGTCGCACAATGGGAGATGTCAGCTGCCGAAGTGGATAGGGGCTGCCATCTGCCTCAAAAGACAAAGGGCGTGCCGGGTGACCATGTACATCGTCCATGCCTCTTGATGGTGCAGAGTATGCTGGCTTGATGACAAAACACAACATATGCAGCAAAGAATGAGCACCGTCAAACGTTCGAAAGGGCTACGTGGAACATCCTGTTTCTTCGTCTTGAGGGGATAGCTGCTACACGCGCACATCCTCCCCGAAGACTGTTTAGTGCAGGGTACCTGTAGTCCTGTACCATAGAATGCACCATCTAGATGCGCCTTAGATGGCCCACTCTTATGCCGAACCAATCACGGACAGCCGATCGAGTGTAATTATAGCCGGGAATCTTGGTTATTCTTTATTGAATTATATGACCGCTTGCCCGATTAGGAACTGATTTGATTTCTCCGTGCCGCTTCTTGGCGATTATATTACAGCGACTAAGATATCTAGATTGCCAGAAATCAGACCTTCATTCATCCCGAATCCTACCGTTTACTAGCGATTACCATAGATTCGCTATTATCGGGGATCGGCTGACACTAGCATTGTATAGTATTGTGAATGTTACTCCCTCGCCTACGCTTCCATATTAGGCCTAGCTCGACTCAAGTCTCTTCTTCTGCTGTACATGTAGATAGAATCTTCATCTCTCTCTCTTAGCCATCTTGGAATATGAAGATCATCATTCTTTCCATTCTCTCTCACAGTTCCCGTATCTCAGACATTCAAGCAAGGACGGAACAGCGCAAGTCCGGATCTGCGTATCATGTTGCAATTCATCCGCCACTTTCTGAAACAGAGCATCGAAAATAAAGAACGAGCAGTTGGTTTTCAAAAGGACATGCTTATGCATCGCCGCACTATTTCGTGGTGACAGGAGGAGAGCCTTCGAGCGCGTCAGAGAGATAAGAGAACGTCGCAACCGTTTCCAAGGTACCTTAGCTTTAACTTTCACAGCGGCGAGCGTTAATAGCAGATGTCTGATATCGCTGGAACCCAGATGTCTGCTCGGCGTCAGATAGGCCAGGTTATCATTTGACTCTTAGGAACTCACCCAATAGTCCGGGAATCATTATCCGTAGGAGTGCATTGATCCAGCCACTTGGCGAGCCTGTTAATTATGTTGGCTATGTTGCCATATGTCAACAAATAATTCCGATTTTTCGAGTCAATCGTCACAGGCTGGCACACCGCCCTCTTTGACGGAGAGCTACGGGCAGCCTTGTCAATGAAGTTGACCAGAAGGCGTTTCCCAACGTTATCGGTCATCGAAGGCATTGTGAACATACTACATACAGAATGTAGCTTCGACTGGATCGAGTGTATATCCACAAGCTGCTATCAGTGGTAAACCGGGAGAGAAGAGAAAGAAAAGGGGGAGAGGGAATATCTGCTACATATTCGTGCTTAGTTCCCATTTATGTAGCCATCATCCCCTCGGAATTCAAAGTTTCCATCTTCTGCAAATTCTTGACAAGGCGAAGGAAAGAAATGGGGGGGAAAGAAATATGATATCTCTGGTTGCGGAAATCCTTCAGCGCAATACTGGGTTTCCGAAGGTTCCTTTCAGCAGCAACCAGCAGCTTAGACCGACATCAGTATGAGTTTCGAGCTTACCACAGTGCCGAGTATCTTAATGAGATCCGCCTCTGCTACCGAGGGTTGCTGGGGTCTCGGTGTGACGTACACGGCAAGCTACCCATTCTCTGTAACGAGATTTGGGTAGGATAACCCGATAACCATACTGTTTTCTATCGTCTTGAAGACTTGAGATTTCTTTAGGCACGGATAGTCGTCGGTTTTCTTACAGAGGGCCCAGACACTTCCTATACTGTAGTATTTGCTGTAATACAGAGAACAAAATATAAGCATTTTACTTATCAGCTTTCAGCTAGGCTGCGTATGCATTAGACAGTTCTCCGGACAGGTTAACTATTGCAGCAAACATTACCAGTCCAGGCCTTCCGTCACATCGAGTAGAAGCCTTGCCATCTCTTCATTGCGAATTGCGGTGTAGATTCGACTGACATAAGTTCCAATTGTTCGCTTTACCTCCTCTCCGTCGTCCTTATTGAACCCAGGGTGGTCTTTGACGCCTAGGTGAAATGGCACTTGTAGCTGTTCCCGTACAAAAAGGTAGACTTGCTCTGTCCTCTGGCCCAGATATTGAGGGGTAGCCCTATCCTTAGTGAACGCCTCGCGTGTCTTTCGGTGGGAGTCTACCAGGATAGTAGGGAGCAAGTCCTTCCAGCGTCGAATGAGTCCCCAGCATTCCTGGTGAGAGTACCCCGTCTCATCCAAGCTAACGCTGCTAACCATCTGCCCCAAGCAGTCACGGGAAACTTGGGCACATTTTTCCTCTAGGTCTAGACGGTTCCTGTCTAACCATGAGGCCCTAATAGCAGACCATATCGGGTCAAAATGCGAATGACTCGATGGATCCTTGGGTGTTCCGATATGGTTGAAGAGGCCATAAAAGGACGCTTGGCATGCTGCCTTGGCTGTTTTGAAGAACTCCATTTGCATTGCGCGCAAGTCTAACGCCTGGCAGACTATATAGAGATGTGCTGCACACATCATAGTTAGGACTTCCACACATGTTGCTGTGTACCGTGCGGAGAGCAGGGCAAGTGAGTTGACTGATTGGTTCCGCATCTCTTGCTGTGGGTGCGAAGCGGACATCTTTTTGATGATCCGGCTGAAGCATAATGGTCAGATGTTTATGTCAACTCGGATAGTCGTTGGCCTCTAGTCCAACAAGACGTGGTAGGTATATGCCATTTGGCGAAAATAGAAATGATGGCTCCCAACAAATTACCACTTTCTTGCAGTATCCAATACCGAAGACCATATCCTGGCACAATCTTGCTGCAAGATGTAGAAACAAACAGCCCCAGGCAGCACAAAGATCAGACCAAGAGAGTGATCCCACCTTTTATTCGCCAAAGGGGTGCCAAACATGACTGCAGCGATGGCAACCTCATTCAGCGGCGGGAGCTTATTCGATTGGCATGCAGACATCCATGAGATTTCTTGTTTTCTTTGGTGCCCGACTGCTGGGTTGGAGAATTGGTGTTTGTACCTTCTCTCACTGCAGGTTGCCTTTATATGCTATTAACTGAGGACTGGGCCTGCAATATTTATCGCAAACTCTATGCGACATGTGTCCTCATCGATGACCGCCAGCTCGGTATTATGTACATTAACAAAAGAGGGTGTTCAGTATTGTTTGGTTTAGAGACCATTCTGACCTGCATCCATACCACCACAGTCGCGCTCGGCCTTGGCGCTCGGCATTCGCGCTCGGCCTCGCTCTTTGGTTCGTAAGCCATATTAGTAAGGTGCCGACGCCCACCAAAGTGGATCGGTTAAGCATTACAAATAAAGTTATATGGACAGCCAATGTGGATCTCCGAGGACAGAGTTCCCCAAAGCGGTATGCCAAGAGCAGGAACCCATTGCCATACCTTTGAGAACCGGAACAATTTAAGCATGGGTTAACTTGAGACTAGCGAACGCACAACGCTTCGAATATATTGTGCAAAGTTAAACTACAAGCAGCACGGTCAACCTTACAAATCAAGTCTAGAAGTGCGGACGGTCAAGTGGGAAAGGGCTCGGCCGGTTTAGGTAGACTGCCAGTCATTATAAAACCCCAGAGAGCCCATTCCAAGGCTCATACTTTTCCCCATCTTGTCCACGCCAAAAGTTTCCCTCATACGTCTCGGCCTATTATGCTCCAATCCATTCTTGTTACCGGCGCGACTGGGAAGCAGGGTGGTGCCGTCATCAAGGCCCTTACTGCTCTCCAGGACGCAAGATTCTCTATATTTGCCTTAACTCGTGATGTCGACTCAGCTAGATCAAAAGGCCTCCTTAAGCACTATCCTTCAATCAAACTAATATCTGGAGATCTCAATGATCCAGACGCCATCTTTGGAAGAATCGGCTTGCCGGTATGGGGTGTTTTCAGCGTTCAGACTCCATACGGTAAGGATGCCAGTCTAGATCTCGAGGTGGCACAAGGTAAAAGCCTTGTGGATGCGGCATTGAGAAACCATGTGAAGTTCTTTGTCTACTCATCTGTCGATCGAGGGGGTCCACGGAGCGACGACGGGGCCTGTCCTGTTCCCCACTTCGAAACGAAACGGCAGATCGAGGACCATCTGCGTTTGAAGACGGTTAACGCAAACATGCAATATACTATTCTGCGACCCACCTTTTTTATGGATAATATCACCAACGATCTGCAAGGTGGACTTGTCTCCGCTGCCTGGAAGGCCAATGTCGACCCAAAAAGAGTTCAGCTCATTGCAACCTCTGATATAGGCTTGGTTGCAGCGCAAGCCTTTGCGAAACCTTACGAATATGCCGGTCGCGCTATCAGTCTTGCGGGGGACGAATTGACGCATGAAGAGGCTGCCTTGGTGTGGCAAGAAGAAACGGGATCACCAATGCCAATTGGATCTCGTATCCTAGCATGGGCGCTTCTCCGAGCCGTCAAAGACCTGAGGTTTATGTTTAAATGGTTCCGCGAGGAGGGATATGGAGCTAATATTCCCGAGTTGAAGAGCCAATATCCTGAACTCCAGGACCTGAGGACTTGGGTAAGGTCAAATAAGAGACAATAGTTCTCATTTAGCGGTGTTTTAAGTTTGTTTCCTATTTGAATCAAGTTACCTGTTCATAACGAGGGGCTTTTACAATTTATTTTGGGGGTAAATGCAAAATTCCACGTTTGCGCAAAAGAGTAAAAGCTGCATTATGTTAGCGCGGAGGACCACGGTTTCCCTTCAACGTCAACACTTTCAGAAGTGGTGCTGACCAGTCCTCTTGGGTCAGGCCGACAGTCCACGGAGGAAGTGGTTAGCCGGAACAGTACTCTGTACACGAACACGACAGACCACGATGTGTGGAGACATAGACTCCTTGTCGGCGCACGGGATGATTTTCTGGGGCATCATGGGCATCATTGGCTAGGGGTAGGAGTCATACACGAATCAAGCACTAACGTATTTCCCTGGCGAGCGGTCCACCCCCTCATCGAATTTCAACGCGTTTGAATCCTGAAGCTATCCAAAAATCAACTAAAATGCTATCAAAACCGCGTCGCATCTCTCAAAACTTGGTGGAGCAAGAGGGAAGGCTTTAATTAGCAATATCTGCTTTGAAAAAAAATGAAATTTCAAGCATTCGCCGCGCTGCAGAGATATTCAATGTTCCTAAATCTATCCTCTATGGCTGACTGAATGGACGCCAATATTGAATTGAAAAACACACTAATGGCTACCGGCTATCTCCTACACAGGAAGAATTATTAGTGGAATAGATACTATCTAGGGATCTGCGCGGACTGCCCCCTAGGCCATCTTATGTGCAGGAAATAGCTAATATCCTTCTCCAAGCAGACAATCCCTCTGGATTCAAATCACAGGGCACTATACGGAGTAGAAGATGCAGCATTAAGCATTAGTTATAAAAGAATAGAAACTAAGATGCACAACATTAAAAGCCACTAGTGCTTTACGGCCTGCATCTCCACCTTCAGTTAAAATTATGTTCTGAAAACTGATAGTCTGGTCCATGATGTAGGCTGATATTCAGGTATATTTAGCCATATTTATAATAATTATAGCTTCATTAGAAGCCTTCGTAGTTAGTAATAATGCATAATAGGACTGCACTGCTAAGCTACATGCATACATCACACTAATATAGTGCTGTTAAAAGAGGACATGTCAGCAGTCACTGGGTGTATGTATTAAGGTTCAGGCAGTTCGGCTGAGCTTTAGGTAAACAGGCTAAAGAGGGTGAAGAGAAAGCAGCAAGGGCGCTAAACCTAATAAATCAAAAAATAAAGGTGAACAAAAAACATACAACAGCCAGGATTCGCTGGTGGTCACCCACCCAACTACTAACCGGCCGGCGTGTGGCTTAAGTACGGCTGAGCGGACGGGAAGCCCTGTTTTCCACACCCTGTGGTCGTATGTGCTTATCCCAAAGCTTGATTAATTTGGAAGGAAAAGCAAGTGGCAGCTGACGCCCTCTACAGAGGCTCTACTACAAGTGACAAGCCAATCTTCAAGTATCCTAGATATGAGCTACTCCCCTGGTATTTCTACTCCTTTACAGCGACACCCTTTGGGGTAGCCATACCCACAGCTACATCTGTAGGCTATAGCCTGCATCTTTATCATTAAAGCATTCATATTTCGGCTTTTATAGTCTTAAAGATAGGCCTTAAAGTCACCAACAGGCTATTACAAACCTAGAATTATTAACACTCTAGGAAAATAATATCCCAAATTAGTCGCAATGCCTTACTCTAAGCCAAAGCCTTAAGCCTAAGCGCTAAGCCTAAAACACAGATCACATGCCTAGGAGGATTCACTTTTGGAGTGATCCCATGACTTTTACATATCCAACTGGGCAAAGGAGGTTGTCGCTGTATCCAAGAGTGTCCCGCTATATTCCCAGAGGGTATCACTACCCATCCTAGACCATTGCGAACACCAACCACTAAAGGTTTCATTTTGAATAGTATTAAATTTGAATTATATACCTACCCTAACCACCCCTAATATCTATAAATTCTAGATTATTTTCATATTATGCATATGCAGAGTGTAAGTAAAGGGAAGAAAATGTAAATAGTTAAGGTTGAATAAGTACGAATATATATATATATTCACTCTACTGTAGTAAGCATACTATATAGTATATAAAAATAAAGTACTTTATAAAAAAATAAAAATTAAATTAGAATTTACTATTCTTCCTTAATATCACATATATGATGAGCATAAATTTATAAATATTAGGGGATGGTTAGGGTATGTATATATCTCAAATTTAATGTTATTCAAAATCAAACCTTTAGTGGTTGGTGTTTGCGGTCGGAGAAGGTTGAAAATTAGTATGGTGGTGGTGGTGGTAGTAGAGAGGTAATCTATGGTAGGACATGACTAACACACGCCAAGGTCCAACGTGTCTCGAAGTTCTCGAAGTTTAGTCAGGTTTTCGCGAACCACGCTGACCTTTTTCCGACGCACGCTGAGCTGTGTCCCTGATTGAGGGTGGTTTGTAGATTGGACAGGGTCGATAAGGTAACCCACGGTTGTCTGACCCACAAGGGGCTTCCAATGTATTCCCCATACAAAACTAAACTTTATCTTGTCGCAGATCTCCGTCCTTCCATTGTGGTATATCATATTATAGAGGGAATGGTCACATATGGATATACTAGGGAGACATTAGTTACTCATTTATTTGCAAAAGTCCATGGTAGCGATTGTGCCAGGATTAAGGTTTGGCTTGATCAGGCCAAGGCGACCTGATCCGTGGCCTGTGTGCGGTAGAGAGTCGGAATTCCAACACTACTTGTAGCATGTACAGTGAACAGTGTTCCTTCGGAACCTCCTCCATGGGATCATGCTTGTCAGGTGAGTTTTTGTAAGTCAGGAACAGACGATACAAAAGAGAAGACTCAATCGCATGTTATCAGATGTTACACACTAGTGTTGCAGTTTATTGCTGCTTGTTATTAGAAACATTGGTGAACCTGTCAGTAGGTAGGCAGTCGGTATTCGCCAACCAAAATCACTCAATGATCTTTTTGGCCCGGGCGACGATGGATATTTAGTGAACAGTTATTGAATACTGTAAAGGCTTTTGTCTTTACATGATGCTTTCACAATGGATCCAAGTAACACAGAGACAGTTTGATCAAGAACATCCAGCCAGTTGCTCTTGGAGCTAACCCGGAATAAAATAAATTACCATCATCCACGCTCGCCAGGCAACACCTTACTCAAGCCTTGCCCATCAGCCAGGGACACGGGCGGTCAAGAAGTACGTAGGTAAGAGGGAGCTTCGCATGGTTATTGTAAAAGACAGGGTTCCTTCTAGGTTGAGGTCCCGGTGTAGTATACCCGTCGCGGTCCCACAAGACCGCACGCTGGGAGGGGGCCCCGTGTCGAGGCGATCAAATTAGTCTGGATGAAATTAGTCTGGATGTACGGAGTAGCGGCGGATACTCGTCGAAACGAGCTCTCTCATCTGGCCCTGGTTCCTGACGATTTCGATCAATCAATCCAACGAGCCTAACTCAAATCGGTCACCACTGTGCCTTCTGCTAGGATTGTCCAACTGCCATTCCTCTTGCGTTTCCTGGACTCTTGTCTTGTCGGCCTCACATTCATTATCCGCTACCTACCTTCCTTCTCTTTAATTATTCTTTCTCTTCCCCTTTTCTTCCTCCTTCTGGCACTGGCAGTGACAAATTTCAAATACCTCCGACAGTTTCGGAGTCGACACGCTCCACGCACCTGCAGCTTCGAGAACATTTCCCGTTTGGTCGCAGTCAACATTATTCCCCTCCCCCTTATCCATACCCTCGTGTAGCCGGTTGTCCTAGCCCCGATTTGATTCCTTATTTTTCGCCTGGCAGGGAGAGAGGCGTTGCTGCCCCGTGGGATCGGCGTGGCCTCCCGGTGTCACAGCACCTCAAACTCCCACTCCCATCCCACTGCCTCCCCTTACCGGAAGCTCATCATCACTAAATAACGGTTGATCGCGGGAGATGCGGTCTTCTGGCCGCGGGCGTCACGGTGAGGAGTCCAAGGTGTTGATAAAGCTGGCTATGTGCTAAATGAGTTGATAGCTCCGTCGTTCGTCGCCAGGTTACGGGCTCGCCTTCGTTTTCGCCGCGACGTCCCTGTGCGTACTGACGACCGAGTGTCCCATCCATCAGCCTCGGCATCCCGTCATACATTGACCTCGACATCGACATTGACATTGACATTGACGTCAACTTCCCCCGACCCTCACCACAGCCGCGACCAGAGGAGCAGCCATCATTCCAATTGCGGCCCACAGCCCGCTTCGCCCATCACCCTACCTCCACAAAGCCTGGACAGAATTTTCCAGTTCCCCGCATTCTTCCTCAAGCGTAACTCAGAGAAGGCGGGAGGGCTCATTTTTCTCGACACAGGGGCTAGAGTCAATTTAATCTCTAGCGATATGGTGGGGCGATTGGGTCTCTGCCGTCAACGCATCAGCCCCCGCAAATTAGTCCCGTTTTACTCTGGATTGAAAGAGAAGACAGAGCTCACGGTTGAGTATCAAGTTCAGGTGGATTGGCACTTTGAAAATGGGGAGAGAACTTATACCACTGAATTTTTGGTTATCGATATGCCCTGCTACGATATACTGCTTGGATGCGATGAGATCAGAAAAAATGAGTTGTTGACGCTGGGTAAGGGCTTCGGTGTACAACGGGGTGTTCCTCGCTCTAACTGGGTGAAGGGTCGGAATCATCTAAAAAGGCTGATAGATCGGGGTCCACGACCGTCTACCTAAGACGGTGTGTCACATCACTGGCTCCCTCTCTGCCAAACCACCGCATGCTGTGTCATTTGATTTTTCTAATTCTTCGGGTGGGCGCATCTTGTGACACATTTCATAACCTCCTCCCTCATTCCCCCCCCCCTTTTGGCGTCCCAGTCTTCTCCTTCTCTGCATGGATGGGTCCGGATTGACGCATTTACATTGTCTCGTTTATTTCTGCTCATTGTGATGGTGGAGCTATTTGACAGATCAGTTTCATATGCATAACATGCCGCCGGTTGCATTCGTTTCCCAGCATGCGTGACCTAAGGTTTTAATGACTCTTAACCTTTGTCTTTTAGTTGTTACAAAAATGATAAAGTCTTGCTATCTGTTGCACTAGACATATGAGGCTATGCTCCAGCACGTCGTGCCCAAGCAGTGTGGCCTACTGCGTCGTCGATGCATTGTACGTCAGCGAGTCAGGCGACATAGCCTGAAGCCGTTGCGAGATAGAACAGACCGCCTCTTGAGATGCGTGGTAGTTTCATGATTCACTGGACGACACCTATAGATCCCGGCAAAACGGGCTGGATTTGATTTGACAGAGCCAGAAGCCAGCCTCGTTGCTTCCAACTGCCAACTCATGCAGCGATCGCATTCTGTACACGACAGACCCCATGGCTTGTCCATGACTTTTGCATCGCTCCGAGTGGAGGAAGCAGATTCAGCACCGCTCTAATGGGTCACCTATCGCTTCGATTGAGCCTCCCAGAAGGGCTCCGGGTACATATGCGCAGGGAGACCTGCTCGGACAGTCTCTGGGAAGCAAATTGCCCGCAACCATTTCAGCATAGGATTCATATAAGGTAAGTGAAACAAGCTCTATTTCAACTTCGTCTTACATAAAAAGAGGCTCACAAAGAGCTACGAACTCAGATGGAGGAGATCGGGTGCTTCCTACCTGTTCAAGGAAGGACTTTAACCCTGCATGGAATGATTGATAGTACACTTGACGTGAATATTGTCACCCCACAAGGCAGCAGAAGACTTTCTGCCTTTAGTCCGCCGACACACACCGTCCAGCCTCTCGGCATTGCTGGCAAACATGGTGGACCTCCATATACTGCCAGAAGTCGGATTGAACTTTGTGTTTACTCCCAAAGACTTGGCGGGAAAAGTCATTCTGAAATGTTCTATCTCGTCGACACGCCACCCCCTGGATACCAAGAGCACTGTGATGTGATCTTTGGACGAGGCTCGTTCATACATAAAATTCTCAACCTGGAAGGCAGCCAGGTCGCTCCAATCGGGCTGCCACCGCTCACCCCAGGTTGGTGTTTTGTCCCCCAGAAGACATGGCTCCGTTGATTACTGACTTTGTCCTACCTGCCGATCCAATAGCGGAGGAACAGGCACTGGCAGCAGCGGCAGCAGCTGAACGACAAAAATTAGAAGAAGAAAGACGGCAGATAGCGGAGCAGCAGCAACGGGAACGGGCCGCAGGGCGACCCCGTTAGCAGGGATATTCCTTCATATGGTGTCTGGTACGAGAATTTGAGGGAGGGCCAACTATGTAGCACTCCCCCCTCAGCCCCACGCATCAAATCAAATCATGCCAAAATTTTCTGTCAAGCCACCCAACCAATAAGTAATTCATGTCCTTATACGCATTATCAATATCCTTGGTTGATACAAACCGGGGAATCCAATCTCTTGATGGGTCTCGATATTGGATCATATTAGTGTTTTAATAATGCGCCGGGGTGGGCCGCGCGCAAACATAGGTCAAAGAGGCTGATCAAGGGGACAATCACGGGGCTGGGTGCAAGTAGCTGTTTTGGCCATTCACATATAGATACTCCGTACGTGGCTGCCTTCCTTGGCCAAAAGTCCACACCAACCAGCACAGCCTTGCACAACTTTGCCCTCCATTTAACTGTCGGGGGATGGTCACTTCGTGTTAAGCATTTGAACTTCCATATCTAATATACACAGCACCTGAATCTTCAAATGCCGCGGCATGGAAGGAGTGGGTGCTCTCTTCCACAGCCATTGTGGTCGCATAAGGGGCTGAATGATCGGATTCTAATATACTATATAGGCTTCGTTCTTTTTCCACGCAGTAAGGAGCAATCTCGCAACTCCGAAAACGATATAATCGAAGACCATCCACCCCGGAGAAAATCTGTATCTCGCCCTTCACATCCAGTCTGTATCCCATCTACTTCGCTGATATTATTCTTTTCGGCCGTATTTTAGGTGTTGCCAGTCCACCATGATCTCAGGCATATTGTATTCGGCTGCTGTCTTCGTCGCGAGAAGTCCCATGTTAAGCCTACTAAGGCAGTTCCCAAACCGACAATCCAGCCTCAACTCCATTCCTCTGCATTACCACATACTAACACGACCTTTGCGCCCACATGTAACGACGAAGGGACCACCTCGCTCGATTTAAATTATACGCATGCATCTCTCCCTCAACTCGACCCCACATGCTCCGACTTCATCTATGATGTTTTGCTCTTTACGAAGGAAGGAAAGAAAATACGTCGATTACTGGTACTAGACTTTCGGACTGATGTCAACATCATGTCTGAGGGCGTGTACCAAAGATTACATACGAAGGCCTCCTCCTGCGACCCATCGATCGTCCTTCAGGTGGCCGGAATGGGGGAGGTCACTCCATTAGGCAGCGTGGATGTGGACTGGAGTCTATGGGCAGATAGCACGGTTTATAGTACAAGATTTTATGTGGTGGAGGGATGTCAGTTCGATCTGCTCTTGGGACGACCGTCCGTGATCGACTATCAGCTTTCTCGGAAAGATGCAGCAGTGGGCTCGAGGATTCGGTCGTCATATCAGGGTTCATGAGCGAGATATAGGTCCTGGAGGTATGCAATTTAGGGCTTAGGAACTGGGCCTGTCTATCTATCTATCTATTTTAGTCTAGCAGTGGGTCAATGTTGAGGATAATTGCTGATTCCATCTTATTTTGCTTATGCTTCTTCCAATCCAAGCTTAAAAGCACGTTCAACGGGCTGAAGCCTCTGACACAGATCGTACCCGGAGGGATACGGATGTGATATTCCTACTACTTTACCTGCGTCATCTTAAGGTGTTATCCGACCACAGAGTGACAGTTTCTGCGTAAGCAGCGTCTGAGCGCGGGGCATTTTCTCTACCACACCAGATGACCCTTCCACAGCCTTGCCAACACACTGACTGCATTTACATGGAGCATGCCAGCTCAGCATAACCCCCTCCAAGAAATTTCAGGTTGGTGATTCCGCCTATCTGAATCCTCTGTCGGGATCGGATAGGCCCAAGTACTCGATTTGATGCCGGTATACCTTCATGGTAAGGCACATGAAGGCAGAGTCGGGTTAGGAAACTTATGGTGCATTAACCCTTCTGATGCCCGATGAACTTCGCAGAGGTCGACCTCAAAAAGCCCCCGTAACACATTGCCCCAGTGGAAAAGCAGCATATGCGCAGATAGCCTATGCACAGATGCCCAACCCTTCGGCTCAACTATATCGAAGTTACCAGGGTACATAGCAAGGCTGGGGATCAAGGGCATCTAGAAGTTCAAGGCTAATCCGCAGCTGCTTATCTGCCTTACGGCTTTATACGCTCTATATGAGCGAAAGGGTGAACAAGTCTATAAAACCTCCATCACGAACTAGTTGTAGGAGCTCAAAGGAGGAGTAGCTATGGTTGTAGAAGGCTATGACAAGCTGGCAGCCTTTCTGGGCTCGCACCCTGAGTTCCAGTACTTCCGCCGATTTTCCACCCTCAATACCAAAAACCTTCTCTATTTACAGGCCGAACTGGCAAATCTGGAACAGGAGCTGAACAATATTATCCAGGAAGACAAGGAGCTCGCCGCTCAGGAAGAAAGGAAACGAAAATACCCCTTCTCCGTCTGGCATCTAAAAAGTTCAGCCAATGACCCAAGCGTGGACTCGTACCAGTGGGATAAGGTCAAAGAAGTACGAGAGCTGCTATACCAATACAGTAAGTCCATCATATTCCCTATCTAAAGAGAAGCATTGACTGAATGCTCTTGTTCAAATCAACAGATGCTGCCCTGCTCCAACAATCACAGATCATGGACTTTGGGGCTCCGGCAAAAGTAGAGGCTGCTGGGCTGAGGGAGTGGCTATGTCGCCCCGGATGTGGAGGCGGAATTTTCCAAATGCTCACCGAGAAGGACGTGTGGAATGAAGCTAACGAAGGCGATATGATTGCAATTTGTCGTCAGCAGGATGAAGTCGACAGCTTTACCAAATGGGTCTATACTGACTTCCTGAACTGGTTCCATAATAACTGGGGACATCGAGCAGAGGTATGTCTGTACCTGAAAAACCTAAACTTTTCAGTAACGGAGCTATTAAATCTCTATCGTAGGACAAATATGACGTCGAGATGGGGGCGCGAATATACGATTATCACGCTGTCCAATCTTATACATACGCTGCCAGTATTCTCATCTCCGGGGTATTGCCAGCGTCCTCAATCGTCGTACTTTACTTCCTGAAGGATGCGACTGCAAAGCTGATGGTAGTTTTTGTGTATATCCTGATGTTTTCTTGTGTACTGGGTTTTCTGGTCAAGGCCAGGAGGGCGGAAATCTTCGCCGCAGTCGCTGCGTGAGTGCGCTTCCTTCCTCTATAAAATAGGAGCTAACAGTTGGCACCTTACCCGTAGCTTTGCTGCTGTGCAAGTCGCTCTCGTTGCTAATTCTGGAGGGTGTGCATCTGGTCAGTAAGGCCATCGGCTGGACGACCGACCTGATTAATTCATGCCTTTAATACGCCTACTTATATATTACTGTGATAGCCCGATCCTTGAGCCTGAAATAGTAGGAGAACAAATAGGAACTACCCTGATTCTGTCACCGAGGCGAAGTATTCTGCCCCTCTGATGTATGGCCTGGAATGTCATGGGAGAGTGTCCCTAGTTTGTTTCTAACTGCCGGCAAATCAATAGTCTTTTGGCATTAAACCAAATGTCTGGCGTAAAGCTTGCTACGAACCTAAATGCCGAAATGGAAAGCGTAAATCACAATGGAAGTCGGGGTTTCCAGGACAAGCTGTGGTCTGTTCGCCAAAATAGAGTTCAGCACGGCCCTATTTCAAGGAACCTTCTAAGTTCTTATGTATGTACTCCAAAATCCCACAAGATCCACATACTGATGTGAAGTGCCGGTCCGTCCTTTCCACGTGCACTGCCAGAGCCAACCGGTTGGTACGCCATTGTATACCTGTAGGTACTAGGTAGACTTAAAAAAATGTTCCTGGGAATTATTGGGGATTTCCAGGAAATAAGATCACGCACTGAAGGCGAGCATTTCTATTCGCAGGACTGCACTACCTCTCCCAATGTATAAATAAGTAGAGTCGTAACGGTCGACTTTCTTCGGTAGTCCTTTCTTTTGTCAGGGGATAGACTCGATACGAAACGTGCAATTGCTGACTCAAAATGCGAAGATCATTTGTCGGCCTCATTGGCAGTCTTGTGCTTTGTGCACCTTCTGGTGTGTATCAAATTCATCTCTACAATTCAGTTCCTCCTTTTGTACAAAGCTGATTTATGAAAAAGTTTCTGCTGGTTTCAACAAGCCCTTCCGTTTCTGCCAACTCGGCGATCTCCAGATTGGTTTGGGCCTGTATGGGTTTGGCTACCCAACAAGTCAACACAGAGGATTTCGACTTTTGCATTACCGTGGGTGATTTGACCCATGACAGGTCAGATTTCTACCCCTTCCAGAGGCATAACAATGAGGTGGCCCTCCCAGAATCTAGGCTAAAGTAACTTGCAGACACAACTACCAGGTCCAGGCTTTCCAGAATACACTCCCCCAATTCAAGAAGCCCGTCCATCTTCTCCCCGGGAATCACGATATCAGCAATGTTGCGACCCTCGAGCAATTCACCCGGGACTACAATGTCAGCGACCACAGCTCCTTCAGCCACCAGGGATATCGCTTCGTGCTCCTAAACTCAGTCACCTTGATCAGCAATCTCACTGAGTTTGAGAGCTACACCGCTGCAGAGTGGGCTTGGTTTGAGAATCAGCTCGAAGCCGCCCATCATGCAAAGGAAGAGATCATTGTCGCGCATCATCATCTCCCGTTTGAATTCACTGAGGACGAGGCTGACGCATACTGGACCTTTCCCAACCGCGTGCGTGGCAGGTACCTCAGTCTGATCAAGCAGTACAATGTGCATCATATACTTGTTGGTCATCGTCATGAGACCAAAAACATTTATGCTTCCGACAAGTCGTTCACCATCTACGTTGTCGCGGGTACGGCCAGGTTCTTCGATGACAACGGGTTTGGAATCAACTATTTCGACGTCAGTGGAGAGAATTCGAGCAAGGATGTGACGCAGGAGTATGTCCATCTCAAGGGCGTTACTCATATGAAAAGGTCGGAGGGTTTGCCCAATGGATGCCCCGATATCTTCGCACATTGATTGAGAAGGATGGCGAGTATTGCAGACACCGGTAAGGAAACGTTGCACGTTTTCGCACCAACTGTTGTTGGCTATGGGTGAGACTTAGCAGGTTTGATGGGCACGATTGCTTGTAATGAACCCGGTCAAATTCCTTTACCTTTTCCAGGTATTGTCTCAGCTATACCAAAACGTGTTAGCAGAAAATAGGTCCAAGTATGACTTGAGCTATCCATTTCGATTTTCGCATGGGGCTGAAGGCTGGAAAAGGACGGTCATGCCGGCAGATCCTTCGCATAGAAAAATGATACATTTCATCTAGCGAATGCAAAATTAGTGTGAGTTCTTGGGGCAATTTTGAATTAAATTTTATACAGCCCAACTTTCTAGGGGTAATATAGTTAAATATCCACTAATTCATGATAAAATCATCTTATTTAAGAGCCTAGAGTTAATACTATTTAAATACCATCTATTTGTTATATATATATATATATATTTGTAATATGCCTCCTAAGTGTGATTCTATAGCTCCCTAGCCTACTAAGCTAGCTATTACTATAGTTGTCGCCGTACTCTCCAGACTTCAGCCCATATCAAGGAGTCATTTTCCGAGCTACAGGGAGTTCAGTCACCACAGAACCACTTACTCACTGATCACCCACGCTTACCCATGCTCTTGGATAGCATCACTCAGCTCGCCTTCACTCACCCTTACTTACCCTGTGGTTTAGTGTCTCTCACCTGTAAAGCAGCAGGCCTTTAAGGGCGCATATGACTTCTAGCTCCGTTGATAATGCTGGCTTAAGTACAGCTGAGCAGACAGGAAGCCCTGTTTTCCACACTCTATGGTCATTCGTGCTAGAGGTAAGTTATGACTGGTTCATATTATTGAGGGGGAGTCAAGGCAAAAGATCGCCGATCAAGCCATGGACGAATAATACTTGGTCTCCCAGAGACGTGAAAGAGAATCGATCTCCATCTCCATCTGCTAGGTGTATGGCTTGCTGTATAATATTTGTCCTATTTACCGGGAAAAAAAGAAAACTGAAAGATCTCCTCCATGCGAAAGGAAACAATGGGATGGGCGAGGGGAGAAAAAAAAAAAAAAAAAGAAGGATCACTGCATCTACACGGGATTGAACCATGGACCTTTCCATTACGAGTGGAACGCTCTACCACTGAGCCATAGATGCCAGGACGGGAATAAAGTTTCGCTTAAGCGGCCTATAGACAGAAACAAACAATTCCTATGGTTTCGATCTCCGCCGTTGGTGTACGGGAATATTCATAGCATTAACGCTTATATCCAGACTCATAATCTATGCTATTACGTGTCGGGTTACTGGGTATACGCAGTGATCAGGTCTGCGGGTACAAGAGAGCAGCGTTCCTATGTGTAGTTATTGGGCCCATAACTCCCTAGTCCCCACGATATATATATACACCGGTGAAGTGTGCCTGGACATCATGTGTTGTTGCTAAGACCATCCATTAGAGCTATAAGGCCACTCCGTATTCGACGCAGCGTAAGGACAAAGGAGATTCATGGTTTTCAATGCCCGTACATAGGATCCAGGGGCCGAGGGTCAAACCCGACATCTACGGACTATCGGCAATGGAGATACAAGTTGGCAATCGTCGCACACTACGTGCATGATGTGATACGCGTGCTCGAATTCTCTGGAAATCATGGAGTCAGGATGCTAGGGAAGATGGAAATTCCCCAGGGTCTCCGGATTCGTGGCTCTCCCAAACCCACACAGAGAGATAGTCAACAGATACACCAAGCATGCAGCCCGTTAAATATAGAGTCATACAATCAAAGAGTATAGAGATGTTGATTACCCTTTATCATTCGCTCAAAAACATGTACACCAAACAACAGAGGGTCCGGAAGACTCCACAGGGAAAGAACAAAGTATACATTGACGCGAAAGGTAAAACACCACTTGATCATGTACTCGTTATGAGGAGCCACCGTTAGCAGCTGCCTTTGCGAGCCTCTCCTCTACGCGCTCCTTATGTTGTCGATTCCTCAAATGTACCTCAAAGTTGTCGACCGTCATTCCCGGACCGGGGGTGTACAACTTACCCGGACAATCGTGACAGCGAATCCGAGGAAGATATTGATACTTCAATCGGTGGCCCGGCTGGCTATTCACATTTGCGACTGGTAACATCGTCTCCGTATCAACTGCCGTGTAGCGCATCACACCTTCAAACGAGTCGTTTGGATGTGACCGGTTCAGACGAGCAAGACCTGCCGATAGCCAGGCTGGAGGAGGAGGCTAGCAAGAGTGACGTCAGCAAAGCGATCAACTTTAGACATAGACATCTGAACAGAGCCAGAAAAGGAATGGAGTACAATAAGGGTGAGAAGAAAGGAGGCACATACCCCGGGAACGCCTGGTTGAGGGGGATGTGTAGCATCAACAGCCCCAAGCTGTTGTACAGGGCGCTGAGGAAGATGACCAGAAGTATTCGGTACTTGAACTTGGGGTTTAGGCTGCGATGGCGGGGCCATGCTACTCGGCGTTGGTGTCCGTAACTGAGGTGTGCCGGTCTGAGATACTGGTTGGGTGGCTGGCGTAGAGGTAGAAACCGAAGGGTTAGGTAAGGATTGAGGCCTGTTGGCGAGGAATTGGCGAAATTTCTCTCGAGAGATCTTTAATTTCACAATGAGCTTCTCTTGCTCTTCCATACTCTCTTCCCGGTAATCTCGTCTTCTGGCGGAGACCCGAGGCTCATGATGAGGTTCAGGGGTGGCAGAATGAGCTAGACTCGCCCGCAGAGCGGCGTGAGCTGCGCTTGCGGCTCCTCTCATGCCTCTTGTGCGGGCTGTTCCTTGGGCCAGATGAGGACCGATAGCCGGAGAGCCCGTCATCGATGACTCGTCGCTATCCGACTCATCGGACTCCTCACCACCGTCCCGCTGGCCAACTGCGGCTCGTCTGTGCCGACTCGACCCGGACCGTTTGAACACATTGCTCTCTTCAATTGACGCTGCAGTGTTGGGTATGACGGAGGATACAAGCATTGTACGAATGGTGCGCTGACGATCTTTCAGATCTGGCAGGGCCGGGCCACCGCGGCGGTTGACGGAACGTTTCTGCCGACGTTGGTCTCTGGATATGGACACTTCAGTGCGCTCGAGCTCCGCTTCATTCAGCTCGTATAGATATGGTGTGAATTCCTTGGCAGCTTGGAAGGGTCGGAAAGAAGATGCTAATGGGGAGGGTAAAAATGCGGCCTTGAGGTCAGGATCGTCAATCGGACGACCATCAAACGGATGGGAGAGGATGTAAAGTGATTTGGTAAAGAGTTGCGACTGCTCTCGGATCGAATGCGCGATTGCAGTCGTAAATTCGCCGGAGAGAGAGAGGTCGTTCGTCATACGGGCAGCAAATTCCTCGGGTGAGTTAAAGGGATCATTGATGTCCCATTCAAACTGATCAATGAGGGTATGTTGTCCGATGGTAATGTTGAGCTTGATAAGTATGCGGATTTCATCGTTCTTGTAAGCGCTGTAGGGGAGATTGGGATCAAGCGCATCCTCTTCCATATATATTTGGGGATAATAGTCCGCGAGTTGCTCTTGGATGCTCCGAGAGATCGTCCGTACGAGAGGAGTGCATGTCTCGAGCGGAAGGCCCAGATCTTCCACAAACTTCTCGGCGAACAGATCGGGAGATACGACGCGGTCGTGGAGGTTCCACGTAAAGGTATCTCGAATCTTGATCTTCTCCCAGTCGATGTCTAAGCGAATAGGGACCAGATCCTCCACCTGCTCACTCTGTATTTTCATGTCCTTCCGCGCAACTCGCAACTCCCTGGTTTTTCTATTTCCCGGTCGCCGACGATGAGAGGGGTATAACAATTGCGGATGCTGATTGCGCAGATCAGTCCTGGCATTCCCAAATCCTTCATACCCAACGCCGTATAGGGCGGCCGGATTCCCATGGGTATCTCGGCGTAAGGTCAGATAGTAATCTCGCTCTGCGCGCTTCTGTTGAAGCAACTCCTGACTGGGATTGTGCCATGCTGTCAATGCTGAATGGCGGAATTCTCGTTCGACATACTGTTCAAGAAGTATTTTATCCGCCGGGGTCTCACGTACGCGGACGGGTAGGTCTTCTGTAGAAGAAGTGCGAATAACGGAACCGTCGCGAGATCGCTTTTTACTTGTTGCTGAACCGTTGGCGTTGCTCAACTGAGAATTGGGCGACGTCTTGCCGTTCAAGGCGCTATGACTAGCTTCGGCTGAGGGTAGAGAGACACCCGAAGCTGCAAGAACAGCTTTCGCATTCTGTTTCCCTTCGGCTATGGCATCCACCCCATTCGCTCCATGTTCTGTTGACGAGCCGGTCGCACTGTTTCCTTCAGCCCCCGCGCTGGGGCCTGGCGCGCTCAGGTCATTTTGAATGCCATCAGCCTGGAAGTCGCCTAGAAATTGTCCAGGCTGCGAATGATCGGGGAGAGGCATGGCCATAAATCTCGTCTAATAGTTGCAGTTCTTCGTACAAAAGCAGGAAACACGGGTATCAATCGCAAGACGAGGTAACATTCCAATCAGATACTGAAAGACGATGGTGGCACCCAAGAACCAACGTGGCCTACAACAGCATCCTTAGAGGGGACCTGCAATAGAAAAGGCGAGTCAATATGGGCAATTCAAGCTGGATACACGAGTTCTGAGGCTATTCAAGACGCGACGGTGCATTGAACGGAGACGCGATGCGCCCCATTGAACAGAAACAGCCACATGTCCCAAGAAAGCCAAGAATCGCCACAGTCAGAGCCCTCACCCACGTAATCAATGGGCGATGACTAGACGGACAAAAAAAGGTCGCGAAAGCGGAGGAGGGACGCAAGCGCGCAAATACTGGGGTTAGGGAAAAACATACCAAGGAACTCCAAAGGAGGTAAATTAGAGGATTATTAAAACAAAAGTAAAATAATGACACGAAACTACCACCAGGCGCAAAACACGCCGGACAGAGGGTTCCAGGGCAGGACGAGGCAATGGATGGGTCTGCGTGCCGGTTCTGGGTCTTGCGCTTTGCCGCGAGAATGTGAGAACAATCAGTGCTCGGAAGAAGGCGGCTAATCAGCTGATGGAGCACCGAGGAACGGCAAGTATCGATGAATCTCAGCGATCTGGTTTGCTTGTTCTGCTTACCACTGCCCAGAAAGTCAGTCGACTGATTTGTTTCTTCTTGCGTGGGGTTCTTTCTTCTCGCCGCCGTTCTCTGAGTCCTCTGTTTCGCGCTATGACGGGAAATAGGGGGAGGAAAAGAGGAGAAGGAAGAACAGACACAAGAGGCCAGAGAAAAAAACCAGCAGAAAACTGGGCGGGCAGAAAGGGCGTTACAAGTTGTCCGTTCCCGTCATGGAGGGCCAGAGAGGGTAGGGGGAGGAGCTTCCAGGCACCAGCAAGCAGCAATGGTAGAGACCGCTCTACGAGAAAAACTTTTGTACAACCTATTTGGGAACATTTTGAAGCCATCACGCATCATTCTAGTTCTTTTCTCTTGGGATATCACGAAGTTAGTTACAAATGTTACAGTATGGATCTTGAAAATCTGCCTTACATACTTGAGGTCATGTACGGTAATATTACTGCCCCACATACTACGCTGTTTTCATAGATCATGTGATTGTACCATCCCATTAAAGGTTAGCCATTATAAGACTATGCTCAACATGATACGCTAGTGTCTTCTATGGGTATCTATCTCATTCTCATACCTTACTCCGTATCAATTCGCTTCCACCAAATTTACTGTGAGAATCACAAGCATCAATCCAGGATCTTGGACGCGATCTATCCGTCCATGGATGCCCATGCAGACCATGGGCAGTACATGTTCTGGCTGAATACACGAAAGCTTATGTCCATGGCATGAGCAAAGCTTAATCGCGGAACGATATCACCATTGGACCCATGTCCAGTGCCTGCAGGTCTCAGAACTTCTCGGTGACTTCCGTTTCCAGCCCTTGAAAGCGCAAGGCAAGCGGATCCAGCTCAGTCGTACAAGGTGACGTCGGCGACGACGGCCCTGTGATCTGACAGATACACGCCAGAATCGAACCGGTTGGCCAACACGCCGTATCCGTTGACCTTCCAGGACCCAAGTTCGTTCTTCCCAGGTCCCATCAGGATATAATCAATGCGCGTGGGATCCTGTCCCTCATACCCGAACCCTGTCCATGTATAATAATCCCCGTAGTGCTGACTTTGCTCCACAACCTTTGCCGTGTCGACCAAGGAGGATTCGGAGCCTGTCAGGACATGATAGGCCTCCTGCGTCTCTTGACTGTTGAAATCACCTGCAAGGAATACCCCTGCGATGGAGGTCGCAAATTCGCCGCTTCGGTACTCTTCGATCTTCTGAAGGATGATTTTGGCAGCCTCGAAGCGTGACTGAGATCCCTGGTCATCTAGATGAGTATTCATCGCAAGGACGGTATGGCGAGTCATGTTATGTGTGAAGACAGCGATGGTCTAGTATGGTGTTAGCTTAATGAAGGGCCTTTCCTCACACGCCTAGTTTCTACCAGAATCCGTATAGACGCCGCATCCCACCCCTTGGAAGGTTTGTTCGGCGTTTCCGACAACCAGACATTTTCCCAATGACGGAGCTGCCAGACAGACGGTTGATAGAAGATGGGCGAGTATTCTCCTGCTTCGTGACCGTCGTCTCGCCCGACTCCGATGTATTCCCATTGTTGTGTCTCAGAGGCGCTTTTGGGAACAGTAGAAGAATGTTGGTTCAGTCCGGATATAACATCTACCAGTTGATTATGGAGCACTTCTTGTAGGCAGATGAATGCATCCTGATTGCGCGTAGTGAAGAGCAGTTCATTTAAGAGAGGCTGCTTGCGATCATCCCAGGGCAGCTCACCTTTGAATGGGGAACTGGTTGCATAGCGGATATTGTGTGTTAGCACACGCAGTGGAAGTTCGGTATTTGTCTTCATGATGGAAGGCTCAAATCAATGTCGGTAGACTTGGTACAATTGCGCCATGATTGGCCCTAGATGCAGTTAGAGGAATTACCCGAAACTGGGTGAGGGTGGGATGGAAGCTGATGAGGAGAACCTTGACACAGGAAGCTATGATTGGCCAAGGAAATGCTTTTCTCCTCATTTGGATGCCTCCATGCAAGGCATTGTTTGGGCACTTAGACACGGATCACGATGCCTTCAAAATCATGTGTCTTATGGCTTGCTTACTATCGTCTTGTACACGATCATCTCGACTTCAACCAGGTTAATTAGTCCATCGAAAGCCTTGTTCTAGTTGCTTTCTCGCTGACGAGATCAGCAGATAAACTCTACTGGTGTATGGTATCTACAATGTGAGTACGGGATCGTTTGTGACTAAAGCTCCAAGAAGTCCATCGAGAGGAGCTGGCTGCGTGGTGATGAAATCCATGGGAAAGCCTCTAAATAGAACAGGATCTCTGTAGAAATGAAAAAGCACGGCTCCATTGTTGTTTATGAACAAGCATAGTGCACAGGTTCAACCTCACATCTTACTTTGTGAGCTCTACCCCATCCATGATTACTGTTAAGCTTCCAAATTCATCAGATTTTTCCATGCTATCGTATGTTGGCGCTGACCCTGATGAGCTATGACGTATATTATCAGAAGGGCAGTCAAGCTATGCATATCAATTGCCAGTTACTCCAAGGGTTAATGATCAAAAACATGGTAATAATCACACAGTATATGATTGCATTTCCTTTGTAATGGCCTTCATCGAGCCACCTACCTCTCATAGCTACCTTAGGTATCAGTGTCTCTGGATTGCAAGGACCAAAGCTACTCAAGCTCTTGTCAGCTTCCTCAGGTGACAAGAATAGCTTACCGTACTGTGCATACAGAATTACCCCATTTTGACGACACTAAACCCAAGTAGGCCATATCTGCACCGCCCACCGCCCACAAGCCCTACTTCAACGACGTAACCAACGAAAGGGAAAATCCAGAAAAAGCCCCGCCAGCCTGTAATGACCGATGCGTAGTGCACACGACTCGATTGAAAGTTACCAGGTCAAAAGTAGCCCAATTCCTCTCCTCCTCCTCTTCTTGCTACTCTCCTAGTGTACTGAGACGAGTGTTTTATTTAAGAACTTCTTTGATTGTCGCTATCCCTCGCATCAGTGCGAGGATATAACATATACTTCACAATGGCTGAGAACCAGGCCCCAGAGGTTGGTAAGTGTTAACCGCTGATATTTTGACCCCTCCTCTTGCGCCCATTTTGCAAAGCTCCGACAATTGTGTGGATTCACCACCGCCCTCATCATCGCGCAAAGTGGATGGAGTCGAGTAGGTCGAACTAGCTGCTATATGGCTCTAGCAATCGATAGTGACCACCATACCGAGTCCCTTTGTGACCTACAGGATTTACCTGTATTTTTTCACCCGCAATAGCTGACTGTTGCATTGCTTCTGGTCAATTCTAGACTACACCCTCAACAACCCCGACACGTTGACCAAGTACAAGACTGCCGCGCAGATTTCCCACAAGGTTCTTGAGGCCGTTACAGGTGTGTCTGACCAAGCTGTTGTGTCAGAAGATTGCTCGATGCCTAATGCCGGTTTACAGCATTGTGCTTGGAGGGCAGCAAGGTTGTTGAAATCTGCCAGAAGGGCGATGAGCTCCTCGAGGAAGAGCTCACCAAGGTCTACAAGGGCAAGAAGATCACCAAGGGTATGTCATCACCATGATCGCCAGATTTTCCCGCATCGAGACCTGCATACGGTGTTGACATAACGTGCTTGACAACAAAAGGTATTGGCCACCCGACAACTGTGTCCCCAAGCTCCTATGTGACGCCGTACACCCCCCTGGTGTCGGACACTCAAGAGGCTGAGACCACCCTCAAAGCCGGCGAGATCGTCAAGATCCAACTCGGCGCTCAGATCGATGGATTTGGTACCATTGTTTGCGACATGGTCGTGGTTGCCGACAAGGAGTCGCCCAAGGATGTTGTGACTGGTCGCGAGGCTGACCTCATCCATGCTACCCACTACGCAAACGAGCTTCTGCTGAGACTCATGGTGCCCCCAGGTCTTCTGGCTAGCGGTACTGAGGAGGAGAAGAAAAAGGCCGCTGCCGAGAAGCCCCTTACTCAGAGCCAGATCTCCGCCCTCATCGAAAAGGTGGCTAAGGCTTACGACTGTAATGTGGTTGAGAACACCACCAGCTGGTTGTTTGAGCGCAACGAGATCGAGGGTGGGAAGAAGATCATCCTTGCCCCCGGCTCTGGTGTGAAGGGTGAGGGTGTTCCCGACGTTGGCGAAGTCTGGGGTGTTGAAGTTGGTCTCTCCCTTGGTTCTGGAAAGGTCAAGACCCTTCCTCACCGCGCTACCTTGCATCGCCGTACCACTACCACCTACATCCTTAAGAGACCCAGCTCCAGACAGACTCTGTCCGAGGTCGTCAAGAAGTTTGGCACATTCCCCTTCAGTTTGCGACAGCTGGAGGACGAGAAGTCTGCCAAGGTCGGTGTTGTGGAGTGTGTCCGTGGTGGTGTCTTGAGACAGTACGAGCCCGCTGGCGATGCCGATAGTGCTCCTGTTTCCCGTCTGTTGACGACCATTGGTATGTTCATAACTTGGTCAACGGAATATTCCCGCTTTCGCTAACGAGGATTGTAGCTATCACGAAGAATGGCATTACCAGATTGGCTGCGCCTAACCCTCCTGACCTGTCCAAGTTCCAGACGGACAAGAAGATTGAGGATGAGGAGATCCTGAAGATTCTGGAGCGTCCTTTGACCAGAAACACAGGCAATAAGAACAAGAAGAAGAAGAAGCCTACTAAGGACTCCAAGGATGAGGAGTAGACGAATCACGATTCGATTTCTTAACTCCTAATTGCATCCTCTTACAACCAAAGTTCTCCCTTTCTGCCGGCTTCAAAAGGGAGGACTACGCAGGAGGCATGAAGAGTGCCTCAACGTGACAGTCGAAAAGGAGCCCGGGGAATGCACTGGCCAGTGGCCCGGCCAGATATGGATACAGAGCAGCAATGTGAGATCAATGTTGCCCATCAGGCTCTTTTACAATTTCTGTCCCGTAATCACTTGAAAATGAAAATGAAAAGAACAGTATATGAGCTGGGATATATATCAAATGAAGGAACTGTCATTGCACCTCATTTTCCGAAGAGGTTTGTCTCTTGTAGCCGGCGTATCCGGATATTCCGGCAAGACCTTCGACCTGGCAGTTCCTGTCTCTTCCTGCAATCCTGCAAATGGAGTTCATATTATGAAGTTCCGACTTTCGTAAAAGTGAGTAGGTGCTCGGTGATGGTGCGAAGTGATCCTTTGTCCTGGCTTTAACCATGTGCAACGTCACGACGCTGATGGACCTTTCGAATGGGCCACTTCAGGAGCCGAAGAATTCAGACTGCTCATTCCAGGCAACAGTACGAGGTCTCAGAACGTAAAGATGGACAATGAACCAACATCTACAGCCTCATGGTGTGTACTCTGTACTGCTCCAACGCAGTTACCACCTCTGCTGACAGTTGCCATCTTTCTCATACCATTTCATCTCAGGGAAGACTGCTCTCTTCTTCACACCCTAAGAAGATAAATTATCAGTAGTGGCACTCAGATATTGATCCTTGCAAGAGAAGTATCTACTTTAAGTATTTCATAGCCTCAAGAGTCAGTATAAAGGCGTTCAGATCGACTGTCTCCTCGCTGAGGCGAAATGTCCAATGTAGCCCAGATATTGTAATTCAATTTTTGTACATGAGCCAGGGATGTCTCCCTAGTACTAGGTGAGTGAATCGTTGCATGCCCTGTTTGTCGAGCTCTTTTGCTGCTGAAAGGGTGGTTGGCAGTGGGTGGGCCAGTATCGTTGGATGGGCCGCTCTTTTCTCTCTTCGAATCCTTCCTCCATTCCCTTCCCATTCTCCTATCCCATAATCCATATTCCCCCGTACCCCAAGAGACACCATTCATATTGTCTCTGCTGTGACAGAAAGCTTGGGTATCAGGGTGCCTTTACTGCCTTCCTTGATTTGGCAGCGAGTGACGCCGGTTTCGCGCTTCTCCCCACCTCTCACGTTCTCGACATTCACTGTCTCGAGATCGCTTGGGGCCTCTGCACTTTCTTCCCACAACCTCTCCTCCAAATTTTCTATTTCTTTCCTCATCTTCTTGTTCTGTGTCTGAACGCCCCCTGGTTTGTCTGACTGCTCGAAGATCGAATCTTTTCATCAACAGCTTCGTTCCACATACGGACCGTACTATCTCTATCATCTGACCACTTCTCTCACCTACTTCAACTGGAAGCATCAAAGGACTCACAAGTTGTGTCACTTGCCTCAAGTCTCTGTCTTGGGGGAATTTCCTCAGGTAACACATTTTTCAGGAGCTTGTTGCTTCTAGCAGTGAAGCGAGAGCCCTCTCCTTTTCTTCCACCTTTTGCTCGTACATCTCCCTGCCTCTTTCATCTCTCGTCCACTTTCCTACTTTCATCGTTTTCCATCGTCTACATACTCTCCGATTTCTGACCAACTTGGACTTGCTGTCTGAATTCGGGAAGTCGAGAGAAAAGAAAGCTGGAGACGTCCCAAGGTGGATAAAATTGTTCTTAATCATCTCTGCCCTCTCTCTCAGTCAACAGTCGTCCTCATTGATTTAACTACGAAGCTCTCGTTCAGGACATATTTAACCGGTTATTCAACCTCGCTGTCTGACTATTGATTAACAAGTAAGATCGAGCTTGTTTCCGTAAGTTCTCCAAGATTTCCATCAATGGTTACCACTTTCACATCCTCTGTGTTGCTCCTCTTTCCTCCCACCGTGCTAGCCACTTTGCATCTTTCAAACTATCACTGTAACACTGTGGTAAAACCCATAGTGTTATCTGTCCTTGTGAAACGAGAAAGCAGCAAGCTCTCGTTGCGCCCAAAGGACGCTCCTTTTTTGGTCCCTCTTATGTCTTTCTTTTCCATCATCAACCCGCAAAATTGCCACCTTCTTGCCATCACCGTTCTTCTCACGAGGATGTGAGCTTTGGAAGCACTGAGAGACTGTCTATATCTAAGCCTATGAAGTGTGTCTTGTCTCATATTCATCACAGACTCTTCTCCACTAGAAAGCTCCTGGGATGCCCTGCTGACCACACAAAAGGCATCTGCCTGACAGGCTCACACTGGCTTAGCCGGACGTTTCAAGTGACCCTAGTAGTGAGCTTCTTTAGACGAGAAAGCATCTTATCTTTTACCGTGACATATCTGCCTGAGCGATCTATTAGCGTCCCTGGAGAGGGATATCAGTGAAACGCGAAGCATTATCAGGTAAGCAATTTCCTTCGGAATAAGAAGCTGTGCTTTCATGATTAGAAACCTATTTGAACATCTGAATCTACTGAATCTAACTTTGAAATGCTTAGATTTTGGTGTGGCATATTTCGTGGTTGTAGCGGCGAACGCCCCTTAGGAGGTCTGATTGGGGAACTTTGGCCCTCGAAAACTCCCGTCACTTTCAACTCCGCAATCTTCCCTTCCATCAACCCGCAGACAGCGCGCGGGCTGGCCACGATCCCAAACAGCAACGCTGGGCACGCTTGCTGTTTGTCTCGGGCCATAGTCGATCAGTAAGTTTGCATACATTATCCATTGTTATGCGGTTCTTGTATGTTCTTGCGAGCTAACCTTCTGATTGTCAGGCGCCGCAGCTTTCAAGCCCTGCGGTACAATAATGCCTCCGACTCTCCGCTCAGCATCCCGTCCCCCGTCCAGCAATTCGCGCCAGTCAACTCCGCTAGATGCGCCTGTAACTAATAAACGATCTTCATCATTTACCGAACCTGCAAGATCGCCAAAGCGTCGACGCACGGGCCGGAACGCTCGAGTCGCTACCGAGCCTCCTCAAGACACCCTGGCCAACGACGCGGAGGATATTTCGAAAAGTGCTGCTACCTTGGGCCCTAATATGAAGTTCCCGGGAGATCAACCGGCCTGGGTTGAACCTCCTTTGAGGAGCCCTGCCCCGAGTTACACCGATACGCCATGGTCAGCAGTCTCGAACGCGGCGAATCCCATCTTGGCGACCATGCGTCCTCTCGGTTCCATGCCAACCGCTGCGGACCTGCGCAAAGCAGGCCTGAAGCCCACGAAACCCTCCAAACCAATCACTTCTTTGGCTAAAGAACTCCTCGCGTTGCAAAACGATATGTCGCAGAACGATGACCCTATGTCTCAGAATGAAGAAACTCCAGCATCGCAGAACCCGCCAACACCAGCGTCGCAGAGCGAAACTCCCCATGTGTGGCAGAGCGAAGCCCTCCAGTCGTCACAGAACGTAAATCTCCAGGCGTTGCCGAACGGAGGAATTGATGCGCAGACGCCGCAAGAACCCGCGACGCCGGCGGACAAAACTCAGTCCGAGGATTCTAAACCCTGCTCCTACGAAGAAATTGACGCGTTGCTGGCACTTCCCGTCTGCAATTCGGTGAAATTGGATTTAGAGCAAACCCGGAATGCCTTGAAAGAGACGCTGCGAATGGCCGCAGACACAAACAATAGCAAGGTCGTCAAAAGTCTATTCAATCTCTGGACAAAGGCCACTCAGGATCCGATGGTCATGTCTGTGGTTCATGGAATGTGCAAGAAGGAGGTCGGGGATCGGAATGCCAACGCCTTTCATGACCTGATCCGTGCTGCTTGGCGAGAAATTCGGAAGGACGACGCAACGGATGTCTCCCCTGCGGCTGCACCGCCTGACATGACTGGAACTCAATCCGACACCACTGCTACTTCGTTATCGTCTGCTCTGTCGCCTGAAGTTCAAACATCTGCTCCGACCACAGTGCCAACCCCCGTCATTGTGGCGGCGGCTGCAACTCGCTCGAAATTGCGTTCTAAGGGCAAGCAAGCGAAGGCCAATGCCACAAAAGCAGCCAATAAAGATAAATCGAGACAGACTCGCCAGTCCGCGTTGCCCTCGAGTGATTCACGCAAGCGAGCATTGGAAGATGACACGGAGTTCTCCGAAGAGGGCGTCCGTGCCAAACGGCAGCGCCTGCAGCAGCCTCTCCCCGATATTGTTCCTGAAGAAAGTGGCGTTCGCTCTACTCTGTCCGATGAGCAGTCTGGTAGTGCTTTGTCGCCTTTACCCCCATCCATTAACGAAGTTCAGACCGCGCCTGAAGTGCCCTTGTTGAACGGCAGAGAACAATCAGAGTCTGCCGAAAGCAGTGGTGCTGAGGATAACCGGCGCCTGACCCCTACCTTTAGGTACGACTCCCTTTGACATTTTTCATCGTTAGGGCTGAAGCTGACCAAGGTTTAGCAGGGAAGGATCATTGGACAACAGCGATCTCTGTCGGGAATGCGGTGGCCGAGGACAGTTGCTCTGTTGCGATGGCTGCGTGAACTCCTTCCATTTTTCATGCCTCGACCCCCCCTTGGATCCTGCCAATCCTCCGGAGGGAGATTGGTTCTGTCCCAAATGTTCTGTCTCGCGGCCCATCCGTAAGATGGTGGATAAGCTTGACAGACTAGCGAACAAAGAGTTTATGCTACCTGCCAGTATCCGAAATCACTTCGCTGGCGTCAAAACTGGATCTCGACCTGAAGATAAAAACGATCGTACAAGGTACACCGAATGTTCTTACAACCTTGTTAACGGCATCGGACGAGGAGTATGCAATGGTTTTTACGACGATCCAAACCTACGCAAGGTCACCGATTCGGATGGGAATCTCATCATCTGTTACGCCTGCGGTCGCCCAAGCGATGGAGACAAACCTATCCTACAATGTGACTTTTGTCATTTGAATTGGCATATGGATTGTTTGGACCCTCCCATGGCCAAACCGCCCCAACAAGATCACAAATCCGATAAACGTTGGCGCTGTCCGATGCATGTTGAACACGAGATGTATTATTACCACTGGAATGACGAGGGAGCCTATGACGCGCGAAAGATCCGTCGACCTGCGCGACCACGGATGATTGACATTGAAATACTCCCGAGCGAAGAGGAATCAGAACGAATTGAAAATGAAGAAGATGTAGGAGGAGGCATCCTTTACCGTGTCTCCGAAAAAGGGGTAGAAGCGGCTTTCCTTGCGAAAGTCAAACGGTCAGTCATCCTGCTACCTCTTTGACCAGAATCCCCTTCTGAACTTGACTGACTATCTGGACAGGGAAAATGCCGAATTTGAGTACAATAAGCAGCAGGCAGATAAGTACTTTGAAGAAGCTAGAGCGCAGCGCGATGAACTTCATGCACGAGCCGTCGAATTCTATGCCGCCCAGCATCCTCGTCCCTTGCCGGATGCCGCAGAAGCGATTGACAACTCGCGATCAGCAGCCGATCGTGAGGCTGCCGCGAATCTTCTTGCTTTCGCCAGTCAGAATCAGACAAAACCTGCGGACGACAACGCCCGGATTACTTTCCTCATCGACACGCTGCGAGCAGAGGCGCCTAATGATCTCCCCGAAGCACATACTGAAATCGAATCTCTGCGTAACCTGCAGCAGCTGATTGAACGACGTATTCAAGCATTGACTGCTCAGACTGAGCTTGAAGCTACTACTGCACAAGTCTCTGAGGCTGCTAGTTCACCTATTCCGAATTTTGCCATCGAGCACGTCTCCGAATCGGATGCACCGGTCGAGGCAACTTCTGCTTAGACTCAGGCTCTATCCCTCTTCTAATTTCATTCACCAAGGCGCTAAGTGATTGATCTTTCTTGGCTTGACTTGAAAAAAGGGCTTTTCACATATTCTGGGCGTTGTGATATGCATATCCATTTTGCATCAAGGTCCTTGGGTTCCTCAACTGGCGTTGGAGCATACCATGCATCTCATTGTTGAGCGTGTTTACTCTTGTCCTTGTGTTTCCCTATCTGGAGGCACGGAATTTCTTCCCCCCTTTATCCTTCTTTTTTCCTTTTTTTGCAATTTCTTGTTGTTTCCGGGGGCTGGTCCAATTCGCAGACAGTCTTTCTGGAGGATCCAGCCGGGAGCTCCGAGGTGCTCGTTTTCCCCGTTCTGAATCCCGCCACCTGGCGGGATTTGCGACCGTTGATGGGAAAGACACCGAAGTCTTCCGGCAACCTCTATTGCCCTGCAACCAATACTGGGCCAGCCTCCGGTTTGCCATGCGCAAACTGTACTTAACGTCGTGATGATCTTGTTTTATCGAGTGGCCACTGGACCTCCCGCCCCTCACCTGGGGGACGGCCGAACGGGCCAGTTCGCCCGAGTCTCATGTACAATAGATTTCCCCTAGATTTTCAGTGATCTGCCGGTATGGATGGCGTTTATTTTGATCTTATGATCGAACCGATGAATTGAGTCTTTACTATCCTGTTTGAACACGTATATCGATTGTATGCCACGATTGAACAAGCATGTTACTACCGAATACGTCAAATCCGCTTCAACTTAATATACAGAGTATCCGGAGCCGAGAACGAAATTCTTATGCAAGACACCCGAAATTGCATCGTAAGCGTACAAGGCTCGATCAAACCAAACTGCAGATTTATAGTCGCGTGCACAATACTAAGTTGAAAGTCCGATAAGAAAACCGAAGAGGTACTAGCCAAATAAAATAGGTCATATGTTTCGCCATGTCATCATGAAGGGCAGAAGATCTAGTATAAAGGCAAATCAGACTCTCGTTAACTCGGGTAACTGAGACGCTCAAAGGAACTTCTTGGGCATGTTCGCACGGCGACGCTTGTAGATGATGTAGGAGCCGGCAAGGAGGAGTTGCACGGCGATGACGAGACAGATGAAGAAGCCCATGCGAGGGGTCGAGGCGGTAATGACTGTTAACGCAGATCAGCTGATGATGTCCCAATCCGCATGCTTGGTGGTCAAAGAAAAACTGCGTTCTACGGAGGGATACGCATCGAATGCTTACCATTGAGAATTGTGCCTTGGAGATTCTCAGCCAGGCTCATGTGCGAGGACCTCAGGGTCTCGTGCAGTTGATTGAAGCGATCGCGGTAGTCTTTGCCTTCCAGGTCGCGCTGAATGTTCTGCAGCAACTGCTCGATCTTCTGCAACCGGGCATCAAGATTGGCCACCTGCTCCTTGGTAGCCATCTTCTGAAGAACCTCTGCATGGCGATTTTCCGCTTTAGAGGACTGGCTGCTGGCCTCGCGGGCAATGCTGTTAGTGGCGTCATTGAGGCTTTGAATACGGTTGCTGAGATCAGTGAGTTGGTCAGAGTTGACTGAGCGGGGGTCAACGGGACGAGCCTGTCCTTGGTTGACAATCGGTTGTTGGTTGGCTTGCGGCTGAGCAGGAGGTGCTGCGTTCGTTCCGGAAGCGCTAGGTTGCACGACGAACTTGAAGATCTCGAAGGAGTCTGGGTTCTCAGGAGTGGCTGCCGTTATACCGAAGTTGTTACCAGTAGGAAGGGCGACCTGCACACGATTAGAACACCAAGATAGATGGCAGAGGAGTTTGAAGTACCTTGTTCGTTGAGAAGCAAAGCTTGTCGTCCACGGTGACTTCAAGAACAGCATTAGTGTGCTTCAGGCGCACGACAGAGGGACGGCCGAGGTTTCTGTAAGCATAGTCGCAGTGTCCAAAAGCCAAACTGTCAACGCTTCTATGGCTCTTGTAATCAGTCGTTCCGTCATTGAGGAAGCCTCGAATGCTTCCACCCTAAATCAGAGTCAGCGTTACAGAAGACAGATTAAGAGGAGGCCCGCGTACTCTTCCTCCATGTGTGTCAATGACAAGTGCAAAACCGTCGAACTGGCCAGCAGTGTAGATGCTAGAGGAGCCAATCTTGCTTCGTCCATCTTTCACATACCATAACTGGAGATTGCCACCTCCCCTCTCGACACCAGTGGCTCGAAACTGAAATTCAGCTGACCATTCTGGCTGGGATAGGCTATAGCTTGCTCAGCTGCCAGTACATGAAGGAATGAGCAGAATATTTGAGGGAGGAGTTGTGCTTACGGGGACTGTGACCAGGCATAACCTCTTGTGTTCCCTGGGTAGGGGGGAGTGAGAATGAGTTTGTTGGAAAGCTAAGATCCGGTCAGCTTTTCTGAGTTGACAAATGTCAAACAAATGGCATGGAAGAGCGCACAATCTGAGGTGTATGGCCCTCTCCCCCAACTTGCCAACCAGGGATGGAATCTCTGTCTGGCGATATACTAAGAAATCCATTAGAACAGATGTAATATATACGTAGTGGGAGGAGCACGTACGTATGACCATAGCCAAAGCTAGAGCTTTCTATCACAGACTGCGCTGTAGCAGCAGCGACGAGGAATGACAAGGAAGCTAAGCTCCTCATTGTAATTGTTTATCCAGGATGTTGATGCGGGGACAGGTGTGTTTGGGGAATGAATATAGAAATTGAGAAAAGGGAGACGACTGATGCGAACAAAACAGAATCGAAATCCTCAACTGTCAAGATCTACAATAATAGGCGACAGGAAGATGAGACGGCAGCTTTTCGATATGGTCTTCACTGATCCGAAGGAGCTCTCCGATTCAGCAGCGCGGAGACGATGCGCGAGGTGGTCCACCCAATTACAATGGCGATCACACAGTAGCGGGCTTCTCTGGCAACAGAAACAGCAGCTGGGGAGAATTCGACGAAGTGTTGGATTTTGAGGTTCGAGAGAACAATGGAATGACGAACTCCCACGTCCGAAGCTAGATCCATTCAAAATAATTCGTCGCAGGTGTCTAATCAGTTTCAGAAGCTCTACCTTTTAAAGGGACACACTGTCCTTTGGAGCTCCGCTGTTGTTCATCATGTCACGTGAAAAATTTCCCCAGAATCACCTCCCGCAATGAGCATTTCCATGGACCGCAAGTTGATCCTGAATCTCTGAGTGCTCACCCTTCCTGCCCCAATTCTTTTGACTGCGCATCATGCGTTACAGCTCTAATGGCTGATATTTATCCTTCGTTGGCGCAATGCGCAATCGTCGCTACGGCTTTCAAGATTCTACTCTTCCCCGCCTAGTGAGTTCCTGTCGTGGAAAGGAAGCTGAGGATGGAGTCAATTGGGAGTCGGGACTGACGTTTCTTTGTAATGTTATGCAGCAAATCAACCGACTTTGAAGTGCATCGAAATTGGCTTGCTATCACACACTCGTTACCGGTTAAGGAGTGGTACTACGAGGTTCGCTGGACTCTCCGCATACTCTACACATTTGACAATCCGCTGACGGGGAAATCGTCAATAAGAAAACATCAGAATGGACTCTGGACTATCCGCCCTTCTTTGCAGCTTTCGAATGGCTTCTGTCGCAAGCGGCTCGCTATGTGGATCCCGCAATGTTGATCGTTGAGAACCTCAAGTATGATTCATGGCAAACCGTTTATTTTCAGAGAGCCACTGTCATTTTTACTGAGCTTGTCTTGCTCTATGCTCTGAACGGGTGTGCACCAAGTCAAATATTCGTATTAAAGAGATTGTGACTAATGGAGGTTATCATAGGTTCATCAAATCCACACCTCAAGCCAACAAGCACCTGGCGCATATCGCAAGTCTTTCGATCTTTTTGTCCCCTGGGCTGCTCATCATTGACCACATTCATTTCCAATACAACGGCTTTCTGTACGGCATTCTCGTCCTATCGATCGTTCTGGCGCGCAAGCAATCAACCCTACTATACAGTGGTATCTTGTTCGCAGTCCTGCTGTGCTTGAAGCATATCTACCTTTATCTTTCGTTAGCCTACTTTGTTTACCTGCTGAGAGCCTATTGTCTCGATCCGAAGTCGGTCTTTCGACCCCGGTTCGGCAATATTTTGAAACTAGGCTTGAGTGTCATTGGTGTATTCAGCATAGCTTTTGGTCCGTTCGCTCACTGGAACCAGCTGCTCCAACTGAAGGACAGGCTATTTCCTTTCTCGAGAGGACTGTGCCATGCTTACTGGGCGCCGAATATCTGGGCAATGTATTCTTTCGCAGATCGTGTGCTAATTCTGCGTGAGTACAATCGTTCCTCGACTTCGTCTCTGCAGCTTTTCTCACTATAACAGTCGCTCCACGTCTGGGCCTTCCGATCAACCATGAGGCTTTGACGAGCGTCACGCGCGGTCTTGTCGGTGATACATCCTTCGCCGTTCTTCCAGAGATCACGAAGGAACAAACATTTGCGCTGACGTTCTTGTTCCAATTGGTAAGCACTTCCTACACCTGCTCGACACTCGATATCAATAACCTAACCGGCATGTAGCTTCCCCTGATAAAGCTCTGGCTTCATCCGGACTGGGACACGTTCGTTGGTGCTATCACTCTATGCGGTTATGCTTCATTTTTGTTTGGCTGGCACGTTCATGAGAAAGCCGTTCTCCTGATCATCATTCCATTCAGCTTGATAGCGCTCAAGGACCGACGCTACTTCAGCGCATTCCGACCCCTCGCGGTTGCAGGACACGTTTCACTATTCCCACTGCTTTTCACAGCAGCCGAATTCCCGCTGAAGACCGTGTATACCGTGTGGTGGCTGGTCCTTTTCCTGTTCGTATTCGACCAAGTCGCCCCGGTCTCCGAGCGGCCGCGGATTTTCGTTTTTGACCGCCTGTCCCTGCTATACCTGACCGTGGCTATCCCGTTGATCATATACTGCTCATTGGTGCACCAGCTCATTTTCGGATGGGACCGGTATGAGTTCCTTCCGCTGATGTTCATGAGTAGCTATTCTGCTCTGGGGGTAGTCGGCAGTTGGGTCGGGTTCATAGTCGTCTACTTCACCGCATAATTTTTTCTTTTCTTAGAAATACAAATCAAATACCCAGCGGTATACGTTCTTCTCTTCTTAGATACTGTACACTGGAAAATATCGTTTCCAGAACGCCGAGCACCAGCCAGCTGTCAAAGCTGGCAGATATGATGTAATGAACCAGAGGTTCATGTTTGCTCTGTTTGCTCAAACCACGTGTTCTGGAGATGGACCCACTTGATCACCCAAAACGCAAAGTTTATCAGGAGCTAATCTTGAAAAAGTTAGTCTGACCTGTTCTGATTTGAGCTACCTCTGGTTTTCCATGATGTATCGATTTCTTAACGCAGTTTCTAAGGCAGAGTCGTTGTTGACTTATATGAGTGCCGAACGCTCTTTGAGGTCATATTATTCTTGAATGTTGATACTCAACCATTCTGTGGCTGCATAGCCTGCTTCGATATGAACTGCTTGCGAGGTAATTACGTCATTGGATCTGATATTCTTCATGTTGCACAGCAGATTGCCTCGGTGGGAGACGGCCGCAAGTTCGGATGAATTTTGGACTGTGTTCCAACTAAGCTGGAACGGCGAGCTTTTGGAATAGGCAGCTCTAAGTGGACGCGCATCCTTCCTTGATAGATCTCTCAGTACTCGTACGTCAAGTGAGCGAATTTGGCCTTCTGGTATGGCCGATCATGTAAACTGGAGATATAATCGTCTGAAGCTCTAGTTACTGAGAATAAGTATTTCTCTACGACGGTACACAATGCCTCTGCAGCTGCATGTATTTCATCACATGGAGGCTCGGAATATAATCCAACAGAGAGGACATGGTCGCCTGTTAAGCATCGTGGTATCGCGGATTTGCCCTTGCTGACCGGCTTGATATGAATTCGCGTCATCCAAGCCAACTGAACAACTTGGATTGGCTAGACCGGCATAGATACTACGGTTAAAGGGAGATGTCCCATCCGTGCTTAACAGTTTAGAAGGATTCCGTTAGTAGTGGGATATGGTCGTTCCCCAGTCACAAAAGGGTTGCCGTGACAGCCACTTCGAAGCTGCGACGTTTATATCAAGTATGGTCCGCGTATGCTAAGTCGCAAATAAGCAGTGTATGCGTGAGATTAGAGGGAAAAGCCCGTGAATAGCAACAAGGGAATCGACGAACGTACAACAGGCGTCAAAGACGAGCGTTGAATCGTGGAGTTGAAGTCGCACTGGTTCATCAACACATACCGTCGAGGGACTGAGTACGCGAGTACGCACTTGACTCATTGGAGCGGATTTCTGACTAGGAGAGTCATGAATGAGTATGGAGGTGGCAGGTGGCTGAAACTGATTCGGATGAGAGAAGAATGGCACGGGTTGAAACAATGGCGTTAAGAGGAATGAGCGATTGAATCTAGCAGTGTGGTGAGCATTCTGAGTCAAAAATGGTAGGGCTTTCTTAAAATATTCAAGACATAACAGGGGCCGGTGCATAAGTTCAGAGTGATCGAGCCGGCCAGCTCTTTATACAATCGTAGTTGAGGAGAATGATATCATCAATCATACCACATGGCACCCACTATCTCAGAGAGACGGCAAGATCTGGAGAATAACGCTTGCGAGGACCAGTCTACAAAATTCCAAAATCATATTCGATATGCGTGGTAAACCATTGAGGCTGCTGATGTTCGTTGTTTATCTCGTCTCCCATAGTCCCCGCGGAGGTCCGAGACCAGGTATCTCTCCCGCGTAATAATGGTCATATTAGTGCAAAGGAATTTTCAAATAGCAAGCCAAGGAAATTCTCCTATTTCCGACGAGCAGATAGAGTGCAAGAACATTTGTGGTTGAGATAAGTGTGACCGAACTCGAAAGAAATAAATATGATGGCGGGAGAAGAGGGTAGGAGTAGGAGCAGCAAACCCAAGAGAGAGAGTAGGGAGCACTAGACTACAGCCCAGGTACGGGTTAGCCTTGTCCGTACCGTACTTTAACGTTCGAAAATACTCTCCGCCCGACGCTGGTCTTGTCCGGGTCCCGTCCTCCTCCTCTGGGCCAATCACCGTTGTTGTATGCCTCGGCGCTCGCTCTCCCACTCCATCCTAATTCCTGACTACTGGGCCTCTTGCCGCAATGATCCTCAAATGTGATGGGGCCCGGTTCTGCCGTCGCTTCTTTTGGTCGCGGCAACCGCCTCTCCTTTCTTCTGCTCTTCAACTCTTCTGTTTCTTCTCCTTCTGCTCCTCCGCCTCTACTATCCTCACGTCCTCGTGTCTTTCTCTTCCTTTCGCGCATTTTTTCTTCCCCGCACGACTCTTGGCCTCTTTTCGATACCTTCCTTTTTTGACGCCACTCGCGAACCCACGTCGTGTCTTGTTGCTAGGTATAATTCGTTCCGTGCATAATCGTCCAGCGAGATCGAAGACGCGTCCATCCTACGGTAAGTCGTGAATTTACTGTATCTCAACCATATTCTGTCGCACCTACTCGCCTGGTCCACCGTGGAACCAATCTGCATATTGTTAAAGCTCTGAACGTCACTACTGAGCTATGTTCGGCGCAATGCACCATACCTGGATTCATCCTCCGCCGAGGCGACTTCTACATCCGCGGTTTTTCTATAACTTGCTCGGATCTGCTTTCCTGTCTTCGCGCGCTTTTCTGCCTATTGCTGGAATCTCCCATGGTGCTCATGTCGCTGATGGTTAGCAAGGCTCCCTAGGTTGCCGATCTTAAAGTCTTCATTTCCTGCGACCTATGATAAACTAGCGCGGCGCGCTTGTTTCCGAGGATCATGGTGGGTCGAACAAACTTCCAAAAAGCTCGCCAGGGCTGAGGGATATTCGGGGCTCACGACATTCTTTAGGTACTGTTCAAGCGCAAACCAGTCCAGTACCTTCCACGACCTGTTATTGAAGATGACAGTTCCGAGGCATGCATGCTCCATATATGAAATGAAGTATATCGAGGGATCTTTGCTTACGATGGGCGCAGGTCTGGGTTATCCCAGAGACCAACGAGGTCTTCACGAACTATGAACCATACCTTCAGCGAATGGATTTCTACAAGCAAAAGCGATTTATTTGCGAGATTACCGGTCATTCGGGGTTGACATTCTTCGAAGCCCTTAGGAGCGAAGTACGTCATCTGATTCTTGCGGGTTCGGTCTATAATTCAGCTTGCTAAAACCTGTCCATGAGCAGATGGAAGAGTCTCGAGAGGTGAACAGCGCGTTTCCGGATGCTTTAAAGGAACCCATTCTACGTAGAATTCAGTTTTCTACTGTATCTCGGGTCGATACTCTTGGTGAGTTTCAACTCGCTAGTGTTCAGAGAATTGGAGCTGACGCTGTGTCCCAGTGGATGAGATCTACGAAGTGAGTGACAGCTGACGATGTCCGCCTTGACCTTCTCTCGTTCAGACACGCTGATGACTGGCAGGAATTTAAGCAGGATTTTTATCCTGGGGAGCCCGTCCTGATTCTGCTTGAGGACAACACCCGTCTCCATGGCATGATCCGAGACAAGGCGAATTTCGCGGAGCAGCGCTACCCCGACGGAACACTCAAAACTCCAGCCTATGCAACATATCTTGTGAAAGTTTTGGATCGTCCCAACGAGGAGGCCTTGTTAGACCAGGACCACATCACTCGTGATCGCAAGACGTTCACGAAGCAAATGTTGCGGGCTTTTATCAAAAATAATGTCACTAGGGAGTCTTGGAACGGAGCTCCGTGGCTGGTCAAACCTTCAATCGCGGAAGAATACAAGATACCGACAGAGGTCCCCAAGCATTTGCAGTACGGTGCAAGGGTGGCCGAGAAAAAGGCCCAGAAAAAGGCGGATCAGGAAGGATTTTTTGGGTTCTTTTCATCCCAACAATTGCCGGAGCTGAAGCCTGCTGCCAAGGGACTAAAAAATAAACTCTCGCCTCATGATCTGGCGCGGTCCAAGGAGGCTCAGTATTTGGAGTATCAACGCTCGCTCAATGGGAATCCCACCTTTGTTGTGTCCCATAAGTCCCCCAACGCTCCCTCCCGCCCTCTGAAATCCCAAGACGAAAAGAAGTCACAACCCACTCCTACAGTCATCGTCAAGACCGAGCCTCCCAAGCCGCCGACTCCACCTCCAATTAAGTATCCCATCGAAGATCTGGAAATTCCACCGGATCGCGAGAAGAAGAAGAAGCAACGACCGCCACTGAAATTCCTGGTTGCCGATGAAAATGATGATCCTGATGATGAAGAGCTCTTGCATGACAAGATAGAAATGAAATCAGTGGGCCAGCTATTGGAGACTTGGAACACTCTCAACGTTTACTGCGAAGTATTCCAGCTAGACTCGTTCACATTTGATGATTTTCTTCAGGCAATGCGCTTTTCGTCGGATGAAGTGGAATGCGAACTTTTCGTGGAAATCCATTGCGCTGTTCTGAAGAAGCTCGTCAACGCCGAGAACGACGACGAAGGGGCCGTACAAGTCTCATTGCCGGACCTTCCTGACGTTGAATCAGATGATTCCGAAGCCGATGATGAGGATGAGGAGGAGGAAAAGGAGGAGTCCCCGGAGCCTGAACCTGTTGTGACGAGAATGACAACGCGGAGTAGCTTGGCCAAAGCGGAGGCGGAAAATCTGAAAGCACAAGCGAATCATAGCCGTGCAAACTCAGAAGATATTAAAGTTCATCGTGCAGCGGAGGTGTTTGGAGACTACGGTTGGATCGAACGGTTACGGAAACGAGATTTCCGTCAAGGTGGATGGCAGATGGTGATGGTCGGCCTTCTGCATCAACTGTCAGCCCGACCACGGATGGAAAGGGTTTGCAACGATATTCTCAAACATCTCGCGCCACTTGATGCCGAGCCTACCCAAGAAACAGTGCAATCCCAGTACGCCACATTAAACGTCAACCTCCGCGTCCAGGCTCTTCAAATCATCTGCATGCTCAGTTTGGAAACAAAGGCTATTCGAAACTACCTGGAGGAGTGCAGCAATCAGATGACTGAGTTCCGCAAAGAAAAGATCGAGTACCAGAGGGCTCGGAAACTAGCGTAAGTGCCTCCACGGCCCTCACAGCTCCCCTGATTAACCATCTTCCCCCACTGCAGGCTCGAGGAACTCCGTCGATTGCACCAAGAGCGGAAGGCGCTCCAACCGGAGCAAGAAAAGTCACCGTCCCCAGTGCCTGAATTAGAAGCTTTGGAAGATTCCAAAATGTCAGGCGTGGACGGCGACTCCGAGCAGGTCATGGATACAGAGGATGACGACGCGCCGCAGCAACGGTCGCTCCGCGGCGGTTTAGACAGGATTCTCGAACGAAAGCGAAAACAAGAAGAGGAGCGGGAGAGAAAGGAGCAACTGGCCAAGCAGCCAAAAGGATCGAAGCAGTACCAAAGAGTCTTGAAGAAGATTGAAGACCAGAAAGCCACCGTTGAGAAACTGGAGAAGAAGATCGAGGTGGTGGATAATGATCTAAGAGAAGCGGATTGTCCGCGGACTAGGTGCCTTGGAAAGGATCGTTTCTGCAACCGATACTGGTGGTTCGAACGCAACGCGATGCCGTATGGCGGCATGCCCAACAGCTCAACAGCGGAGGCTCATTATGCAAATGGTCGCCTTTGGGTGCAGGGTCCAGATGAGATGGAGCGTGTGGGGTTTATCGACGTGCCGGACGATCAGCGGAAACAGTATCAGAAAGAATTTCACACTACCCCTGCAGAGCGCAAGAAGAATGAGGAAGGGCCTACCAGGCTTTCGGCTGCCCACGAATGGGGCTATTATGATGACCCAGACGCGATTGACAAATTGATCGACTGGCTGGATTCACGAGGTAATCGCGAGTCCAGACTACGCAAGGAGCTCCAGCTGCAGCGCGACCATATAGTGAAATACATGATGTGCCGGAAGGAGTACCTGGAGCAGACAGCCGAACGAGCCGAATCCGAGGAGCTGCCGACAAAGCGAATGACAACGCGGAACAAGACCTACGTGGACGACCACAAGCATCGCTGCTTGAAATGGCGGAACACGACAGCCCTGTCGGAGAACGGCCATCTACATGTTGACCCTTCACGGCCCTCAAAACGGGCCAAGAGAGTGACGGACGAACCCAAGGAGATCAAGGCGACGAATCGGCAGGGCAGACCGCTGACTCGGCAAGGTACGCGCTACAATTTCTGAGCAGCCTTCGACTTGCTTTTGGCGGAACTGGATTCGCAGGCGTTTCAGGGCATTTCTATTTTCGAGTAGGCATTGGATGAGCAACAAGCGTGTCCGCATTGTGCTTTTCTTCTACACACTTTAGCGACGAGATCATGAGGATTTGGATTCATTTTGATATAACACTCTGGAAGAGCATCGCATCTAGAGCAGGGGTGAGAGGAGTGAGTGATTGTTTGGGCCGATCTGGATATTTGTAAATACATGTTGCGCTTTTAGCGGCCAACCTTGCATGGTGAAAGACCTGTGTTCCCTTACTCTAGGTCTAGGGCCATATGATAGAAAAATAACTATCGCACCTCTACCTAGGGGACCATCCACTCAATCTTTCTCTCCTCTTTATGAGTCCAGGATTGGCAAATGATTCGGCATCGGTTGGGTTGGCCACCACAGAACATCCCGCCGCCACTCGGATACCGTCGCGTAATGAGACGGTATCGTGGCCAATGTTTGGTGCGCATCGGCAGGTATCGGCATGTCAGAAACGTAACGGGCTTTATGGTCTTGTGTGCTCCGCCGCCTGCGGACCGACGTCAGTGAGGGCACATTATTTGGCAGAGTCGAGGCATGCGATCTTCTACGGTTTCTGTGTTAACTTACCTTCTACAATCCTTCGAGTACGTTGCACAAAGATCTATAGATTCTTGACACAATATTGTGAATCTAGCTCACTTAATTCCTGCGAGAGTAGCACTTTTCTGGCCACGATTTCCGTTTTATCAATGGCCGCGATTACCCGGTAGCCCGTGACATTCTTCTCAAAGCCTCCCCCACACCTGAACTAGGCCTCTTGCCTGGATTTCGCTTATGTCGACAGCATTTCCGGACCATGGGAGTCTCGATCAGTCTCTTGTCGTATCGAGCTCTGGACAACACCACACCTTAAGGACGGAAACAAGCGCACAAGGCGGCCATCACATGGAACAAGCCGCACCGTCGAGGCCCGCTCGACAGGCAGTCGCGAGCGATATAGATGCCGCGGCCTATGCGAACCATCCTGTCGATACCACCTCGCCAGCGCCTGTGAAGCAGAATGGCCGCACGGATTCTAAGGAGTTGAACAAGCGGAGCCTAGATTATGTGTTAAGGAGCGGGCTTGCGGGGGTCTGGCGGGATGCGCGGTAAGTCTGGATTTTCTCTATTCGAGGGGACTTGTCTTGAGGTCCTTGTAGTCAAGACATTTGGTCTTGGGACTGGTTGATGTTGATAGTGACTGACGTTTCTGAATGCATAGGCCAAGACGGTTGTCGCGCCGCTCGACCGCGTGAAGATCCTTTTCCAAGCGTCTAATCCGCAATTCGCCAAGTATACAGGTAGCTGGTTTGGCCTTGTATCAGCGGTTAGGGATATCCATCGACACGAGGGTGCCCGAGGTCTTTTCAAAGGCCACTCCGCCACACTTCTTCGAATTTTCCCCTATGCTGCTATCAAATTCCTCGCATATGAGCAGATTCGTGCCGTGTTTATTCCCTCGCGGGACAAGGAGACGCCGTTTCGCAGACTCATGTCCGGGAGTTTGGCGGGTGTCACGTCAGTGTTCTTCACATATCCGTTAGAATTGATTCGGGTGCGGCTAGCGTTTGAGACGAAGAAGTCCGCACGGTCGTCGTTGGCAGGCACGTTTCGACAGATCTATAACGAGCGGGGTTCGCTGCCGTCCGCGTCCAGTGAGTTGGCCGCAGCCAAAGGGACAGCCGGCTCTGTTGCGGCTACTGCAGAGAATGTCTCTTCTGCGGTGAACAAGGTCGTTCCTCGATATGGGTTAGCCAACTTCTATCGCGGGTTCACACCCACCCTGCTCGGCATGCTTCCATACGCGGGCGTATCGTTCCTCACACATGATACCGTCGGCGACTGGCTTCGCTCTCCTCTCCTCGCTCGCTACACTATCATCCCAGGATCTGATCAGTCCTCGCACGGCCAGTCGCAGAAGGGGTCACGACGGCCACAGCTCACCGCGGCGGCGGAATTATTCTCCGGTGCTATCGCCGGTCTTGTGTCGCAGACATGCTCCTATCCTCTTGAGGTCATTCGACGCCGAATGCAAGTTGGGGAGCCGTTGGAGACGGACGCCGATTGGGTATTGCGGAGACAGCAGGCAAGATATGGCTCGAGAAGGGTTTCCGAGGGTTCTTTGTTGGCTTGACAATCGGCTATATCAAGGTGCTGCCGATGTCAGCCACAGCCTTTTTCACATACGAACGATTAAAGTGGTCATTGGGAATTTAACAGATGAAGCCATGACGACGAAGCTTTTTCCTATGTTTTAGATTCCCACTTTACGCATAACTTTCTCACTGTTGTGCGATTCAAACGTTTCAGTCGGCCTCTGCACTACATTTGATTTCTTATTCCACCTGCCGCGCTAGACCTCGAGAGAACGACGTCTTGAAGGTTGTTTTGTCATTGTGACTTTTGTTGCTTTCTGCATGGGTGACCAAAACCAGCCCTCAGCACATAGTTTTGATGGATACCTCTGCCATTTTGAGCATTTCGTTAGATCGACAGAGCATGAATATATCATTCAGACGCATATGTAGATATGAAATATCTGCCATGATACACTCGGAGTGTGCCGTATGATGTATGCATTAAATTGTGGTCAGACCAGATGCAAATGATTGGCTGCGCACCGGGATAGTGCACGGACCAGTCTGCGGAACAAAAAAAGTTGCATGAAGTTCCAGAAACCTCGCAGTAATCAGAAATAACACCACCAAGCAACTGTGGCATAGAAATTTAATTTTTGCTCTGGTTACGCCAGACCGCAGTACAAATATAGCAACATGACGACTCGCAAAAGAAACGAATTTTTGGATATCGTCTCCGACGACGATGAAGGCAGCGACCGCGGCTACGACTCCGAGGCCGCGGAGGAGAGCAAAGGTCGACTCACAAAGCGACGCAAGACACACACGCGTGCAGACGATCTCAGCGACGAGGAATCAGACATCGGCCACTCCGAGTCAGAAGATGAGCCGAAAACCAGGCTCAAGGGCAAACCGAAGTCCAAGTCCCAGTCCCAAACAACGGAACGCAGCAATGACAGCGCCGACGAAGATGAAGCAGACGACGGAGAGAAAATGCAAGTAGATCAGTACCTCGACGCAACAGCCACATACTCACCTTCACAATCACGATCGCAATCACCGTCCACATCCAGCGTGAACTCCAAACCAACAAAACTGAAGAAGAAACCCCTCGATAAAGTCCGGCCGCCCAAGAAGAACAAAACAGGTGTCATTTACCTCTCGTCTCTACCCCCGTACCTCAAACCCTTCGCTCTGAAATCCATGCTTGAAACCCGCGGCTTCGGACCCATCACTAAGGTCTTCTTGACTCCCGAGGTGCCATCGAACTCTGCCCCTCGCCGACGATCCAATAAGCGGAAATCCTACGCTGATGGCTGGGTTGAGTTCGCCTCGAAGAAGACGGCGAAGATCTGCGCGGAGACGCTGAATGCGACCATCGTCGGCGGGAAGAAGGGCGGGTGGTACCATGACGATGTGTGGAACATGAAGTATCTGAAGGGCTTCAAGTGGGCGGATCTAATGGAGCAGGTGCAGCGGGAGAGGTCGGAGAGGGAGGCGAAGAGGCGGATTGAGGATACAAGGGCCCGCAAGGAAGATAAGGTGTTCTTGCAGGGTGTGGAGCAGGGTAAGGTTCTGCAGGGGATCCAGAAGAAGAATGAGGAGAAGAAAAAGAAGAAAGGCGAGACGGGGCCGGTGAGGGTGCTGCTGATGCGGCTGCGGCTGCGTCTGACCTCAAGGTCCGCAGGTTGTTCAAACAAAATGAGGTCAAGATGGGACGGGATAAGGTCAAGGATATCTCTACGTTGGAAGATGATGCGAAGCGCGTGCTGAGCAAAATCTTCTAATCTGTATTCATGCCGATACGCCATCATAGATATCCACTACTTGCAACTGTTTCCTTTTGTCCAAACTCAGGAATGTAGAATATATTCTATATATCTGCATGAGAAAACTTTTTGATTGCCCGGGTATTGTTTGACCTAGAAGTCGAAAGCACATGAAACCTTGATTAAACGCCATAATCCGTCAATGCAATGATGATTAACTCGATTGAGAGCTCATTCGTCGTCATCCACATTCAGCTCGTCAAAGTCGTCGAGCAGCTCTTCCATGCTGATCTTAGGCGCTTCATCATCGCTCTCGTCCTCATCCATATCCATGCCACCAGCACCGCCTTCGACTTGCATACGATCATTCGGCCGGGCATTCTTGTTCTTGTACAGTTGCAGGGTACTACGCAATTCTTGGTCTTCTTCGACATCCCGCAGGAACATTTCAAAGTCGGCTTCCATGCGTTCGCGTTCCTGCTCTTGCTTGCGACTGATCGACGCACCCTGCTGTTGCAGAGCTTCCTCCTCATATTCACGAGCCATGCGCTTAAGTCGCCAGTTGCGAGTCTTCTTGTTCTTCTTGCGAGCATAGTGCTTCTTGACGAGTACGACGTCCGGAATAGTAGAGCTGTATTGACTGCTGGCTTCGATGGCTTCAAAGTTGGGGTCGTTGAAGTTTGCGCCGGTGAGATGGTAACCGAGTACAGAGTCGCCGACATGCAGAATTCCGCCCAGGTGCGTCCGAGTGAAGTAGGTCTGATTGTTCGAGCCCAGGTCTGAGGCACGCGCAACAGTCGCTTCAGCAAGATGGAATCGTCCATTCGAACGGCCAACGGGCTCGATATCCATGATGATGAATTCCACGAGCTCGCTGACGTCTGCAAGGTTCTTGAATGGTGCTCTCCAATAAACTGCAGTGGGCACCTCGGCCGTCTGAAGTGTGTTTGGATCAATCAGTTGGACTGAGGTACTAACACGATGGCAAAGGACCAATGGAGAGATGTTGCCTAGGGACCTGGCCAGTTTGATGGGAAGCGCCACCAAATCGTCTTTGCAGATAGGAACCAACTCGACGGAGAAGGTGAATTTGTATGACTTGGTCGAAGTGTGGATATCCATAGAAATCAACTCCTGAGACTTCTTGACTTTAATTGGCGTGACGGACGACAGGAAATCAATCATCTTTTCGGCATGGTTCCTCTGGGCAAAGAAAAAGTCCAACCCATCCTTTGCTTCCTTGATGTTGACCGTATCTTGATGAGCGTTGTGCTTGAGAATCAATTGTTCGAGGTAGAGGAATGTTCGTTTATGAGGGACCTTCTGCCGCACTTGCACAGAACTAGAGACGTAGTTAGCAAGAAATCACTAATGTCGGCGGACCAAAAGCTACTCACGCTCGCCATGTATTGTGTGTATAAGACTTCGCGCAGTCAGGGCATTGCTGAGCGTGAACGACATATTCAACTTCAAAAGCTTGCTGAACAATGGTCCCTTGGAACGCCTCCTGCTGAATCGTGATCTTGACCTTAATACGCCTCGAGTGGGGTTCGGTCCAGATGAAACTCGCGTCAATGATTCTGACTTTGTTCAAGCCCCTAAGCTTGCGTAGACACAGCGCCAAAAGCTCTTTCGATTCAAGTGCGGCGCTGACCCAAGCAGTTGGGGGCTGAAGCCATCTCTCACAATCTCTGCAGAAATGAACGACACCTTCGCGGGGGATACCCTGGCTGATATCGACTGTCAATCTAAGACAATCTTGACAGAGCGCGCCAGCTGATGTTGTCCCGTCGATAGGAGCTCCACAGTTGCAACAGAGGATTCTAGAGAGTCACGAGCGTCAGCCAGAGTTCACAAGCATGACCATAAAACTCTTATTCGAATGCAGAGGGGACGACTTACGTTGCAGAGATTGCCTCCTGAGGAGCCGCAAAGGGGACTGGGGCATCTAGATCCATCGACATCTTGAAGCCCTTAATGAAAAAAGACTCGGAGTACAGAGAGCCCAAGAATAGAATATAAACTCAGAGTCGTAGACTCTTGAGAGGATATAAATGACTGCTTTTGCCCCGCGGAGGAAACATTTTTTTTGATGTGTTTGTCTGCTTATCAAACCGTCCCGCTTGGTCAGCAAAGTGGTTTGCACTGTTTGCACTACGGGGAAAGAACTGAATATCGGCCATTCATATTGCCATCGTTGAGCAGTCCTTGACCTCTCAATTGGACCCAGTTGATCTTACTTCAAATGAATCGGATATTGTCCAAAGGCCCCAAGGGCCTTAGCGGACTGTTGCGCGCATGTCCGTCTAATTCGGGCCGTTCGTTCCTCTGCCGCTCAACTTACAATGTCAACAGTCGAACCTTCTGGTCCGCACCTCGCCTTCGCTCCGAGGACTCACCCTCCAGCAGTCAGCCATTGAAGCCTGATCCAAATGACGGAAATGGAAATGCTCACCGAACTACCTCTACCGCGTCATCTCAACATACACCCTGGTATCTTCAGGAAGAGACGCCGATCGACGAGTCGCGCCAAATTTCCTCTCGAGACCAGATCCCGGAGCTCCCTGAAAATCCACCAGCCATTCTGCCTGCTCTCCTCGATTACGTTTTCAAAGATCTTGGCTTGGATGAACTGAGATTACTTGACCTTAGAGGTCTCGAGACACCCCCGCCCATTGGCGCCAATGCCATCATGATTATTGGCACCGCTCGTAGTGTGAAGCATCTAAATGTTTCCGCCGATCGTCTTTGTCGCTGGTTGAGAAGCACCTACAAGCTCACACCTTATGCGGATGGACTGCTGGGTCGGAACGAACTCAAAATCAAACTTCGCCGTAAGGCTCGACGCGCCAGGGTCGCTAGTCGTGCTGGAACAACGGTCGACGAGAAGGATGACGGTATCACTACCGGCTGGATCTGTGTAAACGCAGGCATCGTTGAAAACCCTCCGGTCGAGGAACAGGCATCTCGGAAAGTCGAGGGGTTTGGTAAAATCGTGGGGGGCACTCGAGTTGTAGTGCAGATGTTCACGGAAGAGAAGAGGGCCGAAGTCGACCTTGAGGGCCTTTGGCTAGCTACCATTGAACGCGATAGACGGCGGAAACAGGTTTCGATAGACACCAAATCAGACGCGCCTCATGAAGAGGTTCGTGCTTCTACACCAGTCAAAAATTCATCCTCTGACCATGTTTTCGGACTCCACTCCAGGTCTTCGGCGAGCCTTCCTCTGGAACAAAGAAGGGGTCTACACAGCAAATGTCGGCTCCTCAGTCCTCAAACTGAAGACAACCAAGACGACAGCTTGGACGACGGCTTGGATGTGTCTCCAGATTCAATCTCCACTCGAACTGACCAACTTGCCGCCAACCGTATTTGTGATAAAGAAGTTGCTACTGATTCATTGCTTGAACGCCTGTCTGCACTACCTGATGACCAAGCCCTGAGTGAACTAGGAGATGGACAGGAAGATAGGGACTCGACTCCCTTTCTCCGCCGGTTTTACGAAGCTCTTTCACAAATGTCAGCCGAAGAAGCAGCAGTGGCCCGGGTGAAGTTGTTATGCACGGCCATCTCTCGGCACCATCAGGGGTACAGCAAGGAAAGCCTTTGGAAAGCTTTCACGACTTGTAACTACCACACCTATTTTATATCCGACGAACTGGGCATCGCAATCGTTTCAGCCATGTTAACGGCAGTACCGGCCCACGAGGAAGGTCCTAAGGCTACTGGGGTGTTGCCAGAAGCCGACAGAGAACTCGCTCTTCGCGTCCTGGAACATCTTTCTCTGCGCGGGACTGATGTCCTTAATATGAAAGTGTTCCATTTGTTATACAAAGCAGCCGGTCATCCGACAAATATTTCTGGTGAAGAAGTCATTGAAGATGTAACAGGTACCACCAAAGATCGACCTACATCGCGCATAGCGAAGTTGATTGAAACCCTCGACATCCAGTTTGACCCAGAGGAGGCCCGCAAGCTTATGATGTCTATGTTTCGCAACGAAGACTACGACGAGTTTTGGAAATTATGGCGCAAGCTTCCCCTGAATGGCAGCCCGCGTACCTCTGCAGACTATGAGATGCTTTTCCGGCTGCATGCAGAGTTAGGGGACGAGCTTCGCGCCAGAGACTGTGTATCCACCTGGGTGCCCATGATGAGTCGTGAACATCCCCCGATTCCACTCAGGGGACAAGTAATGCAGGATATTATGTACTGTATCCTGATTGCAGAGCCGGCCATTGACCGGATGGCAACAGAAGGGTCAACGAGTAACCTGGCACTGATCTGGAACGACTGTAAGGACAATGCACCGGCGAGAGATTGATGTGGTTCTGCGGAGCATATAAATGTATTATAAGCCTATATACCCGTGTAAATTAAGAGGTACCTGGATATGAAATGTTCCACATTGTTGTTGTTCCGTACGTAGTTTAGAGTGTTGTAGTAGACCGAAAGTCTATATCGCATATGCCCGACGACTGGCCGATGAACCTCGGCTGCCAAGGCTGGCGTCACGACAGCATGTTCCCCAGACTGGCGGCGATTGTCCGCTTCTTAACATCTGCATTGATCTGTAGCTTCAGCTTTAGCTGTTTGATGATGACTAACTACCGTCTTCGCGATGGAATACCTACCTAGTCTTCAGCAGGAGTTTGACGAGCTCAAGCCGTCGCTTTTCGGTAAGCCAACTGACCTTAGATGATTGGGCTTAAGAACCTCAACTGATTCAGTTTCACAGAACTCCTCGCTGAGCAACAGCTCTCAGATCTCCTACCTCCTTCACTTCGATATCTCCTTGCGGTCGCTACACATCGCCATCCTCGCTATCTATTACGGATCCTAAACTCATACGACGAAGTCTACGCACTCCTGTCTCTCATTGTCGAGCGATACTATCTCCGTACCTTTGGCGGCTCTTTCACCGAGAACTTCTACTCTCTTAAACGAGAACGAGTCTTACGGACCAAAAATGGCGAGATTCCTCGGGCACAGCTCGGCGCGCCAGGTCCCGTGCGCGAGTCTCTTAAGCTGCGCTCGTCGGACGTGTGGAAGAACCTTTTTGTCATGGTCGGAATCCCCTATCTGAAGCGCAAGCTGGACGAGGGCTACGACATACACGCCGCACCGCAGGCGTCGCTGATCTTGAGCGGCGGGCCGCGATACAATCCCAGCGACGACCTTCCTCCCCGCCCAACAATCCGCCAGCGGCTGTTGTACTACTACAAATGGTTCTTGCGGAACGTCTACCCCTCCGTTAACGCCGCATACTACTTCTCCATCCTAGCCTTCAACCTCGCCTACCTCTTCGACAACACGAAATACTCCTCCCCTTTCCTATGGCTCATCGGCACCCGAATCCGCCGCCTAGGCGCCGCCGATCACCGCGCCATCGCCGCAGTCCTAGACGCCAAACCCAGCGCCAGCGCTGCCTCTGCGCGCTCCCGCCCCGGCTCAGGACTCCTTGGTCTCCTAAGCCCGCAGAATCTCTATCCACAACTCCTCGCCTCGCTGCGCTACTTCCTCCCGACGTCGATCTTCGCGCTGAAGTTCCTCGAATGGTGGCACGCAAGCGACTTCTCGCGCCAACTGGCGCGCAAGGCGACGGAGGTGCTCGATCTGCCTGCCCCCATCGTCAACGGCATGATTCCACCCTCAGAAAGAACCAAGAAAGCAGGCTCGCAGAAGGGCAAGGAACCCACCTCGAAGGATCTCAAGCCCGCGCTCAAAAGCCCCGTCGCCGGATGCAGCCTCCCATCTCGGCTACCTCGTACCTACCTATCTTCACCGTTCCTCTTCCACCCGCGGACTCGGATAGTGCGTCCGCCTGCCCGATTTGCCTCAACACGTTGACGAATCCGACGGCGTGCCAGACCGGCTATGTATTTTGTTATGTTTGCATCTTTCACTGGTTGAATGGGGAGCACCAGCGGCAGTTGGATTTCATGAATGGCGAGAGCGCGGGCGCTGCCTGGGAAGATGAGAGTGAAGACAATGAGGAGGGTGCGAAAGACAATGAGAACGGCCGTGAGGAAAAGAAAGTCAGTCGGGAGGGCAAGTGGGAGAGTGGCAAAGGAAGATGTCCAGTCACAGGACGCAGGGTGCTTGGGGGTACTGAAGGGCTTAGGCGAGTTCTAATCTGATTGTCATGAATCATGTCGAGAAATAGGTGTACTGTGCATCTAGATGAGCTTCCTTTGTCATTATATATATCACATTATATACCAAGTAATCCAACCGACGATTATATCCGCGGAAGGATGTGTCAGGAACCTAAAACTGGGAGAAGCCCGCTAGACTAATTGCTGTCATTCTGTAGACAGCCCTAATAATACTTGCGACAGGGGTATATATGATTACTGGACGATGTACGGCTTCGCGCCCTCCCCAAAGATCAGATGCGGTCTCTCCGCTGCGATCTTCAAAATAGTCTGCGCAAAGACCGAGTTGGCCCAAGCAAACCAGGGACGGGTATATTCTTTGATATTGTTGACGTTGATAGATTCGTGCACGAGACCCAACAGACTCGAATTACGGACAAGGTTGATGCATTCGGTGATCTCGGCTTCAGAGTCGCTTGTCATCGCTTGGACAAGGAGTGACATTGGCCAAGCGTTCTGCAAACCGACTACATGCAGATCATGGTTAGCGTCTCCTTTGTTCATGGAAGGGTTAATAGAAGGTGATGGGATGAGCTTACTGTGAGGTCCACCGATGCCATGGAACCCGGAGCCTGTTAGATAATACGGGTTGCCGGTCTTGTCAAGAATCATCTTGCGGGTGTTGCGATAGATGTGATCTTTCTCATCAACGTAGCCGAGCAGAGGCAGCGAAAGCAGGGACGGGATGTTGGCATCGTCCATGAGGATCCGTGAGCCATAGCCGTCCACTTCGAAAGCAAAGACATCGCCGTACTTTGAGTGGTGGACGACCCCATGCTCTTTGACAGCGTGATCAAGCTCCTCACCTCGCTGCCGAAGTTTCCTGACCAGGTCCGCACTCCCTCCTGCCGCTTTGATCACATCCGCGGTTCTCTTCAGCTGGACAGACATCATCGCATTAGGCGGGATGAAGTACCCGAGAATAGTAGCGTCGTCACTGGGGCGAAATGCGCTGCGAATGAGACCCGTGCCATTATTCAATGGATTGCCAACGCCCGCCAGGCTCAAAGTTTCAGTACCCGCGGTGGTTGTGCGCTGGAACGTGTACTGGTTGGTGACGAATTGGCCCTGTTCGTTGAACGTCGGCTGTGACTGCGCATCCAAAACGCTGAGAAGGGTGTTCAGAGCCATGTACCAACGGTCCGTGAGGAATTCCGTTGATCCCGTGTTTTCGAAGAACTGGGTGCCCAGCGCCAGGAAATGTGCCAATGAATCGAGCTCGTACTTGCATTCGAACACAACAGAAGGCTCATATGCCGGATGGACCTTGTCGTCCTGCCCATTCGGTGTCGGCTTAAGGCCACTGGGCGGAGGGGGTTGAAAGGCATTGCAGTATGGCGACTGAATGACAAACTCAGCCTGGGTGTTAATGGCACCCAAAATGAGGTTGTGGAGGGCTTTGTCCTTTTTGGCTAGAGCCTGGTAACCTGACAATTGGTTGGTGGAGTCGCGAAGCCATTCTGCATTGATATCGCCGGTCACAATGAAGCTCTGTGGTCCTTGCCATTGAGCACCATCCTTCTTAATCTTCTTGGGCGTCGTTGAGCCATCGGTGTGCCATCTGATGGTCGTGTCCAAAGTGTTGGGAAACGCATTTCGAAACAATTGAGCTAAATCCTTATCCACCATACGAGACGTCACATCGTCAATCACTTTCTCCACCTCTGGAGATGAAAAGGTGCGACATTCCGTCGCTGGCCGTTGGAAGGGTAGGTTCAATGGACCACCACTGTACGGAGGACTGTATTAACGCGAGAAGATTTGAATTAGCTCTTGGTCAGTCAAATCGCGTAGAGATACAGAGGCGTGGCGACATACTGCGGTACAGTCGAGTATGAGACATAATCAGGACAAGCTCGCCGCAGAATCGCGGGTTCGTCTCGAAGCCCTGCGGTGTCGCTGACTTGAAGACCAACCGTCAAGGCGAGGAAAAGGGCCGACGAACGAGTCATAGCCGGCTGAATGCTCTCTGACTGACCTCGTCTCAACGCTGAGAATGTGAAGTTATTTCGAAGGGGTGAAAGTGATCTCGACGATTCAAGGATTCAATAGTGTCGCTTGGCGATTGTTTATCAACAGTCGTGTCCGCGCATGCCAGACGGGGAAGTGATGGACACAAATAGTCGAACGCGGACATGCGCTTCGAACCGGTTCAAAACCCAATGCTCTCCCAATGTCCTCATATCCTTTATATTCGCCCGGGATTTAACCGAAGTCTCCGAGTCCCACGGTAGCATCGCAAAGGATTGTTGCAATTCAAAGATAATGGAACCGTTCAGAATCGCTATTTGTTCATCCCCGCTCAGGATGCGGAGATCGTCATAATATGCGGGGGGAGCCAATAAGCCGGTAAATACCCATGTCGCTGCGAGATGCTTCTGTGGACTCGCAGTACTACAAGAAAGACATTCGACATAATTTACACGTGCAGTGACTACCTAGACTCTAGGGCATGGCTAAAGCAGCTTCTGTTTCTGATTTTACATCATCGACTACTTTACTTCTTGGAGAAAAACGACATGATGTTGCCTTGACCGGCCTTTCCTCCGGCCTTGCCTTTGGGCGCACTCAAGGCTGGCTTTTTCTTAGGCGGTGGTGCAGGTTCATCCTCCGAGAATGACTCCCATGACGGCTCTTCTACGGTCACTGGTGAGAAAAGGCCGGTTAGCGGGGTTTAGAGTGTCATCAGATGCAGCGCACGGAGGTTCTCACCAAGGTAGCCTTCCTCGTCCTTGACGGTCTTCTTTTTCATGACCTTGCGCCTACCTCTTCGGCGGCCTCCTGACACTGTTATCTCTTCCCTGGGTTCCTCCTTGGGCGGTGGCTGGTCGATGGTTTTTTCTTCCTCTGCGGGAGTTTCTGGAACATCTGCCATCTCCTCATCTTCATGTTCACACGAGTTAGTACCCATCAGTTGTAGTGTCGTATGAAAAATAAAGCCAATTAGCGTACCGTCGTCATCCTCATCCTCCATCATCTTCCTGAGCCTCTCTTCTCGTTCTTTTCTTGTCTCACGATTGTTGGCCGTCGATGACTTCCCAGAGTCAGGGAAGAGCTCTTCGGGTTCCTCCTCATCGGAGGCATCCCCCAGAACCACTGCTATCTATTAGTCCTTGCATCGATAGCTGGAAGTGCATAATGTTGGGCTTACCATCTTCTGTACCGCTAGGCGCGGCCTGGATTTACTCAGCAGCTGTGATTTTGCAACACGAAGTTGGGCTGGGATGCACTTACCGATTCGGCACCAGAAACAGCAGGGGTTGCCAATCCTTCTTTTTTTTGTTTTGGTTTGGCCTTCGCAAAAGAGCTGAAAAGGTCGCTCTTCTCCCTCTTCAACGGCGCAGTCTTTTCACTAGGTTTGACCGATGGTTTCTCTTCAGCCTTTGTTTGAGTTGTAGATGCTGCTTCTTCGGTCTTCTTGTTCTCCGACTTCACTTTTTGTGTCGCTTCGTCCTGTGACGGCCGTTTCGAGGGAGCCGCGCTCTTCGGGGCCGGGGTGGGCGCTGGTGCAGGGGGCCGCACGCCTGTTCTCCTCTGCGGGACAAGAAGTCAGGCGGTATGTCCTTAAGATCAATGGCCACAGAATTTCAGGAAAGATACCTTGACGTTCTTGTTTTGAATCATTCCCCAATGCTTTCCGTATTCTAAAGGATCTTCAAGAGCGTGAGCGGCCAGCATCTCTCGATGGACGTCGGTGAGCACGTTGAGATCCTGTAAAACCGTGGGCTGTAAGCTATATATGTGCATTGATGATATTGACTCAAAGGTCGATTTTGCGTCTATATTGAATTAGTGACAAGCCATGTCCGCTTAGACGCAAGCACTTGCCATCTAGATCTTCTTCGCGCGCGAGAATTATCGAGGTCGTTGGCACCTCGTCGGCAGTCGCATCCTGATTTGGCATCGAGCTAGGCAGATAGGGGCTGCTTTGCATGATATTGTCTCCGTCGTCATGGTTCTCAGCATGAACACCGTTTGAATCCTTCTGTTGTGGTTTCTGAATCCCGGTAATAACGTAGGTCGCATTCACACTCTGCGGCTTCTTCTTATTCTCGGTATGGTGAAAGTCATATAGCATTCTGGAAGTGTTAACCATTCCGTATTAATCGATGAGGTCGTAGATAGACGAACTGCTTGGCCAAATTGCAATGGACCTTGAGAGCTCGACCTAATGAGCGATAGGTAACCTGAATCGATTAAGTTCCCCAGAGCTCAAAGCACAACTTGGGTCTCACATACTGTACGACGCTCATTGAGGACATTCTCTGCGAGGTATTTCCGGTAATCGGCCACCGCCATCTTCGCTCTTGCAGCTATTTGCGCTTCTGTAGCTTGTATCTTTGCGGATAGAAGCTCCGATCATTTACGGTCCTTCTTCGAGCGACGCGTGTTGAACCACTTTACGCGTATCAGTCAGCCGGTCTTGGCGCTGCGCCGCTGATAGCAGTAGCCATTAGTCTCGACTTCCTTTTTCAGCCTCGACGATCATACAAACATCGTCTTTCTCCCACGCCATAAGGCGCGGCAGCTTACTCCGATTCAATGGAGCAGACATTTGACCTTCCCGACTCCACAGACTGGTTGAACACGCCGTTGTCACTCGTGTCGCCCTTGGAATCCTCTCTCCGCTGTCAAGTCTGCAAGGACTTTTTCGACAACCCCGTCATCACCTCGTGCAGCCATACGTTCTGTTCGTTATGTATACGACGATGCCTAAGTACTGAGGGTAAATGTCCGGCCTGTCGGAGCTCGGATCAGGAGCTCAAGCTGCGGCGTAATTGGGCGGTCCAGGAGTTGGTGGAGGCTTTCCAAAATGCTCGTCCGAGCATGCTCGAGCTTGCAAGGAAGGCCGCTAAATCGCGTCTGGATGGGGAGTATGCTACGGGTCAACCTGCGGCGAAGAAGCGTAAGGTAGATCAGGAGGATGGTCCGGATGCGTCTGGGTCTGACGGGATACGGACAAGGTCGCAGAGCAGAAGAGGGAACAGCCAAGCTGAGCCTGTTGTGGTGGATGCGATCGAAGACGACCAGGACGAGGAATATGTCCCGGGTATGTTATTATACACTACTTAACCAAGTCCCGCTCGGGGTTGGAGAAGCCATGGCGTCTAATATGAGCATATCTAGAGGACGGTCTGGTCGCATGCCCTATTTGTGGCCGGAGAATGAAAAATGAAGCAGTTTTCCAACACTTGGATATTTGCACTGGGGACCCAGCTCCTATAAAACAAGCATCCTTCGGGTAAGATGTCTCTTAGAATGGAATATACGATGCAAAGTATCTGACTCCTGTTCTATCCAGGTCTCTGCAGCCCATGTCCCCAGCCTCGCGCAAGTCAAAAGATGTCACAGACAAACCACCAGAACGGCTCCCTACCATAAACTATAGTCTGCTGAAGGATAATGTTCTCCGCAAGAAGCTCAAAGACTTGGGCATACCCAACTGGGGCCCGCGGCCCCTTCTGCAAAGACGTCACACGGAGTGGATGAATCTATGGAATGCGAACTGCGACTCGAAAGCGCCCAAGTCCAAACGAGAATTGTTGCACGAATTGGCTGTATGGGAGCGCACGCAGGGCGGACATGCTGCTCCATCATCGGAATCTAGCAACACAGTTATGCGCAAGGACTTTGATGCGGCAGCGTGGTCAAATAACCATGGTGACGAGTTCAAGCGGCTGATTGCGAATGCACGGACGAGAAAAGACGCCGTGATTCGCACAACAATACCTCAGGCGGCTCCAGCTCAAGATGGTATCTCCATGGCTTCGGCACCCGAGCAGTCGACAGAAACGTCAACACCACCAGAAGTTGCAGAGAGGTTGCAAACACAGACAGTACCTGAAGGCACTTCAGTTGCAACTATTGCCGGGAATGAAACTCAGACGATACAGACCCCTAGTATAACGCAGGTAGTCAGTTCTTCTCCAGAGTAGTTTACAGGACGGCCTTGTGCACACAGACCGCCCCTGAAGAAGCTGCGAAGACACTGTAGCACCAAAACTATGTCTTTGACATGAGGGATGGGTGCCCCAGATCTCACTGAGCCGTGGCCCCGGTACTTTCCTCAACCGACATGTGCGACAGCCTTTCAATACTTTCCTCGAGCGCCGAATCTACGCTCTGCTCCGACGCGGCTGGGTGTGCAGCCTCTTTGGCTTTCTGTTCGAGTTCGTCAAGCTCAGCGAGCTTCTTGCGAGTCTCTTCTGCCTCCTTTTCTTCCACCGCTTGTCGCTCCCTATTCTCCAGTTCTTCAAGCTCGTCATCCAACTCTGTCTCGTCGATCTGCGGCGCAACCTCATTCATGATGTTGCCGATTTCGTCCACCTTGGACATCTCTTCACGCAGCTCCTCAACAACGTCCTCAACCCTCTCGACGCCGCCAATCTGAGTATGCAGTCCGCGAAGAACACCCGTGCTCGCTTCCATCACTCGGACGTATTCAACCTGGTCCGCGGCATTTTCGATCTTTGAATAGACTTCTTCGAGCTGCGTCAGAGTTTCCAGTCTTTGCTTAAGATTATGCTCGGCCAGCTTCTTGGAGCGTACCGCTGCCAATGCCGAGACACGATTTTTCTTCTGAACAGCGACTTTTGCGGTCAAGTTCAGCTCCTCAATCTTGCTCTCCAGACGGTCGACTTGTTTTGTCATAGTTGACATGAGTGATTTGATAGAGGCAATGGTAGTGTCTTGGTCGGTGATCTCGCGCGGCGAGTCGTTCGAGGGTCTGAACCTGATGGTCTGGTTCGCATCAGTATGTGCCCATTCCGTATGTGCACGGATCACAGATCACAACCTACCTTGCCGTCATATGCGATGGCCCCTATATCACGGGATAGATAAAGTAACAAGACATCGAAATCAGAGCTTGAAAGCCCACTGTTCTCGTTAAGAACTGTTGCGAACTCTTCTGTAAAACGTTCTTTGGAGTAGACGAGATCCATCTTTGATTGACTGCCCCCAAGAGTCTGCTTCACTACCCGATTTGCTGCCTCCTGTAGAATTCGATCAGGGCCTGTTCGCCGAAACCGCGAGAGAGCCATACCTTTAGGTTTTCTACCAATACCAGCTCCTGGACCTGTAATCGAGCGGAAGTCTCTGGCGTGTCACTCCCAATCACAAAACCTCTCAACTGCTTCATCCCCCATGTCATTACATTCCATGGGCTCAATGCCCCAGGGTTGATAATCCTCCATTGCCTTTGCTGCAAGCTGAGCGCACTGGCTCTG